AATTAATGGGAAAAACGGTTTCTGTTTTTATGATTTTGCAGAAAGTGTGTTTGTATCCTCTGGTTCCATTGTGTAAAAAAACAGCGGTCGTACAAGTACGGGTCGAATTTGGTGAAGATTTTGACTTCACAAAATTATTATTAAAAATTGAATGAATTTAATATTGAATTTGATTGTCCAGGAAACTTATCAAGTCACAATTAGCATATAAAATTATCTACTATGTTGAGACTTATTCGCAACGATCACTGATAAGTAAACTTAGCGTTTATCCAACGCTTGTTATCTGTTTGTAACTTGACAGATAATACTCATATAGGTCTGTCTGGTTCATGGTAAATATCAACTTAAAAATTCTCAGATATACAATTCTAGAGTTGTCCTCTAATATTAGGGGGAGTAAAGCCCCTCCTTATATAGTAATTCGGATATGGCAGGTAGCTATTGTTATCTGCGCACACATAGTGGAGACTTCGGGTGAGAGACTAATAGTCCAGATCCTTCAACTTCCTCGATGTCATGTCCAAGATCTGAGTCTCACACTCCTTTCACTTATCTTGCATAATCAGCGATGCATAAGAGAGTAGATAAGCATTTCTAGACTAACTCATATTAGCTCAACATTATCAATGAGAGATCAAAGCTATATGACATGAGCTATAAATTTTTTGTGTACTAACTTTAGCCTACATCTTACTTTAACAAAGCCAATTCATCTCGATGCCAGCAGACGGTCTGTACTGGATTGTTTCCATCAGAAAGTCAAACTGCTTAGTGCTGGCTGCAATAATGAGAAGATCCTAATTTACCTCAATAAGTATGCCTAACTTAATACTTTGGCAGCATATTCTAGTCTGTGAAATTACTTGTGAGTGAGGCTTCCCTCTCCTTAAATATATTCCGTCAGCCCTCCTTTCAAGGGTCATCATGCATGCTTCATTCTTGAAAATTTCTCCGATAACTCTTAACTATGGCTATGGATATCTTGCATAAGCCAGTAACCGTTATGAATTTGAATCTTGTCGGTTTGCAAATAACTCGCTGTTCAACAGTCTGACAAATCAAGCACAAACGAATTGGAGTATAGGTAGTCTTGCATGGATACCAATAGGAGGATTTACTTCGTACGATCACCAAGAGGCGTGTTTCAAAAGGGTGGTACCTCTCTCTCATTCAAATCTGCGGAGGAGGCACATCAATTAGATACAACTAATAAGTCTCTAGTCAACAGTATGACCCAGTAAGCATATTAGAGTATGTATTTTGTGTCCCATTAACTTCACCCGTCAGTAAGTTTTGTGGAACCAAAAGGGGAAAATGTCACTATCGCATAATTGAACTCAAAATGTAGCTCGCATCAAACGCATCTGGTACTGAAGCGACCCATATTGGAAGCTAGTTGGCCAGGTAGACTAGTTCAAAGAAACAGAACAATTTCACTGCGTCAAGCACTGCAATTTTTAGATGATGTTGTCGAAATTAGCGATCCTCTGTCTTCAGTGATGTCTCCCAATGTAATATATGTATACATATATTTATAGCAGGTGATAGTGTGGAATTGAAGCCAGATAATTAGTCGGCCTCAAAGTCTACGATGATGGTTTCGAGAGTTAATAGATACCATGACTATAACGATTCGTTAGGCGTTGGCCGAATGTTGAATTATCAGTTGAAAAGTACCCACAAGTCACCTGCTTCCCTAAACACAGGACTTCATCCTCAGGGCCCTACCGGAAGCTTTCTCATGGATCATGGAAATGCGTGTTTGCGTATGTCACTAGAAACTACTTTATTATCCTCAATGAACATTTTGTTAACCAACAGTAGTTAGTAGTCGTTCGATCCTCTCCACTAGAGATACGAGTCGGACATCCTAGATTTTGAACAATCCAACTTTAACACTAATTAACTCACTCTAAATAAAATGGGGAATGGATTAGAAATCACAACAGTAATAGCAGAATAGCAGAATTTTGAGTACATGTTGAGAAATTCGGTAACAAATCAGTTTGGCAGGGTAGTTTTGACTGCTTTAAAAGTCTTGATAGTCAGATCTAAAAACCTTTCCATAGAGAACCTAATTGGACGATAACGTATAGATTCAAAGATGCAAATCATTCGTGGTAAAATTTCGTGGACGAGAACTCAGACTTATTCTGCTCTCGGCACCTATGCGGAGAAGCCATTTAAAAGAATGAGTTACCCTAAGTATCCCAGGCAAACACCGATATGGGATACAGACAAGCATATACTAAGAACTGAATCGTGACCTCTACTGTGCCCTCTGATAAACAGATAAATGCAGAATGTAGAGGGTGTTAAAACTTCTGCTCTTGCATCAGTAGATTCATACAGTAGATTCATAGACAAAAAAGAATCTGCATCGAAACTGGCTGTTGGTATTATCATCTGTTTGTGTCTTGACAGATGATACTCATACAGGTCCGTCTGGTTCATGTTAGATATCAACTAATAGTATTCTCAGATATACAATTTCAGAGTTGTCCTCTCTTAAATGGAGAGGTTAGCGCCCCTTTATATAGTATTCGAAATAGAAACATCAAGACCTTAGCTTCTGTCCTAATAGAGGTGGATTAGTCTAGCGACTCCCAATTAGAACTGATGCTAATTTAGGTTGTTAGATCTGAGTCTCACACTTCTTTCTCTTATCTTGCATAATCATTATGTATAAGAGATTAGGCAAGCAGATAGAGACTAACTCCTATCATCATTGGCCATCGTTTGTCTTAATTGATATCCTCTAATATCCGAGACATTTATTGGCTCATTCTAATTGTCACTTAAGTAATGAAACTAGCTGATCACACAATCTAATGTCATCTTTGGTACTTCATTTGATCACAGTAAGCCGTTCAATTGCTATCGACCAACCGCATACCTACTCGGCTAGCTGATTGTCCACTCAACATCAAGCACTGAAAACTATAATTAGGGCACTAATTCTTTGCCATGCATATGTGTGGCGATACGGGTCATGTGACAAAGTAAAGATTAATATCTTATTTTCAACAATCTACACGGACATAGGACATGAATGTGTAAGGCTCTATTCTTAGGTTGGTTCACTTCTTCAGTATTCATAATGTTGCAGTTGACTATTCACTCTTCTTTAGATAAGTTGTTCACTTTTATATGTGGAATAGCCCCACATATTTATAGCATTTTCAAAAAGGACTGGAAACACCCCCATTGAAACATTCCCATTTAATCCGGAAACACTATTGAGTCACCCCGCACTTATACTCTATGCTGCGTCATTTGCTTACGTCACCTCTCTTGTCAGTCAGAGTCACGTGATTAAGTTCACGACTAACTTCATCACAACAGAATGAGCCGTATTTATGTGACCTTTCCCAGAGTTATCCCACGTCACTGTGCTATAACAGAAAATGCAAAAAGCGTATCCGAAATTGTGGAGTTTTATAGTCCCACCATACATTGAATCTTATCGACTGTTGAACAAGATAGTGTCAAAGGTAACGGGTGATTATGTGCTCGCTTAAGTACACAAGCGAGTACAGTTTACTAATCATATTACGTCAGCAAGAGAAGAACTGGCGCTTAAGATAAGATATATGAAAGGAGCGTTGGCCCATTATGTATAATTGACTGGAATAAATAATTAGAAGTGTCTTGCAAGTACTTGAAAGCTATAAGATGTCGATAACTAATTCGCCACTGATATCACTACTGGATGGAATCCAACATCAACGTCAAGAAGGCGTAGAATACATCAAAAATAGACAATAACAACGGTGTTAGAAGAAAAGCTACCTGAGCGGTCACAATGTGGGTATATGTCGAATGTCCAGCACATATTATGAGTAGAGTAAAAAGTTTCGTGATTTTGCGTAGCCACTCGTTCTTATCGTGCAGCGTTGCATATTATTTATACTGTGATGAAGCTAGTCGCTACTGAATCACTTGCCTCTGACTGATAGGGAAGCTGACATAAGGCAAATAACACATCATATGAAGCATACGTGATGTGTGTCAGAAGTGATTAAAGATCGGATGGGAATGTCACAGGTCCACTTTGAGAATATAATAAAAGTGTGGCTTCCCACCACATATCAAGGTGAACAATTTATCTCACTGAATAGTAAAAGAGTGAATTATCAACTACAACATTATTGAATAGCCATCTTAAGAAAGGATCTTAAATATGCAGTATTTCGCCTATAAGAAACTAAGTCTGGTCCAAGAACATTTTCTCTGAAGCAAACGGATTTAGATATCTGTCTATTATGAAAGGGACTAATTGTAATCTGTCGGATAATGCTCATATAAATCTGTTTGGTTGATGGTAAATATCAACCTATAGTAGTTTCAGATACACAATTTTGTCCTCTTACATAAGGGGGAGTTATGCCCCTCCTTATAAAGTAATTCAGATATGGCAGATAACTATTGTTGCCTGCGCATACATAAAGGAGATGTCGGGCGAGAGGCTAATAATGCAGATTCTTCAACTTCCTCGATCTCATGTTTCCGGTCTGAGTCTCACATTCCTTACTCTTATCTCGTACAATCAATGATATATAAGAGATAGGGTAAGCAGGTCGAGACTAACTCATATTAGCTAAAAACCCTACCATAAGCCTGACCTGCTTGAATTTCTTCTAGCATCATTTTGACCTAAGACTTTCAAACCTAAGTCGAGTCAGGCTTTTCTTAAAAGTTTCACTAATGTTCAGACGTGATATCACATGTTCGAATTCACAATTTCCTTTAGCCACTTCATCTCGTAGAAAGTGTACACTTATATCAATATGCTTGGTTCTCTGATGGATTGTAAAATGCTTGGATAGCTGGAGAGCACTTTGATTGTCAACCCAGGTTAGAGGCTGTACCATCAATTTGACAGAGCATTGATCTAGAACTTGTTTGAGCCACAAACACTCTTTTGCAGCTTCAGCCATTGCCATGTGTTCAGCCTCTGTGATTGATGGCGCAACCTTGCTTTGTTCCTTTGATCTCTAGCTGATCGGAACATTGTTAATCAATAAAATGTATCCGGAAGTTACAAATCTTTTATTGTCGCCAGCCCAAACAGCATCACAATAGCCTGTGCGCGAAACATCTGTTCCTGGTTGGAGGGGTTTCGGGTGTACAATTCCGCAATTCAGGGTCCCCTTCAAATACTTCAAAACATGTTTAGCTTTGGCGAGGTGAATATTCTGAGGTTTGTTGAGATAGTGACTTAGCTTAGAAACAACAAAGGCGATGTCTGGACCCGCAGTATTGGCAGCCAATAGCAGTGTCCCTACAATGCTGCGGTACGTAGTGATATCGGCAGGCACAGGATGGGAAAATTTCCAGGGTAAACTATTGTCAGGTGTGGATACGAGATTGCAAGAAGATAGCCCGTAAGCAGCAAGAAGAGAGCCAAGGTAGGTAGACAGGATGAAGGGCACCGACGAGGCAGTAGTCTGAATATTTAGGCCAAGAAAATGTCGGACGGCACCCTGGTCTTTCATTCGAAATTGTCGGTGTAACAGCTGTTGGATCGTGCGAATGACAGGTAACTGGGAAGAGAGAATCAGGAGATCATCCGCATAGAGCGCGACAAAAATGGGGGACTCCGGAGTCAAAACATAGACACGCGGCTCGCTGGGAATGTGAGAGAATCCATGAGCACATAAGAGCGAGTCAATTTTCAGGTTCCAATAGAGAGGAGCCTGTTTAAGACCATAGAAACTGCGATAAAGGCGACAGACTTTGGATTCTAGTCCCAGAAGGACAAAACAAGGATGCTGCTGCATGTAAATTTCTTCAGCAAGGTCGCCGTTCAGAAAGGCAGTGGTAACATCCATCTGATACACATGAAAGAGGAAAAAACAGGCAGCAAGCGCCATCAGTAGTCGTATCGTATCATAACGAATAACGGGACTAAAGGTTTTGTGATAGTCAATACCTTGGAGTTGACGAAAACCTTGAATAACGAGACGGGCTTTATATTGAACGTTCGGAGGCCGAGACTTGACAGTAAACATCCAACGCGCTCCAAGAGCCCGCCGACCAGGAGGAAGATCAACCAAGGTCCATATTTTTGCAGTCATTTGCGCATCATATTCTTTGCGCATGGCAGAATTCCATTCAGGAATAGCGAAGGCAGAATCACAATTCGAAGGAATAGACGGAAGGACAGGACCCTGGAGTCAATGAGAAAGGGGCCAGGAACAACAGCAAGATGAGCGGAACGTGGCCGCTCAGCAGGAATAATAGCGCCCGGGGATAGACTAAGGGGTTCAAGAGTATCGTCGGAAAAAGACACCTGACGAAAACCGGATTCAACCGTGTCGTAGGAACCACGAGGCTCAGAGAGGGGACTGAGGGAGAAAGGCCCGGTACACTGTATGGCACATACATTAGAGTCGCGCGTTCACCAGGCGACGGAGAATCCTCAGAAAATGTAGAGGAGTGCCAGTCGGACATAGGAAACCGGGGATGTGAACATTTTGTTCACGGCACGGAAAGACGTGCGCAAAGAACGTAACCTGGAATGATTCAATAAGCTTTCCAGATTGTTCATCAAGTAACCGGTAAGCTTTGCGGTTACGGGAGTACCCAAGAAAAATAACGGGAACAGTAACAGAGTGTAATTTCGAAGTCCGCACAGGTGTGGGAATCAGAACGTAAGTACGACATCCAAATGGTCGGTGCACAGATTAATCAGGTTGACGGCGAAGCCATAGTTCTGCCGGAATCTGGTTCTAAATAGCTTGAGATGGTTCTCTGTTTATGAGAAAGGCGGCCATATCAAGAGCAAAGGGCCATAACTTATCAGGGCAGCCAGAAGCTGCCGGTAGAACTCGAACACAGGAAGTTAGTGTCCGGTGCATGCTTTCAGCCATTCCATTTTGATGACTGGAATACGTGGTAGTCAATTCATGTCTAATGCCGCGACCAGAGAGCTCTTTGCCTGGCGCATTGTTGCAAAATCGAAACCATTGTCACTGCGAATGACCTGGACAGCACATTGCTGATCACAAAATTGCTTGTCAGCTGCGTTAATAAACCGAACAATTATCGTAACGACATCAGATTTGTTGCCGAGGCATTCAGTGATGGTCATATGAGTAAAACGATCAATAAGAGTCAGGAAATTCCTTTCACCATGGGTGGTGAAAAGGGGCCACATAGGTTAATGTGGACCGGCTCAAGAGGTCCAGTCACCACTGTGCGACTCTTCTTGGGTATAACTTTTGTGGCTGGGTCAAGAACACACGCCTCACATGGGGTGTCCGCACTAGGAAGATGAGGTTATTCAGAGACAGCAGAGAAGGGATATTTATACCTGGGGTGCATATAGCCTGGAGAGACTGCTAGAGCAGCCGCAAAGTAAGGTGTAGGTTTGAAAGTAGCTCTATATAGCTTATTAGCGCATAGAGTGCCAATTTCGACACTGTTGAGAACAATCGAATCCTTTCCCATGGTAACATTGCCCGCCACGTTCACCAGTTTCTGCAATGAGATAAGGTTCTTTTGAGATTGTGGAACATATCTCACACCAACCAGTTGGAGCCGGTGAGGGCCATTACGTAGGGTGATCGTACCTTTGCCTTCAACAGCACATTGGGCACCAATACCTTCCACAAATCCATCACATGGAGTGAAACTGTCAAAGTGACTTTTGTTGTTACTAATGTGAATGGTACATCCTGAGCCTAACCAATAAGACTCATCGTCAAGTGGTCCAAGACGCATTGCATAGTCCATGTCTTTTTGCACAGTGGCACCAGATGTGATGTCTAGATTCGATTCTTCTCTCATATGAGCCATAGTTCTTGGGATGGCTACCGGCGCAGGACAGATAGTCGCTGTGTGTCCTCTTTGTTGACACCTGAAGCATACTATCTCTTTGCGACTCCGTCTTTTACTTTTCGTCCTTCTTGTCTTTGTTTCAGAGTCAGGTTGAGAATATGAGACTTGATTTGAGACTTGGTCAGTGTTACTCAAGTTTCTGATGAATGGAACTGCCATTCTTCTACAGTATTCAAGAGTGACATTCTCAGGGCACGAAGTAAGAATCAGATTCTCAGCCATTGGACTGTCAATGAGCGTCAAAGCAAGGAAGACCCATCCATACCCCGGAAGCGGATAGACACCTTCTAACTGGTATGATAGCTTCTGCATTGCATCAATTGCTTGTTCCATGTTTCTGACACTCTTTGCTGAAACTTGATTGCACACTTTCTTGAAGTAGTAGTATTCCTCTTTGATAGAGGGATTCACATAGGACTGCGCAAGGTGTGACATGATGTCAGCTCCTCTTATATCTGGAGGTAGTCTTTTACTCACTTCAGGCTGAAGAGATTCTCTAATGAGCATGAAGACTGCAGCATCTGCTTGCTCACGTAGGACTTTTTTTTTTTTTTGAGTCTCGTCTTCCACTGGGATCGGCAGTTTTCCAGTTTCCACGAAATTTGCTAGTCCTAAGTCATTATTTCTTAGAAATCTCTTTATCCGATATATCCAACCAAGATAACTCTCGGACGAGGACAACTTTGCTGATTCTGGGAATTTGTAGGTATTCTTAAGTGCGCTAGCAGGGCTCATAACCGGATTGTAACTTGACAGATAACAATCATATACGTCTGTCTGGTTCGCCGTAGATATCAACTAATAGTATCCTCAAATATACAATTCCAGAGTTGTCCTCTCTTAAATGGAGAGGTTAGCGCCCCTTTATAAAGTATTCTAAATAGAAACATTAAGACCTTAGCTTCTGTCCTAATAGAGGTGGATTAGTCTAGCGACTCCCAATTAGGACTGATGCTAATTTAGGTTGTTAGATCTGAGTCTCACACTCCTTTCTTTTATCTTGATAATCAATAATGCATTATAGATTGTGTAAGCAGAGAGGGACTAACCCATATTAGCTCAACACTCTCAAACTGTATATCCGAGAATGATATTAGTTGACATTTATTTGCCATGTACCAGACAGATCTGTATGAATATTATTCGTCATGTTACAAATAAAACTTGGACTTCAATCCCTTGACGCCTCGTCTGAAACTGAGGCTCTATCATGACTGGTAGGAATGAACTTTGAGATTGTTTAGCTAATTGGACTTGGTTTCGAGCAGCTTATCTAACACTTTGTGCTGTTACAATCTCTTTTTGAAACAGTCCCAAGTAGCCAACCTCTTCTTTAGTTGAGTTCATCTGACGTGTGACAAATATATATAGCATCAATACTATTGAGGCACAAGTAGTCTATGCATATGTAAGTGCATACTATGCGGAGTAAGGCATTAAGTCTTCGAATTAGGTAATCTTCATTTTTATTTGACAGTTAACATCAATTACTGAGGCTGCGAAATCTAGATACGTTTTTTTTGAACAACCCTAATCCTCTTCTTCACTTGATATGAACAATCTTTTCGTATCCTTACCAGCTATTCTGACTGAATTCTGAATTATAAGATCAACAAGATTTCTATCTGGATTGTTTGTTTTTAGCAATGTAATCTGGTTTTTGTGGGTGGCTTTAGAACTGATTCGTAATCTTATTGTGGTTTTCATCATCGTATACGGTCTTTGGGAGATAGCTAGTAGCTATCTTGCTTCCTCAATATTGTGCATTACAACTTTGGATCCAATGATATATTGTCTCACACAACATGATTATGTAATTTGGAATTCAAACCAAAAAGTGTCTATATACTGATTATATAATCAGGATAAACGTTACTTGATTTTTTTTTTATACGACCGAACCAAAAAGACTTGAGCGAGCCACGCATAATCCGTTCAGTAAGGTTCTGGAAATTTTGGAAATTGTTGATTTCAAGCACAGGTTATAATTTTGGTCATATGAGCTATACACCGAAAGATATTTCGGTTCTTGTCACCGACTTTTTAAAGCGCTCCTTAGAGCAAAATGAAATTCCTGAAGATAACAAGGAGTCAATCGAATTTGCAATTGAAAGTATAAACGACGCTTTCAATTTAGATTCAGAGTTGATTGAACGGGTGCTCACTAAAACTTTTAAGCACCAGTCCCTTGAGAAATTGATTGGGAATGTCAAAGATGCAGGCGAATTTTCTAATTCTGAGGCAGTCCCAGTGCACGTGAGCCAAGCAGAGACCGAGACCAAAGATCGGGCCGAAGCACTGAAGTTAGAGGGCAACAGAGCCATGGCAAAGAGAGAGTTTGAACAGGCGATCGAAAAGTATTCGGCTGCACTAGAGCTAGCTCCTGCCAATGCAGTGTACCTTTCCAACCGCGCAGCTGCCTATTCCTCCATAGGTAAACATGACCAGGCTCTCGTCGATGCTCAGAAGGCAACGGAATCCGAACCATCTTATGCCAAAGCTTGGTCTCGAATGGGACTTGCTAAGTATGCACTTGGTGATGTAGAAGGTTCTATGAATGCTTATGATCAGGGGTTGAAAGTTGAAGGTAATTCACCTAGTGACGCGATGAAGAAAGGTTACGAGACGGCCAAGAGAAAGTACACCGAGCAACTGGCCGATTCACTTGGAACCACTGAGACAGAAGAGACCCCAGGCTCTACCACCCGTGGATCAGATATACCTGATCTTGCAAGTCTTGCAAATATGTTTGGTGGATCGAGTGGATCAGATCAAGGTGCCTCTGGTGGAGCAGGTGGTCTTGGTGGGTTAGCAGGACTTATGAACAATCCTCAGGTCATGCAGGCCGCTCAAAGGATGATGCAGAACCCTGAGGCAATGAATGGATTATTGAATAACCCGCAGCTCAGGCAAATGGCTCAAAATTTTGGACTAGGGAACGATTCAAACCTTGAAGATCTGATGAACAATCCAATGTTACAAAATCTGGCAAACCAGTTTCGGGGAGGCCCTAATCCGCAATAATGTCTTGAGAATTTATTAAGATTGGTAAGTATTGGATTTGAATTTATTGAACAAAAGCTTTAGCCTGTCATTTTGCTTCTTCAAATTCTTCATTCGTTCTTGAGCATACTTCTTGAAGATGAATTTTGTAAACGTCTTCTTGAATAGATAATAGTTGCTCACTTTTACACAAATTGACTCATAATCTGACTTAAGTTGGGAGCTCAATAAACAAAACTGTTTTTTGAGGTGCTCGAAATCAGAAACAAACTTATCCGCCTGAGCAAGTCTCCTATTATCTATTTTGTTTTTTAATGGCGGGAAATTAGATAACAAATTGCTTGCCTGTTCGGGATACTGAATTCTCCCCAATTGGTGCAAGCCATCAGCTGTCGATGTGTGGTACTCAAAATGATATGAGTGCCCCAAGAGATTTTTGAACTGGATCTCTAGATCGCTAAGAGAATCGAAGATTTGTGGATTTCGGTCTCGAAATTCAGATTGGCATCCAAGAAAGCGTTTCAAACGTTGATGTTCTTGTTGCAGTCGTGTATAGACTTTTCTCCATTCTTGAATTTTCCCAGATAGAAACATGTCCACATCATTCATCATCTCCTGATTCGTCGTGCTTAAGAATGCCAAGGACTCTAAAAATATGTCACTGGAAGATTCATTGTCAAGGGACTTCATCTCCGCGGAGCATTTGGAAAAATTGGTTAATATCAGATCCTCAAAAAAATCGGGATCTCTGCTAGAGTATTTGGTATCCAAACGAGCCAGTCGAGCATAAAGTTGGGCAGACACTGCATTCACCTGATAAGCTTCAATGTTTAGCTGATACAGAAACGCATTGATTTTGTAAAAGTTCATTGATGAACTTTGAAAAGTGGAAAGCTCCTCTAGCAAGTATCCAAGAAAGTCTTTAGAGTTTCTTACATCGATGACTGAAAATTTGGGAAAATCACTAGTGTCGGGTGCCAAAAAATTCTTCTTCAAAAAGGTTTGTTCTTTGAACTTCTTGGTTAGGGAAATGTAGTCCCACAGCTCTCCATCCATTTGAAAGTTTTGTTTAAACGTGAGAGCCGAAAGTAGGATATTCTTTTGCATTAATGAAAAGTCGACCCAAAGCTTGCTCGCATGGTGAAAGTCAACACTAGGAATGGATTCACTTAGATTGAAAAGGTATGAATTTATGAGTTGTGGGAAATCAGACGCTCTCTTCAACTTTAAAGCTTTCAGTATCTTAATTAAATCGATGTCATTATGCACAGCGATTCTATCCAACCTAGATTCAAAAGTATTCACCAAGGAGCAACAGGATAAATATACCAGAAAGCCCTTATCCGCCCCTAATTTAGTTCTGATGAGAGTTGCAGACTTCTTGGCCCCAGTAGGGTGATATGTAGATGACAGAGATGAACAGACGAGTTTCGTGATTTCAAATTTGACTTTTGATGATTGAGAAGGATTATCCACATTGGGTAAACTTGAATTCGCGCGATCCAGAAGCTGATGTACAGCTGGAAATTTGAGATAGTCTAGAGCTGAAAGGAACAAATTCGAATCTCGCTTCAAAATCTCTATTCTTGGATCGAGAAGTAGCCTTTGAACATTGGTTGCCCTCATATATTTTATGGATTGCATGAGAGGAGTCAAATTTTGCGTATTGATCGAATTGATATCCACATGTTTAAATGTATCGATGAACATGGAAAGGCTCTCACCGTCTCGAATAGAATGTATTAATGAGTTTCGTTTTCCATCCATGTGGTCTTTATAGTCGAAAGGAATTTTTTTAGTTCTGTACCATTTCAATACAATCGGGAATACTTTTGAGAGAAGGCCAAAATAGTCTGGATGATCATAATACCGAACTATTGCAAACAATGGTGTTTGTTTATGAATATCCATCTGTCGCCAGTTAATAAACGGGCCCAATTTGGGAATTAACTCTCCAAAATACATCAATAAATGGCCAACGTTTTGCCCAAGTTTATTGACAGCTGAACAATATGATTCAACCTCCCATTCCTCAGCTTCGATTATAATTTCAACAAGGGTTTTCAGAATTTCAGGATTCCTTGTAATGAGTGCAGAGTGAAGGAGTGTGAAACCTGACATGTCACTATCTTCTAGAATGAAATCCAGATCGAATATAACAACGCAATCAGTAAGGATTTTAAATACCCTGTAGTCGCCATTTCTCACCGCCATCATTAAACATGACTCGCCCAGCGAATTAATGCTTCTGATAAAATGATCTCCGTTAATGTTCTTTGCATCAATTGAGGACAAGCAAGATTCAAGCTTCTTCAATCGGTTTGAATTAAAGCTAGTGTCGACATTCTGTGTTTCCTCATCAGTTATTTCGGGACAAATCAGCTTCCAGAACTTCAAATTTTGGTCACAGCTGAAAATTATACGATTTGCGACGGTTGCAGTTCCTAGAAAACTTAAGGCGGCCTCAAATGTTGATAAAGTGTAACCATGTCTTCCTTCGAGTGAATGTTCGGGTTGGAATGAAATCATTTTAACATACATCAGATGGCAATGCAAATGTTGAACCCCTGAATAAGCTATGGTCAATATCAATAGAGAGAGCAAATTATCTGCATCCATTTGAATTGAGACATGTGTTGAGTTAGTATTTTGTGAGAGAACTTCCAACGTTTCGACAAATATCCCAAGTCTCGATGAACTGGTCGTCGAGAAATTCAATTCTTTCAGTTTTGATGCAGCCTGGCCCACGATCCTTAAAAGCAATTTATTAGCAAAAGGCTGTTTTTGAATTGAGTCTGGCAAACCGATTTGTGTGATACTCAAGTACCCTAATTTGGGATAATTTTCATTTAAAAAGGTATCAGTTTGGGAGCCGTAAAGATTTGTGAACTGAAGCCAAAATTTATCGTGCATATTCATTTCCACGTAGTCGTAAATTCCTTGTTTGAGCATAGACTGATCTGCTTTTCTTACGATATCGGAATAGATTGCCCTTGGAAGAGACCGAAATATTTCGCTTCCTTTTCCTATTGCTGACGCGAACATAGCCTTAAGTCCAATCTGGTCGGATGCATGGGCAAAATCAAGATCATGAAATAATGTATGGAATTTGGGACCGAGTAATGCGGTCAATTGGGTAGAATTTTTCATCAAATCATCGAAGACATGTGAGGTAGCTATCTGAGCATCTGCAGGAATTATTGATATACTCCTATACTGAGGATGAAAGTAGTTGTCATCAGCATCCGTGTCATCACTACCAATAGGCACAAACCCAAATAAAGGGAAGTCCACCGTGCAAATGTTAAATATAGATCCAAAAGGCAAGTATGTTGCGACGCTGCGCAAAAGCTGTTGATTGAGTATTTCTGAGCTTCTTAGTATAAGACCGTTGGATTCAACCAAAATTTTGTCTTGCTGAAGTATGAGCCTTTTGTGATTGATAGTGTAAAAAATCTTGTGTCTATCAACGCTTTCAATGGTCCTTAAGTCAACAATATGTGATTCTATGAAAGATGGTTCCCAACAAAGGTCCTCAAAGCGTTTCCTTGAATACTTGTCTACCTCAAATTTGAACTTGTGTGCGGCAGGAACAATGATCACATAGTTCTGTGGAGTACCAGCAATTTTGTCAACAATTGAAGCGATTTGCGGATATTCATCAAGTCTGGGGTTATTGAAAAGAACATTGATTAAAGGGTCTAAAAACTTCGGCATGTACTGAATAGTCTCTGGTATGTTACCCATAAAATTGAATCATCAAGTCCTTTGTCAGCTAGCTCCTGGTTTAAATATTCATTCTTTTTAAATACATATTAAGTAAGTGTTACTTTGCCTACAGATAGGGCTGTGCTTCGCAAGTTTTTAATTTATTATTGAAGTATGGCAAAGGGAAAGAACAAAGAAAGAGACACCTCTTCGAAGGTATCCAGCAGCCAGAAAAGGCCACAGAGACGAAAATATCAAGAAACCAAACATTCTGCAGCATACGGAGATCACAAGTTTCCAACGAAACTTGCAATGTGGGATTTCGAACACTGTGATCCAAAGAGATGTAGTGGAAAAAAATTAGAAAGATTGGGATTGATCAGAAGTCTTCGCATAGGACAGAAATTTCAGGGTATTGTGGTTACTCCGAACGCAACAGTGGTCGTATGCCCAAATGATAAGCATTTAGTTGATGAGTTAGGTGTCGCAGTGGTTGAGTGCTCGTGGGCCAGACTTCAGGAAATTCCTTTTGGGAAAATAGGAGGCAGAAACGAAAGGCTTTTACCGTACTTGATTGCTGCAAATCCAGTTAACTACGGGCGCCCAATGAGACTCAACTGTGCAGAAGCGATAGCAGCTTGTTTTGCCATCGTAGGAAGAATTGACTGGGCTAAAGAGCTACTACAGCATTTCTCATATGGGCCGGCATTTTTATCTATCAACAAAGACTTATTCGAATTATACCAAAAGGGTTCGGACTCAGATTCTATACTGGCAATTGAAAAACAATATTTAGCTGCAATGGAGAAAGAGAAGGAGATTCGCAAAGCATCCAAACCTGCAATGGACATATGGTCGATGGAAAATCCAAATCGAAAAGAGGAAGAGGAAGAGGCAGAGGAAGAGGAAGAGGCAGAGGCAGAGGCAGAGGCAGAGGAAGAGGAAGAGGAAGAGGAAGAGGAAGAGGAAGAGGAAGAGGAAGAGGAAGAGGAAGAAGATCATACGCTAAATGAAACGATCCGCGACCTACGTGTGTATTAGACATCCCGGACATTATGGCGACGTGGTAGCTTACCATGTCTCTTGAATATATTTCCTATTGTTCTCGAGCTTTTCCAAATACTCTTTTGACTGTTGCTCCGTCCAAGAGTTCTCCTGGGCGAAAATGGTTTCGAGCGTTAGTCTTACCTGGGTGGGCATCCGACCCGACGATCCACAAAGAAAGATCAATCCATTGTTGGACACCACGAGCCTATTCACTAGCACTTTTTGTTTGTAAATGGATTCCTGCACGTATCCAGAGCCCTGTCTTGAAAAGCTGGGGAATATATGGAACTGCGGATGTTTCTGACATAAACTTTCCCAAAGATCTCCGTATAAGTAATCCCTATCCATGAATCTATGGCCAGCAAAAAGATATATTTCTTTTTGGGAGGATCTCGAAAGGACATATTCAATCATGGACTTGACTGGGGCAATTCCGGATCCTGTCGCAATTGCAATTATTGGAGTGTCCGACTCTATCTCAAAGTTGAGATGGTTTTCAATGATGGATCCAATTATAAGATCACCAGGAACCAACTGCTTGATCCATTTGGTGCAAACACCCTTTCGCAGACGACGAATAACAGTTCGGTATTCCACAATTGCCACAGTTATATCCACTTTTTGGGTGTCTGGTCTCGAAGAGATCGAAAAGAGCCTTGGTTTTAAAGTGGGAATCAGTTCCGTCAAATAATCAACAGGGATTTTCAAAGAAGAGAATTCCTGTATCACCTCTAGAATAGATCTTCTGGGTCTATTGGCGTAGTCATACAACTGTTCACTTTCTTCTAACCTGCTAAATTCCCTCAATTTATCTTTCTCCATTGTATCGTCCGCAAAATGCCATGCCAGAGAGAAGAATGAACGTCTTGGAATTGACATGATATCTAGATGATGCAGCAATAAGGTTCTCAAAGTAAGATTCCTTACAATTCCACTTCCATGATGGTCTATTGGTTTTTGAAATGAAATTGGGTAATCTGCAATATTAGACCACTTTTGGAGCTCAATAAGTAGATCCACATCCTTTGGATCATTCACCGGATAAAGAGCCAATATATCTCCCGGAGAATAGTCAAGAGATGCAGTTGGATCTGTAAAGGATACCATGCGAACTTCTTGAAAATGATCGCGTGTAGTTAATATCTTATTTTCGACTAGCTCAAAGGTCTTCGGCGGATTTTGGGTTTTATCAGAAAGCAATCTGTTTAAAGCTTCCTTCTTAAAATCTTCGCTTCGTGTAATCGCCTGATTCGTATGAAATATGATCGAGTTGATCGGTGGGAGGAGATCATTCTCTGGGATACTTTGTACAGGGAAAATTTGGTGGATTGCGGAATTGAGACTTGTAAGAAATTGCGACTCCCAAGCAGAATAATAAGCATCGGTACCTTCGAGGGATTGTTCATCACCCTCTCCTCTGGGGCATAGTTCTTTGGCTCCCAGCTGCAAAAATCTAGCATGCACTTTTCTTATCGCAGAGTTATATTTTGGATAAGACGAGTCTCCTAAACCAAAGCTAGTAAACACCAAATTGGAAAATAAATCGCCAGGAAGCCTTCTTTTTCTCATGAATTTCCAGAAGTTTCTTCCATTCCTCGGGATTTCACCTTGACCCGTTGTTGAACATATGACCACAAGATACTTGATGTCCAATAATTTTCTCAAATCGAAATCATCCAGAGACGATTTAACAACGTCAAGCTTATGATAACGAAGCTTTGTAGCAAGGCACAGAGCAAGGTCTTCACAGTTACCTGTTTCTGAGCCATACAATATTACTACCTGTCTTGCTGAGGTCGCCGCGAGCATTTTCCATTAGGGAAATTTAATGAATACAGTATTCCATATTTTTTCGTTGAAATTTCGCCTGCCGGCGTAGATTTAATTATGAGACTACAATTTAGACGGTCTATGGCAGATAATGGAAGTTTCTTCTATGTACATGTCCCTCATCTAAGTTCAATTGGATGCAATTCTTCAAGTTCTTTACGAACTTTTTCATGCAAAACATTTATTTCATCATTGGTCAATGATCGGTCCATTGATTGGTAATTGACTCTATAGCACTGTGACTTTCTTCCCGATTTAGGATGAGAGAATTCATCAATCAATTTCACACTTTCCGCAATATCCCCGGCTATTTCTCGCACAACTTCCATCACATCATTTTCATGCACACTGTCAATATTCGTCGAATCTTCCGGCAGCCAGAAAGAGATATCTCTAGTAGTGCCTGGATATTTTGAGTATGGCTTAAAAATTGATATCTTACTCTCCGAGAACTGCTTGGTGAACCTCTCGTCTTGAGACCAGAAAACTCTGATATCTGGAATACCAAAAAGGAGCATTGCAATCCTATCCAAGCCGATCCCAAAAGCCCAACCAATGGAGTTCTCAATACCTGATTGTAACAGCACCTCACGCTTGACAATCCCACAACCACAGCACTCGAGCCATCGCCCATTCCACCAAACTTCAATTTGCCAAGACGGCGCAGTCCAGGGGAACTTGTCGGTTAACCATCTTACCCTCAATGGTTCATCATATGACGAACCAGACAGTCCACTCTCTTTTGCAGCTTTTTTTGCTTCCGAAAATACCTGGTCAACCAATATTTCAATTGTTCGTTTCAAATGAGTGGTGACCAGTTCGGTTTCTTTGTCTGACATGTGGGACTGTTTAGGGTTGATTTGCGCATCATAGACAAGATTGTCATCTTCGACTAATATGTCGATTTTTGGCAACCCGTCAATATCATTTTGAATCTGGGTGATCACACTATTATCGGAATCATTCTTCGACCAAATACGACCGCCTTCGAGCTGATGGAAAACCGGATAGTGTGTTTGATCAATTTCGTCCTTTCGATAGACATCTCCTGATATGAAATATCCCGGAGTTTTGCAATCCCGGAAACAATAAGGCTCATGTGCTGATGTATGTGTACGTAGAACTGTGTTCTTGTTGATGTAGTACGTGTCTGACTTTGACCTTCCTGGATGATCTTCTGGAAAGCCCAAGACATCAAAATTATCATGAACGGAAACAGCTGGTTCAAAATCATTGTAAAAAGTATAACCAAGTCCCTCGAAGCGAGATTCTATTAAACCACGAAGTATTCCTATAGGATGATTTGGTTGTTTGTGCAGATTTCTACCAACCAAAGAAAGAATACCAGGCCGAATGTTGGTCCATTCATCTGTTTTGTGAGAAACACCATTCACCACAATACTTGAACTATCTAATTCAATTAGTTGAGGGTGCTGTGCATACATTTACTTACATCTTATCTGATAGTTTCTAGAGTGTTTATATGCTGATTTCAAAGGTCGAACAATATTATTCCTTCCGATCATGAGTGAAAGCTAATCCTAAGAAAAGTGATGAGTTTTTTCCTCATTACCCGGTCAGTATACAAGTTTTTTGGAACGTCGGTAATTTATTTCTTCGAATTCAAACCAAGGTTTTTTTACCTTTTAAATATCTCGTTATGTTCAGGCTGGTTTCCTCGTATTCATCCAGAGGCCAAGGAGGCTTTTCCAGAACTGTATTTTCCTTGAAACCGCTTGTTACCAAGAGACATGGCCATGAGTATGCTCCACAATACAAAAATATTGATAAAAAACAGAAAGGGAGAGTTACGGTCAGAACAGGGTGCTCAGATAAAGGAACAACACTCAACTTCGGCACATATGGAATGAGGCTAAAGTCAGAAGGTGTTAGAGTAACCGCTGCTCAATACAGAGCGGCTGACAATGTGCTGATGAAATTCGTTAAAAAAGAAAATGGTCTTTATTGGAAACGATTGTGCACAAACATTGCTGTTTGTATCAAGGGTAACACAATTCGTATGGGTAAAGGAAAAGGAGCATTTGATCACTGGGCGGCCCGTGTACCAACAGGTAAAGTTATTTTTGAAGTGAAGGGTATGCATGAGCAGAGTGCCAAGGATGCTTTGAGAAGAAGCTGTGAAAAGCTACCAGGTGTGTGGGAATTCATAACGTCATCATCCCCTCCTCGTTTGGGCTTGAAAATGGTCAAGGAATCCTCCAAGAAGATAAATTTTTACGAGAGCCTGAAGAACAATCCTACAAAGAAGTTTGCCAATGTTCTGAAATCGATGGAACCAATTTATAAGGCTTACAATGGAAGGGCTCGCTGATGGGTATATAACCCGGTTGTATATAAATCACGATTAGCAAATCAACTCTTTTTCTATGATCACCATGACTCTAGTGACAAAACCTTCCAAATGAAAAATGTCTTTGGATCCGAGAGATAGTCTTTCATCGAAGATGGAGCTTGCGGAAACGATTTGCCTCTGAATCAACGACCTGCTCGGTAAATCTAAAAAAATCAGTGACGACCATATACTCAAGGTCAGTCTTTTAAGAATCAGCTTGGCAGGTATAGAATGTGACAATAACTCGTAAAGGGCCGATCTTGTTTGTTGAAGCTGAGAAACAGATCGATCTTTGCAAATGCTAACAGATATCCCCTTGATGACTTCAATCCAATCAGGAATTAATGCTGGAGTAGTAACATCAATGGTATCGTTGTTCATGTACATCGCCTCCATCATCATAATGCACATTCTCAAATTTCGGTTAGACGCAATACAGATCTTTTCAAATATGGGAATCCTATCTTCGAGTGAATCCGGGAATACCTTCTTTGCATGGTTTTCTTTTGCGAGGATGGAGTCAAGAACTTGTGAGCATTCAGCAGGTTTAGGTGCTGCAATCCGTATTGGAAGGGTTCTTGATTTGATAGGATCAATGATATTCGACGTAGAGTTGCAAATCAATATTAGTCGAATATTGGCAGAGTATTTCTCCATAGTTCTTCTCAAAGCTGCTTGCGCATCTCTTGTCAGCAACTCCGCTTCGTTAATGACCACCACTTTAAATCTCTTCTTTGGAATTAGCTTATCTTTAGCTTCATCATAGGCAGCAACATGCGCAATTTTGGAGAAATCAATACTCTCAACTTGTGCAATCTCTTTGAGCAAATCTTGAATAACAATTCGATCATTGTTTCCCATATCGCTTGGCGTGATCTCGAGATGGAATGGGGAAGATATAACATTGAATTCAAGTTTCCTACCTGAGGGGAGTGCAAAAGACTTGATGTCCACCTTCAACTTTTCAACACCAGATCCATAAAGCTGCTTCAGAGTTGCGAGCACTCTCGTTTTTTTGCCGGCTCCCGGAGGTCCATAGATTAAAATATGGGGAAATTCACCTGTTTTTGCCATTGCCTTCAGTCTTCTCGTATTTTCATGATGAAAATCTAAGTCATCCAAATCTTTTGGACGATATTTATCAGCCCAGAGTGACATTATACCGTGTAGCTAAAATACTGAGTGTCGAGACCTCAATTGACGCGTTTGTAATTTAAATAAATTTTGAAAATTCAGTTAGACATTCGACGAAAGCGTGTCGCGGGTCTATTTCTGTCATGATATTAATCCGAAGGTCAAAGATTAAATAATTACAGATTACATAATCAATAATTGATGTTGGTGATAAGAAGTCTATCGAAATCTATAGATGCTTTCTTGACAAAACAAGGTTACAAAATACCTGTGTATCTCCCATTTGAATAACAAGGTGATTAGAATATTTGCTTTGAGCTTGATCCAGAAGAATCAAGCTCAACGTCTAAGCTTATAGGTAAGAAATTAGGAATTACATCGAAATACGTAGCAATTTATCATCATCATAAAAGTTGCACAAAACTTGTCCATCAAATACATTCCTTATACAACTGATAAGGCAATTGTTTGGAGAGTCACCACGAGGAAACATCATGCGGTCACTGTCATCATAGGTATACGAAAATCACCTCTACATATCCTCTGTAATAAGAGTACTTGTCTCTCATAAACGGGAAGAAATTTGAATATCGAATACCGGTCGGATAGATACCATTTATCGTCAATAGCTTGATCGCATACCGTAAATGGTGGATTTTATTCGTACTGTACATATCATGATTTCAATGGCAAAACGTTCTGCTCGAAGAAGTAACTTGGGTCCCCACTCAAAATGAGATTTCCTATTGGTAGGTAATTGCAAACAATATAGTAACCCAAGGTAGAGCCACAATATTTATACCCACAACCCACTTCAGTTGAGGACTTCCAAACCAATTGTGTAAAATGACCAGTTGCAGAGGAATATCCTGGGTTAGAGTAGTCATATTCGCTAATCTCGTTGTACCATGCAGTCACGGCACCAGCAGATGAAAAGTCATAGCCGTAAGCCAAGTTTTCACCCAGACTTTGACCATTCAAAGAGTTACCCGAGTGCACGAGATCGCCGCTGCATGTATAGGAGTCTGCGTACTGTTGTGCAACGGCAGCAACATCGCTATTCCAGACCTGATCCGGAGTTGACTCATGTAACGATCTGTAGTGATTGTGCTTCTGTAAGTAAACTTCCTCGAAGCCTGTTGCGGAACTCGAGCTCCCAGTAGTGGTGGATGAAGTGGATGAAGTGGATGAAGTGGATGAAGTGGATGAAGTGGATGAAGATGAAGATGAAGATGAAGATGAAGAGACAGTGGTCAGTTCTGAGTCCCGACTTAAACTTGCAAGGTTTGCATCACTCGTAGTCGATGAACTTGCAGCGGATAATTCATTCTTTGCTGAAGGTAAAGAGCCATCAGGCGATGTAAAGGTTCCAGATGAAGTTGTTTCGTATGAGTGGGCGATCGAATAGGTTGGCGAAACAGGCGGATAGGTAGATTTATCAGAATTCACTGAAGTAAATATAACTCCTGAATTTGATGGCTTTGGAACTTTTGTAGCAGATGATAATTGAGCCCTTTGAGAGTTTGAAGTCTCCGAATCAGAAACATAGACGTACTCATATTCGATCACTGTGTGATAATTCACAACACAATTTTTTCCTGTATCAGAATATGCAAGGGAAAGCTTGAGAAGTAGCAGATTTGCGACTAAATTCTGTAAATTTGATATTTTCATTGTGAGCTCAGCTGAAGTAGAACAGTGATTGAGCTTTGATACTGTAGTCAATTTCTATCAGAGCTGAATCAAGGGAATTAGGGATCCGACAAGCTACACTATTTATCTACCAACCACACAATACACCAGCCACCTGTTCAAATCATATGCCCCAGCAAGTCCTATTGTGAAGTACAATAAGAAAGACAAGAAGATTTTGAGATCAATTGGCACTATTTTTTTTTAAATCGGAAAGTTAACCGCATTCGGCTAATTTATGCATAAACACAGGCATCATCCGGCATTTTAAGAGGGGGCTGGATTTTAGTAAAAGATGCTAGTCCTGAAGCAGTAATCCGTAAACAAACGTCTAGTTAGCATGATGGCTTAAACAGCATGACTCTCATAGTAATCAGAAGGTGCATTACTTCATGATTGCGGCATATGGTTGTTTCGCAGAGAAATTTATATTTCCTGAGTTTATTCAACTAGTTCTCAAGTCTTTTGACAGAGAGAAAACTTGAAGTATCTGTGCCAGCTCCAATTGGAGACTGATCATTGAAATTGGAATCCACATTTTGCCATCCATAGTATGACTTCGCGCGAAGAAATCCACAACCGAAGTTTGCCCAATAATTGCAGACGAGGAAGACAACTAAAAGCAAGAAACTTTTGATACCTAACGGTTCGACGAAAGAGCTGATTGTGGCACCAAAAATCTCAGCAATCAGTGTAGAGTAGTTGAGAGAGAGCATTGGATTTCTGTTCATGCAGTTTTTCCATTCTTGGCATGAATCTCTTAAAGCAGGAGCTCGGGTAGGGAGTTGACAATTATTGTCTAAAAAGTTTTGACGGCATGCCCTCATTTCAAAATAAGTGGACTGCAGCTTTTCCTTTAATCCTCGATCGACGTCTTGCTTTATAGTCTGAATGCTATCATAGACAAGCTTCATGGCATAGAGAGCAGTCAACGTATTCATAGCCAGCTGTAAATACGTCGATATCAAATAAGGCCATTTCGAATTGGGGGTCGACTTCTTTGACCATGGTTGTGGCAATGTTGTATTCTCTTTCATGGGCGCTTGGGATGGAAAATAATAATGATGATGAACAGAGAACGGGCGACCTTCATTTATTGTTGGTGATTGTAAGTAGTGATCCGGTAATTCGTTGATTGAACCTCGTCGTTTAGCTTCAAATTCTGTCTGATCATAACTTCTATATGCCGAGGTGCCGACGTAACCTAGATCAAGGATTTCTTCTTCTACTTGGTCTCGTGCATCAGCGGTCTTCCCGGTTTTTTCACTTTGAGCGAATCGTGCTCCGAGTTCAGTTGGATGCATAAGACTTTTGAGCTGTAATGCAGGTTTAGATGACTTTACCTGTTCTGTGTCTATAGTGAGCGAATGCAAGCTGTCGTTAGTTTCCTGAATTGCAGAAACGTCTTGCATTGACACATCGCCATCGTCGTAATCATCATTTGCACGATTGCTGCCAAAATCTCTTATAAGTGAAAGCTGTAGTAGATCATCTTCAACTCCTAGATGCTCATTCAAAGATAAAAATCTCAGCTCGTCCATATGTTGCTGATATTTTCGAACTAGACACAAACTTCAGTTTTTTTTGATATACAAACATAAATTTACGCATTTTGTGAATAAAATTAATTTTTTTTCGAGGTGCTCCTAAAATTTTGAGCACTGTCAAATAATGGGATCCAAACGTAAGAAGACAGAAAAACAGAAGGACTTTGCCAAGAAGAAGCTGAAGGTTGGGAAGACTACTGTATCGCAAAACAGCACTTCGACAAGCTTCAAATCCAAGAATATCCATGTGACTTCACAATTTACTGGCATCGATAGTGACATTAAAGAGATTAATAAGCTTTTATCGCTTTTGAAACACCACTCCTCAAATTCTAAACACGAAGTTCTCAATCAGCTAGTGCGTGAAATAGACAAACAGGACAATTTGAACTCTTTTCCTACAGATGAGCTGATTGTCAGACTGAAACCTTTGATATTGGACCAGTCTAAATCCGTGAGGACTGCAACACTGACATTGTTTGAGAGACTTGTCGATCGGAAACCGGATCTCATTATACTGCATCAGTCATCGATAATTTTGTTTCTTCTTTCTGCCATGAGCCATATCAGTTTGTCGATACGAAACGATAGCACCAAGTTTCTGAACTTATTTTTGAACACAGGGATCTCGGACTTGAGCGTTGCTCTGGTGCGAAGAAATTGGCCTAAACTATTGCGAGGTTTGACGCAACTTCTCGGGTGGAAAACTGCGGTTTTAGAGCGCGATCCGCAGTCTGTGTCTCTGAGAGTTACTAACAACTCTTCAAGTATCAGTGAAGGTAAAAGTGCCCAGATTCGCAAGGAGCGTAAGATAAATCAACTGAAAACTCTAATTTCGTTAATCACTTTGGGAGTTGTCGATTCTAACAAGTCAAAGTCTAGCGAGCAAGATTCAAATGCTATCCAAGTGCATCCATTGACAACAATCTACATGATCCCCAGTGTTGCAGACCCATTTAACAACATTCGACTATATGGTCCTTCTCAACAGACTTCTATGGGATCTGCCTTGCACAGTGCTAAAAACCACCACCAGAACTCACAGGCAAGGGGAAGCCAGACTTTGGAATTGGACGATTCATGTTCCGATGATCAGGAAAGTTGTCGGCAGTTCTTCGTTGATTATTACCTCGAGGGTATCCAAGAAGGTGCCGAAGACACTCTGAAAGAGGAAGATGCGGGCTTCGACTTAAAAAACGTTACAAACGAATTGATACAAATCATAAATGTCATCAAGTCTAGTTAACTCACTTAGTGTACTCTTTGGTAGGTAACAATTATAATTAATGCGATCACACAGAACAATGATTATGAAGATGCTTTAGTCGACTGTGTTATTAGAAGAGATAACTCTGGTGGCTCATCGTCGCTCGACTCACCTTCGACACGGGTTTCCAATGAATTGATCAGATGAGAACTGTTATTAAATTTTTGATCAAACTCATAAATCGAACTCCGGCTCACCGTGTTCTTGTACGAGACATAAATTGTGATAGAATCGGCTTGAGTCTGTTCATTCAACAAGTCTGAAAATGAAATGTTGGGATCCAGCTGTTTGGTTTCTTCATTGGAGGAAAATTTGCATGACAAAAAGAAGTCAAAATTATCTTTGACCTCCTTTGACGTATCATTAGATGTAGCTGCAGACAACTGCGAGCCATGCTCATCGTTTGTGATTTCAAAAGATAGAAGCTCATGGGGACAAGAGACCTCTATGGTACTGTGAAAGTCTGTGTCCTTACTGATATCGGCAACTTGTTGAAGTTTCTCGTTGATACGAATCCAATTCACTCTGAACGGTTTCGTTGTATTTGTAGATGGAGGCAATAAAGAATCAGATTTACCTTCGAGTTCGGAGGATCTTACTCTTGCCTGAGCTTTTAATCTTTGAGGACCTCTTTGTTTGCGAGGGGTTCTCCGTTCATTCAAATGTGCACGTCTTTGATGAGCGTTTATAGAATCAGCAGCTCTCCTTCCTAGTTGTATTTGACGACCGATCTTTGAAAGAAAATTATAGTCTCGATGTACATCTAACTGTGAAAGTTCACTTTTTGTCTTATAGGTAGTTTTCCCTTCGGAAACATCACTGAGACCAGAGCACTCTCTGGTGATTTTATGCTGTTTGAAACAGTCTAAAGAACAGGTTTGATTCCCGCAACCTGGGCATTTATACTTGGATTCGGAGTTTTGACATTGTGAGCACCGCATGAAAGATTTGATTAAATCAGAGTACAATTAAATCAATTACCTAATATTTTGCTAATCAAGGTTCAGATTTTTTTCTACCAGCCTTGCTTAATATTTTCAAAGTGTTAATTTGCTAGAAAAATTCCTTTGCCGAACGTCGGAGAAGAAGATTAGATAATAAGGTCATCTATAAATTTGAACGCTTCATATAAAAGCAGGTGCAATTATTTTACGCATTAGTTTAGTGAAATGTTACAGCTCATCCAAAAACAAAGACCATGGGCAAGAGCCTTCAAAGGGATACAACAAAGACTTTTGTCTTTGCAGACGATGAATACGCCTAACGAAAATGCCCTCAAATTCGTCGCCAAAAACTACAAATTTTTACCTGAATTTCAAACCACTGCCGTGGAAGTCAATGATTTGCCCGATGCTTCTCAGAAGTCTCCATTGGCAACAGAACTCTTCAAAGTCAATGGTGTGAGATCACTTCTTATCGGTCCAGATTTCATTACCGTCAACAAAGTCGACCAAGAGCTTTCAAACAACCCCGATCTGCAATGGGGCTCTCTGGCGACCAAAGTTTCTAACGTGATCACAAATGCAATTGACTCGAAAATACCAGTGATTGATCCCGAGTATGAAAAGGAACTGGCCAGAATCCTTGACGAAGCGCAGGAAGATGACGATGACGTCACATATGAGATTAAAGAATTGATCAACACAAGAATAAGGCCAGCTCTTCAAGACGATGGAGGAGATATTCATTTCAGATCGTTTGATGCGGACTCAGGGGTCGTTTACATTAAGCTTCAAGGGGCATGTAAATCGTGCTCTTTAAGTGAAGATACATTGAGAAATGGTATTGAAAGCATGTTGAAGCATTACATTCCTGAAGTTGAAGAGGTGAAGGCAATTTTAGACCCTGAAGAAGAGATCGCTCTGCAAGAATTCGAAAAGCTCGAGAGAAAGCTCAAGGAACAGCAACGGCAAGCTGCCCAGTGATTTCTAAGTAATTCGGCGCCAACGATCATTGAAGATGCAAGAGTGTGCGATTTATCTTGCAGATTTCACTACAAACGAGTTATATGGCTGTATATGAGCTCTATTATTCGAACATTTAATTGAATAGGATGGAAACGAAAGTCTTGGACTTGGTATAAATCATTTTTGCCCTATTTGTGCGGCGTAGTTTTCAAAACGTTCGGCAAACTTGAAATCAATCTCGGTGAGTCCTTGGACATCATGTGTTGTGAGTTCAACGTCAACTTTATTGTAGACAGTGGTCAGTTTTGGATGATGTCCGGTAAGGTGCGATCTTAGAGCGACTTTGGTCAAAAAGGCCCACGTATCCTCGAAGTTCTTGAAAGTATAATTTCTAGCAAGACAGTTACCATTGTATAACTTCCAGCCAGCTGGACTTATGTTCGAGTGAAGTTTCTTCACTTGTTCAGCTGTTAATCTGACAAGCTTTGATTTCGACATAAACTTTAAATGTTTTTTAAAAAAAGTGTAAAGTTATCATCTACTAATCCGAGACTCATATCGAACGCATGGCATCAGCTATATATTTACTTGACTTACAATTGAATTCCATTCTTGAGCGACAGTATAAGCATGATCTCAACTCACCATTGGTAATTGAATACTTTCAGAAAGCGTTCAATCTGTCCAAGAATCCAGTGGTTTCTTACAACGGAATCCAATTTGTTTATCTTCGACATGATGGAATCTATTTGATGACACCCGTGTTCGAAGACTTGAATGTTATGTGCATGATGGCTTTCTTATCGAAGTTAGGTAACCTTCTCAATCTTTATATGAGGGGCAGTATCACACCGGATTCGGTTAAGGACAACCATATTTTGGTATACGAGTTGTTTGACGAAACTCTTGATTTTGGAATCCCTCAGCTCACGGACTTCAATATATTGAAAGAATACATAAAAGCAGAAACAGAAGAAGGTGAAGTGAATTCAAGCATATCAAGAACATCGACAAATAAGATATCCTGGAGACCTAAAGGTATCTTTTACAATAGAAATGAGATCTTCATCAATTTCAACGAAACACTAAAGTTCAAATATAGCTACAAAACTAGACGCATACTGTCAAACCACATTCTTGGTGAGGTCGACTGCAAATGCTATCTCAGTGGAATGCCAACCTTGAAAATGGGGCTCAATGAAATATTCAAAAAGGACGGACAAGACAATAACTCTATTTTCACGAATCTTAACTTCCACCAGTCCGTTGTGTTGAGCGATATTCACGATTACATTACCTTTTTACCTCCTGACGGTTTGTTCAAGCTTTTGACTTATCAAATATCAAACACATCGGGACTAAAGCCATTAATTATGGTGCGCCCAAAATACAGGATTTTCAAGAAAAACGGAACATATAGACTGAGAATCAAGATCGAGATCAAAACTTCGTTCAAGAGGCGATATTCGCTCAGAAATCTGAAGACACACATACCTTTGGTTTTGCCGTTAGAGAATTTGCGAATCAATTTTAATCAACCTCTGAAGTTTAAGACCAAGATGGGGTCTGTCATACACAATCTCGAAGAAAACTCGATAGTATGGTCCATTTCAAAACTTGAAGGTAATTCTGAGGGAGAAATGCAGAGCGAATTTGAATTGTCTCATCAGGATACTATACACCAACAGCATCTGTTCAACACATATCATCACAAACAAGATAAAAATGATCTGATTTATTACGATCTAAGTGAGGAATTGAACATACTGAAAGAAGAACAAGAGTTCAAAAAGAATAACCCGTCAATCATCACTTTGGAGTTTGACTTGGCCTCCACGCTTTACAGCGATCTGAAGATCAACTACCTGAAGATAGACGAGCCTCAGTTCAAGTTTCAGAGCTTTCCTTGGGTTAGATATAATGTTGCGTGTCGCGATGGCGATTACTCGTTCGTACTTTCGAATGACCAGTTCTCTATCGATCTGGACGAGAATGAATTGAATGAGATTGGGTTACAGCCAGAAAACACCGAATCCGACGATGTTTCGAAGGTTGACGATAATGAAAACGAAAGCCATATAGTCCAAACCATGCTTAAGGAAGGTGCGGAAAGCCACGAAAGTGAGGGGTCGCGTGCCTCATTGGAACGGGCCAATGTGTTTGACTACGAGGAATATTTGGTTGAAGACATTGCAACAGGAAAAGAATCAAAATCAGCCGACGAAATGAACGAAACAGATCAATATAGTGCCATTACACAGAATTAAAACCAGATAGAATGTTCAGTGCATCAATAATCTATAGAATTACAAGAATACAAGATTAATGTCTTATATTAACCTTTGGCGTAGGCCCTGATAAACTTCTAGCACGTTGTAATTTTTCCAAATGTCCACGCACAGTGACATATTCTTTGTTGCTAGAACGATTCCCTGTTTCATGCAATCATAAGATCTGTCAGCCATTTTCGAAATCCATTTTCTATTCCGGGGGTATTTGAAACACAATTTGACAGCTTCTTGTCTTGAACCTGTTATGCGATAATCATTTGTAGTCTCTTGAACGATTAGCTGGTAAAAGGAAGCAAGAAATGAGATGAAACTAGGAGAATCCACTTCGTTGAACGGGATACCATCTTTCCAGAAATACATGAGCAAGCCATAACGCATCCGCTCCTCCTTGTTGCGAATAACAGGTGCAAGATATTCAAACGGTTCTCCTTTTCCAACAAAGTTTACCTCAGTGGTAGAGGGTCATGGAACCCGAGAACGATGGTTCATACAGTGGGTTCTAATGTTTGCATCTTTGCGTGCGTTGGTGTGTCCATGGAATCGAAAGTTGTGTTTGCATCGTACACATTCAGCATACGTCACTGCCTCATACGGGTTGTCAGCTGTCGAAGGACAATCGTAAATTTCATCCGGCATCGCCTTCTCCAATTCAGTGTCATGATAACGTGTATGGAATAACTTGACCAAATTTGAGTTGCGTAGCGTTGCAAGCCAGGTTGGATGGTAAAACAATCGGGGGATTTTTTCCTCTTCATAATTATGAGGCGTTCTCTTTTTCAGCTCTGTAAGTAGGTGGCGCGTCATGGCATACCGCTGAGAAATTGACTCAGCCTTTGTAGCAGCTTTTAGTTTTGATCCTCCATCGCCGATCCCGAAAATGGCTTGCGTTTGCCGGTTAACATGGCCATCTATCTCGCGATCTGACGCGTCACTTGTACGTGTTGCGATTGGGTACAGACTCAGCATTATCCTGGCGGTTCTGTTCGCCACTTTCAGCACTTCTGCTTCCAAAAGTGGAACCACCAAATGGAACAGGAACATCACGATCTGAGTGAGAGGGGGAAACAACAAAGGATACACCGCTATTGTGAACAACTATTAATGGCGCCTGGAAAACATTATTACCGTTAAAAGTGAATGATGCGCCTTGTAAAGGACTCTGAGTGGAAGGAACAGGGCTATGTTCGGCAGACATGTCCTGCTGGCTTGGCTGATTCCGTGATGAATTCGACTTTTGGTACATTTCTGAAGACACGAGATTATTAGTTAGAATTTAAAGACCAGAGGGAACTAAAATGAACGGTGTAAGGTGTGGTCAATGTGGCTGGTACATGGCTAGTGAATGTGATGTGTAGCGCAGTATCTATGGTTTTCTAGGTTAGCTAAAAAGGGTGATCCCTTGTTCTGATGGTGAATAGTCTACGTCCTTCGGGAGTACATCAGATCGTGGTACTTTTAACACAACCATGCAACACACTGTATAATTACATGTATTATGCAATATTTATCGGCTAAAAAAGTGGGATCTGTGTCAGTCTGTCTTGTTCGTGGGCCACCCATATTTCGATGCGGCAGCTGACCCCCCACACTCCAGTCATACAGTCATATTAAGACAGACTTCTGTAGTGGATTTTGAACCTGTGGGGGAGTACACCTCGAACCAATGCTTCAAATACCAGGGCTCCACAATACACGCTCTTCACTCAGATCCGGCATTCTATTAATGAAGGGGTCATCACGTAAGCATTCAGCTAATCAGATTCCAATTTAATGGTGCAAAGGTTCGAGTTTCGGTTTGTTTTTTTTAGTAAGGCCTGGCGTTGTGATCATCCAATTCCCTTCAATTTTGGGTATATAACAACGTTTTTTCTCACTGGATTTGTCGTAATAGTCTTTGAAACAGAACCCAAAACAACAGTTGTCAAAAGCTGCATCGATATGACCAAATTGAAGTCCCATTCCTTGGATCTAGGATATCCTATTTATGGAGCAAAGTTTGTGAATGAGAATACTCTGATTGTTGCTGGAGGAGGTGGAGAAGGTAGCAATGGTATTCCAAACAAGATTACTGCGCTCTTGATTCAGCCTGATAATCTGAAAAAACCAATAAAACGGTACCGTGAATTGACTCTTAATGACAAAGAGGACTGTCCAATGACTTTGGATGTCAACAACAACCAGATACTGGTTGGAATCAATGAGAATGCCGAATCAATCAAACGGGGTGTTAACAAGCATTTGAGAAAGTTCAAGTTCCACAATGACCACTTGAAATTTGTCGAGAGCTGTCAAATCCATCCAAGCAACAATGCTCAACATTATCAAAAGTTGACCCAACTTACCAAAGACGGCACACTTGCCGCAATTGCTATGAGTGACGATCCGTCGTCGGTGTACATAGTGGATACGACTGACGAGCTCGAGGAGAAGTTCAAAATCGTCACTACTGGAGATGTTAAAGATATAAGCTTGTCTCCGGATGGAAAGATGATGTGCTACATCACGTCGAGCCACTTTGAAGCCATATCCACCATCACGGGAAGATCTGTGTTCAAAACAAAAATCAACTTTTTGATGTCAAAGATTGAGTTCTACGACAACAACATTGTCATTATTGCTGGGTCCAACAAGAGCGGGATTGTTCTTGGTGAGTTCTCAGTTGCAAAGTCTGCAGTTACAAAAGTCACTGTTATTGCAAGAAATCTGAAAGGTATCACATCTCTTGATGTGAACAATAAAACCGGTCTGATTGCATTGAGTGGTTCTGATTGTTCGATTTTGATTGTTCGTTTCAAGGATTTCAAGCTTTTGAAAAAACTTGACAAGGTCCATGGATTTGCTATCACAAAAGTCACTTTTTCGCAGGCGGGTGATTACCTGGCATCGGTTTCGGCCGCAAACACGGTGAACGTCATTCTGGTTCCGCAGAACTTTGCTGATTCAAAACCACTCTTCATGTCCTTTATCCAATTGTTCATGTCTATCATCCTTGTATCGCTATTTGCAGTCGTGGGACAGTACTTGTATGCAAATGGATACCTTGAGCAACTGCAGACTAAGGCAGTGGAATACTACAAGTCCAAGAAACCTGCCGACTCTTCTGCGTATTTCACCATACAACCAATTGCTTCCAGTGAAGTGTTTGCCAAAGGACCACCTTCTACTACAACTTATGTGCCTATCCATACTGCGGACTCAACAACTAAGTCTATAAGCGAAAACACCAATGTTGGAGATACCAGTGTTCTTCCGGATGATGGTGAGTATACAACACACAAACCACTTGAGACCAGTTCTTCAAGCGGTGTGGAAGTTTCAGCCAATTCTACTTCATCTGCAGTAACTAACAGAACTAAGGAAACAGAGACGAGTCTGCCGGAATCACAATCACCGACCTCTAGCGAAGTCTCATCTATTTTGACCACGAATCTGACGGATTTCGCCGCCGAGAGCCCGGCAAACACAACGTCAGAGACTACGTCCTATTTCACAGAGACTTTGAACCACACAGCCACTGTCGTAGAGACAATTGTTGAGACCCAGACGATTTCAACCACCTCGATCGAAACTTCCACCAAAGTGGAAACGATATTAACCACTGCAGTGGAGACCAAGACCGAGGTTGTCTTTGTCACTATGGAGCCGACTCCTGCTGCATCAAAGGTTTTGGAGAAAGAAACCGGTCAGTTACAGAACTCGTCTACAAATGGCACATTGGACTCTGCTTTCCTTACAGACGAGACCGAGAAGAACCTGTCAGAAGAGGAACAGAGACCGGTTCACTCAAATACGACTCTATTAGAGACTCAGCTTTCCGAAACGAATGTGACTACAGGAGACGTTTCGACAAGCAGCACAGATATTGTTGAAACTTCTGTGATAGAAACGAATCTGACGGAGACAGCGTCGAGCACAACATCGTCGGACAAGAAGACCGAGGATATCAAGGTGGAAACAGCACTATTGTCTAATGTGTCCGAGCCAACCAATTCGACCGAGACTGCAAACAAAACGCTCGAGCCCGAAGTTTCCATCTTGGAAACTGCTTCAAGTGTCCAACACGGCAGCAACACTACAACTACAGCAGAGACCGTTAGTTCCGGTGTTACAGAAAATGAATCATCTATTAAGTTGTCGACAGAAACGTCAACTCTTGATGACCTGGGCACAACAGACTCTGCCAAGTTCAAGCAATCCCCAGACATTCTTCCTCTCGATACAAACTCTTCTTCGTCTGTGGATCACACGGATACCGAAACTTTGCTGTCGAAGGCTTCTGGAGGAGAACTGGACGTCAAACAGGTCAAAGAGACGGCGGCTGGATCAGAAACTCACGACGAGTTATAATCCGCAAGAGCAGATGATCAATTCTGATTCCAAAAGCGATTCCAATAACAATATTGTAATTTAATATGCATTTAAGCGATTCGTGATCAGTAGATGCGATGAGGTGCACTATATCTCGCCGGCCTTCTTGCTGTTACAAGCGACAATCTTGAACTTGTCAACATTCACTGTTTCATTATCGTCGAACTTGATGTTGACGTCTTTGATCACAAAAGTCCACACGTCATCGCAGAATCTGTATGTGTGTAAATGTCCCTTGAATGTGAGCTTTGATTTCACAGAGTCTCTCAGGTTATCCGAGGTGACCCTATCGAAGTTTGCCAAAATTTTCATGGCGAGCTGGGGCTGTATTCTTTGGTCTCCGATCAAGGCGTCCAGAGCGTCTGTCAACGACGTGCCGACACTGATTGGTTAGTTGAAGATTGGTTCAAATACTTACGTGCTTCTTCTGTAGAATTCGTAGTATGTTGGAGCGTTCATGGTTGTACAACAAAAAATCGAATTAATAATGTTATAATCATATTAGGGGTGGATTAGGTAAGCAAGGAGACAGAGCAGCGAGCCAGTTGCAACGACGGATCGATGGTACGTGTGCAAATGGGTGGCATCATGCAATATGAACAAAACCTTTTTGGCTTAACTCAATGTCCTTGTTTCCTATAACTCAACGGAGCTCGGAATGGTTCCTGCTGTTCATGTCCTTACTTGAAGCTACTACGACGAGTCCAGGCTACTAACAGTGGAATTGTCATTTTTTCTCCACCTCCACTCCGCCGTAGTTCAGTCAATTCCACTTTACCCAAATCTCTAACTGCAAATTTCATTTCCTACAGACACCCCACCAGTCCTTTTCTTGCAACCATACATTTAGTGTTTTGCCAAAAAAAAATAATTATATCTTGTTTGACAAAGATGGCGGTCATTTATTACAAGTTCAGGTCCCAGCGAGACGATCTGATTTCCACCATCAAGTTCGATGGGACTGGACTCACAGTGTTTGAGCTCAAGCGCGAGATCATATACGCAAACAAGCTCATAAACTCTTCAGACACAGACATTTTACTCTACCATGTGGAGGACCCCGAAAACGAGTACGAGGACGACAACGAGGTTGTACAGCGTGCATCCACCGTTTTGGTGAGAAGAACATCAGGCGGAAAGAAAGGACGAGGCAATGTCCTTCGATATATGGCTGGAAAACCGCGGATTGCCAAAGCACAGGCTCCTGTTTTGCCCACCCCATCGGCCACCACTACGACGCAAGTTGCCGCCTCTGGAACAGAGGAGGACATGGTCCGACAAATGTTCAACCAACAGGATGACCAGTGGAACCAGCAGCAGGCTGTGATGGCTACAGCCCAGAGGGTGGAAAGTTCACGGCAGAACCTCAAACTTGACGAAAACATCCCTGAATACTACATTTGCTACAAGTGTGGCGAGAAGGGAAAACATCATATCAGAAATTGTCCAAAGAACAACGATCCGAACTGGGATGGAATCAGAATCAAAAAGACCACCGGTATTCCGAAATCGTATTTGAGAACCGTTGATAACCCTACCGACATAGTGAACGAGCCAAACCAGAACTACATGGTGAACGAGGAGGGAAAGTACGTGGTTGCTGTTGCAGATAAAAAGGCGTGGGAGAGATACCAGACGATCCAGCAGTCGAAACAGGTCGATGACGATATCAAAGTGGATGACCCCGAATTAACAGACCCAAACACTGGAAAGATTTGGAGAGACCCAGTGAGAACCAAGTGTTGCAACAAGTTATATTCGAAACCGTACATCGAAGATATCCTTTTAGAATCCGACTTCAAATGTCCTAACTGCGGCCAGGAAGATATATATCTTGATTCTTTGGAACCCGACAAGGATTTACAGAAGAAAGTTGACGACTTTTTGGCCAAGAATAAACGCAAGGCCGAGGGAGAAGACGACCCGGCTAAAAGACAGCACGTTGCGCCAATGATCCCGCCGATCATGCCATTTATGCCGTTTGCTAACCCGATGGCAATGCCTCTTAATAAAAAATGAACCGGTACATAGAAACTCTAACATGTTTATTTTCCTTCACTATATGAGATGACGGCCCATTTTCCACTGGCACACCACAGCTCGCCGCATTCGTTACCAAGACTCTTCCAGTACTCGCAAAGCTCCTCGTCTTTTCCTTTTGGAAGACCTGCACAGACGTCTGCTTTACAAGTTCTCAATGCCAGAATGCGAATACCAGACGATGCCAGTCCGTCAATTGCAACCTTGAACGGCGTATCACGAGGCCAATGTCTGTCGCCGGTCAGTTTTCTATAGTTCAAGTCACCTTTCACAATGACTAGAGCAGAGTCTTGTAGGTACTTCCACAGCTCCGCACCGCCGTATTTCGTTTCCTGGGGACTCAGATTCCAGTAGTCCAGATCCACGGTCCAGAACTCGGACTCCTTGAGCAACAGCTTTCCGCTGTGTCTGTAAGCTTCCAGGCTATCCACCAGAAAATCCAGATCGGCTCTGTGTTCGCTGAAAATAGAGGTGTTACGCAAGTCCTGGATCAATATGTCATAGTCTTTGATCATGGTGTCACTGACCATCCAGGGTCTGCATTTGCAGTGCAGAACAACTTGGCTGATCACCTTGGCGTCCAAAAGGAACAATGACAAAATCAGATCGGTGAACAGCTCGAATCCTGCGTTATCCAGCACAATGTCTATTCTTCTCTTTTCGAACTCGGTCGATAGCAGTGCTTTCCAGGCCTCGGGAAGATCATTGCACAGAATGTTTTTGGCCGACTTGGCCCGGGCCTCTTTGCCTTGAACAGAGCTTATATCTTCCAGAGTAGCATTGGCAAGCAATGATAAGTCTGTGGCGTTTCCCCAGAGCGAGATGTCTGCAAATTCCTCGAACAAGAACTCCAAGTCCTTCTGATCCAGCTCCTCAGTCGATCTCGACTTGATCTGCTGGTTCAACTGTCTGTATCTGAGAGCCAGCTCGTAGATTCCTTTGTCCGAAGACTTGAACGTGTCTCTTTTCAGTTTGTTGAACACATCAAAGGTCTGCCATTTCGATTTGGTCTTGATGAAAGCGTCCACTTTTCTGTACAAGAAACACTCGCAGAACAGCCAAGGGCCCGTCAACCAGGTCACTTCGCCCAATTTCGACAAGGTCTCGTTGTAGGACTTCAAACCAGGGATTTCAACCTCCTTGAACGGCCTGAGAACAGCATTATTGTTCAACTCCTTCAAAAATTCCTTGATCTGCTCGACAATCTGGGCGCCCTGCTCTTTGAACTCGGAGTCTGTGCTCTTTGAGAACTCCGCAGTAGTGTCGTCAATTGCATTCTGGAGAATCTTTGGCCATCTGGATCTTGCAGTGGAGTATCCAAAGGAGTGCGGATCGTTATTGTAGTAAACTTTCGGAACGCTCATAGTACTTTTAGCAATAATTGGAATCTAAAAGAATACACCTTGTGAATTAATAGTAATTTGAGAGCGGACCAAAAAATACTAATCAGGAAAGTCCCCGTCCGAGATTTCTTGCATAATAATATATGAGTAAATGAGTAAATCCAACGTTGAGAAATGGCTTGGTCTGTACGGTTCTTCAGTCATCTGAAGGGTTTCTGTTTTCCGATGGGTCGATTTTGAATATATGGTCAGGATTTAAAATGGCCTTTTTGTCCAGTGCATATTTGATCGATCTCATCAAATCAATGGTGTCAACACCCAGCTCCTCAACCAAGAGCTCCCGCTTATCACTGACCCCAATTCCATGTTCACCGGAAACGGTACCTTCTAGCTCGATTGCCAGTTTCGACATCTCGTTTATCAGCTCGTGGGCCACTTTTTTTTGCTCAGGATCAAAGATCACTAGAACATGTAGATTACCGTCACCCGCGTGTCCTGCTGCCGTAGCCAGCAAATCTGCCGCTTCTAGTTTGGTCATAGTCCGTGTAATCAGCTCCGGAAGTCTCGAAACAGGAACACAGACGTCGGTGGGAAGAATGGTGGCATTTGGCTTGACTTTCCTAGCCCATTGCAACGAGTTCCACAGCAACGTTTTCCGCACAGTCCAGATCCGCTCTTTGTCCTCTTCGTCACTAGCAATACCGATATTGAATCCATGGTTCTTTTTGGCAACGCTGTTGATCGATGCCACCAGCTCCTTAAGAGACTCCTTACTAGTTGCACCAACCTTGAGTAAGAGCATATGGTCAGGAGCCCAATCGTCGCTTGAGCCAGCTCCCATCTCACAAACTGCACGCATCTGTTTGTCGTCCATGAACTCCACCGCATTGCAGCTGATTCCCATTCTAAACAGATCGGTCACCGTTTTGGTGGCATTCCCAATTTCTTTAAAATTGATGGTTGCAATAACCTCATTTTGCGGCTTGAAATGAAGCTTCAGCGTGGCTTCTACAATCACACCGAGCGTGCCCTCGGATCCAATGAACAGATTGGTCAAATTGTAGCCGTTCGAGGACTTTCGAGGACGATTTTTAGTCTTGACTATTGTACCGTCTGCCAACACGACAGTGAGCGACAGAACGTTATCCTTTGCAGCACCGTACTTAACAGCATTAGTTCCTGACGCATTTGTAGCCAGAATACCGCCAATCATGGCTCCTGGTCCCGGGTCCGGCCCAAACATGAGTCCATACGGACTAAGGTACTCGTTCAATTCCATCCAATCAACTCCAGGCTGCACAACAACATCGAGATCCTCCTCGTGCAGTCTCAAAATCTTGTTCATCCTTCCCAGATCCAGCGAAACACCTTGTCTGGTCGGAATATAATGTCCCTCTATAGATGTTCCACCAGAGAAAGGTATCACAGGCACGGAGTATTCGTGACATATTTTGAGTATTTCAGACACCTGCTCGACGGAAGTCGGGTAAACAACGCAATTGGGATGCTCATCCGGTTTAGGACGAACAAAATTCGATGGATCTTTCGAATGGTAGTCGATTTCTCCCGGGGAAGTGGTAATACTGTCTGGTCCGACAATTTGTCTGATTTTATCGATTGCCTCGGCCACAGACTTGCTGGAAGCATATGTTGGTGATTTCAAAGAGTCCAGGGAAGTTGTTGACGCAAAATCTTGACTTTTAGTATAGTAATGTCCGGCGTAGCCTGCCGAAGCGCTGAAAACACAGGTTGCAAGCAACGCAAACAACGATGGAGACCTGGAACTGCCTCCCGAGCCTTGAGAAAGACTTCTCCTGCTCATATAGAAACAATCGCGAGCTCTGGCGCTCAATCGAGTGCAATTTCGAAACATTGATGTTTGTTTGCAAATAACAAAACTTGATTGATTAAATTTCCAGATCTGGAGATCTTGATAAGTTTCGTTAATTGTGCGCAATATTTGTAAATAGATACATATTTATTATTTAAGCAGCATCAGCCGTTCCTCCATACGCCTTGTTCATAGTTTCCTGTGCTCCGCTTCGAACAATTCGGTTGCCGTCGGTGTCGTTGTCGATTGGCACAGACTTGTTCTCGATTCTCTGCTGCTTCCAAAATAAGGTCTCGGATCCACCCAGGACTCCTATCCGCATGGTAGCTAGCAGGTTTCTTGCTGCTGTTGAGTGTTGGTAAACTGCCCCGTTGAAGGCGGTAGTGGCGTCTTTTCCATGCGCAGCCTTGATCAAAGGTAAGCCACCAGGATGGTCTTTGGCAAACGGAGTGATGTCATGGATAATTCCAAACATCACCACCAAATATTTGTCGGTGGATTTATCAGCCAGTCGACGGAACTCGTCTGGCGAGAAAACAGGCAGTTTCTCGATGGGGATTCCCCAGTTTAGCTGTGATCTCTTGTTGTCGATTAGTTTCTGCTGTTGCTGGACGAAAGACATCTCGACCGTCGAGCTCGAGGTTTTCTTCAGCTGCTTGACAAACCTCAGCATGTACATCAAGCGAATAACCCATCTGGTGGGGTCGAAGTCGTACCAATCGTTCCCGTTTCTGTAGTCTGCTGGGAACTCGTGGTGGAAGTTCAAGTTTCCCTCTCCCAGAGTGAGCAGGTTCAAAATGATGTTATTTCTCGGCGACTTTGTGTCACTGTAAGGTCTTGTTCCCAGCGCATGTCCAAACGAGTTAATAGCAAAAATAGAGTGTTGGACCAAAAACACTTTCAAAAAACCTGCATAGACCAGCCCACCCAAGTAATCGTTCCAAAACCAGCCGCAAACCAAGCTGGGAAGAGCCAGCCCAAATATACCAAAAAGCACCAAATAGTTCTCTGCTTGCCATGTAAAGATATTTTCGTTTGACAGTTGATCCAGCTTACTCTCCTTGATGGCCTTGGCAACTTTTGGATTATGGATCAGAATCATCCATCCACAGTGGCTGAACAAAAATCCTCTTCTGATATTGTGTGGATCGCGGTCAGAGATGTCGCAATATCTATGGTGAGCACGATGAGACGAGCACCAGTTTTTTGCCGATGTAATCCCCGCTCCTGCTGCCAGGCTTGCCAGGACGAAAACGACCTTTTCGTTGTCTATGTTGAAAGCGTTGTGGGCGAGATATCTGTGATACAGAACGTTCACAGCGAGAATCGTAAGGATATGAAGCAAAATGCAAAAGTAAAGAGTTTGTTTGAGCAATTTAACGTTGTAAACCATGCAAATAGATATTCCAATGATGGGAACCAAAACAACCAAAGTGAAATTCTTCCAATGAATATGTCTGTACCAGTTAGTCAGTGTCCAAGACCGTTCGGTTATATGCCGTCGAAACAGGGTCGACGATGTGTTTGACGTCTGGATTTTCTTGACGGTCTTTTTGATCTTGACTATTTTCCTGTGTTGGGTCGAGTGCTGGGAAGATGGATCGCCATTCTCTGAAAGCGTTCCTAAACCGGCGACATTATATTTGGCCAACTCGGCTACGGGATATTCGGCCTCAGGAATCATCAGACTGTGGGCTGAACACTGGCTGATTATTTTTATATTCCGAAATTATTTTGCCGTTCTGCAAAATGGTGGTTACGGGCTATTTACTTGGTTTGAGAAGATTAGTAGTAAAATGGCTGAAATAGCAGTTCTTAGGCAACTGTTTGACTGTAGAGCTGTAGTTCAAGCTAGAGGAAGTCCTTAGATGCCTTACATTGAAAACCACCAGTTCCTCATCCCGATGTTCACGCAAACAATTCTTAATAATCTATTATTTGGCATTTATATGCAGTTCTGGCTTAGGTGCAACCACAGCATCGATGAGAAGCTTGATAACGGCCGACTTCTTGGCTTCTGCGGTTTTTTTAATCTTCGAGAGCTCGTCCTTGACTTGGTTGTCGGCCTCCTCCTCGAGTTTCTGGTTGGAACCAACGAATTCGTCCTCGAACTTCTTGAGCTCAGCGTCCTTCTTGGCCTTGTACTGCTCGATCTCCTTTTGAGCGTCGGATTTGGCGTCCTTCAACTTTTGCGCACGATCTAAACTGTTAGTAAAACTTGCAAACTAACAAGTATACGTACATTGTCTTGCTTGAGACACAATCTCTTGTGCTTTTTTCTCAGTCTATAGGAATATTAGTTAGTATCTCACCGTTGCATTTGTGTGCAGTCACTTACTTTCAATAAACTTTGAATTCCAGACTATTTTGAGTTAGTTAATCATACCAGACATTGTGAAACTTACCATCCCTTCAATTACTTCTGAACTTCCTTTTGGTCACAAATTGTGCAGACTTCTAATTGCCACGGGACTGACTGACTATTGAAATTCGTTTAGTTAATAACAGCTTTTGCGGTCAATATTATTGAACCTTAGCGACACGGAAAAAAAATAGCAGCTTGAATTCGTGCTACTGTAATTAGGTAGCATGCTATACAATGTACATAAAGCGGGTCTTGTACAGACCATGTCTATAGGCCAAGTTCAATGATCTGGAATGGAAATGTCGATGGATAATGGTGGTTACTTATTGCATGGGTCTTTCGTTGTTCTGCAGTAAGGAATCTTTGTTCACAGTTTTCCACCAGACATTGGTACAATTCCCGTCCCTTTCCCTTCTGTAGATCGAAAATCGGATCGTGTGTCTCCGTTATATGCAAATTCAAAAGATGCTCATTTGGGAGGTTGGCCTGACATTCTTCGCATCTGTTTGTGTGAAACGTCTGATAATGCAACTCAAAAGCACTTTGGCTATTAAAGTGTAAAGGTTCTTCTGAGCACGGAGGCAATGTGCACCAGAGTCCTGCTGATGGTGAATTCTGACGCTCCTCTTCTCCTAGATCCTCGTCATTATCATGTTGTCGCTTTGACATAAGTTAATTAGTCTTCAGCTAAAAAATATTATTCAGATATTCTTAACAATCGCATCTTTCAATATGTGCTCCAGAAAACGCCAGCGACGAGACAGCGACGAGGATTCTCAAGGAGATTTTACCGGAGACGTAGGGGATGCCATCAATGAGAAGATCAGACAAACAGAGCAAAATGTGGGGTCTTACATCCAAGGGCCGTTCGATCCTATCTTTGGCCAAAGAAGAGCGTTTCCCGTGATTCTTGATCTCAACTCGATCGATAAGAACGAGCCAATGAACGACGTCAACACGTACCTGGCCATGGTGAGAATGGAAGCTCAACAGTTTGAGCGCCATGGGTTTGACAGTGCGCCCAGAGAAAAGACAGAAGCAGACGTTGAAGAACCGCATATTGAACCCGATCAGGACGGCTACAAAGCCAATCCGCTACTCACAGACTTTCTAGTTGAATTCAAAACCAAACGAAAAGAATATGAAGAGTACAGATCAACTCTAACAGACATTGATGCTATCGAGCTTCCCCAGACCCAGAAAGAATGGAAGTACGTCGTTTTCAACAACGAGCCTACGTTTGATATTATGGCTCAGCTGATCGAGGAGGACGAGATCATCAAGCTTGCGGTGTATTTCACCAAATGGCTGAATCGAGACGTAAATCCAAGTTTTGAAAACTGGATTTTTCATCTGCTCTATGCAATCGACGACGTTCTAAACGCATCAGACGTTTCTGTTCTACGAGCATTGGCCAAAAAAGCACTCAAACAGGCCGAAGGACAGCTAGATGAACGTAACCAGCTCATCATGGACAAAATAGTCACCATTGTGGGATCCTTCTACGGCCAAAAAGATCTACTCATGTAACATAGTCATTTTTGTATAATTAAAACGTACAATAGGCGTACTTTATTATTTAATGCTCAACAACTTGACGTCGAAAGTCAATTCGGAGTTGGCTGGAATACCTGGAAGTTTCTTGGATCCATAGGCCATAGCAGCAGGAACGATGATTCTTCTCTCACCGCCAACAGCCATACCAGCAACACCAACGTCCCAGCCTTTAATAACTTCACCCTTGCCCAAAGCAAAGATGAATGGCTTTCCGGAAGTGTTTTTGTCGAACACTTTTCCGTTCTTCAACTTTCCAATGTATCTGACACCGACTTTCTGTCCCTTCTTGCAAATCTGTCCGGTTCCAACAGTTCTGTCCTCGACAGTCACACCACCCTGCAACTGCTTAATGGGAAACTTCTTTTTCTCATCGGCCTTTGGAGACTCCTTGGCGGCTGGACCAGTGGGACCCTGCTCAAGCTCCTTATTGAACTTGACAGATTTGTCCTTTTTTGCCTCCTTTTTTGCCTCCTTCTTGGACTTTTTTGTCTCCTTCTCCTGCTTTGGCTCCTCCTCTGCGACTCTCTTTTTTGCGTCAGCTTTTTCGGTTTTTCCAGCTTTTTGATCTTCCTCAACAAGCTCTTCAATCTTACCTTCGATGTCATCGACACCTTCCAATTCGTCGAGGTCGAAGTCCTCGCCGTCAACAATCTCGTCCTCATCAGGAGTCAAGTCGTACTCGTCACTGTCGTAATCCTCATCGTCCTCAGAGTCCTCATCAGAGTAGTCATCTTCCTCCTCGTCGTAAGGGTGCTCAACGTAGTTACCGGTCAAGTGGATAGAATACGATCCGGTGACAACAAAGTAAACTTCCTCGTCTGGCAAGATGGTCAGGTCCAAAGTCTGTTGGTATTGGCTCTTTGGAGACAAGGTACAGATGATGTGCTCCTCGATGGCTTCGTCATCCTCAAAGTCCTCCTCATCATCGTCCTCCTCGTCATCCTCGTCAGAGTTCTCAGAGTTCTCAGAGTTGTCCTCGTCGTCCTCGGATTCGTCAGACTTTTCTTTTTCAGCGTTTTCGTCTTCAACTTCAGTGATCTTCTCCTCATTCTCCTCGTCGCTGGACTCATCCATGTCGATATCAAAATCCTCATCGTCAGAGTCGAAGTCGTCAAGCTGGACAGACTTCTTGAGGATTCTCAAGGTGGATGGCTCCTCCTTATCGTCGAATGCTTCTGGGTTAACAGCTGCCAAAGTCAATCTGACAGTGACTGGGAAGTCCTCAGGCTGACAAGGTTCTGGAGAGAACGGTTGAAGTTCAAGGTTATACGATGCTAATGGCAATAGGGAAGACATGATTTGCGAACTGTGAATGTCTTGGATAGACTTAGGATCGAAAACGTTTTTTCAAATTAAAATTTTTTTTTATTTCGGAATAAATTTTTTTTCTTATTGTGCATTGACTAGCAGGACAATAGTGATGAGGCTCAACGGCTTGACGGGTAAATGTTTTAGTAGCATTGCAAGACAGAACGGCAACTACAATTCAAACTCCTAATTTACTATAGTTTCATTGTGTATCTGATAGTTATTTAGAAAACCATGGCATGAGGCTTGTCACCGCTCTTAAGGGAGAACGACGATGCAAGGTATTGTTTGAGCAGAGGAGTCTTCTTGATTTCAGTGATCAGAGCGTTGTCAATAGACTTTTGGTCTTTCACTCTCTCAGACTTGATCTCTTTCTTTGCACCCTCGCCAAAGAAATCTTTCTCGGACTTGGAGCCCTTAACTGGCTTTTCTTGATTGAAGTATGTGACATCGTATTTGGAAAGATCCAGTCCCGACACATCAACGGTAGTAGAAGTAGCAATGACATATCTAGCATTGACTCTTCTCAATGGAACACCGTTGACCTTGAAAGGACCAGAGACAAGCAGAGTGTTGTCTTCAAGGCTCTTGAGGTACACGACTCTCTTTCCTCTGAATCTACCAGCTAAAAGAATGAGAACCACACCAGGTGTGAGAGTGGATCTCAACTTTTGTGGTCTGGATGCCTTTCTGGCTTTCTTTGCAACAGGGATTTCTTCTGCTGGGTACCACTTTTGGTTCTATAATGTTAGCACGGGTTGTGGAAGGAATGAACATAATGAAGGCGATAACATTTTGAAAAATTCGCCGTTCGAGGGAAGCTCGGATATTCGATCTTGCAGTTTGCACTGGACGCTTCTATAGTCAATTAAACCTCTTGAATGTTGCACTAGTTTTTTGTCTGAAAAATCCTGTGTTGAATGTCGTCAATAAAAATTATGTGATCCAATCTTTGTCTAACGCTGTTCTCTTTCGATAATAATGATATCACCCCAACTGTTCATCACAAATCCAATACTTACAGCAACCATTTTAACTAATATAAGACTCTGTTGAGTATAATATATTCAGTTACACTAAATCTACAATTTTTCATCTCCTGGGACTTTTCCTTGAGACGACACCTCGCACCGCCAACATTTGGCGAATTTTCCACGCCGGTCCTGCGACGGTCGTCGTTAAATAAGGGCAACACCCGACACCGGACCTGGAAAAACAGTCACAATAAAGATCCTGGGGTAGCAGATTAAGATAAGCGAGCTGGGCACGGATAAGAAGCCCATCAAAACTTGTTCATTGAATCGTACATGAACTGGTTGTTCATATCCTGATCATTATTTCTTCCATCGATATTGACAAAAAGATTGCTCCAGAATTCATCATTCAATGCCCAATACTGATACTCCAAATCGTCTCCCGAGCTGACTTCGCTATTCGGATAACTATTCAATATTTGCTGGGGATCTGGGAAAGATTGAATTGAAACTTTATCCTGAATATTGATATGCATGTCTATAGGAACAATGTTGGATCGCGGATCAGGAACACCGGCACCGTATGGACTGGCCTGAAATTGTGGTTGCATACCATTAAAAGACATTTGGGGCACCCCGTTAGCTCCTTGAAGAGTGTTCACTGGACCAGGAGTAACCTTTGGATCGGTTCTAAGCCCTGAAACGGTAGCTGTAGGGGAAACACGCGAAATACCCATTGATGGTGCTATTGCGCTGTAGCCATTCTTTTGAGGTGCAACAATGTATGGGAGTGCGAAGGGGTCAGGTGCAGGTTTCATTGTATGTTTGCTTTCTGCGGTAGGATCGTTTTTCTGATGGATCAAGCCTTTGTAGGCAGACTTACACTGGGACAGGAACGTTTGAGCAAACAAAGACAGAACCAATCTCATTTTGTTCAAGAAGTGGTTTTTGGGATATTTCAGTGACGCTTCATAAACCAGAGATGTCAAACTTCTTATAACGTTCATTGTATCCTCTGTCATGCATTTATACTGATTAAGCGCAGTGATACTAATACTCAAGTATCTGATTCTGAGAAGCATTCCGGCGGTGTAAATGACTCTAGAGGAATGGAACAGCGGATCGATCGCGATTGATTCCTGCGTGAGATGCAAGAAGTGTTTTAGAGTAAGGACACAACACTCTGTTGAGTTCTCAATTGCCTCGGCGAGATATTCAGGAATGTAGTCACTGTCCGAATTGAAAGCGTTTGGACTGAACATCGATTGTAACGCGGGCTCGTATAAGTATGCCTGGACCGAGAAATAGTACGACATCAGCGAATGATAGTACTGGTCATCATCACGCGCGATGACACTTATTCTTTGTCTCAAAGAGTTGAGTGTTCTCTGGACTTCCTGCACCAGATACTTTTGTCTATTTTCCGTGTGCTCTGCAAAGTACACTTGTTCCATTGACGAATGGATACCAAAATGAATCCGCTCGAGAATATGGTTCAATCTGGCATAAATGGCAATGATGGTGTTCCGTTTATCGGAGGTTGACTCAAGATCTGAACAACACTGTTCACAATAGTCACTCCATTGAACAGGCATTCTTCTTCTCAAGAATAAGGAGATTGAGACGGTATTCAAATACGTCAGCAGTAGAAGGCCCTTACCTTCCAAATTCTCCGGGTCTTCAAAAGCAACGGCTGCTTTTTTCTTGACCGCACCATCTTCTTTGCTGTAAAAGAAATAAGGACGTCCCGTCAATCCCAAGTCGTGCATCATGGAAACACATAGAGAATTAAACATGTGATATCTTCTGTGGTGAAATAGTTCTGGTGGCACGTACCAAATACAATACAGCAGCATGGATTTGACCAGAGACAAGCTTTTGTCCCCGATAGACAAAACTTCTCCGGTCAATGTCCTAGAAACAAGACTTTCCAATCTGAGCTGCACATCGATAGTCACAGAAGAAGGTTCTGGGTCGATGATGGTGGCCAGATACGAACAAACCAATAACAAAATCGGCTGTTCTTTGCGCATAGCTGAGAGACTCAGATTTTCTGGAAGCAAGATAAACGGATAGTGTTTGTAAATTTTGTTGACAAACAGCCCGAAAAGATGTTCACATTGGGCCTCTGACAAGATGCCACTGGTAATCAGATCGTTTTCGTAGTAGTTGACGTCTTCTTTGCAAAACCGTATTCTGTCCTCGGCAACCCCAACAATACTGGAAGCGGGACACATTGCCTGCTCCTTAGAAACGCTCTCAAGGAATTTAATCTCCTTCTCGAACTGTTGCAGTTGGGCCTCTTTCGACGGAATAGCGGGCCTGTTTCCAAAACCATTGTGGCCACCCGAAGAATGTGTTTTGCCGTCAGATCCAGCAGAGACTGGAGAATTCGAGCTGAATGACATATTTTTCCGAAAATGGTTATTCCCAGTACGGGGGGTGTCCATGGATGCCATTAAATTCTGTTGGTTAGTGATGGTTCTGGCTTGCTGTGTGATAGTGTCGTCTTTCATTTCTAACATGCTCTGAAGATCAGCTATTTTGGACTCCAACTGTTGGTATTTGGAAATTAATTTAGTGGACCCAGCAGGGGTCTTCTTTTTGCGAGCTTGAGAGAGATCAAACTCACACTGCCTCTTATTTTTCCAGCATCGAACACAAGTGCCCAGTGGATTGTTAACATCGTGAGGCACACATTTGACTTTCAGCGAGTGACATGCTTTACAAGCCACAGAACGGCGTTTGGACGTAGCGGAATTTTTCATTTTAGCCGAGTGTATTGCATCTGTAGATTGCTCAGAAGCGTCAGACCCAGTGGTATTTTCGTCCTTTGGCCCCATTTGACGATACGACATAGAAGAGTTCCTCGATATAGATAAGTACAAGCAGTTAGATTCGTTTTCTGTTATACATCTATTCTTGCTTGCTTATCAATAATAATAACGGTTTATGGTAATAACGCTTTATTCCACAATTAGTTAAAGCCCCGAGCTTTCTCTGGCGAGACGAAATAAAAAATAAAATCTCATTATCGTCGCGTCGATGGTTATGTTACCATGAGCAATAAAGACGATGCGGTTTTGAACAATTGGCTAAAGTTGAAGATTAATTAGGGACCTTCCGTTAGCTTTGATCAATGGATTCTTTGGGTAAGAAACTAAACAACCTCTCTTTGTACGAGGTCAAGGCATATGTCAGAAAAGCACAAAATGCAGTACTCAATTTGAGTGAAATCGAGGCCAAGGTTAGAGAGGCAACTAATAACGAGCCTTGGGGTACGTCAACCAGTACTATGTCTGAGATTGCAAGAGGAACTTTCAGTTATCCGGAAAGAGAAGAAATCTGCGCAATGATCTTTAGACGGTTTACCGAGAAATCAGCTCACGAATGGAGACAAATCTACAAAGCTCTTCAGCTGATGGAATACCTTGTGAAACACGGTTCCGAACGTTTTGTGGACGACGCTAGAGCTAACGTCAACCTTGTTTCAATGCTCAAATCTTTCCATTACATAGACTCAAAGGGAGTCGACCAGGGAATCAATGTCCGTAATAGAGCCAGAGAATTAATTGCTCTCCTGAACGACGAATCTAAGATTAGACAAGAAAGAAAGAAAGCCAAGGAGAATGCAAAGAAGTTTGGAGCGGTTTCTTCCAACTCTGCCTTTGTGGGATCGTCTTCTTTCAGAAGAACTGGTTCTGCCTCTGCAGATTATGATTACGACGAGGACGCTGGATATGCTGGAAGAGTGTTTGGAGACGGAGGTGTTTTCGGTCAAAGATTCGAGGAACAGACTCCTGCAGGCGGCTCTCGGAAGTTTGAAGAGTACGACATTGAGGAACCATCCACTACGAGAAGAACAAGCAAGCCGTCCGTTCAGGCTTCCTCGGTCACTGCAACAACACAACCAAACGTTGACCTGTTCTCCTTTGATGACAAGCCAGCTGCAACTTCGACTGCCTCTGGTGCCGCAGAGAATGGCGATGACGACGACGAAGATTTCGACGATTTCCAAAGTGCATCTGCTCCTGCCGTTGCTCCTGCACAGGCGCAGTCCACCAATCTTGCTGACCTTTTGAGCGCATCGTACAGTCAGCCTGCAACCTCTACACCAACGCCAGCGTTCCAGGCGCAGCCAACTCCATCCTTTTCGGTCCCTACTCCAGCAATTGCGCAACCCAAGAAACAAGATGACCTGTTTGGAAACCTGCTTGTTTCTGCCAAGTCCAAAGCCCACACTCCGTCTTCTTCAACTACTCCGGCTAAAGCTGCCACTGCTTCGCCTCAGGCTGCTGCTGACGACGATTTCGGACTTTTTTCGCCTGCTCCAACCCAACAGTCTAACGGTGCCACTTCCGGAAACAGTCAGAATAACGGAACCGTGGACCTGCTTTCATTTTAAACTTCTCGTGACAGAGTGGAAGATAATAGTAAAGTAGTGCAAGGTGTAAAAAAATAGATCAACTAAGGATAATCTACAATTAAATATTGACAATATAATCCAAATGGCCATCTATTCGTTTTGGATATACGACCGGCATTGCAATTGTATATACAGTCGGGAGTATGGCACGAGTGCGTCTGAGACGGTCAAGGCCTCGAGTCGGTCTACGCCCAAACGGCTGTCTTCAGCTCATTTCTCAAACAATCCAATGGAAAACGCGCCTTCAGCAACGATCTCGTCACATTCTACATTGAACTCTTCCGTATCCACTCTTTCTGGACAAAGAAAAACGTCTTCGTCGTCAAATAACCCCAAAATACAGGAACTGATACAGAAGGGCTCGGTCAACACACAGAACAATAACAACATGTCCAAACTGTTGTTTGGTACTCTTTTTTCGCTAAAGAAGATTGCCGTTTCTCTGTGCACTCCGCCAGCGGAAACGGCGCAGGAAGAGGAGTTCTACGTGTCCAACTTGAACAATTTCAACAAACTGCGGTCGTTCCAAACACTCAACTATAAATGCCATTTTTATGAGACTATCAACGGACTGCGGTTTGTGGTGGTCACCGATCCCAACGCACGCGATCTACAAACGTCTCTTGTTGATATCTACCAGCACATCTACATGGACAATGTTGTGAGAAACCCACTGATGCCGGTGGAGTTCCGAGAAGGAGAGGTCATCTCGAACGACCGGTTTGTGCTTGCAATAGACGACTATTGGAGCTCGATCCCCGAGTTTGTGAACTGAGCTGTGTGTTTTGTATAATAATAGAACAGGAACCAAAAACCACTGATTGATGGCCATTCTGCTTACATAAACTAGCTGCAAACAACGGTTCTCGAAAGTTGGCTGAAACATTCGAAAATCTACTAAGCATCTGCAAATGCATGCACAGCCATCAGCATCCCACACAACTGAAATTTTTTGATAGATTGCTTAACAACTATAGGAATTAGTGTTCTTGGTACCCGAATCAGATGAAACCTACAACGCCGTTTCGTTCGAACGGGTCGCAAGACTACAAGCCATGCAGACGTTCGCCGTTATCTGACGACGAGGTGGACTTGTTCTCTAACACTGAGCGGAAACGTAAGCGTAGTAGAGACTTAGCGTTGGCTAGTCAAGACTGCGTTCCACAACGGAAATTTGAACATATACAGAAACGACAACACTTTGAACAGGAAGATGCGAGCGAAAACAGCAGCGACGACGAAGATTATACACAGATAACGAGTGTTCCCCCGGAACTCCTCAATAGACTGAAATCGTTCCCATTATTTAAGAATGCTCCGAAATCGTTTCTGACCGCTCTTGGACGCTCGCTCCAGCCCATCCAGTACAACCCGCAAGAGTATATTGTAAAGGCGGGCGAACAGGCAAAGTCCATGTACTGGATTTTGAGGGGAACAGTCGGAGTGACGTCTACAGACGGCGAGGCGTTATACGCGGAGCTTGCGGCTGGCTCGTTCTTTGGAGAGATCGGTATCCTGTTCAACAGGCCGAGAACAGCAACAGTTGTTGCTCGAACAAAAGTGCTTCTGGGCGTGCTGACCAAAGATGCCTTAAGCGGAGTTCTTTCGGACTATCCTACAATCGAACGTTTGATCAGAGATGAGGGCCAAGAACGTTTGTCGATGCAACAGAAACGGAAAAGAGTTCCAAACGTGCCCACCAATCTCATGTTCCAACGCTGGGAACCGCCTTCCATTTTGTCCAGATACAGTGCCGACTCGCTCACGGCACTGGCCAACGATCAAGTTCCAGGACCGTCTCTTCCGCCTACAACAGAAACCGCTATGCCATTATTCTCAAACACCAACCCATTCGACACAAACAGCGCATATATCGGACATGTGGCGTCTGCTCCGTTGGGAAATATCGACAACTCCATTTCCGTCAGAGAATTTCTGAGTAGCTTGCCACTATTCCAGTCTCTTCCAAACGAGGTGTTCCATGACCTGGCGCTCAAGGTCGAGATCAAAGACTTCAAGACTATGGAGTACATCTTCAGGAAAGGAGATTCCGGAAGAGACATCTATTTTGTTGTCCATGGCGAGGTTGAAGTGTTGGACCCTGAAATATCCAACTGTATCTTTGCGCGGCTTGGGAGCGGTAAGTATTTTGGAGAAATGGCGTTTCTTTCTTCACTCAGTGACAACCACGATAAACTGCTTGCAGAAACCAGGTCGGCCGACATTCGCGCGGTTTCGGACTCGGAGGTACTTATTGTCAAGGGAAACGTTTTAGAATATCTGTGCAACAGATATCCAGCCGTTTCTGAAGATATGAAAATTACAGCTGGCGAACGGCTGAAGAGCAACGACTCCTTCGGAGACCTCATACAATCTACAAATATCACGCCACAAGACAGAATGGTGTCGTCCATGCTCATTTCAGACCACGACCAAAGACCCACGTTTAAAAACATAGCCTGGACAGGGCAGAACAGCGACCTCGACTCCGAATATTCAATGAGCTCTCCAGCATATACACCGGGTATCTCAACAGAGTCGGTAACCACGTTTGATCCTGTCGACAACTTTGCAAAGCCTGTTCTACCACCAATTGACTCTGTCAAACGGCCAGTTGAAAAACCAAGTATCCAGCTCAACGAGCCTGCTCCGAATCCCGGAGTTGGATCGCTCTACTCGTTCAGAAGCACACATCGCTCGCAATTCACATATACCCCTCACGACCATCGTTTACGTTTACAGAGCATCAACAACGGCCGTCGCAGATCGTCTGTTTTGTCGTCCGGTCCGCTTCCGGACTCCATTTTCTTGAAGATATTTGCGCTTCTAGACCTGCCTCATCTCATGAGATTATCTGTGGTGTGCAAGAAATGGAAGCAACTACTATATCTTGGACCTGACCTCATGAAGACGTTAGACCTTACTCCATGGAAACGGGATCTTGACGATAGTAGTTTGATCCAGATCACGAATTTCGTCGGTCCTCGTCCAAACATCATCAACATTACCGGCTGTTTCCATATCACCGACGCAGGATTCACCTACATGATCAACGAGATCGGAATTAGAGGCTGTATCAAAAAGCTTTATATGGGCGACCATTGGAACATATCCGCGATGGCAATCATGGATCTCAGTATTGTTGCTCGGGAGATCGATACAATCGACTTTTCAAATTGTCCAAAGGTGAGGGACGATGTGATTGAAAGGCTGATTTCTCCTAGAGACTCCAAGTACGGCTGTCCCAATCTGCAAGAGATGGATTTGTCATACTGTAAATATCTCACCGACAAGACCATGTTGCAGATTGCAAATAACACTGGCGGCAAGATCACATCTTTGAATCTCACTAGATGTACTACTATCACCGACAACGGCTTTGTCTTTTGGACGTCAAACCAGTTCCCATTTATGAAGAAATTGGTTTTGAAAGACTGCACATTTCTTTCTGACCTGGCTATTTCTCGTGTTGTTCTAGCATGCCCAAACTTGGAAGTCCTAGATCTGACATTTTGCTGTGTCTTGACGGATAATGCACTGGCATTGATTTATCTGTACTGCAAAATGCTAAAGTCGTTGAACTTGTCGTTCTGCGGCTCTGCAGTCAGCGACAATTCTTTGGCTTCCATTTCCAAATTGGCCTATCTTGAAGATCTCCAAATCACTGGGTGCATTCGTGTTTCCCGTCAAGGAGTCGACCAATTGCTATCGAATCTTCCAAATCTCAAATATTTGGAATTGAGCCAATGTCCAAGAATCAACACGTACCAGGGGAACCCAGTGGAACCATTTGAGAAAAAACCAGGCACAAGAAGCGCATTCTTGAAAGTTTCTCCTCACAGCAGAATAGTCCAGGTTGTCTTATAAACAAGTAATGAATTTTATGAATGTTTTAATCTTAACAGCACTTCTAATAGACAGATATGTAATTATTTATTCTTTCCTTTTGGTTCTGGGCAATACATTCGGCGATCCAGGTGATGTTTCTGATCTCCTGTTCTTTGGATCTGATGTAAGCCCATATGGTACTGATGGTGAACTGTTGTGTGAAAGCGTCTTTACAAAGTCTCATCTCGTACTCATAGAAATGGTCTTCCAAATTCTTGTAATTGGTAGTATCGAAGAAGTTGCGGTACTCGCCCAATGAAGTGATGATAGTTTTGAGGTTTTCAAGGTCGTCTGTTTGAGCAAGCTGGTTTTGATAAGCCGAGTTGGACAGCTGGCCAAGATCCGGCAGAATCTTGAACTTGTCATCGCTTCCCAACTCCGTATCCAGGGAGTTGATGCAGATATTAATAGCTCTTTTATCTGCCTCAAAATTCAGAAGTCTTTCCATGATTTCGTTGGATGGAGAAGGCAATTGAGTCTGACAGAACTTGTTGAAATCTTCCAAATAAGCCTTGTACAGAGTGTTTTTGATGATTTCAATGTTCAGGTCGTCCAAATCGTCCACCGAAAGACAGTTTTGGAAGTAAGCAGCCAATGGAGTATCGATCAGAACAGTTTGGTACAAAGAATCGATATCGGTGGCAACAGAAAGGGTAGGAAGAGTCTCGAACCATCCCAGTGGGTGACATCTTTCCAAGATCTCGGATCTGTCTCGCTCGTGAATAGTACCGGTAATCATAAGCGCAACATTATCAATCATGTACCCATAGGTTATATAGTCCATGAATTTGGCAAGAGGTTCTGTTGCTTGTGATCTAATGTATCTGAATTGCTCATACAGCTTCTCGTTCAACTTTTGTTCGATAATTGTGGTGGAAAGTGTTCCAGACACATTCGACAGAAAGTTGCCGTAATCTGTTGCAGAAAGCTGGAGTTTCAGGTCTTCCAAAGAGTCGCATTGGGTCAAATTGATGTATTGAGCCGATTTCAATAAGCCATCCTTGTACCCACGCACGACACCCTCGATGAACCCAGTATCAACGTTGAAAAATAGACCTTCCATGACACAAAGTGAAAGAAGCAGGTGTTATTTTTTCTTTACTGCTGCTTGAGTATTGCAGTCGATCGGCGGTCGGGGGGCTCATAATGACGCGACGATTTTTTCCCGTATCGAAAATATTCCTACTTTATACAACTTTGTCTCGCACAATGTCTAATTCGACCGAGTTACTCTTGGAGACGTTCTGGAACGAACTTCCGGCGGACGTTGCTGTGTTGTTGGAATCGTCCGATGCGTACAAAAATGAAGCACTGAACTGTTTGAACGAACTGCTCAATCAAGAGGACAACTCAGAAACTTTACTTTCAACCAACGTTAGACCATCGCTGGACGGTGGAGAGTCTGGTCACACTTTGATCGAGCAAGTTGCCGAGTTGGAGTCGTCACAACGTAATTTGGAGGCACAGATCAAGAAAACCGTGTACAACAACTTGGACAAGTCTCTGGATCTGAATCAGACCTATAGAGACTGTGTTTCCATGTTCAACAACGACTTTGTGGAATGTTGCGAGTTCTTGTCGACCAATTTTAGCAAGTCTGACGAGTCGATCGAAACAGAACAAAAGTCGGAAGAAAGCAGCTGGAAAGACTTGCTCAAATCTCAACATCCGCATTCAAAACACGACCAGTTCCAAGAAACCAAACAATCATCATCAATTATCTTGCAAAACATGGACAGCATCATGGATATTCTGGAACTCCCAGCATTGGCAAACGCATGTGTCAAAACCGGACACTATGCCGAATGTGTGGAAATCGCTTCGCATGTTCGTCGTCTTTCGATAAGATACTCAGACATAGACATTATACAAAAAGTCGAGCACGATGTTCAATTGGAGATTAGAGAAATGGTGAACGGATTAATTAGATTGCTTAACACCGATCTTCGACAATCCTCCATCATTAAGATTGCAACGTACTTGAAACGAATTGGGCCATTCCAAAAGACTACAAACGAGTCAGAGAATAATGCGCTTTTGCAAAATAAAAATACCGATGCCATCAATAACGATCTATTGCAAAAGATCTTCCTCAAATCGCGGTACCAGTTCATCCTGAACGAGTTGGAGGTTCTGTCGCCGTTAAAGAAGAGCAATTCTACAGACAAGTATCTCAAGAGATGTTTGGAGGTGATCAGAGAACACTGTTTCCAAACAATAGTAACTTTTGAGTCGATTTTCCCTAACGAATCGGGGAAAGCCGTCAACAACCTACTCTATTCGTTTATCAAGTCATTGATCCTAAGGCTATGTGAGATTTTGAAAGAAGGATTCACCAAGATCGAAGAGTCCAGTAAAGACGGTCTATTACTTCAATTGATCTACTGCTCCCAAAGCTTAGGAAGAATCAGCGGAGACTTTAACCTCGTCATACTCGATCAATTGGACGACGTGATCGATAAGGAAAACTGGTGTGCCATATTGAAGAAACAAAGAGAACTGATCAAGTCGCTGAGCAAGAACATGAACGAGCTCAACATGGGGAAGAAGTCGATCCAAACCTGATCACTGTGCGACGATCGACGCGACCTGTTCCCGCCTCGTGTGAAATTTATGTGTGTACCTGTAGAAAATAGGAAAAAAGGCACGGATGTTTCATGTAAGGGAAGTTTTTGCTAACGAGTAGTGGTTGGAGCACTATAATTTCATCTGAAATAGAAAGTTTATGTTTTCATATCAGTGCTCTTTTTCATCAATTCATTGGAATTAGAGTTTTGTTCTATCTTATTTAGCGGTTGTACTAGCATTGAGCTGATATCCAATTGGAATTTGAATTTGCTGTTTTTCTTTGCTTCTAATTTTGCTTAAGATTGAACATTTGACCACCGTTTGCTGTTTATACAAATATGTCGTCAGTGGAAAAACCCGTTACGGCGGCCCAGCCAAACGTACCGGTTGAGAACACGGAGAAGGCACCTCTTGATCCTGAAACCAAGACGACAACTTCTCGTCCTTACAAGGAATTCCACGCTCCAACAAATGGAAAAGTTGATTTCCCATGGCAGAAAATTGGATCCTTCATTGATCCAGCAAACCCTCCGAAACCAGAGGAGTTCAAAGCCATCAACATGGACTCGGGAAACACTCTGATCCAAGGATACTTAAAGGACAAGTACTACTCCGACTTCTACTACAATTGTTCCTTAATGGTTGGAACTTGTCTGTTTGCGTGGCTTATTGCAAGATTAGGCGGAGGATTTTTTGCTCTTGGATTTGTTCTGATCTGCGCATCTGCCTCCTACAGAAATGAGTTCAGACGTTTCAACAGAAACATCAGAGACGATATGCTTAGATTGGACGCCGCCAAGCAATTGGAGGACAGACACGAGACCATGGAATGGTTGAATAGTTTCTTGGCTAAATTCTGGGTCATTTACATGCCAGAACTTAGTGACATGGTGATCGCCCAGGCAAATACCGTTCTAAAGGATGTTGCTCCTCCTCCTCCAATTGACAAGTTGACTCTGGACGAGTTCACTCTGGGTACCAAGGCCCCAAAGGTGGAAAGTATCAAATCGTTCACCAAACTGGGTAGAGATGTCTGGCAAATGGACTGGGACTTTGGATTCACACCAAACGACACTGATGACATGACCAAGAACGAGCTGAAGAAGAAGATTGACCCAAAGGTCGCTCTTGGAATCAGAGTCGGTAAAGGTTTTGTTGGTGCCTCGCTCCCTATTCTTGTTGAGGACATGTCTTTCAAGGGAAAAATGAGAATCACAATGAAACTCGGCGACAACATGCCTCATATCAAAACTGTTTCTGTTTCTTTCTTGGAACCTCCTTCTATCGATTACGCTTTGAAGCCAGTTGGAGGTAATACCTTCGGTATTGACATCATGTCCGTGATTCCAGGTCTTTCCTCCTTTGTGAACAGTTTGATCCACTCCAACCTTGGACCTATGTTGTATGCTCCTAACTCTTTGGACATTGACGTCGAGGAGATCTTCGAGAGCATGCTGCCTGAAGCCAAGGGTGTTCTTGCAGTCAACCTGAGAGGTGCTGAGTATTTCAAAGACTCCAACATCAGTCCTTATGTCGAATTTGCTACCGATCAAGGTGCTGCCACCCCATACGTTTCTGACATCAAGGCCAAGACAAATGCTCCAATTTTCAACGAGGTGCACTATTTGTTAGTCAATGACTTGAACCAGAAGCTGAACTTCAAACTTCTCACTCTCGAAGACAAGGAAGTTCAAGAACTTGGAAACACTTCTTTTGAACTGCTTGATTTGACTCAAAAGGAGATCCGTGAAAAGGTGGAAAGCAAGCTGACAAAACAAAACAAGCGAATCGGAAAGATCGTTTACGACTTGAAGTGGCTTCCAGTGCTTGAAGGTAAGACCTTGGACGATGGTACAAAAGAAGCTCCTCCAGAATCAGAAGTTGGTATTTTCAAACTTGTTCTGCAATCCGGAAGAGACTTTGACGTTTCCAAGTCCATTCTTGGAAAGCTGTCTACTTATGCAGAGATCTTTTTCGGAGAAGAGTTGGTTGCCAAGTCGAGAGTTGTTAAGAGCTCCAATGAGCCTGATTACAAGATCATCTTCGAAGAATTGGTTCGTTCCAAGTCGACAACTCCAATTAAGATTGTGATTAGAGACACCTCGTCTTACGGAACTCCAATCATTGGTGAATACGCATCCTCTTCCTTGAACGATTTGGTCTTCAATACTCTTGAAGGAAAATCAACTATCTCGTTGACCTCTGGATCTGGATTCTTAAGACTCAAGGCTATCTGGAAACCTCTCGGTTCTCTTGGTGTTGACGGTGGTGCTAGCTTCATTCCTCCTATGGGTATTGTCAGACTCAATGTCAAGAAGTGCGAGAACCTCAAGAACTTGGAAACCATTGGAAGCATTGATCCATACGTCAGAGTTCTTAGTGGTGGCAGGGTTGCTGCCCAGACTCCCGTTGTTAAGGATACTCTCAACCCTGTGTTTGATGAGGTGATGTACATTCCTTTGATCTCTGAAAACCAAAAGATCACTCTTGATTGTATGGATGTTGAGAAGTCTACTGATGACAGATTGGTTGGATCTGCCGTCATCACATTGAACAAATACATCAAGAGGAACGAGAACGGAAACTATCTTGCTTACGAAGGTTCTTCCAAGGTTATCACCAAGCCGCTCAGTTACAAGGAGAAAGAGCAAAGAGGTACTGTTTACTACTCCATTTCTTTCTATCCAACTATTCCAGTTTACTCTCAAAAGGAGCTGAGAGAGAAAAAGAAGGCCAAGGAAGTCGACAGAGAAGCTGAGCTTGAGGAGCTGAACGAACAGGCTGAAATGATGGAAGCTTACAAGAAGAAGCCTAACGATTACGAGTGGTACACTGATGATGATGACGAGGACAAGACAGGCATCAACAAGAAAGAGTTGTCTTTCGACCAGTTGGTGTCTCACAATTCTGGTGTTCTTGGTATCAACCTCCTTTCCGGAAAGCTCTTCAAGCCAGACTGTTACGTGCAGTTCTTGCTGGATGACCGTGCTTTCCCAGACTACACATCCAAGAAGTCTAGTGGACGCAAGCTTGCGTCTGACGCGGGAAGTGCGTTTGTCAGAGACCTGAACCATTCCACCGTGTTGGTGCGGATCTCGCCTAAAGAGCATGTCAAGAAGAAGACCGACATCATCACAGAAAAGGAGTTCAAGGTTAGTGACTTGCTCAGTAGAGGTTACAAAGAGCCTATTCATTTGGATTTGGGTGGGAACTCTATTGAGGCTCAATTCGAGTACATTCCTACTGCCATCCCTCTTGGTGTCTCTGAGTCTATGGACGACACGGGAATTTTGAGCTTGACCATAGTGAAGGCTCTTGATTTGAAGGCTGCCGACAAGAACGGAAAGTCTGATCCGTTTGTCGTTATCACAGTCAACGGAATCCAGGTGTACAAGACAGACAAGGTGAAGAAGAACCTGAACCCGGTTTTCAACGAGCAAGTGACGATCCCTGTCAAGTCCAGAAGCAGAACTGAGGTGAAGGCTGTGTTGTACGATTATGATGTTGCAGGCAAGAACGATCCTCTGGGATCTGCGGTTCTTGACTTGACCCAGCTGAAGCCTAACGAGAAGGTTCCATTTGAGGTCCGTCTGGACACTCAAGGATCTGTGATCTTTGAAGGATACTTTGAGCCTAAGTACATGAGACCAGAGCTTTCTGAGTCTGGAGAGCTTGCGGGGCTTGCTGGAGCTCCATTGAAGCTTGTTGGAGGTGCTGCTGGTTTTGTTGGACAGGCTGGTGCTGGTGCTGTTGGAGCTGGAGCTGGAGCTATTGGTGCTGGTATGGGAGCCGGTGTTGGTGCAGTGGGTGCTGGTGCCGGTGCAATTGGCTCTGTTGGAGGTGGACTTATGAGAAAGTTTGGTGGTAAGAAGAAGTCGTCGATGGATCTGAATAGAAACGGCAACTCTTTGAACCCTCCTAACCAGTTCAACGATACACAATCGATCCAATCTAGCAAACCGGGCTCCCAAGCTTCTTCTCCAATGAAGCCAGGATACCAAAGACAGAACTCCGACATGACGTCGTTCACCTCAACCACTTTGGGAGGATCCACTCTTCCTGGAAGGGTGAGCATTGTGCAACTCTCTGGAGTTCCTGAGAAAGAGAGTCTTTTGGTGAAGGTGTCGCTCGTTTCACCTTCCAAAACCAGAGAGATCTACAAAACCAAGGCCGTCAAGCCAGACTCGGAAGGTGTCATCTCCTGGAAAGAGTCTGTTCCGTTCAAGGCTGCAGGAGACGCCAAGGTGCTGTTCCAAGTCAAAGAACACCACACGTTTGGCAAAAGTGTTGAATACGCAGAAACCCAGATCGGACTGGAAGAGGTTGCCGGTAACTCGAGCGACATCACTCTGCCATTGTCCAACGGAGAGCTGGTTGTGAATTTCAATTTCGGTGCAAGCAGTTAGTATATTGTTCGCTCCTTGTATAAGATAGTGAGAATAACATTAGCCATTACGAAAATTATTAAGCGCGCTCAGTGGTGTTTGGAATTTCTGTTGGAAGGAATGCGTTTCTCTTGCTCGGGCTCGTGGCGGGGACTACTGGTGCCCGTGCTACCAATATTGGGCCGTGGATCGTGGGGCCGTGCTATTTTGGCCGCCAAATCATCGTGCTGCTTAAAGTAAATATAGTTATGAAGAGCCATCTTTGGTCGACCACGCAAAGTCGAACAACCGCGTTTGCAACCAAATTCTGGGCAATGGAGCGTATTTGTATTTATTGGAGAAAAAGTGGTGCCATTATTTTTTTTCTCCGACCTCCGATCTGTATAGTTATGTTTCGATGTTTTTAGCATAACCTAAAATTATACCATGTATGTGTATCTATATTACTCAGTCGACCTCGAAAACGTCGGTCTCAAGAACCGCCTGTTCGCCTGATGGCCACCCAAATATTTCAAACAGTCTTCGTAGAACCAGAAGACTCGAATGTTCGTCCTGACAGCCGCATTGGAACGTAAAATGTTTCAAACACTTGAGCTTCTTGAAGTCTATGCGGAACAGATCCAGCTCTTCTTTGGTGACCTCGATATCTCCCTCGTCCAGTTCGTCAATGCCCCGGTGACAGTTGTGAAGTAGTTCGTTGTAGTCCTCTTTTGGAGCAGCTTCGCTCTCCTCGCCTATCAACTCCAAACTAGACGCGTACTTGCGCAGACTCTTCATCGATGCTCTGCCGGTCACAATCAATGGAGGCTCTTTGGCTGAAGGAGACCCGAAGATCGTGAGCTTCTCCAATTGTTTGCGGGGCGTGCGCTTGAACAGTTTCGACTTCTTTCTCTTCTTGATGTTCAAAGACGGCGTAAGATCAACGGTGAACGAGACATTCAATGACTCGTCGTTGTTGTCCTCCTCTTCCTCAATCTCCTCGTCCGACATGGTGAAATCCGAGTCACCAAGCTCGACGTACTCAATGTCCTCGACCTGGTTCGCAGAATCGAAAATGTTGTCCTGATCGCTCAGCGAAGTATTGGTGTTGTAGGAGAGTCTGTTTTTGTTGACATTTATATCTGAAAACGAGTTGTGTCTTCCGAAATTGTCCTCGGATTCGTCGATATCATAGTGTGCTGGGCGGTATGTTTGGGGCCTGATAGGTAAAGCAGAAGCGCTTCTGATCACTTTCTTCAGGGTCTTTTTCGCACTCAGAATATTTATCTCGTCAGAGTACTGGTAGTCCAATTGGTCTTTGTATATTGCGATCCCGTTGGCCTCTTCCTGTGGTATATGCTGAAGAAGGAACCCAATATACGAATGCAGCTTTTCGTTTTGCAACTCAAGAGACTTCACCTGGAATCCCATCTTTGTAATTTCCTGTGTATGTCTTCTCTCCACGCTATCTCGCTCTATATTGTTGAGAAGATTGTTGAAGCTCGAATGTCTTTGGCTGGACTTGCGTGATCCACTCACCTTCACTTCTCCAAAGTCTTTTAGTTCATCGGCCAACGAAAACTTCACCTCGTCCTCTGGGAACTCGGCCTGATCCTCCAAACGGATATCGGAGGTAGAATTCATGCTAAGCTCAGACATTAGTTCGGCGTACTCTTCTTTCAGTTTCTCGTATCTGTCTTCTAACTCGTCGAAGCGCAACCTAAAAGTTTCCAACTCCTCAATGATTAGGATCTTGGAATGGGCCTCAAGCTCGTTTTCCTTTTCCAAGATTGTTATTTTCTTGGTGAGTTGGTCAACTTCCTTTTTATAACGTGACAAGTCATTTTCATGAAGTGATATGCTGTCAGTTTGGATCTGTTCAAGTGACTTGTTATTTTGCAAAAGATTATGGAGCATTTGACTCAAACTGTCTATTTTTTGTTCCATTGTCTGTCTAGTTTGGTTCCAATTGTGGTACTCCTTGTCGTTTATCTCCCGCTCGTGCTTTAACTCATTGGATATTGTTTTGTTTTCCATCACTAGCTCGTGAATTCGTTGCGCATGTATATCAAGCTGCTGCTCTTTCGTCATCACCTCAGTTTCCGCTCGTTCCAGATGACGAACAAGCTCGTTTATACGTATCACTGAGTCTCCATACAAACGTTCCAGCTTTCTATATTCGCCTGCGCTCGTCACCGGAGCTCGTTTCACTTTATCGGAGCTCAACTGGTCTGTCAAATTTCCAAGATCCTTGAGTGGGGTCTTGCTGGGCTGATTAGCGCCTTCGTCCACTTGACTGTAAATGCTCATTGATATGTTTTCATAGTCGGAGGACTCCATTTTTTCGGTCAAACCAGCATCAATCACACAACAGTCGCTTCCTCGGGTCCGCAGTTGAAAAATCAGGGTAGCTTTAGACAACTGGATTGATCTTTCGATGTTATGTGATAGATCTACCGTAGATCTAGTTCAACGTTTAAGGAATGTTTTTTTTGTTTACGTTTTCCTTAATGAATTTTTACTAGGTGCGAGGTGTCGCTCTCCTTACACCCTGGCAAGTCTATACAAACGGATCTCAGGGGTACCGTCGGGATACCAGATCCCTTCCCATTTCAAAGGTTTCATTATAGACCATTCCCATATATGGTCTGTGGTTCCCATGTTCAGCAATTTTTCCCAGTCTGCTATGGTGTTTTCGTTCCGAACAGTAGCAGCTATGTAGGCAGTGGTGACTAGGGTAGCACTGTGTTTGTTCTCTGTCATTGACTCGTAAATCACGCTGATTAGGTCGTCCAATATGCTGCTGTCGTAAGTTACGTCTGCGGCAACTATCGTGTTGATTTCTGAGTCTGGAAGCCCGTCTTCTCCCCACCATAGTTTGGAAACATGCAATTTTGGAGAGTCCACTGGAATGTCGTTTAGCTGTAAGTTATAAGGAAGATTGTCGATCAATTGTGAGTCTCCGTCGGTCATAAACACTTTCTTAACGGTTGGATGGTATTTGGATAGGGCCATACCTATCAATCCGGTTCCGCAACCCAGTTCCAGCACTTTCTGACCAGAAAGATCGCACTGGTCAGAGTTCAGCAGGTATTGCGATAAATATAACGACGCTTCCCATGTGCGTAGTCCTGTGGTTCCCAAACCTGAAATAACATTTGGAGCTTCTCGAACAAATATCATTTGATCACCTTGACCCGGCTTGCAAACCACACAGTAAGATACCACCTCTGTGTCTGTTGGGTTCAACGGGCGCGCAGACAGAAGTTCGCTCAGTTTCTCGTACAATTCGTCGTTGATCTCCTCGTTCTTATCCTCGAGATAGAAGATCAGTTTCTTGAGGAACTCTTTGCAGTAAAAAGCGTTGTAATTTTCGATTTTGTTCAACACATCCAAGATCCTCGTCTGGTCAATATCGCCGCTAATAGAGATCCTCGCCACAGGAACACGCTGCCATATCTGTCGCACTATTCTATCCATCTACAAGAGCTATCAAAAAAATTTGCGACACTGCCTTGAACTTTCTATATCAACTATGGAACGGTAGCATGTTCCAAAAACGTTTGTTTCGCGTGCTGTTATTCAATACGCATTGCTTTATTTTATCTCTATTTAGCCAGAGTTCCGAAAACACGAACTCTTTTCACACCTCCGTCAGGAATCATGGTCAATTTCACGTGAGTCACAGGCTTTGAGAACTCAACGGTGTACTCATGCTCCTTATCTGGGCCGGTCTTGGACTTGTCCACCAAAAACTCCCATTTGGAGTCCTCGAAAGAAGGAGAATACTCTTCGGTGTTCAAACCTTCCAGAGTGATGTACTGTGGGAAGTTACCTCTGTAATGAGCAGTATCAATAACGACTCTGCTGACGTTGGTCTTGAACCCGAGCTTGATAACTGCCCAGTCAACATGGCCAGGAGACCGCGAACGTTTGGTTTCCCAACCGTCAGACATGTCGTGGCCGCGGCCTGGAAGCAACAAGTTGTCGGCAGATCCAAAGTGCTGGTCGGAGAAGCCAACACAAACACCTCCGTTCAAAGCGCTTGCGGTGTCCAACACGGTGGAGATGTCTTGAGGAATGATCGGGTACACGGTACCGTACAATCTGAACCTGGCAATTCCTCCGTCAGGATACATTCTTAACCGAACATGGGTGTACTTCTTTTCTGTGCTCTGATCTCTCTTGAAGAAGTGTCTTTGGGTTGGACCGCATTCGGTCTTCTCAATGACCGACTCCCAAGAAGCCTTTTCGTAGTTTGAGTCGTCCGCCAAGGTGGTAGCTTCGACAGAAATGTGAGGAGCATGGTTACCGTTGAAGAAAGCGGTATCGATCTCGCATCCAATCAAAGTTGCGCTGGCAACACCCATTCTAAAGACGACCCAGTCGGCCTCGTCGGTGTTGTGACGTCTGGTCTCCCATCCGTCGTACCAGGCACCGGCGTAAGTGAACCGAGTAGCGTCTCTAATTGGAGCCTTTGGCTTGATGAGGTTCTCGGCAGCAGCAAACCATTCGTCAGAAAATGCCAGCACTTTCCCTCCAAGCTTTTCGCCAATAACGTCTGTGTATCTGTTGACCACTTCCTCTTGGAATTCGGCCTCGCTTAACTTGCTAACCATTGTATAATTACGAAAATTAGGATCCAGTTTTCTTTATATAACACTCGTTCGGGATTCTCCGGTGGCTGTGTGCGATACACGACAATAATACCCGTTCTGGAAGAGTTATCGATAGTGGACGGTGACCCGAGATCATCATGTGTCGTCATTCTCTAGACTAAATTCGTATTTTCTTGTTTGTGGAGCCTCGTCCAGATTACGGCTCGTGTGCAGGTCGCGTTCGATATAGGTGACTTGACCATTTTTGTTTAGCATGATGATGGTATGGGTTCGCGTGCCGTAGTAATCGTTTGCGGCGTCTGACCACACCGGCGGGATAAAGATGCTGTTGGGAAGCAAGTCAAACGCATCGTTGTATGACATGTCTTTCCATTTCTCGCGCTCCGGAATAGCTGTAGATAAAATAGCAAACAGCTGTTCGATGAGCTGTTCCTGGGACCAGTTCTCATCCACCGAGGATTTCACGCATTTTTCGAGCAATTCGGTACCAACATGCACTTTGGGCCACGGCTCGTGGTATTTGGAGTTGGACATGCCGATCGTTTTGTATGTATTGAATGCAGATTCGCAGGCGTTGGACCGATTCGAAAATATTCGCAATGGTTGTGCGCCGTTTGTGGACCGATCCACGTTCACTTTGCCAAATAACAACGAAAAGCCTCCAATGTCTTGCAGGGTCTCTGTTTGTGAACCGATCTCGTGCTCCCATTTTTCTGGGGCCAAGTCTGATTGGAGAAATTCGATCGGAATGGCTCCTCTTGATATCTTTCCCACGCAATCTCCCAGTTTTGGTTCTCTGTAGTTGAGTAGAACTGCGATTTTCCCGTTCTTGTTGATTCCAATCCAAGTTCCGTGTTCCTGTCTTGCGAGATCTTTTGGATATAACAACGACGGATTGTCTTGGTGAAACGCGGCATGCTGGGTCTTTCTGCTGAAATACTCGTCTCTATTTGAGATCAATATCAACGGATAATCAGGATGCAAAACAGAACTCAATAGTATACACATTGTTAAAACAAATGGTGCCCAAATATTTAAAGAAAAAGATTGTAAACGACATTTTTTCTGTAATATATGCGGGGGAGACAAGCACGGCACAAAACACTAATCAGAGGAGTATTTCAAGTGTATCTTAAATTCACGGCGTTATGACTGTTCTATCTTATCAAAAACGTCTGAAACAAATGTTGTTTTCAGTAAAACCCTTAAAATGACTCACGCCGTTGATCTGCTTTATCGATCGGCTCATAGATATGCCGCACGGATTTTGTAAAAAAAATGTTCATATAAATACTCAGGAGCATTTATCATCCAACACATAATAATGTTTGGACATAAACTAAAGGAGCAATTCCTCCTAGGGGCAGAGAACAACACCGTAAATCATGGATCGTACGGAGCCGTTCCCAAACCAGTTTGGGAGAAGTACAAGGAGTTCATGTTGCAGGATCTCACGTTCCCAGATCAGTTCACTATCCAGGAGCAGCAAGCAGCGATGGTGAAGTCACTGAAAGTGATAGCCGAATTTGTGAACACGAGTTTCGAGAATCTGGCTTTTGTTCCGAACGCCACTACCGGTGTGGGTGCCACCTTGAGATCTCTTCCTTTGACAAAAGAAGATAAATTATTGTTTCCGTCCACCATCTACGAAGCGTGCAAGAACAACATCGAGTATTTGGCCGAAAAGATTGGTTTTGAAACCACGGTTATAGAGCTAAACTACCCAATGGAAGACCAGGAAGTTCTGGACTTGTACGAGGCAGAGCTCAAGACAGGACAGTACAGGTACTGCTATTTCGACGCGGTCACTTCTATGCCTGGTGTGCGTGTGCCGTTTGAGAAACTGGTTGCTATGAGTCGCCAATATGGTGCCCTTAGTATTGTTGATGGTGCACATTCCGTTGGACTGATCGATCTCGACTTGGATGCGATCAAGCCGGACTTCTTCACCTCCAATCTTCACAAGTGGCTCTTTTTGCCTAGAGCAGCTGCCATTTTGTATGTCGATCCAAAACATCAGAGTTTCGTCCAGCCGTTGCCATTGAGTCACGCTTACAAGGGCAAGAAGTTTTACGAGAGATTCCTATTTGTGGCAAGCAACAACTACTCGTCCTACCTGTGTGTCGAAGAGGCCATCAAGTTTAGAAAAGAAGTTTGTGGAGGAGAAGAAAAGATCCACGAATACTGTAAGAAACTCGCAGACGAGGTATTGAACTTACTTGGAAAGGATGATCCGTTTGAAAACTCAACAAAAACTCTCTCAACGGCTATGGTGAATATCAAGATTCCTATTTCCGAAGAACTTTTGGCCCATATTAAAGAAAATTATGTGTATTTCAGAACGTTCATTGCGGATAACATGTTTGCCGAGAACAGTTACGTTCCGCCAAGTGTTACCAAGACTGATCTGTTTGTGAGATACAGTTGTCAAGTTTACAACGAGCTTGAGGATTTCAAAAAAGCTCACGAATTGTTCCTTAAAATCATGAACAAGTATGAACAGTCTGTGGCTACCAAATGATACGTTGCAAGTCTGGAAGATCTTCCCATTGGAAGACGTAATTGAAATAGACATCAAACAATGATTTCGAAAACCAGTAATTCCAGACAGACTCCAGAGCGAGTCTCAGGGCCGAGTAGCTTTGTTCTGGTTGCACTTGCAGTCTCCAATACGCAAGCGGCACTATGAAGTAACGTGGCTCAAACAGAGGAGATGGGGCAATTGTCAACACCACAGATGCCAGGAAGGCCAGGTAGAGCACTTTCGAGTTGTTTTTGGTGAACAGTTTGTAGACGGTGTACGAGGCAAAATGATAAACTGGAATAAGAAAGAATCTCGAGTACTCTGTTCTGAAGAGGATCTTTCTCACAATGTAGAAGGTATAGTGTCTGTTGTCTGCAAGGATGAACGGATGAACAAACGAGAAGTTCTGAACAATGAAGAAGATCAAGAAAAACCAGAACGCGTTGAGCACGAGGTATTTTCTTGCAACCAACGACTGGACGTAGCCATCGATGAATTTCGGCGAGAGCCAGAGGGGAATCGAGAAACATGTGAGGAAAGTAAAGCAGTAGAACACCTGGGTCAGGTGTGGCACCACAACGTGGTTGGCAGAGTCTCCGAGGGTGATGCCACCATTTTGAATGACAAAATTGGCAAAGGCCAAAAACACCATTAGGAACGGCGACACAATACCCCAGCTGGTCAATGCTTTCCTGACAAACACAAAGATATCCTGTGTGAGAACATCTTTGTACTGGTTTTTGGCCAATTTGTCAATCATGACGGCGAGTGCAAATGCTAGCCAAATAATGTTAGTCTGACGGAAGAACAAACTTGCAAAGCCGAAAAGCGAGGCACTGGTGGCTGTCAACAGACTAGGCTCGAAAGAAGATGAAATCACAAACGATTGAAGCACCAGCACCAAAGACCATATATCTGTGTAGAAAAGCGTGTAATAAATGGTCAACAATGGAGACGAAAATAGTGAAAGAATACCAACACCACGGTTACTCCGTCTTTTGACAAAGTACGTTGTGAGAAGCAAAACCGCCCCGCCCACAAGATTGAGCAATCTCAAATTCTCAAGTGTGAATTCCAATCCCGTAGCTTTCAACCATCCGTATGCCAAATAGTAAAGTCCCGGGGGCGTGGTGATCTTCGGATCCCAAACATGGAAGTTACCGTTCCAGAACTCTTCTGCCTGGTTCACGTGAAATATTTCGTCAATGAAAGAATAATTGACAACCTCGTTGGCCTTGTCGAAGTATTTCTTGAAATACGACAGTCCAAGCACCCCTTCTGCAACGTCCGGAAGATAGTCCATGGCTAATACTCGGATTAAAATATACTTGCACAGCCCCAATATTATAGCTTTTCATTCACTAGTATGGAGTAACCTTTGAGATGTTGATTTCGTGTTTGCTCTTTCTATTTGTCGTTCCGTGCTTGGCCGATTGGCAGCAGATGTCGTCCACGAGGGCTATTGCTCTGAGAGCGCAAAGAGACGTGATGAAAAATACAACGATACTAAATTCAGCAGTGTTTGGGGTGAATTTAAACACGGTCCTGTTTAACAACTACGGTTACAACGCGACCTCGCTCGATTACATGGAGTCCTTGATGGATGTGGGTGCTCAGGCGTTTGAACTCAATTTGTACTATAACGAGGATCTCGGAGACTGGGGCTTGGCAGATTTCACTTCCAATGAAGCCAGTTTTGGGTTCAATGGAACGAGCGATTTCAACATCACAAGACTACTTACCCGCATAAATCAGTTCACCTCAATTACAGAGACAAATCTCAACGCAAATATCATGTTCTTGTTGCTGAATCTCTATTCCACCTCGAGTTCCGACGAAAACCATAAAACCGGCGAGACTGGGCTCGCAACAACATTCAGCAATCTCATGTACGCGGCCAATCCTTACTACTACAAAACTTTGGAAAACATCACTCTCAACTACTACTTATTTGGGGACCAACTTCGAATCATTCCAGTGATTATGTCAAACAATTTAGGTCACAACGCTTCATATGACCTAAGCAACGATCTCAATCTTTTCTACGAAGCAAACAAGACAATCCCCATCAAGATGTCCGAGTCACAAGATACCGAGTGTGTGGAGCCATCATCGTTCCAATTTGCATATGATACCGAGCAACACCCTTATAATAACGAGTCTTTCAGATCCGATCTGGTTTGTGGATATTCAGCCATCATTACACAACCTCTCGCAGATATTTCAGACATTTCATTGCTTCTTCCTTATACATACTGGTCATGGGAAGCTTCTGAGCCAAACTCCACTATTTCAAACTCTCATCACCAGCAAAACACAAATGACACTACAGAAGCCAGAGATGACGATTACCTTAATAGATGTGCTATTTCAACACCTAATGGGTGGAAGGCTGTTTCCTGTGAGCTCAAATTACCGGTTGCATGCTCATTACAAGGCAATAGAACACATTTCAGATTAACAGATGACAAATACTCGTATTTTGAGGCTGACGATGCGTGTGCTGGTATGGACGAAGGAAATTATTTCTTCCCTGTTCCTTCTACACCATACGAGCAATTGAGTCTGTCGCAAATACTGCCTTCGGATACACACGGGGTATGGATTAATCTGAACTCTCTTTCGAGCTCAAACTGCTGGGTCTATGGTGGCCCAAACGCTCTTTGTCCTTATCAACATATTGTTTCTCGGCGCATTTTCAAAGAGATGATCAGTCCTGCATCGGTGATTGCGCTTGTTTTGTTCTGTCTGATTGTTCTTGTTCAAGTAGACAGATTGCCTGTGCATAGAAACCGGAAGCATTGGCGACGGGTGCTCAAACGAAAGCTACAAAACGAGTTTGAAGGAATTCCTTCTTAAAACTTTAGAAAACATGTGAGTGCTACTTAATTGTACAGATTGCGTTGCGCAGTGACTTTGAGCATAGATCAGTCACCTAATTTTCTCAAAGCTGCTGTCGACACCTTCCTCCAGTTCAATGAGCTCGCTACCAAACAGACCTTTGTCGTATTCTCCATTTGTTAGATCGTATTTGGAGTTCCAAATCGAATAAATTCGGACAGACTGGTCGCTGATGGCTGTGCAGATCGATTTAGAGTCGTGCGAAGGAACAGCACTGAGAACTCTGATGTTTGAGTTAGACGTGAGTTTGACTTGCAGTTTCATGGATGGATACGAGTAAACAGAAATGAGAACCGGATTTTCTGTGTTGTCTCCAAATCCAAATGTGGCCAGGATTTCTTTCCTAGACTTGGACCAGATCAGAGATGTGATCTGACCTCGTGTTGGGATCTTGTCGAGCAACGTTCCTGTGTTTGTGTGCCAGAATCGGATGGTACGGTCTTTTGACCCGCCCCCTGTTGCTAATAGATGAGGCATCCATGGACAATAAGCTATGGCTTTCACTGCAGCTTGGTGAGGAAGACAAAACTTGAGAGTCGGTCTTTGCAGATCAGAAATGTCCCAGATCGTGCAGCAGTTGTCGTTTCCGCCAACAGTCACTTGTTTCCGGTCAGGACTTATATCGATTCCACATATCTGTTGTTCGTTGCATCTGAAAAAGCAAGCCACATTGAGCTTGAAATTCCCAGATTCGTTGGCCTCTGTCAGTTCGTAAAGAGTCACGTCTCCCAAATCATCACCAGCGAAAAAGGACTTGGTTCCTTTGATCCAAGATATACAGCAGATCCCAGAACTTGGTCTCAAGATGGAAGTTGTATTAATGGTTCTTGAATTTTCAGAATAGATCATCAGTCTTCCTGTTTTAGTACCGACTGCTAGAATATCGTCATGACTATACGAGACACAAGAAATAGTTTCTTCCATGGTTTGCAACGGAGTGGTTCCAGACTTGTTGTTCCATGTGTAAACTACACTTCCGAGCCCCACTGCTATTCTATCGCTCTTTTTTCCCCAAGAAACAACGTTGGCATAGAAGTCGTTTCGGAGCCCTGGAGCGTCAAGGACTTTGAACTTGACTTCGGTCTTCACCTTCTCTTTGGCAGATGCTCCCAAGCTGGACGGACTCGTTATTGTCGGGGAGTTGAAATCTGTTGGTGCAGGCTGTTTGTTTTCAATCATGTCTGCCATCATCTTTCTTCTTGGGGACGAGCTTTTGGACGGCCTAAAGTTCAAGATCCGCGATCTGATTTTGAAACCAAGTGCTTTGGCCACGCTCACCTTGTGAGAACTGGCATCTTCTCGTTGAGTTGATTCTATCTCTGGTTCCTCGGCTAGCGACATGTCGTCAAACCGGTTTGTCAGATCGTCCTCGACCATGGCTCTTGACTGTCTAACAGAAGTGTCGTAGTTCGATCTGATTAGGAAATTATCGTCCCTGATCAAAAACGGGTTGTCAAAGAACCCGGTCTCGCCAGTTATAGGACTGCTGATTTCTCCGGCTTTGGGCTGGAAGCCAGAGGATTTCGTCACAAAAGTACGATAATACCCCTGATTTCCGTTATCTTCCAGCGTGGAAATAAATCTATCGGTTATGCTGTCGTAATTCAAGTCGTTTTTGGTCGTGTAGTTGTGGCTTCTGTGCGATTTTTGTGATCCATATCTGCTCGTTTGTCTATAGCTCATTATCTGTAAGGCTTGGTGATTAGGCAACAAAGCAACTAGCAAAGCAAGTGTTGAGAAGCAAATAAGAGTGAAAAGCAACGGTCTATGAAAAGCAAAGACTTGTTGAGAGGACGTAATTTTACCAACTAGCGTTAACGTTTTAATAAATAAGCGAGCGTAAAAAACTTCTGGCAGTGCAGATCTCGGTTGCCAAATTTGGAAATCTCGTGGGGTAATCAGACACTAAAGCTCTCGGCGTGGAACTGGAACCCGCAGTCGTTTGCCCATAGTCGGACCTTGTTGACCAGTCCAGTAGGGCCAGCACCCACGACAAGCGTTGTTTCGTCTAGTTTGCCGCCCCGTTTTTGGAACCGTTCTGTTCTGTTTCTCATGAATTGCTCGTTGAGGAACAGGTCGTCTTGAGGATTGGATCCCAGCATTTGGCCGTTGGATTTTTTGTACTGCAGCGTCTGTTGTTTATTTTCAAGTGTGACCTCGTTACAGCAAACAGATTCTCCGCTTTTCAAATCAACAAGTGGGCCTATGCATGACGATCCAATGCACCAGTTGTAGTAATAAAGTCCTAGTCTAGGACGGCCAAACTCGATCCGACATGGAAGTCCCTTGAGGATCCAGTAGTCAGCTAGATCGTCGTATATTCCCGAAGACAAGGTCTGTGAGACGTTTGACGGAGTTCTTTGTTCGGGAACGGCTTTAGGTATATCCAAAATTCCGGAAAAAAGTGAGTATTTGCGGGCGGTTGTAGACTGGGGACTCCGACACTTTCCTTCGAGATCCAAATCAACGTTTTCGAACTTGTCCTCGTCTTCTGCATTATATCCCGACTTCGTGTCTTCGTAGTGGTTTTTGATAGGGATGTATCCGATTTTGCTGTTGAGAGTCATATGTTCTTGCTCCCATTCTGGAGTGTCGCTGGAAGTAGCACTGTAGGAGGTTTTTGGCTGGAACAACGGAGATTTCTCGTGGTAATTCGGAGGATAGCTGCCGCTTAGCATCTGTTCTTGGTTTATGAGCTCAGATTGTCTGTTGAAACGATGCAGTTCGCGAACAGCACGTTTAAAGTTGAAAATTTCCTCGCCTGTGTATTTTCCAGTGATAAAGATATCGATACAATCGTCGTTGACAAGGATATTTTGATAAAAGTCGAGCACTTTCAGATCCTCGTGGTCCTTCAGAACCCAAATGATCTTCACGACCACTCCGTTATAACTCAATGTTCTCAGTATCGGTAGGGCAAAGCTAATTGCAGATCCACCAACAACAATCAGACACTTTTTAACGTCGGTATTGAACAGTAGCGACCGTGGGTTCAGACTTTTCACCGGTTTCATGAAGTTGAGGTATGGCAAGTATGCTCCGGTGATAATGTACTTTTTACCAGGACAGATATCGAATTTCCCCTTACGGACAATAAGTTGTTGTTCCTGGTCGATTGGCAAAGTTGAAATGGTATATGGATGTTGCACTGGGGCAAACACAACTCTCCAAAGCTGTTTGAAAAAATTGGATTCCTCATACTCAATCATGCGGAGATGGCAGCCTGGAATAAACGATTTGGAGGCAATTGCCGAGTTGGGGACGGTCACCAGCAAAAGATTCGAAGACAATTGGGCAACGTCCACAGTGGAAATTATGGATATTTTGTATCTGTAATAGATCTGGTAGAGTAATATTGCAACGTTCAGAGTGGTCAAATATGGTATGGAAGGTCTCACATGGACATAGAGTGTGAGAACAGAGATCCAGGTGCAGATATAGTGGAATGCAAAGAATAAGTTGTACAACTTGCGTCTGATCTTTGGCAGAGACGTGAGGAAGATCAGCACGAAGGCAATCAAGGCATAGATGCCGTAAAGGTTGTCTCTTTTCCATATTTTTGGGATCGTGTCACGTTTTACGAAAATCCACACGTACAGTGCCGTGTGTGCTATGCATTGAAAAATGATAATTCTCGAAAGCCATTTGTGAATTGGTAGCAGAGACAGATACAGGGTATCAGGAAGGGGTGATGGCCGGAGAGTGAGGAATAATATCGTCGGCAGACAGTATGTGGCGACTCTTCCAAGCCTTGCGGCTAAAAATTGGATATCGGAATGAAGTTCAAGCCCCGATAAAACTGTGAGCACAAATAACCAGAACATAATACATTTGATCACCTCTAGGTTCAATGTTAGGTAGTTGCTTCGGAAACGCAGACTTTTGAACCTCGAGACGATTCGACTGTATATTCCAAAAATGATCGGTTTCGAAATGCGGCTCCAGTAAGGAATAAGCAAAAGCACCACCACAGTTGTGATAAAAGTGATATACCCATACTTTACAGTTGTCGCAAGTCTCAGTGCCTTTGTCTGGTCAGAGACCTCTTTTGATGGAAGTCGTGGGACCCATTCCCACATGATAGGATAGTTGATAATGCAATTGTCCAATGACACGAAAAGAATTAATAATTTGATCGAAGGTTTGAATCAGGTCCAAAACATATATAATCTAATCGATCACCGATAATGGCGACCTCTGTGCACCAGACGGCTAAATAATTCGGCTCGGCAAATTCTCAATTTCGGAGGTGGTGTATCACGTGATTATTTCTAGGTCTTTGAGGTCCTACGGGACAGGATATTTTTTCCCCGTCAGAAATTGGCAGACGATTTTCCAGAGCCTCCTCGCACCAACCCTGGCCCGCCATGAAATTTTTCGCGTGGTGGCCACCGCGAACAGCGCCTGGTGGTTGGGCCGCGCAGAGACTGGGCAGTCGCCGTGGTGGTGAATTTTTCATTTCGAAAAATTTTTTAAAACTAGACCTGTATCAACAGTTAGTTAAACCAATACCTGTTCAAGATGGCTGATTTTTCTCTCACTCAGGAGGATCTGCAATTGTTGATTGCTGCCAACGCCCACTTGGGCTCCAAGAACACTAACGTTCACAACACCTCATACATTTTCAAGACCAGACCAGATGGTGTTAACATTATCAACGTTAACAAGACCTGGGAGAAGATTGTCTTGGCTGCAAGAATCATTGCTGCTATTCCAAACCCAGCTGACGTTGTTGCCGTTTCTTCGAGAATCTACGGTCAGAGAGCTGTCTTGAAGTTTGCTTCTCACACCGGTGCTACTGCCATTGCTGGTAGATTCACTCCAGGTTCGTTCACCAACTACATCACCAGATCTTTCAAAGAGCCAAGATTAATCATCGTGACAGACCCAAGAACCGATGCTCAAGCTATCAAAGAATCTTCTTACGTCAACATCCCAGTGATCGCTTTGGTCGACTGCGACTCTCCAGCTGAGTACATCGATGTTGCTATTCCATGTAACAACAAGGGAAAGCACTCCACTGGTTTGATCTGGTGGTTGCTCGCTAGAGAAGTCTTGAGACTCAGAGGTACCCTTTTGAACAGAGAAGAGCCATGGGCTGTTATGCCAGATCTGTACTTCTACAGAGACCCTGAAGAGCCAACACAGGAGGCCAAGAACGAGGAGGGTGCCGACCTTGACGAGGCTGCTGCTGAAACCGGAGAGGCTGAGTGGACTGCTGAGCCAACTAACGCTGACTGGGCTCAGTCTTCCTCTGCTGCTGATTGGGCTGCTGAGGGTGCTGAGCAGACCGAGAACACTGAGTCGTGGTGATTTTAGATACTGCTTTGTCTCTATCTGTTAGTAGAAAAATTCAAGTCAAGTAATACATACATTTGTCAATCTTGCGCCAGCAGCTGCGTAAGGGGAGTTGTAATTTTTTGGTATATTTTTTTTATATACCGTTGTTTATGCCAAGCCGCTTATCATAACTGGTGTTGTTGAGAGTTGACTATTATATCGGGTGGTGTGGTTTCCATTGTCCTGATCGTATTTGAATCTGTTTTTGTCGCGACTCAATAGACAGCACTAGCCAATGCAGAAACCAATTACCTCCATTTTCTGGCCCACAGATCTTCTCAAACCAAAACCCCTCGACAACTTGGTTGTTGTCGGTTACAAAGTGGACGAGAAGGTGGTGGTGATCGATTTTGTTCAGTACTCAAAATTCAGAAAACTCAATCTCAAGTCCAACAAGCCAAACCTGTGTTTGGAAATCATTGGCACTGTCAACTTCCACCACATGAACTATCGAATGTTCAAGTTTGACACAAAGTTTGGAAAACCCGTCATGGAACAAAACGAGAACCTGATTTTGTTCAAGCCGCCGTTGTCGAGGAAACTCGAATACTACTCGATAAAACACATTGCCGTGAACATCTTTTGGACTGAGCCTGTTCTTGACACAATTCCCGACCCAGAAAACACGTGCACGCGTCTATGTTTGCATTTCGACAGTCGACCAAAACTCACAAACCTCAAGGAAGTGATAAAGTTCATCAATCTTACCGAGTACTCAAGATATAAACTACTACACTCAGGCAGCAACAGTAGACCTCTATATTCAAAATTGCTAGGTTCACTGCTCAATTGGATAGGTTCTGTGGTGCTCGCAACATACCAGACCACCATAGTGCCCTTGTGTGGTCTCCTAATATTCATCCTCAACTACCCATTATGGCAGCATTCAGACCCAGAAAGAACCATCACTCTTAGCTCCTCGAGCTTTTTGTTCCACCAACTTAATTTTCGGCTCAAACAGTTTCAATATCTCCCGTGTCAGTTTCTCAAGCTGCGAAATTCGATGCTCGAAACAGAAGACCTCATTATCAAGGGAACGAAATTCTCGCCTGGAGCATATATCAAACTCTACAACACGCTGTGGCTAATTTTAAACGATCTGCTACTTGGAATAATAACGTCAACTTTACTATCCAAATACCACGACCAACTGCATATTGGAATCAACAGCACAATCATTGGATTTGAAAGCTTTCTGGTCAATTTGATCCATTGGTTGATGAACTCTCCAGCAGGTTTCAAACTGAATAACGAACTCGCAGAGTTTTTTGGTGAACTAATCATGTGGGTGCTTGACTTTTGGAACGAGTTTGTGCTCCAATACTTTACCAGAAACTCTTCAACTGTTCTGAAGCTTGTCACAGTGCTCACCAGATTTGGAGGGTTCAATCTTCTGATTGCCACAATCCTTGATTGTTTGAGCATAGTCACTTTCCACCTGCATTGTTTCTACTTCTCGTCTACAAGAGTCTTCAATTGGCAATCGCATATCTTACGCTCTTTGTTCAGACTGTTCTACGGCAAGAAATACAACATCCTCAGAAATAGAATAGACTCCAACAATTACGAATTTGACCAGCTTCTTTTCGGGATCATCATATTCACCCTGTTGGTGTATCTGCTACCAACCGTGGTTGCGTTCTATTTAAGTTTTGTTTCCGGAAGAATAGTCGGGATGTTGATCACCACGGCTCTGGAGTTTGTGCTTGTCACGCTCAATCACCTTCCGATAGTGGCTCTTTTGCTCAAAGCAAAGCATAAAGAACGACTTCCGGGGGGGATTGTCTTCGAATACGAATCCAACGGAAGCGATGCATTCTGCTTCAAACTAATGGCCAGACCTTTGAGCCTGAAGGAGATATTCAACAGTCATATCAAGTCGATGCTGAACTTCAACCTAATTAATTTACAAGAGTCCCAAGGATACCGTACCAAGCTGGGTCTTGCAGACGTTCTGGATCAATGGGGTCGCGTGTCTCCTATCAAAATTGCACGCAAAATCGTCTTGGGAGAGGTTTTTGGAAGCTTTGACTACAAAAAACTGTTCTAATGTATAATAACACCGAGTTCCTATCGATTAATAAGCCAATATGTACAGTAATTCTATTTCTTCTTCTTTGCGTCGGCGGGACCTTTCTGTTTGGTTGGAGCACCTTTACCTCTCTTTCTAAGCATGTTAACTCTTCTCTGTCTGTAGTCTTCCTTCTCGATCACAAGTCTAAAGTCGTCCGATTTCCATAGTTTGGCGATTTGGAACGGAGTTGGGAAGTCGGCTGGTCCATAGTAGTTGGATATAATTTGTCCTTTAAGAGGCTTTCTCAGTATGTGGGCCTCTGTTCTGAGTTGTTGTGGATTGTATGTTGTTCTGAAAATATTGCACTGCAACTTTGCCAACTGTTTGAGTTTCGGAGTCTTCGACAAAGGCACGATCCGATTCGACATGATGAACGTTTTTCCCGAAGAGACTTATTTTTTTAATTTTTCATCACCTAATTACACCCGCCACCATTACTGGTTAGAATAATTTGGCGATCAATCTTTACCGTGTTGCTGATTCATGGAACATGCTAACATCTTAGGTCAATTGACAGCCGTCACCAACGATCTTGACCAATTTGTTCCGCTGGGAGTTTTGTTTCTGTATGACCGGCCCAGCTTGGTCACATACGGTCTAACTGCTCCAGACGGGTGGTCTTGGCTGGAGCTGCCTTATCAGGGGGACGTTGAGTTGTTTCCCGGTGTATGGCTCAGTCCGTTGCTAAACGATTTGAAATATCTGAACTATAGAGGCCACTTGCGGGTCACCTACTTAACTCTTCGGTCGACTGTCACTATCTTAAGAGTGTACGTTCTTCCCCAGGACAATGAACAGAGCGACTTGATCGAGCATTTCCGCACGAATTTCGTTGGAGCTAGGCGGGTTGCCACATGGCACGAGAAACAGTACAACAAGATCATGACCAATCTGATTAGAACACTGGATTATAGCGAGTCTGCGTGGAATATCAAGTCAGATCGGGATTTCGTAGCTCATGTCAGATCACACCAAGTTTTGTTGTTTAGTTCAATGAGTCGCCAGAAACCAGCCGGATTCAACAAACTGGGCTCCTCCCTCATTCAAGAATCTATCCATTACCATATCAAGAGACTACTGAACCGAGATTCGTATACAAAGCATCAAGAGCACTCGGTGAGTAATGATCCCGAAGCGAGACTTATAAGTATCTACAGCGGCTTAAACTCACCGAAAGTTGCATACGATCGCATGGAACACGATCATAGAGAATTGATTAACGACATTCTGTTAGGGAAAATACCGGGAATGAAGAGCGAGCTGTACAACTACCAAAGACGAAGTGTTGCAAAAATGCTCGAGAAAGAACTTGTTGTGAAACCAGTTCTTGCACCTGATCTGCTTGAATTCAGCAGAAATGGCAGAACATACTATCTTAGCTTGAAGGACTTTGTGTTCACGAACAAGCCAAGTCTTTACTCGACCCCTAGAGGTGGCATCTTGGCCGAGGAAATGGGATTGGGAAAGACATGTATCTGTTTAGCACTTATATGTGTTTCCAAGTACCAGGTTTCCGAGATCCCAGACAGACAGCTCTCGTTTTCGCGAAGCAGACGTGTTCGCAGTTTGCTAGAGACCTGTGCGCGGTTCATCAATCAGAACTCGATTGAATGGAAGCAGTATTACAACGAGCTACCACAAACCTGTGTGCGAAAACTAGAGGAGAATCTCGGCAGCTTTGAGGTTTCTGAGTTCAAAATCCCCAACTACACTACTCGGTTCAATCAGCTGGCTACCATGGAAACCACTCAGCTGTATCTCTCGTCGTGCAGTCTCATTGTCGTTCCTGATAACCTGTTTCATCAATGGAAAATAGAGATACGGAAACATGTCCAGGACAATTATTTGAAGATTCTAGAGATCCATGGACAGGCTGAGCTGCCAAAAAGTGTTCATGAGATTGTCCGCTACGACATACTACTGGTCTCTCTCAACTATTTCTCCAGACAGGCAGAAAAACAGGACTCGATCTTAAGATCAGTCTACTGGAAGCGACTAATCATTGACGAAGGACACTCGATGAACTCCAAGTCCACACGGGCCGTGCTTCTTGCTAAGCAGCTGGCCGTCGAGCGCAAGTGGACAATAACAGGAACACCCACGTCGGGTCTTACAAATTTACATGTTGAGGAAAAGGAAGTAGAGTACACGGTCAAGAGGAAATTTAGTGCGCGGGACGACCTGGTCAAGCTAGGGGCCGTGGTTTCGAATTTCCTGAAAGTGAGGCCGTGGAGTGATGATAGCAAGCTTTGGTTGAATACGGTTATCAAGCCATTTGAGGGAAATAGTGTGAACGGAGACCATCAATTAAGACGGATTCTGCAGGATCTACTCGTTAGGCACTCCGAAAAAGACGTGGAGGTGGACATTAAGCTTCCAAAGCTTGTGCATCAGCCGGTTTTCCTCAAACCTTCGTTTTTCGACAAGTTGTCGATCAACCTATTTATTGCTGTCCTTGCAACCAACGCAGTCACATCCGAGAGAACAGATAAAGACTACATGTTTCACCCGTCAAACAAGACTGTTTTGCGTCGGCTGGTGAACAACTTGCAAAAAGCCACGTTCTACTGGACCGGGTTTTCTATTCAGGACATTGAGAATCTGCTAAGTATTTGCAACTATGCCAAAGAGTCCAAGAACCCAAACTACTCCGATAACGATATCAAGCTTCTAGACAACTCTGTGTACACTGCTAAGGTTGCGCTGAGCAATTCTCGCTGGCGTACAAGCTGTAGTGTTCACGAGATGAGCTACTTCATAGCCAACTTGCCCCAGATGTTCCATAAAAGCATGTCGGTTGCAAACTACGAGCACCAGCTGGACGATTTCCGCAACCCTGTTGGTGTTTACGGCTATCCGCAACTGAACTCGATCCAGAAGCTGTTTTATAAGAACAGACTGGTTAGCAATGAAGTCGATTTCCAAACGAAGCTAGACGAAACGTCCAAACAGTTTTGGATCCGGTACTGGAACTCTAACGATTCAAGAGAAATTCGGAAAAAAGCGCCAACCAGAGTCTCTAATCAGGACAGCATTGATCTCGAGAGCGTCAAGCTGATCAACAACGAGCCCAAATGGAAAGACGACTTTGATCCTGCCAAGGAGGAAAGAAAGATTCTGTCGTCGTCTCTGAAACGAAGCTCGAGACCCGCCCAGGAATACTTGATGCGGTCGCCAACCAAAAGAATCAAGTTCATTCCATCAGGAAGGTCTGTTTCTATGACTCCCGACCCGATCATTCCTGCCGGCAACTTTGCTTCCAACCTGAGACAGGCCCATATTCTTGGGACTGCTTCCGTGAAGTTGTCGTACTTGACGTCGCGTTTGCTGGAAAACCAGTTTCTGGGCATCAAATCGCTGGTGTTCTACGAGTTCGAAAACAGTGCGTACTATCTCACAGAGCTGCTCGATCTATTAGGAATGAATTATATGATGTATTCGACATACGTCAAGATTGCAGAGCGATCCAACAACCTGACGAAATTCGATCTTTGGGACACGTCCACGAAGGGCGGCATTGCGCTGGTGATGGATGTCAAGCTCGCGTCTCATGGCCTCACCATCATCTCTGCGACCAACGTGTTTTTCATCAACCCGATCTGGAACAAAACCATGGAAGCACAGGCCATCAAACGGTCGCACAGAATCGGCCAGACCAAAGAGGTGCATGTGGAGACGCTCATTCTGGATAACACCATCGAGAAAGAGATGTACCAGAAAAGAAGTCAGGATAAGGACGAGGAGGGGAAGGAACTGATTGATAATTCGGGAATGCAGGAGTATATTATGCGATTTGAGTTCTTGAAGCTGTTTGAACAGTTTGACCAGGAATATGAACCTGTGCGCTCCAAAACCACGATGAAGATGGATCTGGGAAACGAAATAGACGAGTTCGACGACGGTGTTCGGCTGCCTGGAGTGCAAAGTTCGGTCTTGCACAAAACTCGAACATGGAAGCTACCTTTGTTCACAGAACAAAGCTTGCTCAGAACCACCGAGAACGAGTCCAAGTTGAAGGACGAGATGATCGACATTTTCAAGACCGAGTTCGAAACCAGTGAAGAAAAAACGGACTCGGTCAAGCTGTTCAGTAAGCTCAAAGTCCGGAGAAGAAGTGTTCGGTTCGGATGAATTAGAACGAGCGCAGAATCAAAGATCCGTCTATGGATCCGCTCACAAGCCGTCCACTGTTGCTGTCAACATCCAAGACCGCTCCAATATGGCCGTCAAGTCTGCTCACCACACGTCGACTGGCAAATTCCCAGACATACACGTGAGCGTCGTTGGATCCACTGATAACGTACTCTTTGCCGTCCAGTTTCTTCACGATCTGGCTGCGTATCAGGAAATCCTCGTTCGACGAGCGCGACCCATCGAAAATGTACGGTCTTGCGCGTTTTCCCTTGCTCGACAATCTGGCATCATAGTATTTAATTGTATTATCCACAGATCTTGAAAGCAGATAAGAATCGTCTGGCGAAAGACTCAAAGATGTGACATTATTTGTGTGGTTGGTTTCTTCCCAGCAAAGCTCGTTGCGTTTTCTGGCGTCGTAGGCCATCACTGACGGGTTGATTCCGGCGAAGTAGAATCTGTAGTCTTTTTTGGCTATAGCACACGATAGCACAGGGTATTTGCTTGAGATTGTGTCCAGCTCGAATCTGGAGCGGAAGTCCCACAACTTGACCGCGCCATCGTCCGAACAGGTAACCAATGTGTCGCTTGACGAGTTCGAAAGGTCGTTTATGCACGACTTGTGGTGGAATGTCTTGACTTTACGGTTCTTGACAATGTCGAATATACTAGCTGTGGAGTCTGCGGACGCCACAAACAAATGGTTTTCGTTGGTTTGTGACCATCTGATACTTGTGATAGCGGACTTGGTAATATTTGTGACGTTGAACTCGAACTGGAGCTCTTCTTTGATATCCTGGGGAGACTCGGGGACCCTCCATATGCACAGGTTACGATCGACTCCACCCGATGCCAGCAAAGATCCGTCGTCATTAAACCTATTTGACAATATTGGGCCCTTGTGGCCAGTCAATCGCAGCACAAAGGGGTCTGTGTTGCCCTGGTGTACAACAAGAGACATTTATCTAGGGACAGAGAAAAAAATGGTATATATCTAATTAATCGACGCGACGAATTTTAAGAACTGGCTCGTTACGCAGCCCTGAGACGCGACGCCCCACCAGCGTAACTTTTTTATTGGGCAATTTAAAGTGTCTAGCTTTAATTATCCACTTAGAATATGCTTTCAAGAACCGTTGCCATTGCCACCAGATCCAACAGATCCATTGTGACCAGATTCTACAGCAGTGAAGGATCCACTGGGTCCACCCGTTCTGACGGATCTTCCGACGCTTTCACCGTAAGTTTTTGTGGCTAACCAGGCCAGTTGCGTGATTGTACTAACCACTAATTAGAAACGTGAAAAGGCCCAGGAAGACTACTACATCAAGAAACACCAGGCCGAGCAGATTGCAAAGTTGAAGGAGCAATTGGCCAAGCAGAAGGAGCAGCTCGATACTCTCGAGTCGTCTTTGAAGAAAGATTAGGCAGCGAAATATCTAGTACGTAACGTTACGAATACTTAGTTATATTACACAATTGAGTGTGTTCAATTTAGTTTAGTTTTGGTCTCTTGACGTTGTCCAACAAAGTGGTTTCGTCATTGACCGGGATTGGTCCCTCAGAGGCGGTGATCAATGGGGTCGAGATGTCTGCGTGGAAGTCCTTAATGATGGAGTCCACGTCGTCGATAGTCAGCGGTCTGACGTCTCCCAACTTCTTGATCTTGTTGGTGACCTCCTTGACCTGGTCATCAGACAGGTTGAGGTTCAGTTGCTCGACTCTGCTCTTGATGGCATTCCATCCCGTCAGTCTGTTGGCAAAGTGGATGTATCGGGACAGGCCGAAATCAGATGGGTTCAAGATCTCGTAGGTGGATGGGTTGGCCAAGATGGCCTTGGCATGGATACCGGCCTTGTGGGTGAAGGCGCAGAAACCGGTGATTGGGTTGTTGAACGGAATGTTCACCTGAACAGCCTCTGCAACCAGGTTCTCCAGATCTCTCAGTTTGTGCAGCTTGTACTTGGACATGACGTACTCTCTGTCTGCAGCAATCATTCTGGCCATCAGACCTCCCAACGGAGTGATACCGTTTCTCTCTCCAATACCAAGCAGAGAAACGTCAATCAGCTTGGCACCGGCCTCCAAAGCAGTGTACGCGTTGGCAATGGCGCATCCGGTGTCGTTGTGGAAATGGCACTCGATGTCGCACGAAACAACGCTCTTCAACGTCTTGACAAGCTCGTACACCTGTCTTGGGTTGGCGCATCCAACAGTGTCGGCAATACCAACTCTGTTCACACCAATCTTGTCGACGGTCTTATAAATATTGAGCAAGTCCACGATGTCGGATCTGAACGAGTCCTCGGACGAGAATCTGATCTCGATACCTTTGGACTTGACAAACTCAATCACCTCCACCGCAGATTTGGTGATGTACGACATGTCCTTACCGTGCGAGTACTGTCTCAAGAACTGAGAAGTTCCAATAACAACATCGACACCATCAACACCAGTCTCGACAGCAACTTTTGCGTCGTCCATGTGACATCTGATATGGGTCAAAATCTTGGCTTTCAGTCCCAACTTGCAAATCGCCTCGCAATCAGCCCTACTCTGTTCAGAGGCGACAGGAGAGGTCAACTCGATGTAGTCCACTCCAAAATCATCCAAAGCCTTGGCAATCTCTATTTTCTTCTCGGTGGTGAAAAAGGCGTTGGCAAATTGCTCACCTTCTCTCAAAGTAGATTCAATCAGCTGGAATGATCTCACGTTCGAAAGATAATCGCTTGGGTTTGGTCCATATGGATTCACTTGCACTTTTTTGTGCTGTTCCTCAGAAACTTTCTGGTACTGTTCTGACATCGTTAGCAATATTTAAAGCTCAAATTACTTACCTAAAGTAGACATGTCTTTAAAGATTTATAAAGATAAAAAAACTGGCCTCTTGGGTTAGTCACAAATGAAATTTTTTATCTACACGGGCTACCTGCCATTTTTGTGATAATTTTTTAAAATTGCGGTGAAAATGGTCATTCATTTTATGACAAATATTCATATCCCGTACCGTCGTCATCTCGAGCAAGATACTGCTCGTCGATCAACACCTCAATGGCTTTCTTGATATCCGCAACGGTCGGCTTGAACCGATCAACCATCTTGTAAACCTCACTAGTTAGCTGCTCGTGCTTGTAGTGCTTCCGAGCTTTCATCACCCGCACAATCGATGCCTTCAAAATACCGTGGTGTCTCATCTGGATCTCCGTGTTGGTGTCCTTCTCCTCGTTCTTCGAGTCCGTAATCTTGACTCCAAGAGCAAAATTCACCTTGATCCGCTTCGAGGTATACTCCTTCACTATCGTAAACGAAGTGTTTGGTTTCGTGATCGCGTCCTCTCCAGGAGGATTCTGGATCAAAAGCTTGTTCTTCACTAATGGCGCAATGTTGGCCTTGAACACGTCCACAGGCGCGGCCGTGGACTCAAGTAGCTCGGCCCCAGTCAATGTATCGGCCTCATTGAATGGATACAGAATAGCCAGTTGAAATAATGTAACAGTGAACGAAAATGGTGGTTTGCCAGGCTTCGATATGTTGGCCTTCAACTCCACCTTCGACCGGTTCCAAATCCAGCTCAATTGACGTCCAGGGAATTTGGATTGATAAATAGAAGCAAATTTCTCCTGCGTATTGATAAGCATTGGAGGCAAAATAATCGACTCGTTGCTCTTGTTGAAAATAGACTGCCAAGCACCAGAATCAAGAATCCGAGGCTCCAGGTCAGAAACGTACTCTTTCGGATTGGACTCCTGCATGATTGTCTCCTTGTACAAAGTGCCCAGATCTCTCGAAACTCTGATGTCATTAAACATGTTTGTAATCTTATTAGTGTATTCTTGGGTGTTGGCAGCTCTGAGCTTGCCAATGATCAATTCCTCTCTTTCTCCGTCCTCAGGACTCATGGTCGATCCCATAAGTCTCTTGGACAAGAATCTTCTGTACCAGACCTCAAAGCTCTCCTTGTCATCTATGAATTTGAATACAGTCATGAGATCGTCGACAGACATGTCTTCTGGCTTCTTTCTGAGCATCTCGTCGGCATATTTGGCAAGCAAATCCGGGGTCTTCGACTTTGACTTGTCCTTTGGTGTTGCAATTGGGTTTGTGTTGATGAAAGCTTGACATGCGCTATCCAATGCCTTCACAAATGCCTCGTTATTCTCAAAAGATTCCTTCACCACAGCCTGGAACTTTCTGTAAACTTTTAAAAGCGTCTGAATATAAGTCTTGGCATCGATCTCAAACACTGAACCCTTCTTGGCTTTTGACTTCCCATCCTCTTCGTTAGATGCAGCTTGTTCCTTTTGTTGTGCCTCGAATTCTTGTTTCAACTCCTCCACAGCGTTGAGACCTTGTTGTCTGATGTAAGCTTGGAACTGTTGAAGAAGAGGGTCGATGGTCATTGGAACTCTTTTCAACAGATGGTGCATTCTCTTGATGTCGGAGTATCTTGCCTGCTCAAGTAGAGGGGTCAATTCCTGGCGAATGACGTCAGCCTGGTTGGTGATTAAAACTTCGTTCAAACAATCGTTAAGAGGTCTTCTTGTGTGGTCATTGAGTTCCTCCAATCTTTTCAGTTCCTCTTCAATTCTTTGCTCGGCCTTCACAAGATAATTGACAACGCCGTACTCTTTGATGAAATTTTGGGACTCTTCAGCATAAAAGTTGTAGGTCTCCGTGAGGAACGATTTCTCGAAGTCATTAATATAAACAGACAAGTTCTGTTTCTTGAGGTCATTAACGTCAAATCCTAATAGCACAAATGACTTGATAGCCACACTTAAATTTCCAATAGATTCAATCTTGTTAAGTCTTTGGTCCCGAATCTGTTCCATGATTTCCGACATGAGTATTTGTAGGTTGGTATGAAACTTGTAATCTCTCCACGATAAAAGACACAGACTCAGAATGTCATAGATCTCTCTGTGGCCGTCTCCTCTTTCCTTGGTGACCCAGTATCTGTTGATATAATCAAGGACGTCATTCAATCTTGTGGAACCGATTAGATATCTTTCCCATGCACGGATGTAAAATTGGAGGAAAGACTCGCCCTCTTTCTGTTTCAGGTTCTCTAGATAGTATCTGAGATAGGTTTTCAATTTAGCATAGAGTTCTCCGCCCACCAAACGGACTGATCCGTCGCCAGGCCCCACTCCGACGCTGGAAGCGGCTGGTCTTCTGGATGAGGATGCAGTGCAGTAATCGTAAACCTTAGTATAGGTCTGTGTGTACATCATGGAATCCAAAGATGAGTTTTTCTCGTCACCAAGGATCACAAGAATGGCCGGCTCAATCTCTTTCCATGTTCGATCTAGAAATGAATTCGACATAGTTCAATGGATTTATATGCTAAGACAGGGATTAATGAATACCAAGATGATTGCGCAAACTTCCTAGAGGTACGAAAACAAGTTGTTATATATCGGTATAACTCCTTTTTATCACACCGTTTCTATAGTCCCCTTTGTTTGTTTGCCACAAATGTTTTTCTCACTTTTCAAAAAACATTCATTCGCGTGTAAAGTAGAAAAAAGGATGGAAAAAGTAGCTGCGGGTTTTTAATGCGGTATATATATGCTAAGAGAGTCTTTGATCGTTTCTGTTCACCATTTGCACCACTCTAATGATGCTAATGGTGAAGGTGATACACCAAACAACCAGGATGATGAAGAGGAAAGCGGCCAATGTGCGTTGACGATCACAGATGGAGCCAAGTAGGCTAGGACTGCTGGAGGACATTTGATTGTCTGTGCAGACCCATCTGGAATCGTAGAGCGAGTTGAAACTGAGTGCAAGGTTGGCCGATGAGAATATCACAAACAAAAGCTCGCACATGATCAGTCTCAGCTTTGCCTGAGGATCTCTTAATCCAAGTGGTTGCGATGTGAATTCGTCGTAACTGATGTAGAAAAGGTAGAGAATCGCCACCGATTGCACAACCACAGCCATTATTGAGCTGGGCTGTTGCGAAACATGGTCCGAGTTGCTCAGATGGTTGCTCAGAACAATGATTCTGGCAGCTAGTCCTAATGCAACGCATGATAGAAATAGAGTGAAGATTCTGAAAAACAGCGGGATGTACGAATTGTTCATGATGATGTCTCCGAGCCAGGGTTTCCATTCCTTCTTGTTCTCAGAGATCCAAAAGCCGGCATGCGACCGGTATTTTGTCTTGTCGTACGGTCCGGAGTTGTTCCCGTTGGACTCTCCAGAGTCCATGTACGACGACTCCGGTCCGCCATAGTAAAGTCTATTCAATTTCTCCTCACCCTTCCACTCCTGGTCCAGTTGGTAACTATCAAACACAGAGTCGCTGTTTGTCTGGCTCACTTGATTGGGCGCATAAGCATCTGTTGCTCTGAAAGTTGACAGAAATCGGCTCCAATAAGTTGGGCCCAGCGCCAGGTCTCGGTCCTTGGATCTGAACGTATCGTCTCCTCGGACAACTCCATCGAGAACGTACGCAGGTACCGGCTGGATTTTGTGTCGATAGTGCTTGGGAGTCTTTTGGAAGACATCAGGGCCCAAATGCATGCCGCTGGACAATGTTTGCGAGTTATCACCCGACCCCGAACTTGCCGGTGCTGTGTTCGAGTCAGACATCCAGATATGTATTTGCTTGTCGACTCTTTTGGTTGCGGTCTAAGATTGAACCTCGGTTGCAGCGAACTGTTAACGACTGTTCTATACGATATAGCAAAAACAGTTTCACCAATTGGGAAATTTTAACATGGGATCTGTTTCACCTTGACACCACGACAGGTTTGGTGTTGTGGGAATATACCCATTGATTTGGCGGAGTCGGAAGAGAATGGCGGTCAGCAATGGGAAGATGGGATACTGATGAGATGGCTGGTCAGCGTTTATATCAATCGGTGGTATTTTTGCGAGTCTGTCTCATATTCAAAAAACATGATATATTAAATACGTGTGAAATTTAACCCTAGGCTATCTAGATATCCCTTCACACGTGTCTATGGTAAAACAATAAATCATTCCAGAAGACCCTCCACCATCTACAGACCACATTACAACTCTACAGCGGCTACTTCCAGTAAATATACGGTAGTTGCTACGTCTGGCACATCGGGATTTAATTTTTTAGTGGTAGCAACTTTATCAATTAATTATCCATATTCTATTTATTTTGAATATCTCAGATCGTATCTTTCTATACACCGAAAGCGATCTATACACTGCCTAACCCTCGAATCATGAGTGTGCGCTTCGTTAGACCATTCTCTGTGGGTATTCGATCCCTGAAACAACGGTACCCGTTGATTGACACCCTAAGGGCGGAAACCAGAGCCCATCCAATTTACATTGTTTGTTTGCCCATCACCACCCGCAAGCTGTTTTTCTTCTGTCAGTACACGGATCTCGCGCTTCCGGACGGAAAGGAAAGCCTGGACGCCAAGGCAACTAAATGGGCCACAAGAGCATGGAACAAGCTGGAACAGTCGCAAAACCGGGTCAACAAAGCGGTGGTGGACCTGGTGCAACGACTTTTGAAAGAAATCCCCTGGACGGAGACCTGTTTCAGATCAATACCGTCCCAGAGCAAGATCACGAGATATTTAAAGAAATACCAGGAGACCGAGAAAGAGCACGAATTGGAGAAACCACAAGATCGCAAGCTCCACCCGAAGCAGCTGGCACAATTAGACATCAGCGCCGAGGATTTGGAACAGATCCCGTTGTATTATCCGTCGACTTTGCTATCAAGCGAAACCATTCACAACGAGCTCCGCAACGAGATCACTAAAGGTGCCGAGTACCACCGCAAGTACATGTTTCTGAACCTGGTGCTTCTGCCATTGACACTACCGTTTGCATTGATTCCCGTGGTGCCCAACGTTCCTGGATTCTACATGGCCTATAGAGCATACTGCCATTTCACAGCATTGAACGGTGTCAAACATCTGCGCTATTTATTGGATCCTCAGGGAGGAGAGAACCACCATCTAGAGATGATTGGGCTTGAGACGGCCCACAACTTGTTTTTGGATGCAAAGCATGTGGTTGTGCGGACCAACGTGCTCGACCACATCGAGAAAAGTAGCGACATGGAAAAACTGCTGCTAGACGAAGGCTCTATCAAGACCATCTGCGAGGCATTTGGCATCGAGGAATTCGAACAGAACTTCCATGTGGCATTGTACCAGGAGCGCAAAAGACTGGCCCAAGAGGGCCTTGAACAAAAGGACTTGTAACTATAGATCTGCAACCATTTAGCATTATAGTATGGGAGGTTAATGTAATTATATAACCCACGTGACTTTGCTGAAGGGTTTTTGCTAGAAAAGCAGCAAGGGTTTGTTGCGAGGAGATGATTTTAAGGCCAACGGGCAAATCCGGTGTGCACACGACCACGTCGACGAAGCTCGCTCAGTATAAATATAAAAAAATTCCACCATAGATTTTTTTATACCAAAAGTTATTATCCCAGGATGAGAGCTAAGTGGAGAAAGAAGAGAGTTAGAAGACTAAAGAGAAAGAGACGGAAGGTCAGAGCCAGATCCAAATAAGTGAATTGGCGGGCTGAGAACGACTAGAGTATTGACTGAAAGGATGGCCATTTTGAAGATTTTGGTTCGAGTCGTCTTTTCGTTCAATTGAATTGAGATGTTGTTCTCCAACTCTGGATATGCATTGAAATTTGTTCCACTGTTTATATTTAGTGCGTCCGTTAATATACTTGATATTGGATACTAGTTTGTTTTTTTCAGTAGCATCCAAACATCCATGACAGGTCGTACCAGGGCAATTCGTCGCTCGGCTCGTTTTGGTTGAATTGGGAAGGTTGTCCAGCAATCTCGGGCACCTGTCCCTTTGTAAGCTCTGCCATATGTCGGTCGATCTCCAAAGGCGATGCGGTAATGACGTTATTTTCGAGAGTCTGATTCCCGAAATTCACGGTTGTAGTGCCTAGACATTTGAACGAATGGTTTGACTCTGCAAAGTCTGGCGAGAAGTCGTTCACATCGAAAGAGCTGTTGAGGTCCTGGATCCATCTCAATGTGCTGTTGCCCAGCAATTGGTCGGGCTTATGCGCTGGAAAAACCAGTGACTCGTTTTTAACGCTCTCGATGTCAGGCGCCTTATTCTTGGTCACTATAGGGGTATTTTCTTGTGTCATTTGGTCCTGTTGGTAAGGGTGTGTTCCATCCAATGCAAGACCGATGTTGTTTTGGCTGGAAGCGGGTCTCCAACGAACAAGTCTTTCTTCCATCATATCAACCAACCAATGTGTAGTTGGGAATAAGCGATTAGATTGACGACGAATAACTTTAGACCGTAGATTGGGAATTGTTTCCGCTGGATCTAGCGAATATGGCGGTTTATGTGTGGGCGACTCTTCAAAGGGTGAAGTACTCCAACTAGAGCCAGAACTAAGTTCCATAAACGAATCGTCAAGATGGTTAGGGGATCAAAATTTAATTTATCCTTGGCCCTTTTTTTAGAAATCTGCAAAGTCGTGGAAAAACCACAGCAACGCTTTTTGAAGGGATTCAGACAAAACATCTTCTGATTGAAACAGAAAGAGTGTGATGGCCAATTGAATAATATCAATAAATTGAGAGCATTTTTTGATCAAACGATACAGTTATCAAGGTTAGATTTATCTTTTCATACATTGTCATCAGGTGCCACGAATTTTGGGCTTAAATTTCAACTTTTCAAGTGATACAACACACTTTTCTTACTAATAAACATCCAACAACAACGATGGATCTGGACTCCGACATTCAAATGGAAGACGCTGTTGAGCAAACACAGGCGGAACAGGCAGAAAAGGCTTCTATTCTGTCCCAAGTTCCAATTAGCATTACAGACCCCACCACCCAAAGAGACACGTTGGACGGTTGGATAGAACAATTGAGCCAATGTAAACCATTGAGTGAAAACTCTGTTAAACAATTGTGCGCTATGGCAATCGAAGTTGTCAAGGACGAGCAGAACGTCCAGCCCGTGCAAGTGCCAGTCACTATATGTGGAGATATTCACGGCCAGTTCCACGATTTGATGGAGTTGTTCAAAATCGGAGGGCCTTGCCCAGACACAAACTATCTGTTCATGGGAGATTACGTCGACAGAGGATACTACTCTGTGGAGACGGTCAGCTACTTGGTGGCTATGAAAATTCGGTATCCAAGAAGAATCACTATTCTTAGAGGAAATCATGAGTCAAGACAAATTACACAAGTTTATGGATTTTACGATGAATGTTTTAGAAAATACGGTTCTGCCAACGTCTGGAAGATCTTTACGGATCTGTTCGACTATTTCCCGATCACCGCTCTTGTTGAGAACTCGATTTTCTGTTTGCACGGCGGATTGTCTCCGATGATCGAAACGATCGATCAAGTTCGGGAGTTGAATAGAATCCAGGAGGTTCCCCACGAAGGACCAATGTGTGACCTGCTGTGGTCCGATCCTGACGATAGAGGAGGATGGGGGATTTCTCCAAGAGGTGCAGGTTTCACTTTTGGTCAGGATATTTCTGAGCAGTTTAATCACACAAACGGCCTTTCTTTGGTTGCCAGAGCACACCAGTTGGTCATGGAAGGATACAGCTGGTCGCACCAGGATTTGGTGGTGACCATTTTCTCGGCCCCTAACTACTGCTACAGATGTGGAAACCAGGCCGCCATCATGGAGGTTGACGAGAACCACAACAGAAACTTTTTGCAGTACGACCCTTCTGTCCGCCCTGGTGAGCCCACCGTTACCAGGAAAACTCCCGATTATTTCCTCTAGGCTGTTTCTTAGCCACCACGGTTATTTAATTGGTTTGTTTGTATCACCAATTCATTCTTCATATTTAGCTCTACACCTTCATTTCACAATTTGGAAGCTCCATGGCACCGTCAGATGGACAACCTTGTCGTCGTCGATGAACTTGGACACCGCGTTGTACGACCCTCTGGCCAACATTCCACCAGGAGCCTCGACCTCGTCAAACACTTTTTCGTAGAACGGCTTGTCCACTGTGCACGGAGCAAACGACCCCAGAGGCTCGTCTTGCTTGTCCACCGTGATTCCTGTCTTTTTCACCGCCTGCAAGTACCTCAACCCGGTGATGATCTCCCCCTGGACCTTGAACTTGATCACCAGCTGGTAGATACTTTTCTCCTTAATTTTGAACGAAACCTTTGGATCCGACGCGTTCTCCAGCTCAACAACCACCGGCTCCTGGCCCCGGATGTTTAAAGTCATGGACAAAATCACGACCGTCCGCTTGTCGCCAGCCTTCACCGGCAGCAAGTCGCCGGTGTTGAGTCCCAACGACCGTTTCCACTTGTTGAGCGACTCATCGTTGGCGTCCAGCTTCGCGTACTCCTGAATTGATTTCTTCTCACCAACTTTGAACCCAGGAACTTCTTCAGGAACCAACTCTGTGTCTGACATGATTTGGTTTGTACGTAAACAAAAAATAGGCGGTGGAAAATATTTATCTGAAACATTTGTGTGAATAGCATGTCTCTTCCACCCAGCACGAGTCTGGACCAATCAGACGCCCAGACTCTCAAGTTTGTGCTCGACACTCTGTTCGAGCCTTGCGACACCCTCAAGGGGTACCTAATTCCACTGTTGTTCCCAAAGTCGTACAGTTCGTACTCTCAGCTGATCGAGACAGCCAGAACACTGTTGCTCGACCTGTTCGACAAATACTCCAAAGACCCGGCTCTGAAACCAACAATCGACAAGATCGTGTCGGCACACCCGCGGCTGGGCCCACCAAAGAACCCAAACACAAAACTCTCGGCCCATTCGTCCAAAGAACAGGCCCAGCTCAACGCAGACCCGGTGTTGGCCCAGAAACTCGTCGAATTGAACGACCTGTACGAACAAACGTTCCCTGGACTGCGGTTCGTGGTGTTTGTCAACGGACGCTCCAGAGACCAGATCATGGAAAACATGAATAGCCGCATCAAACGCAATAACATCAACTTGGAGATCCAAGAGGCATTCAACGCTATGTGCGACATCGCACTCGACAGGGCCAACAAGCTCCAGCACAAGCTCTGATTGGCCCGGCTCTGTCATATGAATTCATTACTTTCAATCATATACACTAATGGATGCTATGCAATTCCGACCAAATATCCCTATTTTTCTCCACCCCCATTACTCCATTTTTTGGTTTGACCCTTCTTCCCGTTGCCCTGAGGCTGGGACTGTCGGTAGTGCCCGTTATTGTTGTTGTTGTACTTGGTCCGGCCGTTCGCATAAGGCACGCCGTTGTTGCCAGGCCCCATGTGGTAGTAAACCCCCGGGTGCGGTGCTGCCTGGTTCATGTACGGCGAGTAGTAGTACTGGTACGGAGAAACCATGTGCACGGGTGGAACAGCAGACGTTTGTGTGAGATCCGTCGGCGTGCCCAAGTTCTCCTCGGATCCCGCCCCAGTGGCTTGCGCGCCCTTCACAGACGCATCCGGAGAACTAGGCACCGGGTAGTAGTATGGGTATGCAGGAACCCCTCCCGGCGACTCGACAGGCGCCTGCAGATGCTCCGGTGCCGGCGAAACGCCCTTCACGTGTGGCGACGTCGCACTCACCGGAGGCACCATCAGCTGCGGGTGCCCTCCGTATGTGTAGTTGTAAGGAACAAATGGATGGTAGTACCCATACTCGGGCATGGACGGCTGCTGATATCCCTTTCTGGCTCCGCGCGATCTGCCATCAAAGTCGTCCTCCCCGATATCATGGTAGGACTCCATGTCCTCGCGGTCTCCTCTATTGTTGTATCTTTTGTAAGGCTTGTCACCATCGTTGGAATACCCGTTCCCGTTTCTGTAATGTCCAGAGTTGCCGTTCTGGAACGAGTCATCTCTGCTGCCCTTTCTGGTGAGCTTACCATTTTTGTTCAATTGCCTCTCTTCTTCCTCCTCCCGCTCGAGATTCGCGGTGAAGTAAGACTTGTAGTTCTCGAACAGTTCCGACACTTGGATTCTGTTGAGCTTTTCGTTCGGATCGAATTTGATGCTTCTGAAGTCCAACGGCTTGATGTTGCCCTCGTTGTCGAAAATGGCCCATTTTTTGGTCTCGTCGTCTGCATTGACGAGTGAGGTGTTGATTTTGAACAAAACCATCGAGTAGCCATCGTTCGACAGAATGTGCCCCAAGTTGTAGTACTCGGCTAATTTGTGCGTTAATAACCGGTAATAGGAATTCAATGGCGTCATCTTCCACGAATCCACGTTCGGCTTCATGATGAACTCGATGATCTCCGATTCCAAACTGATGATGAATTTGCGATCGTTCAGGTTGGATTGGTTGTTCCTACCGTTCATATTAAATAACGACCGGACCAAGATCTCTGGCACATCATAAGCGTCTGATAATTCCTTGATTATTCCTTGAGGTGTAGTCGCCTTGAGTTCTATGGCATCAAATGCTTTTTTCAAAGTTGACGCCGAGGAGGGAACTGAGTCTATCTGTTCCCCAGCCATTATGATAATGTTCTTGCACCGATCTTCTTACACGCCTGTAATTGCCTTGCGTAGGATGTTGGTCCAAACAAGATTCCAACTTCTGGGTACCAAGCGGCGGGTTTGCGGGTCTATTTATCCCAGTCACCAAGAAGAAACCAACAGCGATACTTTGTTTTCTTTTCCCGTCCTAATTTTTTCCCTATAGATTTTATGGCCCCCCGCTAAGAACCACGACAGACTTTTGTGTGGTACGCTAGAAAATAAGTTACCCTTCTTTTAATTGGCGTCTCACCCTCTTTGGTTGGCGAAAACAGTTGCCGTTTCGAAGACGATCATCCTTCAATTACCCAATTCGCGTATACAAACACTAAGTAACAACATCGGGTTTCCCTTATTGACAGCTCTTAATTTTATTGTAGCCTAAATTCTTTCGCTAAAGTTGCTTCGATCCGTCATGTGACCACCACCGTTACTCCATCTGAACATCGCCGTCCGCGTCTTTGTTACGGCGTCGTTCCTGGATGAACCGGTTAATCTTCTCCCTTAGCTCGACGTCGTCTTCAACGTCCTCCAATTTTAGAGGATTCCGGTTGAAGGGGTCTGTTGGATCGTTCATCAAGTGTGCTTTCAAAACAGACCGATCCATACTCACCTTCGAGTGAGGCAGTTTCACCGGGTCCTTCATTAACGTGAACATCAACGGATCAAGGAACTCGTCAGGAATGTCACCCAACTCCATCTCTTCCTCCTCGTCCTCCTGCTTGACCTGCTCTGCTTTTCCCACAAAAAGATCGAGCTTCGTGCTGAATTCATAATCGATCTTTCCCACCTTGTTCAGGATCTGGATCGCTCTTTTGAAACATGCAGGGTTGAAAGATCTAGAGTCCCTTGCAACCGCATTAATAAACTCCTTTTCGTCCGACAAGTTGATGAAAATCGAAGAAATGTGCAGCAACAAGTCCGACGGATTGAAGTGGTAGTTCTCTGGGTTTTGCACCCGCAACTCATTACATTTTGGACCAACAAGTGCAACCAGGTTGTAGTTCAACATTCCTGCCAACCGGTCGACAATTTCTATAATGATGAAAGCAGTTGGAATTTCTTTCGTGAATAAATCAAACAGCTGAATAGTCTTGTTTGACAGCTGGACCAACGATTTCGCCATACGCTCGCTGTCTTGGAGTTTTTTCGTCAAATCCTCATCGGTTTCCTCTGTGGTTGGAGCATTTCCCTTTTGACGACTGGCTATTTCTCTTTGGCAGTTACCAATTGTTTGCAGGTGGTTCAACGACTCGTCAAGTAAGTAGGTAGTGTCATTCAACATACGCGCAATCAGTCTCACAAAGAACTTTTGGTTTTTCGAGATCCGCTTCAGATCCGCCCGAAAGTAGTCGAATTTCCATAGCTGTTCCAAGATCATGGAAATGTGGCATCTTGCGTTGAACTTATCGTAGAACTGCGACGAGGCTCCTGTCTTCTCAACCATCACATAGAAATCCAGTAGCGAGATGATCAAGTTCTCCTTCACTAGATCGTTATTGTTGAAAATATTAATCATGTAGCCATCCATATTGTTGACCATAGGCAGTGATCCGAAAAACAGCACTTCAGTCAACCTGGCCTTCAAGTGCGGATTGTTGACCAATTCAGGACATCTGAGAATGGTGATTGCAAACTCCAAGAACTGTGTCAGCTGCTTTTCATTTTGAAGCATTGGATTATTGTTGAATTTCGCAATATAGTGACAGTAATTGACAACACCTTCAACGAAAAACTCTGGGAAATATTTGAACGGAACTGGAGAAATGGTTCTTAGGTACTCCACATCGTCAAACTTGTCCACATCATCGTCCAAATTATGCAGCGGAATTTTAAGTGAAACATTTGGATAAGTATGAGTAGGCTCAATCAGTCTAATAAAGAACTTGATGGCTCCAGTGATGACATCGAAAATCTCGAGCTGAAGCTCTCTGTTCAAAGAGCACATGTCAATTGACAGCTTCATAGACTTCATTTTTTGAAGCTCTTTCTTCATCGGAGTTAATCTTGTGTCGATAAGCATTTTCGTGATAGGATTGGATCCTCCTCCTCCGGTCTTTTGGATCATTTGCTCGAGCTTGGCAAGTTCCTGGGTGAGTTGTCTGATGTAGCTCACCAGCCTCTCAGAACTGGTGATCATTCCACCAAAACCGTAATGGAGATATCCCAGAAGCAGGTAGAAGCACTCAGATATGAAGTTCAAAGGGAGATCAGACAGTTTGTCTTCGGAGTAGTATTCATCGTACTCCTGGATTGTCGAGTTGATTTTAGTCTCCTCGTGCAAATCCAAGAGACGATTACGACAATTAAGGTAATTGGTCGAAATCTTATCGATTTTGATTCCATCCGAAAGGAATGGTTGCGACAACTTGACCAAGATGATGGTAATGCAAAACATGAATGAGTCGGAAGCGAGTTTCTTCGGGTTGGCATGTTCACCCCTTCTCAAATGGTTCTTGTTGACGATATCTGCAAGATATTTGAGAAAGGCCATACGGCAAGCTTCTCCAGATCGCACAATCTTATCGCATATTCCGAACAGTCTGTTCATCAACACGAGTTGCTCGCTATGAAGCGACTCGTGGATGGTTTTAATTTGGGGTTTGGTGAGACCATCGGGGTAATTGGAGACGGCAACTTCTGGAAGTAAAGCAGAGACTCTGAGCAATGGACCCAGTGTCGTTTTGAGTTCGAACTCGTTAGCTTTCAAACCTTCTGGGTTGAAGCCATCGACTAGATAGATTTGAGATGCAATGATCTTGTTGGAGACGAAAATCTGGTAAACTGTGACGATCTTTGAGTAATCTGTGTCTGTGGAATAATTCAGAGTCAACAGCTGTTGTGCCAACGATGGCAAAAACACATTCAGGAACTCGAGAACGTTATCGTTTTCTATGGATCTGGTGATAATGTCCATCAAGAAGCTGTCGTACTTATCGACAGACGACCAAAGCAGACGGATAACGTCCTGAACGTTGACTTCGTTGATAAACATATCAGGAACCAGAAACAAGATCAACGAGTAACTCGATGTAAGTCTAATTGCCTCATCTGCAAGTGAGATCTTTGCAAGTTTGTTCTGTTCGTCTGCCTTGATGAGTCTTCTAACGTTCTTGGCTCTTGTCCAGCAATCAGCCAGGAAATCGAAGGCCGACTTGTACTTTGACTGGTCGACACCGATCTCGGTGAGGATTTCCAAAAGGACGCTGTCAACGAGCTCGGAAGTGAACTTGGAGTTCTCCTTGGCGAGGGAGTCCAAATAGGTGTATTTTGATGATTTTTGCTGTGAAAGGGTCGAGTTGAGAATATACTCCAACTTGAGGTTGATCCAGTCGTCGATTGATTCTATCTGTCTGTTCTCGGGAGAGATAGACAAACTGGTCGAACTGGAGACTGGCGTTTGTTTCTCCGACACGGTGATGGTCTTGGAGGGCGTCTTTTCCGACACCACTGGAGCGGTCACTTTTTTAGGTTTTGGTTGGGTTGTCTCGCTAGAAAGCGCTGCTAGTCTAGCCAATCGCTTAGCACGGATCTGGAATGTTAGCACAAACAGTTCTAATGACAATAATCAATACTCACGTCTTCAGGATCACTCATTACCCAGAGAATTTACAGTATCTAACAAGATATTTTTGTTTTGCCACCACCTTTAGATATAGCGACAAAAAACTAAAGAGGGACAGAGTTTTGGGTGTACGGTTGTTTACAGAGTAAGTAGATAATTTGAGGATTCTTTGCTATAGATTATCAAAGATACACATTACCACACCAAACAACATCGACACGTTTAGGCCTTGACAGCGAACTTCTTGGCTGGGTAAGCAATAGCTTGCTTCTTAGCCTTGTCAGTCTTTTGGCTTTTCTCGTACTTGGTAAGAGCTCTTCTCAAAGCTCTGGTCTTCTTTTGTCTGAGATCCTTTGGAATGTATTTCTTGCCACTGTAGAATTCTCTGACAGAAGCTCTTTGTTGCAAGTTGATCACGGTGAGGACCTTAGCAATGCTCTTTCTGACAGTGTGGATCTTTGGAAGAGATGGTCTGGTCAACTTCTGGACCTTGAGTTGGGCCAATTCTTTCTTCAGGTCGACAAGCTGCTCCTGCAGTTGTTCCTTAGACTTTGATCTGAGTTCGTAAGCTTTAACACCGGCCTAAACTGTTAGTACTTGGGATTTGAATAGAAACATCGAGAGTGGAAAGTTGGAGTCACAACACCCAAAACGTGGCAAACACACGCCCTGGAACAGAGAACATAGTCTCTCATTGTGTATTGACTTGTGGTTCAACTCCTGGTGTTCCTATGTGTAGGAAGTATCACATACCATTTCGTCTATATTATGCTTTGAGACAAACTCTTTAATTACGAATAAAATTTTTCAAGGTGAAAATCGCACGCTGCGGTGCGCGAAGGGAGTGCCCGGTAGAGTGCCGTGGGAAATTGGATCGCAGCCCGGGGGGAATTTTGCGAAAAAAAACATAATCAACCCGGGAGCCACAATGACAGACAAATTTGGGAAAAATTGTGACTGCTATTTCGAAACTGTCCGTGGTGACGTAAGCAGACCTACCGAAGCTGCCAGAGGTGGTGATCTGGCAGGAGTTGAAAGACCCCCCATGCAAAATCGATATCCGGAAGCCGGGGATCGATCGTAGAGTAAAACTAGTTTAAAACGAAAGCTCGAAAGGTAATATTAGTAAGAAGAATACACAATTTAGATTGAGAACAGTAACTTACTTGGCAAGCTATCCAATTCGATATGGAAGTTGATCTTGAGCAGTTTAGTTTATATCACTTTCCAATCTCAGTCTAAAACCCCTTTAGTTACCGTTTTTCAAGTTAGTAGACAACCATTCGAGACCCTCGTACAAACCGTCACCAGAAGTGGCGCATGTGGCTTGGATGAACCATGGTCTTGGTCTGATGGACTGCAGACCCAATTTCTCGGTGATCTCAGCAGCATTCATGGCGTTTGGTAAGTCTTGTTTGTTTGCGAAAACTAACAACAATGCATCTCTCAATTCGTCCTCGTTCAACATTCTTTGCAACTCCTCTCTAGCTTCAAGAATACGGTCTCTGTCGTTGGAGTCGACAACGAAGATGATTCCCTGGGTGTTTTGGAAGTAGTGTCTCCACAATGGTCTAATTTTGTCTTGTCCACCAACGTCCCAGACGGTGAAGGAGATGTTCTTGTACTCCACGGTTTCAACGTTGAAACCGATAGTTGGAATTGTGGTGACAATCTCACCCAACTTCAACTTATATAGAATAGTGGTTTTACCGGCAGCATCAAGACCCACCATTAAAATTCTCATCTCTTTGCGACCAAAAAGGCCCTGAAGCAATTTCGAAATAGACAATCCCATCTAGACGCGTTAGTTAATCACTTGTGCTTGCCAGCAAACTCGTTAAATGATTTTAAAAATTCCAACTTTGTTAGTCCAACGACCTCCCTGCCGCAGTCGCGACACCTGGAAGGGGCTGTGGGCCCGCTATTAATTTTTCTCACCTTCGCGGGTCGCGGGCGAAAAAAGTGACAACGAATCAAATTGGGCAATAAACATTGTGAGCGAGGTGGCAACAATAATTAGTTTCGCGTACCCGATCTCTCAATCTATCTTCACTTCACTCACCGTCTACCACCCAATTCGTAAATTGTACACTTTCAAGTACATCGTTTGTAATCTTCAAGGTACCAGACCTACGCTGTTCCAGACCAGATTGTGTACAATGCCTCTTCAACTAATGGGAACCATAAATCCAGTTTGCGAGCGCTAATTCTGTTCACTTACCGTTTATTAAAACCGGCTTAAAACTTGTTTCCGTGTCCCAAATAAAGAAGTATTTATATAGGAAGACTAGTTGGCTAAACAAAAGATAGTGGATGTGTTTTTTCTCTCGAGACCTTTTCGATAAAGCAAAAAACCCAGAACGGGAAGTATGGGAAAAACCGGGAAAACATCTCTACACCGCAGCCACCAATTGGCACAACCAAAATGGAACCAAGACGCGTCGTATTACGGTTATATATGGTGTTATCAATGCAATGACTATAGCAAGTCCAGCAACTAGTATACTGGAATGAATGGGTGTGGGTAGAAAAGCAAAGGCGATGCAAAGGAGTCGGTCCTAACGGCCAACGTTCACTTTGCAAGTGGAATATTTCTGCAGAGCTCTCAAAAACACAGCGTAGGTCACCTCCTCGTTATCCGGCTCCCAGTACATCTCACTGAGTCTGGTGTGCCATGGAGGGTAGCCTTGGAGGTTAAGGTAAGGTTGGAACATGACGATCAGATCTGGTTCATGTCCAACCAGCTGTTGCAGTTCCTGGTCGATAAACTTGAGATTGATATCTTTTTCGCTGAGTTCGTGGGTCTTTGACAAGTGCGACATAACTTTGGTCAGTTCGACAATTGTGGATCTACCATCCAAAACGCTGATCAGACTGATCTCGATATCAAACTTGTCCTGATCTGAAGGGTATTCATCATCGAACGAGCCGGCGTAGCTCACGTTCAAATGAGGGATGTTGATGCGATAGGTTGGGACGTTGCTGGTTCCAAAGTACGCCACCAGTTTGCGGTACACCGAGCGGCGAAGCTCAGGAACATGTTTTTTCAACACCCCGTGGTATTCATAGATAGTTAGGTTTGGGATGCCCGAAGACAAACACCACGCTGCAATTTCCGATGCGTCATTGCAAAGACCTTCAACACCACCATTTTCCTCCTGCTCAGACTTGTAATTGAGAATGGCAGAGATCCTGTATGGGATTTTAGGCAACTTGTTCACGTCGCTGTTGATCAGAGAAGGTGCTCTTGATGGGTTGTAGGCCAGATTCAGAAATCTGAGCTTAGTTCTGTTGTAAGTGTATTCGTAGAATCTGTAAATCGACATGAGCAGATAGAAAAACACCAAGATGGAATGGTAGATGTAGTAGGAAACAGAGCTTTCAGACGAGGGAGACGACTCCTCTTCCGATTTGAGAGCAGCCTGGGGCCATATCAGGTTTCTGAACAGATTGTATATCGTCGTGTACACCGTGTCGTTACTGTAATCTGGGACTGGGTCCCTGTTTGACGAGTCCGTGGGAGGTATTTCCTTCAGCTCTTGTTGCTGTTGTTGTACGAGATTGTACACCAAGTCCTGGGACGCTCCGCTAGAAAAGCCATTTTCCAAGGAATGAGAGTCCTCAAGCTCCGTTGTCTTCATTTCGGACGACATATCAACCAGCGAAAAGAAGGAAACACAATGGCGAACCTTGAGAATAATTTATTCACAAAGGGAAAGCCACGCCTGACACCCTGCGAAATTTGATTAGTCGAGTTTTTTTCATTTTTTACAGCGTGCGGCTAGGAAGCATAATTTAACGTTAATGAGTATGTACGGACTGCGAAGAGCCAGCTAGCGGTTCTGGCTCTGTTTCGTGCTCGTCGGAAATCCGCATCCCTAGACTGCGGATAAGACCCATGAGGTCTTCCTGATTGCTGTAGTTGTATTCGTTCTGCGAGGTGAAGTAATGGTCCAGATTTGGTGGCTGGGACTCGATCTCGTCGTCTGTTGAATGAATCGACGGAGGAACGTTGTTTGGAACGCTTAAAATATCGTTAATCATCATGTGAGCGTTTGTTTGTTGCGGGCGTTCTTCTTCAGAAGGATGAGAACCCTCGCTCTCTATGTTATTTTGATGCGGTCTGTAATATCTTGATTGGCGAGCGTTTTTGCAGAACCGGAACAGGTCGTCGACTTCTTCCAGTAAGAGTCCTTTTGTTTCGTAGATGTTGAAGTAGGCAAACACGAGCCCGACAAAGTTCAACGACCCCCATAGGAAGAAGATCTTGGTGCCGAGTGCAGCAGTGTGTTTTCCCGTGTCTACCAAGTACGGCGTGGAGAACGCAAAGACAAAGTTCACCAGCCAGTTGGTTGCCGCGGTGATCGACACGGCTTTTTGGCGGATCGACAAACTGTACATCTCTCCGACAACGACCCAGGCCAACGGACCCCATGTCGATGCGAAAAACGCAATGAACAAACACACAAATGCAACCATGATCTTGTTGGCTATGATGGAGTCTGTAGTGATACCAACTATGCCAATGACAAAGTTCGAGACCGTCATTCCGGCAGCCCCCACAATGAGAAGCGGCCGTCGTCCCCAGATTTCCACAAAGAATATGCCTGGGATCGTAAAGACAACGTTGACGGTGTAGGTGACAAACGAGATGAGGTACGAGTTTGCTACTCCGGCATGCACAAAGAAGTTGACTCCGTAGTAGAAGATGAAGTTGATTCCGGAACATTGTTGAAGAGCCTGCAAAACCATTCCGATCATCATTCTGCGCAGCTGGTTAGCTCTGCTTGGAGAACTGCGGAAACAGTCGAGAATGCTTGTTTTTCCAAAACTCATTTCATAGTCGTGACTGGCCTTGATTTCTATCAGCTCTTCGATGAGCGACTTGTCGTTGATTTCTAATCTGCGGAACCGCGAGAGCGAGTGCAGGGCGTCGTCGAGCCGGTCTTTTTTAACGTAGAACCGTGGAGACTCCGGCAAAGAGTACATCCCCACGGCTAAAAACACTCCCCAAATCAGTTGCAACCCGATCGGAATCCGATAGCATCTAGCGTCATTGATGGAATGTGTTGCCTGGGTGATGGCACTGGAAACCAGCAACCCCCACGTGATGGCCCATTGGTACAAAGAAACCACAGATCCTCTAATCCACTTGGGCGAGACCTCTGCCTGATAAAGCGGAATAATGGCCGAGATCATTCCAACACCAAATCCACTGATCAGTCTGCCCACGCAGAGAAGCGGGATGGTGGAGGAAACCACCTGCAAAATGGTTCCCAGCGAAAACATAATGGTACAGGCAGAGAAGATACTGAGCCGTCTTCCTATTCTATCAGAGAATATCGGCGCCAGCAGCGACCCCACAAACGTACCGATGGACAAAACTGACGTAATAAGCGAGTTCTGGCTCGCGGTGAAGTGCATCTCGCCGTGAGGAGGGAAAGTGGTCCTCACATATTCCATATCTAATAACCCGTTGATGATACCCGTATCGTATCCATAAAGAAACCCACCAATAGCCATCAAAAGACCAACATAAACGGCCATCACAGACGACCAGTTGCGCTGTCTCTCCAGGTCTGCCCCATTAGCGCTGACCACCTGTTTTTCATCCTCCACAGACGGCTGGGCAGATTGCTCGAAATCGGTCGTGGACATGTTTCGTACCTCCGACATCTTGCTTGTGTCTTCAGTCGGTTGATAATGTCGCGTATCGGCGTCTAACCAACTTCCACTGGCGTCTAGCGACATGCGACAATTCGAAATTCCAGAAACCAAAGCTGTTATCTAGCTAACTGGGCAATACAATTTTAATTTTTTGAAAAGGTGCACCAGGAGAAGCGGAGAAATAGGGGTCGATCGACGCAAAAGAATATCGTTAAAGGATTTCATTAGAAAGATCATACAAAGAATTGTAAACTAGTGTTCATCAATGGATCATCTTGGATAACCCAAATCTCACAGAGAACATCTTGGAAAGTCTGTTGTTTTTCTTATTAGGCTTAGTGTCTGTTGGTGTTGGCAGAGTGTCCACAGAAACTGGGGTCTTTGGAATGGTAGCATCAACAGGAACGTTTTCTTTGGTCTCAACTAAATCATACAGCGTCGCCGACGCTGTCTTTGGCTTGTCAGAGAGCGAACTTTGTCTTTGGGTCTCAGGTTGGGTTTTGTTGATTTGAATGTTCTTGAGTGAATCGGTCTCTTTGGATGGTTGCAAAAGGTTGTCTGCCGACAAACTAAATGGACTCGAGATATTCACCGGAGTGAGTGCCTCGCCCTGTTTCCTGGTCAGTGACGGTGTGCTGCCGTTTCCATTGGTGAACCATCCCATGGATCGCCGTCTGAGCTTCTTGTCTGCAGCGATGTCCTGAGGAACAGTTGGGTATCTATTAGTTGCGGCAGAGTCAGAAACAGACCGTTTTCCAGAGCTTGTCTCGTCGGGTGAGCCAGTCAACACCTGAGACAAGTTCTTGGAGCTAAAGGCGCTCGAGAACGAACGGTATCCGAACATGGACCGTCTCTTCTGTTGTTTTTCGTCCGACGTGGACTTGTTCCGTTGTTTTGGCATGAGAAGCGGTTCTTCCACCAACGGAGAGGCCAGAACTTCTTTCAGACGGAGCTCGTTGTCGCTGACAAACGCTTTCAGCTTGGCCACCAGCGATTCATACGAGCTGATCCAGTTCTCCAACAACTCCTCGTTGGCCTTGTAGTTCTGGAGCAGCTCTTCTGTGCTGGCACTGGCGTTGATTATTGGCTGGAAATCGTCCGCTTTGAAGAAGCTCATCTGGAAGATTTTCGCGAGGTTAGACGAAGGCATCTTGGTGACCTCGCAGATCTCGGGCCGGGTGAGTTTGTTGAAGAACGACAACAGGTATATGAACAGGTGGAGGTTGATGATAGGCAGACTTTGTAGAGCGTTGGCCTCGGAATCTGGTTCTTCCACACTGGAAGGGTCTGTTTTGTAAGATCCGACGCTAAATTCGCCGTCCGAGTCGTGCTGGGAAGCAGCTTCGGGCTTATGGTCTTTGGAAGGACTAGGAACCGCGAGATTTTTGAGAGCTTTGCTCACGTCCAGGGTGATCAGGCCGTCAGAAAGACCAGATAGCCATCTTTTCAAAATCATGGCGGCATCGTACACGTTTGGGACGGTGTCTTCAGACTCGTCGGTGACGGGGAGTCTTGCTGATTCGAAATCAAAGTTGTCGATTCCTGTTTCCTTGATAAGAGACTCGATTTTCTTGATTTTCTTGATCGACCCGTTGATTCTGAAGATTCCTTGTTCTGGGTCCTTTTCCAAAACAAAGCTGCAGCATTTGTGGACCAACAGAGGAACGGTCAGTTTGAGCCCATCGATTTCCAGCTCGATATTGGATGTCTTGGCCTCATTTTCCAACAAATGGCCAGAAGACAAAGGAGTAGCCACAGGGGTGGCCGTGTTTCTTCTTAAGGTCGTGGCAGAGGCTTCTTGAGGACTAGAAAGCTCGGAAAACGAGGTGTCCACTTTCAAAGGAGCCCCCGAGATTGAGAGCCGTTTGAGATTCCTCTCGCTGGTGAAAGACTTGAACAGCGGCTTCTTGAAGCCAGAGTCTGTTTCGTGGTTGACACGGGCCACAGGCTCAGGAACAGAGGGTTCTGTTTCAGAAGCCATGATGGATCAAAAATGGTGCGGATTGAGATAACTTTATAAATAATGGGCACCTGTCAGTTTGTGGACTGCGTTTCAGATAATCAACTGTCTGTTATGTGGATGCACAAAGATGAAGCTAAAACAAAAAGTCTTGCAAGTTGAGAATGTCGATGGGATCAAATAAACTGAAAAAAAAGTGTTTACTTTAACAAGATAAACGCATCAACTCTAAACAAACCCCTTCCCTCCTTTGAATCGTCAAACCAATGCGCATATCAATTACTCCAGAGAGTGGCTGATTGTTGGAAATTCACGCTACCGCGTTTGTTGCAGGGGCAACAATAGTGCACTATTATTTCCAACATTCCGCGTTTGTGGCTGAAGCCAAGAATGCAACGTGTGGCTAAGTAAACCCACTTCTTGGCCTGAAATTAGATTGACAGCCCGTTTCAATTTTTTTAGTTAGCCAGGCGGGTAACTGTTCTACATGACAACTCTATCTTGTGCGCCCTTAATAAATTTTGTTAATATAACACCAGGGAAATAATATATGGGCCGTTGATAAAAGGTATCCTATCTTTGTTCAGCCACATTATTTATACCCCGTACGATCGTTAACCAGTCAAAGAAGAAGTTTATGCCGGTGCAATTGAGAATCTCCCGCCACGATGTCTGAAAACTTGTACTCTGCCGTTTATTCGGGAGTGCCTGTGTATGAATTTCTCAATCCCAAGTCGTCTGTCATGCGACGAAAAATAGACGGCTGGATCAATGCGACGCACATCCTCAAGGTGGCCAATTTCCCTAAGGCGAAACGAACTAGAATCTTGGAACGAGACGTCCAGGTGGGAGTTCATGAAAAGGTCCAAGGTGGGTACGGTAAATACCAAGGAACATGGGTGCCAATGGACCGAGCTATAGATATCGCCAACGAGTTTGGAGTTTACGACGAGCTCAAGCCAATTTTCGATTACAAGGCCTCGGACGGAGCCGCCACTCCTCCTCCAGCTCCAAAACACCACCATGCTACAAGCGGGGCGGGCAAGAGAGGCCGCGCTAGCGCGAGAACGGCACCCGAGCCTTTGGCTGCCCGCACAGACGAGACGCCGGTGACAAGAAACGGCAACAAGGCCGCCTCGGTGAAAAGTCTGGCCGGCCCCACAGAGCCAGCAACTAAAAAACGTACATTGAGACCACCAAGAGCGCAACTAATACGAGAAATCCCGCCTCCTCAGCCCACCGACTCGGACTCGGAGTACGAAGATAGCGACACCAAACCGCGCGTCCAAACAACCAACGGAATGGGCATCCACGAAGCCTCTTCTCCGTCGGACTTTATGAGCGACGACGATATCAGCAACGCTTTGCACCAACAGTACATCAACCAGCGGTCTCATGACCATATCTCCCATAGATCACAGCAGTATATGGGAAACTTCTCGCCGTACCACAAGAACGAGCTGGACTCTCCACATTCGAGACCTCCGTCGTTTGGTAGCCAGCCAATCTCGCACAGAAACCAAGAATGGTTTGATTCCAAAAAAAGCTACACTCAAAAGCTTTTAGAGTACTTTCTGTCTACTGAAGATAATCTGACCGGAGATGTTGAGATCCCAGATTTCATCTTGGACCCCAACAGCGACTTTGACTCCAACCAGGTCATTGACAGAGACGGCAACACCACTTTCCATTGGGCTTGTGCCATGGGGGACTTGCGCATGTGCGACGCTTTACTAAGTCGCGGTTGCAACTATAGAGCTCTCAACAACGAGGGACAGGTCCCAATCATGAGAAGTGTTTTGTACACCAACTCGTACTCGAGACGCACTTTTGCCAAGTTGCTAGATCTCCTGAGAGACTCTCTGCTGGATACAGACGAGCGCGGGCGCACCATTTTGCACCACATTGGGTTTTCGACCAACTCTGTCAATAACCTGCCTTCGGCGAGGTACTACACCGAGATCTTGTTGACCAAGATTGCCGAGACAGTGCAGCCAATGGAGAGAATTATCAACTTTATCAACCAGCAGGACATGGATGGTAACACCGCTCTTCATATCATGAGCCACAACACTGCAAACAAGTGTATTCGTGTTCTTTTGGGCTACAATGCCAGGGTCGACATACCGAACAACCGCAACGAGTACGTGAGCGACTATCTTTACAACAATAGTGTTTTCGAGCCTGTTTCTGCTCAATATTCGTTTATGGGCAGCACCGGGGCGACAGCTTCTCAAAGGAACCATGCCGACTCGTTCACACAGATGAAACCGTTTGTTCCGTCGCTTAACTTCCACAATGCGTCGATCTTGCAGTCGCAGTTGAACGCGTCCAACTATCTTGCTCTGCCTCATTATTCGGAAACCGCTATGCAAGTGAGCCACAAGTCGGGAGACTTTATAGAGAAGCTGGGAGAATTGTCGAATGCGTTTGACCAGGAACTGCAACAACGCGACAGCGACATCAAAGAGCTCGGCATGATCCTCAGCCAGATGGACACAGACATAGCCAAGACAGAAAGCGATATCAAGGATATATTGAAGACTGTTTTGAAGCTCGAGAAGGAGGAAACGGGCGATTATGAGGCCGCTCTTGCACAGATGAAGGACGAGTTGAAACTCGCCGAGGAAGAGTATGTGTCCAAGATTCAGACTCTGAAAAAAATGATTGAGAGATCTCAAGCTAAAGATCTTGCTACCGATGTTCAACAATGCGAAACAGAAAGATTAAAACAGACCAAGATCGACAACGAGGGCGATCTCAAGCCTGCAGAACCGACCGTCGAGAATCTTAAACTGGTTCTTTCTATGATTGCTCTACAAATGACCAGAAAACGTACTGTTGACGAACTTGTCAACCTGTATGCTGATGCCTCAGAAAACACAGAAACCATATCGAAATACCGTCGGTTGGTTTCCAAACTGTCGAGCGTGCCGATCGTCGAAGTCGACGAAAGCTTGAACGACATTGAAGAGTGTTTAAAAGCAGAGGAATGATTAGCCATCACTATGTATATTAATGTACTTCTAAAAAAAATACAGAGCCACATTATTTTTCTATCCAGTACCTTTATTTCTTCTTCATGACTTCCGAGTTACAACTTGATTACGAGGAAAACTACAACGTTCCTGTGCTTGGAGATCCAGAACAGGTCGTTTCGACTGTTTTGACGATCCCGCCAGCATTGTATCTGGACGAATTCAAATATAACCTACCCCCTGCAACAAGAAGGCTGATTATCTTTCTACACGGGATCGGAGCCCATAAGAACTTTGGGTTCCAGCCAGAACTCGTGCGTACGGTGACTAAAGAACTGGGCGTTTACACAGCCCGATTCGACTTTAGAGGATGCGGAGACTCGTCTCCAGGTGACCCTCAGGCCCGAACTTTGGAACAAGATGTCGAAGATCTAGACAGCGTGATCGAGTTTTTCTCGTCCGGAGGCCATCAGGGCACACCATTGAACGTCGATGTTATTTGTGGACACTCGCGTGGCGTGATTGCGATGTTCAATTGGGCATTGAGACAACAAACGTTGAAAAAACCACAGGTTTACAATCTGATCAACCTTGCTGGTCGCTTTGACGGTAGAGGCTACGAGAGAAAGGCATTGAAGACTCATCCCGATTACAAGGAAAAGGGCGGGTTCAATTTGTCCGGATACGTAAATGGGAGATACCGGGACGTTTGGTGTTCGTTAAGAGAAATTGAGAGCGTTTCCTCGCAGGATATGAATAAAGTCGCCAATTTGGACGGTTTGGTTCAGGTTTTGAACGTTTACGGGTCCGTTGATGAGGTCATTCCTCCAGAAGACAAGTATTCCTACGAGAAGGTGCTTGGAAAGAGGGGAAAGCTCGTGGTTATTGATAAGGCCAATCACAACTTTTTTGGGTGCCAAGTGTACGACGATCCGAACTCCCCGGATTATCAGCTCAGAGACGGGAACGTGATTATAGACAACAAGCCATACCCTTTGAAACGCAGCAGAAAGGCCATCGATTACAGCGGAGAGCTGACTAAAATTGTTCTGGACTGGCTTTCTCCAGAAGCCAGCAGTCAACGGTTCTATGAGAGCTCGTTGTACATCGATGCGAACACACCCAGATGGATCAACGTGGACGGATTGTCCAACGTTCGTGACCTTGGTGGCTGGAAAACCATCAACGGGGACAAAGTCCGGTCGAGACTGCTGTTCCGGTGTGCGGATCCGGGCCGTATTACGGATTCCGGTATCCAAACCTTACACGAGCTCAAGATCAAGGCCGTGTTTGATCTGCGGTCGCACGAGGAGCGCGACGAGGTCGGGTCATTGGAGATTCCCGGTGCTACCAACTTTCATGTTCCGGCGTTTGACGCAAACTTGTCGCCGTTACAGGCGATCAAGCACTATGTCTACCTTCTAACGTCGTGGTCGACATACCTACAAGTTTACAAGGACGTGCTGGAGAGCGGGGTGGAGGCGTTCAAGACGGTGTTTGAGTTTCTGCGCGACCACCCCGACGAGCCGATCGTGTTCCACTGCACGGCAGGTAAGGATCGCACCGGTGTGGCGGGGATGCTGATTCTGCTGCTTGCCGGCGTCGACCCTTGGATCGTGGCGCGCGAGTACGAGCTGACCGCTGTCGGACTGAAACCGGATCATGACACCATCAGAAGTAAGTTTTTCACCGCCTTGAAAAAAATGCCAGAGTCCGATTCGAAAACACGGCTGATTCAAGGGGTTGTGCGGGGCCGCGCGAACTGGGACTTTGAGGAGGACGGGTTCCAGAACCTGATCAGCAGCCGGTACGAGGCGCTGCGTGCGACTATCGACTGGGTGAACGAACACTATGGCGGTGTTGAAAAGTACCTTAGTGACCGTGTTGGTTTGCAAGACGTTGATTTGGTTCGAGCACACCTTTTGGCCCCAAAGCCTTCGATAACCGAAATATAGACGGGGAGATTGAAATCTGGTGGATTTGGGGTCGAGCACCGCCTGGATGAGGGGTGTTTACCAATAAGAACAATAGAAAACTGTATGACAAGTTCGCAGGCTCCTATACCGGAGAGAAAACTATTGTCTCCTGCACCGGAACAGGCAATCTAAAAATTTTTCACGAGGCTCCAATTCAGTCAGACTGGTTCAAGACATATATTAGGCTAGTGGGGAAGAAAATCGGCGCTGAAAAATCATAGCAAGGTCTTTTTAGTCAATATGTTCAAGAGAACCGTTGCATTGCTCGAGAAGAGCAAATACAAGCCCTTTGCCAACATGCTCAGGGACCCGTCTGTCAAGTACTCGCGATTCAGAGGTGTTGATCTTCCTGACAGAACGTGGCCCAACAAGGTGATCACCAAGGCACCACTGTGGCTGTCGACGGATCTTCGTGACGGTAACCAGTCCTTGCCTGATCCGATGTCTGTTGAGCAGAAGAAAGAGTATTTCCACAAGCTTATTGAGATTGGATTCAAGGAGATCGAGGTTGCTTTCCCGTCCGCTTCTCAAACCGATTTCGATTTCACCAGGTACGCTGTGGAGAACGCTCCTGACGATGTTTCGATCCAGGCTCTTGTGCAATCACGTGAACACTTGATCAGAAGAACCGTGGACTCTTTGAAAGGCGCCAAGAGAGCTGTGGTTCACACGTACCTGGCCACGAGCGATCTGTTCAGAGACGTTGTTTTTGGAATGAGCCAGAAGGAGGCTATCGAGAAGGCCGTGCAGACCGCCAAGTTTGTGAGATCGTTGACCAAAGACGACCCGGCTTTGAAAGACACTGTTTGGTCGTACCAGTTTTCTCCAGAATGTTTTAGTGACACCCCTACCGAGTTTGCGCTGGAGATTTGCGAGGCCGTCAAGGCCGCCTGGGAGCCCACCGAGGAGAACCCAATCATCTTCAACCTGCCGGCCACCGTTGAGGTTTCTGGCCCGCACGTTTACGCTGACCAAGTTGAGTATTTCTCGAGAAACATCTCAGAGAGAGAGAAGGTGATCATTTCCCTCCACTGCCACAATGACAGGGGTTGTGGAGTGGCTGCCACCGAGCTGGGTATGCTTGCTGGTGCCGACAGAGTCGAGGGATGTCTCTTTGGAAACGGTGAGAGAACCGGTAACGTTGATCTTGTGACTGTGGCTTTGAACATGTACACTGACGGAATTTCGCCAGACCTGGACTTTTCCGACATGGAGTCTGTGATTGACGTTGTTGAGAAAGGCAACAAGATTCCTATCCACTGCCGTGCCCCATACGGTGGCTCGTTAGTTGTTTCTGCGTTCTCTGGCTCGCACCAGGACGCTATCAAGAAAGGATTTGTGAAGCAGGCCGAGAGAGAGGCCAAAGGCGACCGCAGATGGCTGATCCCGTACTTGCCACTGGACCCTAAGGACATTGGTAGAAACTACGAGGCCGTGATCAGAGTGAACTCGCAGAGTGGTAAGGGAGGAGCCGCCTGGGTGGTGGAGAGAGCTTTGGGCTTGGATCTGCCAAGAGAAATGCAGGTTGACTTCTCGAAGGTTGTTCAGGAGGCTGCCGACAAGCTTGGCAGAGAGCTCAAGTCGGACGAGATCATCTCGTTGCTACAGTCGAACTACAACATCGACAACTGCTCGAGCGGCGCGTTGAAGTTGCAGGACTACTCGATCCAGAAACAGTCCGAGTTTGTCACCACGATCGAGGTGCACGTGACGTACAACGGCAAGGAGGTCACTGTCGAGGGAACCGGTAACGGACCGATCTCGTCGTTTGTGAACGCCGTGTCGAAGGTGGTTGGCCGCGAGATCGAGCTGCAGAAATACGCCGAGCACGCTGTGGGGTCTGGCTCCAACACCAAGGCTGCCACGTACGTGTATCTCACCAGCGGCGACGACTCGCAATGGGGAATCGGAATCCACGAGTCCATCACGCGGGCCTCGCTCAACTCGATCCTCGCCTCGGTCAACGGCCTCATCGCCGGCAAGCCCCACACCCTGCATCTGAAAAGAGCTACAGCATAAAAGTATTTATTTCTTTAAAAATTCACCGCCTGTTGGGTAGCCAGCCAGCCGCTTGCCACGCTATAAAAATTTTTTTCACCCTGGCCATTTTCTTCGTACCTAAACCATCTTATTAGACAGTACGATGAACCTTAAAAGCCATGTTTTTATGGCCCGCTCCATAGCTTCATTCCGTGATACAAGATGGTGAGATCAACATGTGCTAATAAGAACCCGTCTGGATACACTTTGTGTAGTGGAAAGAGGGGTGTCAGATAGCACAGATATCTTAAAGCTTTGTAGAATTAGCGCTCCTTGAGCAGCTTGTTGCGCTTCTCGCGTCTGCGTAACCGGTCCACCTTCTTTGCGTGCATGATACTGGCCATGCGCTCGTACCGTTCCTTTTCCTCCTTCCGGGCCCGTTTTTCCTTGATCTTGTCCACACGGGCCTTTTTCTCGGCCTCTTTCTCCTGCTTTAGTTCCCGCAGCTTCTGCTTCAGCTGCTCGTCTTTGCGCCGTTGCTCCTGCTTCTTGTCCCACGAGCTGGCCACGCCTCTCGACCGCAGCCGGAACGCGTTCTTCTCCACCTTCCAGTTCTTTCCTGTGGGTTAGTCGTGTGGAGGAATGTCACTTACCGCTCACGCGCGAGCCCTGGCCGGGATCTGCACTCCCGCTAGCCGTCTCCGTAGCTCCAGTAGTCATGTGCTCTAGGAAATAAAAATGTGCTTCTTCTGCACAGCCAGATCAGAGCGAGAAAATTTGATCTTTAGATGAAGACACCCGTACACCAGCGGAGAGGATCAGGGTGGCTATTGTCTATTCGTGTTGTATGTACAGTCGCATCGTCGCACTCTACCGGGACGCCCACTTGAAGAACCCGCAGTTGTACGCGTCCACATCCTTTTCCTGCTTCTGCTCCTGGTCCGTGGCCCACGACTCGGTCAGCGTGCTGCGCGCACAGCACCAGAACTTCTTGCCCCGGTTCTTCTCCGCCTTCACCGTGCGCAGGCTGCATGGCTCGCCGTGTTTGCACAGCGGCGCCGAAGAGCTCGAGTCCTTGAGCATCTCTTTGAAGTTGGCCACCGAGATCCGCGGCTTGGGTTGCTCGTGCTCCTCGGGCGCGTCGTAGCTCGATTTGAAGAAAAAGTCAGAGATCGATAGCTGCTCGTGCGGCTCGACTTTCTGTTTCTTCCTGGTGGCATAGTCAATAGCCTGTGTAGGTTCGGCCTGTTCCTGCGGCAATGGCCGTTCTCTCTTTTTGAAGAACTTGTCAATGCTGCCTCTCGTGTGCAGTCCGTAGAAATTGGTGGCCTCAAACCAGTTGGGTTTGGCCGCGTACTCCAAAGACCGGTCGTTGGCCTTCACGAGCTCCGACCCGGCATACTCGTAGTCTGTGAACGTAGGACAGTGGTCCGACCCGTGAAGGAACGGCCAGATGTCCGCCTGGTTGGCCACACACGCGAGTTTCTCCGAGGCCAAGATCAAGTCGATCCGCGACCCAATGTTCAATGGTCTGTTGCTCTTGAACGTGCTCCAAACAGTGTACATTTTCAGTCTGCGACCCTGTTTCTCGCGCACCACGTCGTGGAGGAACTGCGAGTCTCGCACGGCACCAAACCCGCTCGAGTCCACCACATAGTTGTTAACCAGAGTTCGGTGCGGAGCAGAATTTTTGAAAGCTAGCACTTGCTCCACGTTCAAGGACTCAAAGTCGTGCGATTCCTGTGCCTTGACCAGCTTGCGTTCGCGGAACGCCGTCTTGATTGTGTCGTCGCTGTCAATCAGGTCCACACACACGTTGATGTCGCCCATGATGACCACATGCTTGCCCATCTCGCGCAGGTTCTGTGCTCGTTCGAACAGACACCCCAGAAACAGCATGCGGAACTCCTCACCTTCCTCTGTTGCCAAGCTGTTGGCGGGACAGTAAACGCTGATCACCACCACGTTGAAGTTGAGCTCAACAATAACACACCGTCCTTCGCCATCCACCTTGCGCAACTTGTCGTAAACGTTCTTGTGGCTCGGATACCCGCCAATACATGTTTCGCGCAACGTGGGGTCCTCGTACGCCTCTCTATAGGATAGGGTTTTCTTCTTGTGAGGGAGAATCCCGGTGATTCCTTCCTCGACCCGGATCACAGTAAGAGCTCTTTTGATCAGATCAGGCTCGTCTTGACGCGGTTTGCGTACAAAAACGCCGACTCCCGAGTACCCTTTCTTTGACAACGGAACGCTAATGAAGCTGGAATACCCTGGAATATCGGCAATCTTCAAATCAACGTCCGACCTCTGCAATTTGAGCTCCTGGAACGTGACTATATCCCCCTTCATCATATCCAACATCTGGCCGTACTCAGACACCAGGGTCCATGGATAATAATTCTTCAATGTCTTGACACCGTTGACATTGAACGTAACCAGCCGTAGCGACGTTAAACTTCGCTTGGCAGGTATTCGCTCGTCACAAGACATAACAATAAAAGTTTAAGTTATTTAATGTTTGATTTAATTATTTAGGGTATGAATTATAAAGGTGCCGGAAATCGGGCCCAAACGGCAAGAAGAGTCTCTGAGCAGCAAAAGTGCAAGCAAGCAAACTAGCAAGAATGGCCGGATTCTAGCTGGACTCGGCGGCGGCCTCAGCTGCGGCCTCAGCTTCCCGTTTGACGATACTGGTCTTGTCCTGGTAGCTGTGCCAGGAAAATCTTGCGTCGGCGTCGGCGTCGGCTTCTGGGCTGGCTTCAGCCTCTGCCTCGGCTTCGCGCTTGACAATGCTGGTTTTGTCTTGGTAGCTGTGCCAGGAGAATCCTGCCTCAGCTTCAGCAACGGCCTCAGCAACGGCCTCGGCCTCTGCGATCGGAGCAGCGTAGGCAAGAGAAGCAATCATGGAGTAAAGAAGAGCGCGAGTGAAGAGCATGGTGAAGAGGATCGAAGTTGGATGATGAGATTAAAGGCGGTCTTTCACCTCGTTTAAATACTTCGCCCAGACTCTCAAGCCGTCTGTCAATTACTGCATCTTCGTTTCAGTCTCATGCAATCAATAACATCTTCCCAACCCTCCACCGTCGAGCACAACCCACTTGTATGGTAAAGCACCTTTCAGACCCCAATCGGGAAACCTTGCTTCCCCAGAGACATGCACAGCCCGGTTTCCTAATTAGGGTGTGAAAGGTGATTTCTGGAGCACACTGGCAGTATATATGTCGAGTGGCTCTCTGGACAGCCACTGCTCGACGAAACAACCACAAACAGCCCAGGGGCACCTGTTTCTGCGGTGGGAGACAAGACTTCCTGATTTGGCAATATTTGGCAATATCAACAACACTTATGGCCCGATTTGGTTAATAGACCAGACTTCAAGCATGTTTGCTGGTCCGCGTACCTTTCCCTTGGTGCATTCGTTGCAGTGATTGGACGAGGTCGAACAAACGACCCCTGTTGAGCGTGAGAACCTGACATTCGTAGGTTCACATGATCGGAAGCGGTCTGACTTTGAACACGACTTTCTTGCTAATCACGTCCACGATCTCGCACTGGCCGTTGTTATTAGAATCCAGCTTTAGCACTCCAAGCGGTGGGTCCACAGACTCTACGTTTCCGACAAGTCTTTGCGATGTGCTGATATACAACGTGGCTTTCTTCATGTCCTGTTCGATTTCGAGCTTGCCAAACTTGACTGCGTCTTTGGTGATTTCTTGTCCGTTGGCCACAAGTTGCGGGATCGCGACTGTGGTGAACAGATCTTGTTCCTTTTGACTAAGGGTCTTTGGTTTGGAATCAGGCAAATTCAATTCACCTTGGATTTCCAGGATCATCGACCCCCATTTCGTCGAAACCACTGACGCGACACTCGGATCTGCACTCGACGTGTCACTGTTTATGCTTTCAAATGCCTTTTCAGTGTTAATGCTTCTAGAGGGCATCACGCGTCAGGGAAAAAAAAAGATCTAAATTAATAATTTGCCAATGTTATCAGTGTTTAGATCGAAGAACTTTAACGCCGACAAGTTCGAGAAACATCTGAAGGATCTATCGCGAAAGATCCTGTCAAAAGAGAAGGCGCTGGATCGTTACCAGAAGAACAAGTCGCACTACAAAAAAGCCAGTCTTTTATATCTTGTTGGGCTTTATCTTAGTTATGTGTCGTATTTATATTTCTCTACAGATAAACTGGGTCGACAGCATTGGGTGCACGTTTTGGCCTCTCCATTGGCGATAGTGTTGGTTAATGTTGCTATTGAGCGTTTTTACAGTTATTTGATCGCCAAAACCTCTCGACAGCTGGAATCTTTAAGAGAGCAACATCAGGACAAAATATCAGAACTAAAGGAGAAAACCAATTTCGACAAAACAAACGAGCTTTTGAACCGGTTCTCGAACGGTGAGGACCTCAAGGAGCTCGAGAGCGAGGCACAGGAAATCAATAAACGCAAACAGGAGTATTTACAACTGATCAAAGACGGCAAGGCTCCGAGCCTTGAATCGGCCTCCAAAGACACAAAGACGTTTTATGACCAGTTCTTCAACCTGCTTCTTGGCAGTGACGAGCTGGGACCCGACATGCGCTACGCACTCATTTGCAAATCGTGTTTCCAGCACAACGGACTGGCTCCTAAAGGTGTGGAGCCAGACAGGGTGAAGTATGTGTGTCCAAAATGCGGCACACTCAACGGCCAAGACGAGATCGAGCCCGCTCCGGAAACTACACAAACAGCTGAGAAAGACTAACTAGTTGTAAATACCTATTTATCTAAGAAGTCAAAGACATAATGGCATTGACCATGTCTCCGTTATGTTCTTTCAAGGCCTTCACAGCCTTGGCACGAGAAACGTTGGTTTGCTCGACAATGATTCCAATGTCAGCGGCGTCGAGTCCGGTCTCGTCGACCTCCTCATCGTCGTCATCCTCAGTAGGCTTCGAGTCAGCCAAAGAAGCGGCCTGCAAGTCGGCAGTGATGGATTCTGGGTCCTTTGGAGCCTCACCTTCCTTAACGGCAGCAGCAGCTTGCTGAGCAGCCTCTTGGGCGGCAGCAGCCTCGGCGTATCTCTTGTTCAGGTCCTCGACCTTGGCCTCACCGAACACGACGTACGATCCAGCAACAGATCTGTACACTTCTGGGTTGTCAATGGCCAGGATGAAGTTGCCCTTCTTTCTGAAGGTGACTCTGGAGATTCCGTTAACTTGCTTCAATCCGAGCTTGAGGATGAGCTGTCTGGCCTTCTTCTCGTTCTTGGACAGGACGTGGACTTCAGCTCCGTCTGGGATTTGGTTTTCGTTGATTTCTTCGATTTGTGCAGAGGCCATTTTGATGGTGATGAGATTGTATGGAGAATTTTTCAAGTCGTCGAAAAAAAGATGGAGCCGGTTACGAGCTCCGCGCTCGAGTAGAAATTAAATCCGTGTGGGAGCCCTTAATAATAAATTTCGGGAGCAGGGCAGGGCAGGACATGGTGGCTAAATGGGGCTTGGCCCTCAAGTGGGCCTTTGAAGCTTAGCTTTATAAAAATGGTAAACGTCCCAAATCACGGTCCGTGTAGTTTCTCCATCAAAGCCCCATCCAGAGTATCCCAATCACCTTGTAAAATCTCGGACCGGGTTGAGGTTTTATTTATTGGCCCCGAAAAGTATTTACCTGTATTTACAAAACAAATAGGTACCGTTTTTCTGTTTTATATCTTGAACACCCTGAACATACAGTTCCGGTGTATATTCGGGTTTGCAAACAGTGCATTCAAACAGTCCTTTTGATACACAAGAACCTGTCTCTTTTGAAATAGACATTACTGATTTGGTATCAATAGACTAGTTTCGCAGCTTGAATATTGCTCTACATTACTTATACCATCTTAGCTAGATCAACATGAGCACGCAACAACGAAAACAGCCGTGGTGGAAAACCGGGTTTTCCAAAAAGTACCAGCCCAGCACAGAAGAACGGCAAATCTTCTTTAATCTCCCTCTGCCGGAGTCCATGCTGGACCCCAAAACGAGGCTTCCACTCGCTAATTACCCGAGAAACAAGATTAGAACCACAAAGTATACCCCGATTTCATTTCTTCCAAAGAATATCTTCTTCCAGTTCACCAATATCGCCAACTCGTATTTCCTGTTGATTATTATTCTGGGAGCGTTCCAGATCTTTGGAGTGCAAAGTCCAGGCATGCAGGCCGTTCCACTGATTGTGATTGTTGTTTTGACGGCAATCAAGGACGGGTTCGAAGACTACAGAAGAAGCTCCTCTGATATGGAGCTTAATAACTCTAGAGTGCACATTTTAACGGGCTTGGATAATCCAAACGTGGCAGTCGATCATGTTGGTCCGTGGAGAAAATTCAAAAAGGCGTGCAGCAGAGGCACCCGGTCGTTCATCTACACGATCAGTGGACAGTCCAAAAAACGGGCAGAGATGCAACAACTACTTTCCAACGATTTGGAAAGAGTTGCCACCATCAGCTCAAACCAGACCCAACAGCCTCGGACGTCCATGGCAACTGCCAGATCGCAACGCTCTGCCAAAATATCCCCCTTTGTGGCTAACACTGTTTCAGATCCAAACGTGGTTCCTGAGATGAAGTACAAGTTCCAAAATAAATTCTGGAAAGACATTAGCGTGGGAGACATCATTCGGATCAGAAACAACGAGGAAGTGCCTGCCGATGCGATCCTGCTTTCGACCAGTGACGAGTTTGGCGAGTGTTACGTCGAGACTAAAAATCTCGACGGTGAGACAAACTTGAAGAGTAAACACGCTCTCAAATGCGGCTTGGGCCTGAAACATGCGGCTGACTTGGAAAGAGTGCGAATGGTCGTCGAGACAGAACCTCCAAATGCTAATCTGTACAAGTTTAGAGGTGTGGTCAAATACACTGCGTACGACTCGGAACATGACACTACCGGCCACGAGGCCCAGGAACCGGCTACTTACGATAACGTGTTGCTCAGAGGTGCTTCTCTCAGAAACACCAAATGGGCTCTCTGTATTGTGGCTGCAACAGGTAACGATACCAAGATCATGCTCAATGCGGGAATCACTCCTACCAAGAAGTCCAAGCTTTCGAGTCAACTTAATATCTCTATTATCATCAACTTTGTGGCTCTGTTCATCCTATGTTTTGTGTCGGGATTGATCAACGGACTGTTCTACGACAAATCAGACACTTCAAGAGCCCTTTTCGAGTACAAACCTCTTGCTGGATGGAGCTCAGCTGCCAATGGTGTTGTTGCTTTCTTTGTGGCTTTGATTCTGTACCAGACATTAGTTCCGGTGTCGTTCTACATTTCCATTGAAATCATCAAAACCATCCAGGCATATTTCATTTACGCCGACGTCAAGATGTACTACGCTAAGCTGGATTTCCCATGCACTCCAAAATCTTGGAACATCTCTGATGATCTGGGCCAGATCGAGTATATTTTCAGTGACAAGACCGGAACGTTGACTCAGAACGTTATGGAGTTCAAGAAATGTACCATTGCTGGCAAGTCTTATGGACTTGCGTACACAGAGGCTCAACAAGGTATGGACAAACGGGCTGGAGTCAATGTTGCTGAGGAGAAGGAGAAAATGACACAGGCAATTGCTCTTGATAAAGAAGACATGTACGACCAGTTGGAAAAACTCAATAACGACCAGTATCGCCAGGATAAAGTCACGTTTGTTTCCAGCGAATACTTGAAGGATGTCAGCGAGTCTGCTGATCCGGAAAGGAAAAAGGCAAACGAGAGCTTCATGCTCGCACTGGCTCTTTGTCACACAGTAATCACCGAAAAGGACGAGGAAGGATACTTGTCGTTCCAAGCAGAGTCTCCAGATGAAGCAGCTTTGGTTGCCGTTGCAAGAGACGTTGGTATTGTTTTCAGAGAACGTACCAGATACGGACCAACCGTGACGATCTATGACAATGAAAAGCCTTTAAGTTACGAACTGTTGGAGATCATTCCATTCAACTCCACCAGAAAGAGAATGTCTGTGATTTTGAAAGGACCAGACGGACGCATTGTTTTGTACTCTAAAGGTGCCGATAACGTCATCTATGAGCGTCTGGATCCAAACTCCGACAAGCAGATGTTGAGCAAGACGGCTATTCATCTTGGCGAGTATGCCGAGGAAGGTCTCAGAACACTGTGTATTGCCCAGAAAGAGATCTCTGAGAAAGAGTTTAACGAATGGCACGAGAAGTACAAAGCTGCCAGTGCTTCCATTTCTGAAGACAGAGAAGAAAAGATGGAAATTCTTGGAAACGAAATCGAGGCTAAGTTGACTCTTCTTGGAGGAACCGCTATTGAGGATCGTTTGCAAGACGGTGTTCCCGACTCGATCTCTCTGTTGGCCAGTGCTGGAATCAAGTTGTGGGTTCTTACCGGTGACAAGGTCGAGACGGCCATCAACATTGGGTTTTCCTGTAATTTACTCGGCAACGACATGGAACTTTTGGTGATCAAGTCGAATGAAGATTCGGAAAAAGACGCTGCTTCTGAACTGGTTCCAAAATACCTCACTGAGAAGTTTGGAATCGAGGGAACGAAACAGGACCTTGAGAACGCCAAGAAGGATCATTCTCCGTCCAGTGGAAACTACGCCATAATTGTGGACGGAGCTTCATTGGAGTCGATTTTCAACAACCCAGAGCTGAAACTCAAGTTCCTGCTGCTGTGCAAACAGTGTAGGTCTGTGCTATGTTGCCGTGTTTCTCCCGCTCAAAAGGCTCAAATCGTCAAGATGGTCAAGGACACATTGAAAGTGATGGCTCTTGCTATTGGAGACGGAGCCAACGACGTGGCCATGATTCAAGCGGCCAACGTTGGTGTTGGTATTGCTGGAGAAGAAGGACGTCAAGCCGTTATGTCGAGTGACTATGCCATTGGCCAGTTCAGGTTCCTTGTGAGATTGTTGTTAGTTCACGGCCGGTGGTCGTACAAGAGACTCGGAGAAATGATCACCTGCTTCTTTTACAAGAACGTCAATTTCGTGATGGCTCTGTTCTGGTACGGTATTTTCAACAACTTTGATGGATCGTATCTTTACGAGTACACTTACTTGATGTTTTTCAACTTGGCATTCACGTCGTTGCCTGTGATTTTCCTTGGAATTTTGGACCAGGATGTTCCGGACTATGTTTCGCTGCTGAACCCTGAATTGTACCGGTCTGGAATCCTGGGACTCGAGTGGTCTCCATTCAAGTTCCTTTACTACATGGCCGATGGACTGTACCAGTCGTTTGTTGCGTTCTTCTTCCCGTGGTTCCTGTTCCACCAGGCCAACTATGTGAACCAGCACGGACTTAACGTGGACCACCGGTTCTGGGTTGGAATCTTCTGTGCACACATCTCTGTGGTGTCATGTAACTTGTACGTGATGCTAATGCAGAAAAGATGGGATTGGCTTTCGATGCTGATCATTGCCATTTCCATTCTGTTGATCTTCTTCTGGTCGGGAATCTGGACCTCGTCGCTGGGGTCGCAGGAGTTCTACAAGGCTGCTTCCAACTGTTACGGAACAGTTGCGTTCTGGTGCACCTTTTTTGTGGGTGTGCTTTTGTCTGTTTTGCCACGGTTCACCTACGAGATTCTCAACAGACTCTACCGGCCAAAGGACATCGACATCATTAGAGAACGCGTGGACATGGGGGCCTACAAGAACTACACCGACGATTACGACCCGACTCTTGGCCCTACGGTGCAGTCTCCGTCGGAGTCTGTGATGGGCCGGTCGCAATCCGAAGAGCTGACCGACGAGAAGAACGATATCGAGGCCAACGAGACGCTGGCCATTCGTCCAAGAAGAAATACCATCAAAAAGATGATAGACAAGATCACTCCGGGAGTCAAGCAGTCTCCGCTGGAAACCATCCGGCAGTCGATGATTCATTCTGGCCAGGCCTCGCACCGGTCCTCGGCGCAGATGATCCGCACCAGCCACGACCTCGAGGGCATCACGTCCCCAGAGAACCTCATGAGATTGCACACCAGAAACAGCCAGCTGACCAAGTGAGAGGTGGAAAGCACACCTCGCACCGCTACTATATAGAATACATCAAATACAGGTTTTTTTTTGTTCGCAGATGGTGGAGCAGACAGAACAAGTTGAGGAGGCTCAATTGCCCGAGTTCACGCTGAAGAATGTGCTGGGCGACATCAAATACGGCGTTGTTTCGCTGTTCAACAACCCCTTTTTTGCGCTCATTGTGACGGGTGTTTTGATGACGTTTGAGTCGCTGGCTTTGAAAGCCATCATCTACAAGATACCGTACACGGAAATCGATTACAGCACTTATATGCAGCAGATCGAGCAGATCGAACGTGGTCAACTCGATTACGCCCAAATCAAAGGCGATACAGGCCCAATTGTGTATCCTGGAGGATACGTCTACATTTACTCGTGGATGAAGTGGTTTACCGAGGGAATGGAGGATATTAATACAGGTCAGCAGATATTCAGATATTTGTACCTTGCGACATTGCTGCTGACGTTTGTGGCGTACTTCTCGGCACAGCCGAAACTCAAGCCGTACGTGCTTTATTTTCTGTGTCTTTCCAAACGGTTGCACTCGATCTATGTGCTTCGGTTATTTAACGATTGTTTTGTCACGGCGTTGATGGTGGCTACGGTGGTTGTTTTGCAGAAGGCCGCACACTTCCAGAAGTCCAGCCGGGGAATCAGCCTGTTGCTGACGTTTTTCAGCGCAGACCTGTTCAGTTCTGCAGTTTCTGTGAAAATGAACGCCTTGCTGTATCTGCCTGGATATTTGGTGGTTGCATATTTTTTGTGCGGAGAAAACCTGTTGATCACGTTTGCGGTGGTTGTCTTTGGCCTGTTTGTGCAGGTGGGCATCAACTGGGACTTCCTCACCGCCTCCGATACCATCAGATCTCACTTTTTGCAAAACGCCTTTGATTTCAAGCGGTCGTTCTTGTACGAATGGACAGTCAACTGGAAATTTGTTCCGGAATCAATTTTCAATAGCCGTGAGTTCCATACACTGCTGTTGGCCGGCCACGTTGGTGCTCTGGTGCTGTTTGGCCTGAAAAAATGGACACCCAAATCGATCACCGGCAAATCCTCCGCAAAGTTGATCAAAGACAGCCTGCTGTTCTACAAGTCCACCATCCGCCCGGAGAACGTGATCCTGTCCCCAGAGGGGCCCAGATACGTGTTTTACGTAATGGCAACATCCAACCTAATTGGGATTATATTTGCGCGCTCGCTTCACTATCAGTTCTTATCGTGGTACTTTTGGACGCTGCCGATGCTGCTGCAACTAGCCGAAATCCCATGGTACATTCAGCCAGCAATGATGGCGGCACACGAGTGGTGCTGGAACGTCTACCCGACCACTGCGACGAGCTCGGGGGTCCTTGTTGCCATTTTGGGCTCGGTACTTGTGCTCCAGCTTCGGTGTGGCTTCGTAAAGCCGAAACAGGAATAAATTAGGTCGATCCGCCGATCGACGCAACTATTTTCGGATCTTTTTTTTAGCACGCTTTTCTGCCCAAAAAATAGCCCTGACACACTTTTTTGGCACGGTTTTTTCCCCTCCCAACTCTTACCCGGCCGAGTATTTCTGGGAAGGTTGTTGAACCGTCAAATTAGACAGAAAAATAGCTTTTTACTTAGTGGAGGTTAATTTGATTTCCGTCGGTTTACAGGTTCTGATCAGTGCTTTTATTCCCACTAGACACAGCCACACCTGTCATTGACGACAAAGCGGCGGTGTTACATTTAAAATTGGTGATTATCCCAAAGAAAGGTTAACTACTGATTTTATTTCACCACTAGGTCTAATCGGATATAATCGTCTCTTGTTTGATAGATTATCCGGAAAGCGATCGTTTACCAGCAGAAGCGCCAGATCACGTGGAAGGATCGCAATACATTTTCAATTGCACCGTTCTTCATGAGTCAGGACAATACTCCTCAGGGTTCCGGAGGCAACATACCGATGTCCGATCAGCCAAATAATCCCTCGTCGGCCAGTGCCAGCAATCCTAACCCGCCATTATCCTCTGCATCGTCCGTTCCTACAGTGTCGGATTCCACAGCTGTAAATTCCCGAGAGCTGCTGAACGCCTATGTTTATGATTTTATTCTCAAGTCTGGTTTCACAGCCACGGCCGGTGCCTTTTTCAGAGAGCCAATATTCAGGTGATAAACAGCGAGAAAAAACCATCCGGGTCGCCTTCCAACGCTTCCTCCGGCACCCCAGATCTGCCAGCCTCGCACATGACCATGGATGCTCCACAGGGGTTTTTGTATGAGTGGTGGCAGATTTTCTGGGACGTTTTCAACGCCAGGACCCAGCGCGGCGGAACATCGAACGCCACGCAGTACTATCAGTATGTGAACTTGAAACAGAAACAGGACCATCTGATGAGCCAGCAGGCGGCTGCTGTCGCCGCGGCCTCCTCCATAATCAATGGAAACAGTTCATCGTTGGCAGGAACTCCGGTGACTTCTGCGGCGCAAGACATGGGTCTTTTGATGCCTCAGCAGCAGCAACAGCAGCAGAACCAGATGTCTCACCCGCCCCAGCAGGTGCAGATTCCGCAACAGCAGCGGATGAACGCCCGGATGCAGCAGCAGCAGCCCCAGCAGCAGGGTCAGAACATGCCTATCCACCCCCAGGCCGCCGCGCAGGCCCAAATGAACACGCTCAGGCAGCAGCAACTTGCGCAGCAGGCCCAAGCCGCACAGGTGGTGGCCCAGCGGGGGTCTCCGTCCAAGAGACAGCGACTGGACAGCAGTGGAAACAGCAGTGGCACGGAGTTGAACCAGGCCTCGTCGCCAACCATAAACATGAACTCTCAGCAACCCCAGCAGCAACAGCAGCAGCAACAACAACAACAACAACAACAGCAGCAACACCCTCCAATGCCGTTGCCGCAGGGAATGATGATTCCTAACCAGTTTGGCGTGCCCCAGCAGTATGCGATTTTCGCTGCGGCCCAGGCGTCCCACCAGGGCCAGCCCCAGCCGCAACCACAGCCGCAACCGCAGCCCCAGCAGAAGTACAACCAGTACATGATGCCAAACTTCCAGGGCCAGCACCAGCAGCAAATGATGATGCCGCAGCAGTCTGTTCCGTTGCAACACGAGAACCAGCAGCAGCACCCTCCCCCACCTCCTCACCCGATGCCGCAACACTCCCAGAACTTCTCCAACCCGAACGACTTCTTCCACAACATGTCCAAGCAGAATCCCGCGGCCAACAACAGAGTCAACGATAATGCTATCAAGGACTACGAAAAACAGCTCCGGCTGATGGAGTCGCAGAACAGGCGACGCCTGGACGTGCATCGCACCACGCAGGGCGCGAAGGACCCCAACTCGCCGAACAAGACGCAGTTCGCGGACTACTCGGCGATGCTAGGCCAGATGCCACCTCAACAGCACGCGGGCCCGACTCTGATGCCGCAGCAGCAGCGCGCACAGCAGCCGGCCAAGGTGTCGCCGCCGGGGAAGTCGCCCGCTAATGGGTTCTCAGCAGCCGCCAACGGCAAGCCCAAGAAAGGTGCTCGAAAGACACGCAAAAACTCCAACTCTGTTCCGGCCACCCCACTCACTCCGGCCAACAACAACCAGACCCCCCAGCCAAACATCCCGCCAACCCCCCAGAACACAACCCCCCAGCAAACCCCTCAGCCCGCCCAGGCCAAGAAGGGAGTCAAGCAGCGCAAAAACAGTATTGCAACCCCAACCATCAAGGAGGACGAGCCGTTCATCCTCACCACCGCCGCAGACAAACAGCTCAACGGCTCTGCTGCCTCCAAGGCGCAGCCGCTGTCGGCATCGTCGAACCTCGCCTCCGACGTGCCCAGCTCGGCGGTCAACGACCACGGCTCCTCGGCCTTCTTGCATGATTTCTCGTCTGCTTCCAACGACATCTTTGATTTCGATTCTCTCTTGACGGCAGATCAAGAGAACGCTGGAAATTTGGGACTCAACGAAGTGTTCAACTGGGGAGAGTCCGTTGGCACTGGTGATCTATAGAGCGACCCAGCTTTTGTATTTTTTACTGTACTTACCACCTGGTGATGAGTTTATTATCTTAGTGTACATTACTTTCTTTTCGGTCTCTGTTTCACCTCCTCCTCCTTGCACGGGTGCAGTCTCACAACGTTCGGGTAGTCTGGCCGGTTGAACTCGTGGCCCTTGCTCCAGTCGTAGCTCAACGCGTACGCAAATATGGTTCCTGTGCGGTTGAACGCGATCGCTGGAATCGTCGAGTTGAGCGAAGGATACCCCTTCAAACGGTGCCGTGCGTCCTTGTCCCAGAAATTGAACGTTCCGTCCGAGCCTGCCGTGGCAAACGTGCCGTGAACCGGGTGGAACGCGATCGAGTTCAGCGAGTAGATCATGATCTCCTTGGTGGCAGTTTTCTGGTCCCGCTGACACTTGAACGAAAACCCAAGCTCCTTTTGCTGCATCTCGTCAACGTACTGGATTCCGCACCGGCCCTCAATCGACCCAACAGCAAACCCGTCTCCTTTCGGATAGCATGCGATCGACCGTGTTTGGTACTTGAGCGGCGACATGCTCTGTCTAAAAATCTTGTCTGGGTTGTTCAGGTCGATCGTCACAATGTGGCGCTCGGCAGTGGCAACAACAAGCAACTTCTGCGACGCGTCCATCGCATACACACGTTCCGGCATGTTGAGCGTGCAAATCGGCTGCTGCTGTCTCATGTCCCAGTACTTGAGCGTCTTGTCCCACGAACCACTCACCACGCACTGCGTGTTGGTCGGCCCGCACTCCACGTACCGCACCACCCGCACCGTGTCGTTGTGCACACCAATCGTCTGCTGCTGTTGCGAAGCAAGGTCAAATAGCCTCACCTGTTTGTCTGCTCCTCCACTAATTACACGAGCCCCATCCAGAGAGAACCGCGTACTCAAAATCGGGCCCTCGTGCTCGTACAACGCACGGCCCTCCACCTGGCCCGTGTTCGTGTTAATCTCGTAGATCCGGTTCTTGCGGTCCCACGAACTAATGGCCAAAAACTCCGCAGTGGGGGAAAAGGCAAGATCAGAAATCGAGTCCTCCGGCCCATTGGGCACAACAATGTCGTTCTGGAGGTCCTGCAACGTGCCGGCAGACGTTCCTGTTCCCCCACTCGTGGTGTTTCCCAAAGAAGCCGTTCCAAAAGCCCCTAAAGACCGTGCTCCGAATGACATGTCTTATGTTTTTTCCTTGTTATGTCGATTACGATTTTTTTCCTTTGCAAAAAACTAAGTTATACTCTCCTCCGATTACGTAATATCTATTTCAGTCAGAGCTTCAACAAACGAAGCTTCAACAGCGCATCGTTGATGTTGTGCTCCTCCTCTCCCAACAAGGAGACCTGGGACTCGGTGCATTTCTCCAACGGTCTTCTGGTGGCCTTCAGCAGCACGTGCTCGTGCGTCTTGATGGCCTCGGCCAGTCCAATTGGGTCCTTCAGGATGTCCAGTTGCACCGTCACCTCGTCGGTTTGCAACAGGTTGCACTTCTTTCTCAATCTCTGGATTCTGTTGATCAGCTCTCTCACCAATCCCTCAGATTGCAACTCTGGGTACATGTTGATGTCCAAGATGACCAAAACGTCTCCCTCGGTTCTGACTTCCTGTCCGCCAGAGATCTTGGCCTCAGGCAAGCTTCTAAACACAGACAGGTCCTCCTTCACAAGATCGATACCAGCAACCTCGACCTTTCCGGACTTGAGGAACTCCTTCACATCGTCGGAAGTAAGGCTTGGCAAAGCGTCCTTGACCTTCTTGGCGTCCTTCTTCAACTTCTTTCCAAGAACAGGCCAGTCGGCCACGGCTCTGTACTCGACACCGTACTTGGCCTCGTCGGAAGTGATGACCAGGTCTCTCACGTTCAGCTCCTCAACAATGTAGTTTTGCAGAGCCTTAACGTCCTCAAGGTACGATGGGTCGGAGTGGAGAACAACCAGCTCCTTCAATGGAGTCTTCAACGAGATGGTCTTCTTTTCTCTGATGTTTCTTCCCAAATCAATGATCTTTTGCATTCTAGACACAGCAAGCTCGATCTTCTCATCAATCAAAGACTCGTTCACAACAGGATACGACAAGAAGTGGACAGAGTCGGTGCTCTTACCGTATTTTTGCAAAGTCTCTAGCTTAAAGAGAGACTTCATTTTGCCGTAAATGTTCTCGGCCAAGAATGGAGTAAATGGAGCCATGGCTCTCACAAGAGTGAAAAGAGCATCGGTCAATGTGTTCATGGCCTTCAAACAATCGTCAACACCGTTCTCGCCCTTCAATCTCTTTCTGTTGAAACGAATGTACCAGTTGGTCAACTCGTCAATCAAGTTCAACAACTTTGGAACAACGGTGTACAAACGGTACTCTTCCATCTCAGTACGGATGAACTTGATCAACGACTGGATAGAGGCCAACAGCCAGCGGTCCATAACGTTTGTAGATCTGGACTCTGGGTCGTACTTGAAGTCAATACCTTCAAGTTTCTTGAGCAAAGCAACTTGGCCTTCCAAGAACTTGTAGGAGTTCCACCATGGCAACAGAACCTTCGAAACAACCTCCTTGACACCTTCTTCTTTGAACTTCAAGGTCTCGGCTCTCAAGACTGGAGAGTTTATCAGGTACAATCTCAAAGCGTCAGCACCGTACGAATTCAAGACATTCATTGGGTCTGGGTAGTTTTTCAATCTCTTGGACATCTTCTTACCGTCAGCAGCAAGAACAATACCAGACACAATAACGTTCTTGTATGGAGCACAACCAAACAAGTGAGTTCCCAACACAGTCAAAGTGTAGAACCAACCTCTGGTTTGATCCAAACCTTCAGATATGAAGTTGGCTGGGAAAGCACCGGTGAATCTCTCCTTGTCGTCAGCAAATGGATAGTGCTTGGAAGCAAAAGGCATGGAACCAGACTCGAACCAACAGTCGAAAACGTCCTCGATTCTCTTCAATTGACCCTTACCCTTCTTAGATGGAATGGTCAAGTGGTCAATTTTTTCTCTGTGAATATCTGTAATGGTGTTGTCTCCAGTGAGCTCTCTGAGCTCCTCGATAGATCCAACACAGACAACTTCCTCTTTGTCGTCAGAAACCCACAATGGCAATGGAGTACCCCAGTATCTCTTTCTGGAGACGTTCCAGTCTCTGGCGTTGGCAATCCAGTTGGAGAAACGCTTGTCCTTGATGTTGGAAGGAACCCATCTGGTCTTGTCGACGGCCTCGAGCATCTGCGGCACGATCTCCTTGACTCTGATGAACCACGAAGGAACGGTTCTGTAGATCAAAGGGGTGTCGGATCTCCAACAGAATGGATAACTGTGTCGGATTTGAGAAGCCAACAACAGTCTGCCGTTAGCTGTCAGTTTCTTGATAATCTCCTTGTCTGCATCCTTGACGTACAAACCAGCGAAATCGGTCACCTCGCTGGTAAATTTTCCGTCGTCGTCCACTGGGTTAGGAGGAATCAAGGTTTCGTTGATAATGCCTGCCTCAGTGGCAGCTTCAAAATCGATTTCACCAAAAGCTGGAGCCTGGTGAACAATACCCGTACCGGAGTCGTTGGTGACGAAAGTGTTGCAGTACACCCTGAAACCGGTCTTCTTGAAATCCTCGTAAAAGTAGTCGAAAACAGGCTCGTATTTCCAGCCGTCCATTTCCTTACCGAGAATCTTTCCAACGATCTTGTATTTGGCATTCTTTGGCTTTGGATACAGGTTCTTGATCAGAGACTCCAACATGATGTAAGTGACCTGTTTCTCCTCGTCGTAGATCTTGGAATACTCGAACTCTGGATTCACACAAAGAGCAATGTTCGAAGGCAAGGTCCATGGGGTGGTTGTCCAGGCAAGAAGAATTGTCTTGGGGTCGTCTTTCAATGGGAAACCAATGGTGACAGCTGGGTCATTCACGTCTTTATAGTTCAGCTGGGCCTCGAAATTGGACAAAGAGGTCGTCACACCGGTGGAATAAGGCATCACTCTGTAACCTTGGTAAACAGCTCCCTTTTCGAACAGCTTCTTGAATGCCCACCATTCAGACTCCATAAACTCAGGATAAAGGGTCTTGTAATCATTGTCGAAATCGATCCATCTCCCCAGTCTACCAATAGTCTTTCTCCATTCGTCGGCGTAAGTCATCACAATGGATCTACACTCCTCGTTGTACTTGGCAATGCCCATATCCAAAACGTCTTGTTTGGACTTGATACCCAACTTCTTGTCGATCTCGTGTTCAACAGGCAATCCATGGGTATCCCATCCAAACCGTCTTTCAACATAGTAACCATTCATGGTGGCATATCTAGGAACAATGTCCTTGGTGGTGGAAGCCAGAATGTGACCATAATGGGGAGTTCCTGTTGCAAATGGAGGACCATCATAAAAGGCAAACTGAGGGTTTCCTTTCGTCAACTCCAACGACTTATGAAAGGCGTTGATCTCATTCCAGTATTCCAACACTTTTTCCTCCTCTTTCGGGAAGGAAAAAGACTGTGGGTGTTCTTCAGTCATGATGAGTCTTTTGATTTGTATCGCCAACTGGGAAAAATTTGTTTGTCCGAGGGCACAGTGGCACAGGTGGCGGTGAATGGAAAATTTTATTAACTTGAATAATTTCGACACTATAACTTGTTACAATGTTCGGTCCGTTTAGAATGACGCCCGTTTCGATGGGCGGACTGTTGTGGAAAAAACCGTGGAGATTGTCCAGTTTCCAGAAATACAGACATAGAAAAAGAATGCAATTGGTGGACTCCAACATTCAAGCATTATACGACGGACTCAAAGCCAACGGATTATCGTCCAACAGAGTGGAACATCTCATGACTGAATATCCAAAGGAATCCGAAATGTTACCAAAGAACAAATACACCGTCTTCAGCAAATACGCAAGAAAATACAGAAAGGGTATCCATTTCGTTCCAAAATGGACAAGATTACCTCTCAGAAAACAACCATCAAATGTGTAGCCGTACCGTGGCTGGTTTCTATTGTACATACCGATAAATACACTGCGCATGTTCATATATTATCCCAGATGTATTCTGAGACAAACATCTCGTCGTAACCTTGATCCAGGCTCAGAACGTTTGTTTTTTGCGACTTTTTGTTCAACACCAAGATCTGTTTATTCTCAAAGTCAAGCTTGAGTCCTAGACTCTCGTACAGCTTGAGTTTCAATGCTTTGCTGCGTTCAGAGACATTTTTGCTTGTGTCGGACTCGACGCTCGTTTGTTCGAGATCCGATAACTTGTTTTGTAGATCTTCAAGCTTGACAAGGTCTTGATTATGTTTGAGTTTGAGCGCGTTCAATTCCATATTCAGACTTGTAAGATGTTTAGCGACGGTGAATATTAGATCCTCAAGTTTCAACAATTCCTCCTTCACGTCCTTGGACTTCTGGTCGTTCTTGAGGTCGGTTATCGAGGTGCGGAAATTGTCCAGTTCTCTCTGGAGCTCGTCCAGCTTATCTTGATGTCGATCTAATTCGTCCTGTCGGAGCGATTCGAGTTTTTTCAAATTGTTGTTGATGGTGTCCATAGCAGAAATGTCTTTCTGGATATCGAAGAAGCTGCGAATCTGCACTATCGGCAGACTGAGTCCTGGGAACTGCGTACTCATGGTGGATAATGTTAAATAAAAACAAATAAAATTAAGGGAGAAATAAAAAAAACTCCTTGCACCGTAAAGTTTGAGTGGAAAAAAATCATCAATATTGGTGATACGTCAAGATGGACAGAAAGCGGGTAGACGGGCTTCCACCATGGATGCTGACTCCAAAGGAAGAAAAAGAGGTTTTCTTGAACTGGAGAAATACGGCCTGGAAAGTTTGCGATCAGCAGGTGCAAGGTAAGTGGCGAGACTTTTCGTGCCAACTAATGTCTAGAATTTGTGAAATGTGAGGAAAAGGCGGGCTACGGAGTTTGGTTTAAATGCCGCAAGCAATCGAAAGCAATGAGAGACTGTATCACTGCACGCCAGCAACAAGAATATGTGGACGAGGAGCGCGACAAGTATATTCAGCTGAAAATTGAACGACTTAAGCAAAAACAGCTAGAACAGGAACAGGAGCAGAAAGCCGCACCCTCCAAGGTCAAGATTTGGCAGTTATGGGGTAAGAAGGAGGAATAAGAGATGTGACTTTAGTCATTACTAATCGGGCGAGAAGTGGGGAAAAATTGTGTACTCCACCATCTTTGCTGCAACAGATAACAGCAATGTATGCCAGGTTGCAGAAGTCATGCCTGATCCGAACTGTATATAAAGGAACCCCGGTTCGCTATGAAACTTAGATATATATCTAATCAAACATGTCATTTATCGATCGTTGGGTCTACAAGAACAAAGCAAGACAGCTTGGAGTGAACAATACGGGCACTCATTACAATCCAACCACTGTTACCCCGCAAGAACAGTATCATAATTATCCTCGCAGAGCTTCGGACACTCAGCCAAATCTCAGGAACATTCCTTACAACTACTTCCATGGCGAGGAATCGATAACTGTTCAGGGCGATGATGGTAAGATGCACACCACAACTGTGACCACCGACGGGTTTAAAGATGCTAACAATCGCTCCCAAATGGTGAGCAACATTCAGCCGGCTTCCATTCAGGACCGTAAGGCGTCCATAGGATCTATCACTAGCGAGAGTAGCAACTGATCTACGCCTGCGACCAGGAGTCTGGCGTTTTATTTATCACAGCTATTTATAACGGTATTCAATAATATATGGTACATAATTTATAACAATTAGGCAGTGTCATATTGCGCCGCCTTTTTATTTTTTTTGAAGGGTTCCAAAGGGAATGGATAACTTTTATTCCGTCTAAATATACTATGGATCGCAGAAAGCCTTTTCGACGGCCATCGACTGGTCCAACCATCAATAGAAATTCCAGCATGCTCTCTGGTTCATCGGATCAAAGTTTTGATGAGAAAAACGCGAGTTTTTCAACCTCTCAGACTGAAAGACAGGCACCGGAACCACCCCAAATCGAGTTGACCACCGATTCAAACAATATTTCGCATATATCACGTGGTGAGCGGTCGTCCTTGTATGATGTGGACGACTCGAACTCGTTCTCACGGTCCAGGATCCTGCCCAAGCTCGTGGTCCATACTGATCTCAATTTTGACTCCGAAGTCATGAATATATTGCATGAGCCGTCTCCCCGTCCGCTGTCCCCACAAAGTCATTCGACATCGTTCTCACCCACGCGTCTGAACCATCCTAAGGTGCTCAACTCCGGCCAGATCCCCATTCTTCTGGACGAGGATATCGACTCGGACATCTCCAAAGGTCTGAATCTGGCTTTGGGAGAAACAGGTGACAACTGGATGCCCTTGAACGAATCGACGCAGTCTCTGGTGACGGAAGCTACTCCAAGAATGCGCACGGGTAACTCAAACGATCTCGAGTCCGGAAACTCGGCCATAGAACTCTCCGACATGGCAAGAAAGTCGTCTGAGCTGGAAAACCCAAATAACACCTCTTTTTTGAACGTCACGTCAGTTAGATCGAAGTCATCCAAGAACCCAAAGACACCAACCACGCAAATATCATCGGTCTTCCGCAAATTCTCCCAGAGATTGAACGCACGGGGAGACGAAAACGACGATGACATCGATACCAGCGACGATATCGATTTGAGCGAACGTTTAGACGATATCAGCTACGAGCAGGATGAGTATTCAGACTATGAAGAAGATGCGTTTTCGACGCACCCTAAAAACCCGCTCATGAACCAACAATCCCTCCAGACAACCATGAGACTGTCGACCCACGGTGCCGATAGCTTCTCCGGCGACTCCGACGACATTTTACCGCCAGAGCCTCCACGATTGTTTGGCAAGTCGCTCAAGATATTTGGTCCCGACTCCAAGTTCAGAATGCGCTGTTACAAGATCGTGACAAACGCAAGATACGACCAGCTATTGGCAACTCTATTGATCGTACAGCTATCATTGCTGACCTATCAACAATGGGACGTGGTTCGCGGTTACGTTCACAATAAATCGTGGACATGGGTAGACTTGATTTTGGTTGTGCCATACGCAGTATACACTATCGACGTGTTTATGAAATCTGTCGCTTTTGGATTCTTTGATGACTCGCAAATGTTCAGAGAATTGAAAATAGAGCGCAAGCGCAGTTTACTCCACAGGTATCTCAAAACTGCCTCAGAAAAACTCGGATTCACGCATCCATATGTGTACGACGAGGAGCAGTCGCCAAAAGATTTCCGAACGGTCACTGTGCACGATACCATGCCTGACAAGATGAAGCCGACTCGCGCGTTTTTGAGGTCGGACTGGCAGAAAATCGACTTTGTGTCGGTTGTTTCGTTCTGGGTTTCTGTTTTCCTGATTATCAACCGCGCAGACATTACTCACGGATGTATGATTTTCCGATCTTTAATGTGTCTTAGAATTTTGAGATTGTTGAACCTCACCCACGGAACACGACTGATTCTGAAGTCTCTTCGCAAGGCTGGGCACCAGGCCGCAGGACCGTCTTTGGTTCTGTTCGTTTTTTGGGTCTTGATGGCCATGATCGGCGTGCAATCGTTCAAGTCGTCTCTTAGAAGACACTGTGTTTGGACTAACCCAGACGACCCAACAGACATTTTTGAAAACTCCATGCAATTTTGCGGCTCATATCTGGACTCTTCGACCAACAAGTCCAAGCCCTATATCGACAATTTGGGTAGTGCAGCCAGGTACGCCAAAGGATACACATGTCCCAAGTATTCAAAGTGCATTGCAGGAGATAATCCTTACGGGAATACCATCGGTTTTGATAATATATTCATTGCAATGCAAATGGTGTTTGTGATTATCAGTGCCAATACTTTCACAGATATCATGTACTACACCATGGACAGTGATGAGATGGCCTCTGCACTCTTCTTCATCTTTTCCATTTTCATCCTCACGGTGTGGCTGCTCAGTTTGATCGTTGCTGTGGTCATTAACTGTTACAGAGTTCATATTGATGATATGAAGACTTCAAGCAAATACACAAAGACTCAAATTTTGTTCTGGGAGTTCGATTTCAGAGGAATGAGTGAAGAATACAATAGCTATCTTATGGAAAGCAAACATCTGCGGAACTTTTGTTCCTTGAGAGACTTCTTTACGATATTAGTCATAGTGGATCTTGGATATAAAGCATCTGTTAACCCCAACTTCACTGACGATAATTGGCACCATTTGAAACTCATTGAATTTGGCACCACGCTCACGTTGTTTTTGGAAACAGTGATCAAGATGGTTTTATTCGGAAGAAACATCAAATTGTACTTTTACTCCATCAGCAATATTTTCGACCTATTCCTGGCGATTGCGACGATGATCATTACCAACATCTCACTAGAACGGCTAGGAGACGCGTACGGATGGCTCGAAGTCATATTTGTTCTCAGATTCTACAGAGTGGTGATTATGCTTGGTTTCATGACCAACGCCTGGAAGGCTGTTTTCTCGAACATTAGACCATTTATTGATCTTGGTGTGTTTTTCCTGCTTGTGAATTACCTGGTTGGAGTGATCTATTCGAGATTCTTTGAAGGAATCATTCCTATTGACGAATATCTTGACAGTGATCAGCTGATCATGTACAATCTTCCAAACGTTGTATTATCGTTGTACACGATCACCACCACGGAAAACTGGACGTCGATTCTGTACCTTGCTCAACAGTGCAGCTCCAATACGTTCACCAAGATGTGTGTTGCTATCTACCTAATTGCCTGGTTTATTTTCTCCAACATGGTGCTCCTCAACATTTTCATAGCCATTATCACGCAGAACTTGGGTGTTACTGATTCTAACAAGAAGAAGATGCAAATCAAACAGTTCTACTCCAAATTGGTTACAGAGCTGAATTCGCACAAACACGTTGGTTTGTTCGACGATCTGAAAAACCAATGGTTCAAGAGCAACAGCAGCAACAAGCGGGTCCTTACCACGTCGCAGATGATTGGGCATATGCACCACCTCTTAGAAAAGAGTAACATCAGCCCCGAAGAGTTTATCGATGAAGAAGAAGAGAAACAGCACTCATTCAGACTGGCACCGCGCGTTTGGAAGCTTCTACACAAGTACAAGCCATTCGTCAATCTGAAAAAGAGACTCGACCAATCTTCGTTCTTCATTTGGACAACAGATTGGCTTGTCTCGGCCACAAAGTCTGGAGTCGACTTTTCTTTGGGTTTTGACCCAACCTCGGTACAGATAGAAAGCGCCAAAAAGAAACAAAACATCACCCGTGAGATTTTCAGACTATTCGACGAAAACAATCTCGATCCAGATAAAGAGTACAAACAACGAGCTTATCTGGATGCTAACCCAACATTCAACAGAACGTTGAAAAGGTTCTATCCGGATCACTGGCTGAGACGGTTCTGTCAAAGAATTGTGTCTCCAGCATACGGTAAGAGATTTGACGGAGCAGACCCAATTCCTAAATTGAGAGACGCTTTCTACGTCATGATGTTCCTTGCCAGTGTGGTGGTGGTCATATTCGCCTGTTATGTTACCCCCTTATACAGGAAGGAGAACTTCTTGTACGAGAAGCCCTGGAACTGGGTTGTTATATCCGACCTTGTGTTCACCTGTCTCTTTAGCGTGGAGTTTATTATTAAGGTGATTGCCGATGGATTGATTCGTACTCCTAATGCGTACTTGAGATCACCATGGGATTTCATTGACTCAATTGTTCTGATTTCGTTCTGGATCACCTCTTTTGGTGAAATTTACAGAGACTTCAACCTGGTTGTCATTGTTGGTGAGTTTAGAGCTCTGAGAGCTTTGCGGTTGCTCACGGTGACCAGAAAGTCGAAGGAATATTTCAACTATGCTGTCATTTCTGGCGCGCGCAAGATGCTTGCTGCCGTTTTGATCTCCATGAGTGTTCTGCTACCATTTTCGATCTGGGGACTGCACCTTTTTGTTGGCAAACTGGCTGTTTGTACCGATGGCGAGTCTACCAAGGCCGAATGTACCATGGAGTACACCAACACGGTGTTCAAATGGGACATTGTGTCACCCAAATCGTACTCGAACCCGACCCTCAACTTTGACGGAATATCCAGTTCCTTGTCGACTCTTTTCCAAATCATCTCTCTTGAAGGATGGGTGGATCTGCTGTTGAACCTGATGAACATCGTTGCAACGGGCCAACCTGCCTCGACCTTTGCCAGTCCTGGAAACGGAATTTTTGTGATTATTTTCATCTTCTGTTCCATTGTGATTATTTTGAACCTGTTCGTCTCTGTTATTATCAACAATTATTCTGTGCAGACAGGAACGGCGTTCTTGAACGACAAACAGCGCGCATGGTACGAGGTCAAGCGTATTCTCACACAGGTGCGTCCAAGTAAGAGAAAAGACCCGCAACACATGAATGCGTTCCGCAAGAAGTACTACAACCTAGTTGTCCAGAAAAACAGAATTTACACCAACATCGTCAGCGGATTCTACATGATCCATATTATTGGTCTGTTGATCGAGTTCTACCCAGCATCTAGAACTGAAGACAACTTCCGGTACGGTCTCACGCTCTTGTCGTCGTCGTGTCTGACGTGCGACGCCTGGCTGACACTCTATGCCATGGGTCCAAGACTCTTCATCAAGAATGGATGGAACATCTCGAAGTTGATTGTTTTCACCGGAGCTTTTGTGTTGTCCGCGGTTGCGTTCGACGTGCCAAGAACCTCTGTTTACGGTAACATCAACAAGATCTTCCTTGTGATGGTGGCACTGTTCCTGATTCCACGGTTCGACACATTCAACCAGCTGCTCAAGTACGCTTCTGCCAGTCTTCCGTCGCTGATCGCACTGATCTACACGTGGTTAGTGCTGTTTCTGGTGTATGCCATTGCGTTAAACCAGGTGTTTGGACTTACCAAGCTCGGCGAGAACACTACAGGCAACATAAACTGTCGCACTGTCACCAAGTCTCTAATTCTGCTGTTCCGTATCAGTTTCGGCGAAGGATGGAACTACATCATGGACGATTTCCGATTGAGCTCCCCATCTTGCTCCACGTCGTTGAGTCGGTACAGCTCCGACTGTGGTCAGAGTCCGTCTGCGTACACCCTGTTCATCTCATGGAACATCCTATCGATGTACATTTTCCTCAACATTCTGGTTTCTGTTGTCATCAACAGCTTCAGTTACGTTTACAACTCTGCAGGTCCGCATTCGCTGCTCACCAGAGACGAAATCCGCAAGTTCAAGAAGTCTTGGAGTCAGTTCGACCCTGACGGAACAGGGTTCCTGGACCCATTGCAATTGCAACCTTTCTTGAGTACCCTGGACGGCGTGTTATCGTACAAGATCTACGGCGACAAGTTCTCCATTGCTAACATCAAGTCGCAGTGGATAACCCATCACAGCAGTGATCCGTACGACGTGCACCTTGACTTTGATAAGCTGGACGAGATCCTTGCGACGATCGACTTCAACAAGGTGAAAGAGCGTCGGCGTCGGTATAACAGACTCATCATCGAAGCGTTCTTGAACATGGTGCAGACGAGCGACGGGCCACGGATCGAATTCAACAAACTGTTGCTCCAAATTGGCTATTACTCGCGGTTCCAGGACAGCACGTGTCTGACTCTCGAAGACTTTGTCAAGAGATACGTGCTTATCCAAAAAATTAACAAGGTGGCCAGGAAACTCAAGATCGAGGCCACCATCCAGATGGTGCTGTATCGACTGCGGCGCATGATCGGAAACCTTAACAACAGCGACGAACCCGTCACACGCAAACTGTACCGTCGAATCGGAACAGAAATCTACGACCAGGAAGAGTTCTACGAAACTCATAACGATGACTACAATCCATTCAATAATAATGAGCTATACCGAAGCGTCTCTGAGACCAGTCTGAACCCATTCAACGATCCGTTCAGCGACCCGCTCCAGGAAGAGGAAATAGTGCCGCCTCCAAGAAGGAAGACCGACTCGCGCTAGACGTTCAGTCCACCTTCATGTCGTTGAGACCAAGGTCCTCGTTCTGCTCCTCAGTTCTTTCGAACTCCTCGATCTTCATGTTTGGATCGTCGTCCGGAGCATACACGTTTTGGATGTACGAGGAGGCCAATGGGTCTTCCATAATAACTGTGAACTTGATCTTTCCAGCAATGGCATCATCCAGCTTCTTGAAAAACGTCTCCCAATTAGACTTGGTTTCCGGTGCCATCGAGTCAGACGTTTCCTGGAACACTCTCGAGTGCAACTCTTCTCTCACCTGGCGCAACAATCCTTCCAAAGTGGTGAATCTTCCGCCCAACGTTCCTGGGGTCAGATCAAGGTTGAGCTCTGGGATTTTCATACCACACGTCTCGGACTTCAAGATGTCTCTGCCGAGATCCTCTGGGTCGTCACAGTACAACTCAACACGCTTTCCCTTGTCTGGGACAGCACCTCCTGTCTTGACCTCATTCGACTTGTATCCACACCGTTCGCAGGTGGTGGACATAATGATCACGTCTTTAAAATGAGGAATATTAACAACTTTCATATGTGTTTCGCACGGAGCGTAGCAAGACGAACACGTTGCATGGAAAACCTGCACCTCGTTCGCAAAGTTCTCGATGTCTGTTTCGTCTGACATGAATCCTGTAGTTCTGGTCCTTGGTGGCTCCTGTTGCTGCTGCTGCTGCTGCTCGTGGGCAGCAACCTCGTCTGCGGAAACAAGTCCCAGATCAACATTCTGTTGCGGTGTTCTGTTGTACTCCACCACAGACCACTTGTGTTGCGGCTCGCCAGGAACGTATTCAATCCAGGAGTTTCCAGATGGATCGTCCACGATAAACGTCAACGGAAGACCCGTTTCTCCCTTGAGAACAGACCGGATCTTGTTCAGAAACTCTTCGATCTTGTCATATATTTCTGGTTGGACCTCTTTTCTCTGTGGCTGGTCCATTTCCAAGTCGTCCACCATCTCAGACAAAAGTCCCTCGACAGTGGTCAATTGGCCTCTCTTGGCAGGAATCTCGATATCAAGCTCGACAAACTTGCACGTTCCGTAATCAGACTTGACAACCTGACGGTTAAAATCTTCCTTAGACTCCACTTTCAAAATGTATCTGCTTCCCTTCTCTGCGATGCTGGAAGCTGGCTGGATTTCTGAGTTCTTGAATCCACAATGAGGACACTCAAAGGAAATCACCACGATCTCTCTGAAGTACGGAATCGACGTCAAAAGCAAACGGGAAACTCCGGTTTCGTGACAGTTCATGCACAAAGAGTCGATCTCTTGAACAGGATGACCCTGGGCATCCTGGGCCCCAGTAAGTCTGATTCCGTCGTTATCCTGGGTATCTTGCACTTCTTCCTCGTCGACGGCCTGTGCGACCTCTCCGACTGGCTGGAAAAAATCATCTTTCTTCTCTTCTTTGTTATCGCCCATTTCTGGTAGTTTTGGTTTCTTAGATGAAGACGAATCCTGCGGCTCGTTGCGCTTCATATAATGTATGCTATAATTTTTTTTTTTTCCCTTGCCTTAGTAATTTAGAATTTTTTCAGTCTCGTGAGTTCTGGATGATTCCCTCACCTTAATCGATTAATCCTTCTTCTTGCAAGCTTTTGATGAAGAACTTCTGAACCTTATCGTCAACAGCAACCTCAACAGGTAGCTTGTCGTCTTTGTCTGGCAAACGGAAGTCTGCACCGAGTTTAACCAGTCTCACCGCTAGTTCTCCATGTCCTTCGCTCAGGGCATGGTGCAAAGCAGTGTAGCCATCTGAATCCTGTGCATTGAGGGGTGAATTTCCCTTGTTGATCAGTAGTTCGCACAGTTTGATCGACCCCACAGAAGCTGCCCGATGTAGAGGGATCTGGGACCGTTTGTCCTTGATCCGCGAACTGGCCCTGCATTCCACCACAAGATACTCGGCCACATTGTAACGTTGCTTGCTTGTAGCGAAATGAAGAGCTGTCTGGCCCGAATTTGTCTTGAGGTTAACGTCTGGCTTGGGGTTGAAATTGGCTAGTAATTTCACCGTCTCGAGGTCTCCAACAGAACAAGCAATGTGGAACGGCGTCCACCCGCTGTCGTCTGCCATGTCGTCGATCACAATCTCGAAATTGCACTCGGGACAGTGGAGGAGATCAGAAACGATTCGGGCATCAGCCAATGAACAGGCCCAATGCAGCGGCGTTCGTGAGTCGTCGTCCCGCTGAAGCAGCTGCTTGGGTTCACGTGACATGTAGTACCGCACAGACATGTAATTGCGGTCCTGGACCGCCTTTTGAAGATCGGTAACCATTATTGAAAGTACAAGAACAAGAAATAGAGTCGTGCGTAAGTTACAAAGAAATACATAGAAGGCAAATTAAATTTATCTTGTCAACTTAACTATGAACAATCCAGGTTGGGACAAATTCGCCCAGGACTTCCAGAAACGGGCACAAGAGATTGCTAAGAAGCAGGGCGGTCGTAGACCTCCGGGATCCCCGCTGGGTATGTTTGCTGGACTCGGCGGACTTTTGTTGTTGGGTGCTGGTGCCCTGTTCGTTGACAATGCTCTTTACAACGTGAACGGTGGTGAACGGGCAGTTATTTACGACAGATTGAAGGGTGTTCGTCCGGAAGTGGTGGGAGAAGGAACCCACTTGAAGATCCCGTTCATTCAATTCCCAACTATTTATGAGATCCGTGCCAAACCAAGAAGCATTGCCTCCTTGACGGGAACTAAAGACTTGCAGATGGTGAACATTACCTGCAGAGTTCTTTCTCGGCCGGAAGTCAGCTCTTTGCCTCTGATCCATCGTACGTTGGGCAAAGACTACGACGAGAGAGTTCTTCCGTCGATTGTGAACGAAGTGTTGAAGGCAGTTGTTGCCCAGTTCAACGCTGCCCAGCTCATCACACAGAGAGAGAAAGTCTCGAGACTTGTGAGAGAAAACCTGGTCAGAAGAGCAGCCAACTTCAATATCCTGCTGGATGACGTGTCGTTGACAGCCATGACGTTCTCGCCAGAGTTCTCCACAGCGGTGGAGGCTAAACAGATTGCTCAGCAAGACGCTCAAAGAGCAGCATTTATTGTCGACAAAGCTATTCAAGAAAAGCAAAGTTTGGTGGTCAAGTCGCAGGGAGATGCCAAGTCTGCGCAGCTGATTGGTGATGCGATCAAGAAGTCCAAGGACTATGTGGAGCTCAAGAGACTCGACACCGCCAAGGAGATCGCCACCATTTTGGCTAGATCTCCAAACAGAGTCGTCCTGGATAACGAGGCCTTGTTGCTGAATACCGTGACCGACTCGAGAGTGACCAAGAAATAGGTCAGTTCTCTTTCTCCCTGTGTATAGCCTCGATTTTGAACTTGGGTCTCGAGTCGTTCAGTCTCTTGGACACCGGAGACATATTTTTGTCTGTAGGTGATGACAGAGTCTTTAACAAGTCTCTCTTGAAGGCCAATTTTGGTTTGGGAGACTGGTTTTGCATTGAGAAGAAACCCAACGTTGGAGATCGACCCCACTAACCAATTTATATTGCATGGAATAGAATTTTCCCCATGTTTCAGATTTGACTCAATTCGAATTTTATCATGCTACATATACTAAGCAATCACGTTCTTCAACACCTCTTTGGATGAAACCACGCCTGCAAACTTGCTTTCCAAGTATTTTAGGAAAGCCACCACTTTCGACTGTGTCTCTGGGCAGTCGAATTGGTTTAATCTCTCTATATTCTCTTCTCTTCCCAACGTCGACTCGTTGATCAATTTCTCCTTTTCCAGCTCTTTGGTGAACACTTGCTCGAAGATTTCCACCACCTGTGTAGTGGCGCTGAGGATGATCTCGTTGTTTTCTTCGTAAAGTTTCAGGATCAGGTCAAAAATCGGTCTGTTTTCCTCCAAGCCTGTTTCGAGAGGCAGGTGGCTTAAAAGCGAAGGAATGATCACGTTCAATGGAACAGCGTCCTGGTGTTTGAGGGTCATTCTACTCACACAGCCACAAGCGTTGGCGATGGTTCTGTTGATGGTATCTTTGGTTTCAACGTCGTCATCGTCTGTTTTGGAAGCTTCCTTGCCGGCCTTGTTGAGCAGCTTGGACAGCGAGTTCAGGATCGTGGCGTATGCGCTCGAGACGTCAATGGTGGAGTACTCGATCAGAATTCCAATACCGTAAGCGGCAGAGCCTCTAACCTCGGACGACTTGTCGTTGGCCAGTCTGTCGATGAAGATCTCCAACAGTTCCTGCGTGTACGGGTTGCTGCTTTTGATGCCGTTACAGATCTCTGCAACGCATCCAACGGTGGAAACACGCTTGTTCTTGACCTTGGATTTGACCTGGGCCAGAACAACGTCTTTGAACGAGCTAAAGATACGCACAAAGTCGGCGCCGAAAGCGTCGGCCAGACTCACCAAAACTTCGAGCGCAGAGTCGTAGATCACGGCTTCGGTCTCGGTGGTGTCGACCTCGTCGTCCGGAACATCGTCGTCAGGCTGGCTCAAACAAAGATGCTCATTTTTGATGATAAGCATCAGTTGGGTACACAGAGACTCCAGCTGCGACGAGTCGGTTCCGTCCATGATGGCAACCTTACCCATGGATTTGGACTTGACGTACTCGTACAACGAGTCAATACAGGTCATAACCATGTGCACGTCGAACTCCTCGGGCAAAATACCGATGGTGATGCTTCTGACAGTTCTGATCAGTTCCAGCACCTTGTCGTTCAGTCCGTGGGCCTCAAACATGCAGTAAGCAATCTTCCACATGGTGGAAAGCGAGGCCTCTCTCACGGCGTACGACTCCTCGATCTGATCGGCGAGAATCTTCATTGTCTCCTCAACGTAGTTGGTGAAACCGGCCTTGGTTCCAACAGCCAGAGAGCTCAAGGCCACCAAAGCGACCTCCTTCTCGACCGTGACACCGGTGTGGACGTTCAACTTCTCGGCAACATCAGCCTCGTCGGCGTTCTCGTCGTCAGATTCGAAGTTGAAGTCGAACTCCTCCTGTTGTAGACAAGTGAAAATCTCCGGCACGATCTTATCCAAGAACGGAGTGAACTGCTCGCCGTAGACCTTGGCCATGTTGGAGATGAAGGCGAACCCAGACTCTCTCAGTCTGCCGTTGGTGGAATGAATAGCACTGTAGGAAGCGTCGATCAATGGCTGGGCGTATGGAGCAAACGACTCGGATCCAACGGCTCTGGCCATGGATGAAACGTTTTCAAACGTCTGGGCACGCAGCTCGATGTCGTCCTCGGTCATTCCCTCGATGTCGTTCATGTTGGCAATGAACTTCTCAAGGAACTTGATGGAAGGATCAAAGTACGGAGTGAAAGCCTTACCTGCAGCGTAGGCAACAGATCCGATAGCAGACACAATGCTGGACTTGAGAGACGACGATTGGGCAGTGTCGAGCATCTGGAACAGCTTGTTCATCAATGGCTCCATGTATTGTTTGATGCTCTCGTTCGACATGTACTCAATCAGTGTGTCCAAGGCGCAAGTAGCGTACTTGTAAACCATGATCTTGTTGGTGGAGTCGATAATAGCAATTATTGGACTGAGTAGCAGCTCGTGGTACTCGGCAACAGTGTCCTTCAATTCCTCGTTCAATTGGGCCAAAGTACGCAGAGCAGCAGCCTTGACCACAATCGACGAGTCGTGCATACCAGCAATCACAAGCTGGATGATGTTAGGAAGCTGGGTAGAAATGTAGTCTGGAGCCCCTTCCACAGTGACACCAATGGCAAGCAGAGCAGCTCTTCTCTCGAATGGGTTCTGGGAACCAAGCAGTTGAGGAGCAATCTCCAAGATCGGCTGGATGATCTGGTTGGAAGGAAGATTCACAGAAAGCTCGCTCAAGAGTCTCAGAGCAAGAGTGTGTGGAGTAGCTTCCTCGTTTTCGTTCTCGCCGTCCTCGTTCTCAAGCTCTTCCTCGGCCTCCTCATCTTCCTCGCTGGCAACCTTCAAAGCACAGGAAGCCATCTGGCCTCCAAGCTTGGCTTGCGAAATCTTGGACTTTCTGTAGGAAATACACTGGATCAAAGTTCTAAGCGCACAGGCTCTGATTTCCTCGTCGCAGTCCTTGTTCAAAGACGTCTCGATCATGAGGTTAACAATATCCACGAAGTTGTCTGCCAGTAGTCTGATGTCCAGCAAAATGAACCCGTTGAACGCAGTGAACAAGTCGGTGGTTTTCTCGGTGTCGGTGAACGACAGCGAGTTTTTTAACAGCTGGATCATGCTTGGGAACAGAGAGCTGAAGGCTGGAGCCAGCTTGGCGATGAGGGTCTCGTCCTGCTCAACGTACGACGAAAGCACCTCGATTGCAGAAACAGTGGTGACCTGGGTCTCGATGGATTCGCGGTCTTGCAATGTGGTTGCAAACAGGGTCAGGAAACTTTCAGAGTGCTCAAACCATTCAACTGGCAGAGTATCGAAGACACAGTAGATCAGGAACACAGCCATCTCTCTGGTTTGGACGTTAGCGTCCTGGGCACCTCCAACAAGCGTCTCAAGCAAAGAAGGCCACTTGTTGTCTGGAATCTCCAGTTCTGCAATAGCTGCAACGATTCTGGCTGTGGAGTGTCTAATGTTTTTTGACTTGTAACCAAAAGCAAAATGGATCAACGATTCCTTGATTTGAGTCTTAAGCGAATCGTCAAGAGCCTCCCATTGTTTTGGAACAAGTTTGTTGGCCTCAACAGCAGCAAGCTGTTTGGTGCTGTCATCAGCCGAGTTCTGAAGCAAGTGAATCAGCGAAGGCAGAGCCAACGGGCTAGTATAATATTGATTTTTCAGTGCCTGGGTTGCAGCCTTGATAGCATTGTTGTCTGGCGACAAAATGTTTCTGAGCGTCTGTTCCAGACCACTCAAGAATTGGGTGTCCATGCTGGTTGAAGGGTGAAAGATCGAACAAAAAAATATACCAGGGAAAAAAAAAATTTTAATGGGTGCTGCACGATAACCAAACGGTTGCACGTCTGGCGGAACGCGGTAACGAAGTGGGGAATGGAGCACAGTGGGGGTACCACGTGGATCCTGTGATGGAGTAGTTCAGATGAAACGTTTTTCCATCTTTTACAATCGGAGAGAAGTGTTGTTTCCCGTGTGTCACACTGCTCATTTTTAGTATTCATCTGATATTAATTATTCAGTGCAACTTATACCCTCTCTTATAAGATAGTATAGTCGAGAAATTGTCAAATCTGCCCTTATGGCCAAGTTGGTAAGGCGCCACACTAGTAATGTGGAGATCCTCAGTTCAAATCTGAGTGAGGGCATTTTTTTGATTTATTTTTCCCCCCATCTGTCTCCCCTTTTACGACATGCCCTTACTTACCGGGTCCGACACCCGTTCAGGCGAAAAAGTGTGCATTGAAATAGTCAATAACCAACCTCTCCGGGTCGGACGACTCTCAATTGAGGGGGATACCCGAATCAACGAGTATATAGTGCAGGATACTAACGTCTCCGCATCCCACTGCTTTGTTTGGTCCGTCCAGTTTGACAGCTCAACAGACCGCGTGACGTACCTACGCGACAAATCGCTAAACGGAACAACAATTAACGGAAGACTGGTCCATGATGCTTACGTGATACTCCGATCTGGAGACACTATCCAGATTGGAGCGTCGTTACAGTTGACGTTTGAGGACGAGGTATGGGAAACTACCAATATGTCTCAAGACTATGGCTGGACGGTAATTCCAAAACTTATTGGAAAGGGAACCTCTGGCAAGGTGAGTGTGCTGACTCAGTCTCCACTAACTCCAGGTATTTCTTGCTACCAAAAAAGGTGGAAGCAAGTATTTTGCTGTGAAAGTATCAGACCAGCCTGGTTTGGATCGTGAAAATAGTATCCTTTGCAAACTGGACCACCCGAACATCATCAAGGTATACGGATTGCACGAGAACTACAAAGAGACGTACTTTTACCAGGACCTGGCCATTGGAGGTGATCTATTCTCGTACCTGTGCAACGGCACAGACACTCTGCATCCTATTCGAGAACCAGGAGCACTGTTCATCGTCTTCCAAGTCGCCATGGCACTTGAGTATATCCATTCGATGGGGATCACTCACAGAGACTTGAAGCTGGATAACGTGCTGATCAAAGACGTACCCAGCCGCTATCCACATATTGTTCTGGCAGACTTTGGGGCAGCACAGGAGTCGTCATTCCCCAAACTTAGCAGACCTGCAGATAGAATGTACACGATGATAGGAACCGCAGAATACGCCGCGCCCGAAATTAAATTGGGGCTCGACCGAAGCCAGAAGGGATACACCAACAAGGTCGACATCTGGTCGCTTGGGATCATTGCCCATATCTTGCTAAGTGGGATATCGCCATTTCACGACGAAACTACCGAAAAAGTGTTCCAAAAAGTTCAAAAAGCTCACATTGACCTCGAGATCAAACAATGGAGGCATATATCTGTGGAGGCGAAGCTATTCGTGAAAGGGTGTCTACGACCACGAGTGTCGCAGCGATTCGACATCCACGATTGTATGAGAAGCCAATGGATCAACCAAAAGGGCAGACGAAAGCTACTGGACAACTGTTACTCAGCAGTGGTGACCAACAAATGATTTAGCCGATTTGCTCAACGGTTCCGCGAAACTTTTCTCGGACCGGGAAAACTGTAAAAATTTTCGCGGGGGGTCTCAGGGGACAAATCGCGTGAAGACTAGCGTGGATGATTTTTTTTTTTTTGAAGCTTGAATTTTTTTTTCTTGTGCCTTTTCCTTGAGGATAGACAAATATCTGTTGATCCGGTTCGTTTGTGTTTAGATTTGGCCATACTAGTGTTGGCCCATTGTTTGCACCAGCTCAAGACTTCCAAAGGCTCCGATCCAATTCCCCAGCTAATTAGGACAGCACGGGAATCCAGCATAGATCATCCACCCTTTTCCACACACCATTTAGCTCAGCTTGCTTGATATGTTCCAATTGTTTTCGCTTCAACATGTACAACCAGTTTTATAACCAAAACCAGTCATACTACCCTGCCAGGACCAACGCCGCCTCTAATTCCTCGTATGCGTCGTCGGGTCAGCCAAGAGGGTTCCAGAATAACCAGCAGGCTAACCAGCAAATTCCGCAGATCTGGATGGGGGATCTCGACCAAAGATGGGACGAGACCACCATCAAGCAGATATGGTCCAGCGTCCTTGCTCCTTACGAAATCCTCATCCATTCTGTCAAGCTCATCAGAGACAAGCAGAGCATGAGCCTTGGACTGGCCAATGCAGGATACTGCTTCATTCGATTCCACAACTTTGAGGATTCCTACAAAGTGTTGGAAATGTTTAACGGGAAGGCCATTCCGGGAACTAATAATGTGCGATTTTTCAAGCTTAATTGGTCGTCTGCGAACTCCCCAGGCTCTTCCGTCGCCTCCCAACCTTCTAAGGGGCACCACGAATACTCGATTTTTGTTGGTGATCTGCCCCAAACCGTCACCGAGCCAGCTCTTCTGCAAGTTTTCCAGTCCAGGTACCCATCGTGTTGCGGCGCCAAGGTGATGGTTGACCCGGCTACCGGCCATTTGAAAGGCTACGGATTTGTCAAGTTTTTAAACGAGGAGGACCAAAACAGAGCACTAATTGAAATGCAAGGTTACGTTCTTCTGGGAAGACCAATCAGAGTTTCCACCGCATCCAAGTCTCAGCCAGACTCGTCCAACAATAATACGAGCTTTTTCAACTCTCAAAACCAGTCCCAGGACCTTTCTGGTCAGCAAAAGCTGAACGCTCCATCCTTGCCGCAATCGGCCCCTATTCAGTACTACAACGACCCGAACAACACCACTGTCTTCATTGGCGGTTTGAATGTCCCGATCTCCGAGTTCCAACTTAGAGAGCTGTTCTCCAGATACGGAGACATCACTTATGTCAAGATTCCGCCAGGAAAGAACTGCGGCTTTGTTCAATTCTACCATCGTGCCAGTGCTGAAATGGCCATCAGCGAGATGCAGGGATACGACATTGGCGGCGGTTGCAAAGTTAGAGTCAGCTGGGGAGCTCGTGCAGCCCAAAGAAACTGGTTTGCCAGACAACTGACTCTGCAACAGCAACAACAGCAACAACAACAGCAACAAGCTCCGGCAATTAATTCTTTCAACATGACCAATTCTCTTGGGCTCGTTGGTAGCAGATACAATTTGCTCAACGATCTGTTGAACGAACGTTCTGCTGCTACATCTAACACCGGATTAGTTAACGAACCACTATTTAACTTTGAAAAGTTATCTAACGAGCCAATTGGGTACAGTCCATTGGCATCTTTGGACAACCTGGGCACAAACGGTGCCCTGTCCTCCGACTACCGTATGAACGAGTACCTATTGAACTCCAGACTGGCAAATATGGAGAAATTGGACATTGGCTCGGGGCTTTTCAATCTCAACTAAGACAGTCCATCAAAATTGTGTTTTTTTCGTTACTTAGCATACATTTGTCAACGCATTTTTAGTGCTTTCACTTGCTTCCTGTTCATTTTTCATACATATCATGCATTCGTCTCATGTGGGGGAGGTTTTTTTACACTTATACATTGAATTCCAAGATGAATATGTCAAAATATAATACATACATATATCCTAATAATGAAAATAGTTTTCTTAATTGCCCGGTTTTTATAATGACAGTAAATGTTTTTCAGGGATTTGCTGAACATAAAAAGATTCAACTCGTTGTATAAAATAAACTCCGCTAGACTAACATGCTGCCTTCGAGAAATGGTAGCGTAACCAGCGAAAGCCCTTCACAGGCGTCTAATAAGCGCCGACACGAGCTTGCTGACAGTCAATCGGACGACGACACGAGAAAACGAAGAAGTACAAGAGTCAAGGAGGTGCCCAACTACTCGCTTTCACGGCCGCGAAATTCGCGATCAACGCCTCCGACGAACGGATCAGCAAACAAGGTTGCCTCTTGTTTGAAATTGGGAGCTCCCAAGTTCGAATTAAGTCCTATTGACACCACTGTTTCTGTTGAAGAACAAAGGCAAATGGCAAAAATTAACATGGCAAAGCTCGTAATGCATAACAACTCATTGGTCGAGGAGCTTTATCATCTAGAAAACTTCACGTCACTCGTGTATTTTAAGCCCGGCGATCCCAAACAACCAGACTCTTACGAACAGTATCAAAAAGGCTACCAATTATGGCCACAAATTGACGATTCCAAACTGGGTAGACGTAGTCGGAGACTTACGGAGAATAGTGATCCTTTGAAAATAGAGATCGATCAAATCATTGAGAAGCTTCAAAACGAACCAGCAGAGCCGGTTGTTGAGAAGAAAGCCACACTTAAAAAGCCCAAGGAAAGACCTATAAAGACCGAGGTTGAAGAAGAAATCAAGGACATAGAGGTCGAGAGCGACGACTCGGAGGTTTCCATACCACCGCTAACACCAACACATATCAAGAAACTGAAATTCAAGGTCGATGTGAAGCCCCAGCTGGTTACTCATCCGTCCCATGTTACATCTCCAAAGTTCAAAAATTTAAACGAGTTTTTCAATTCATACAGATCAACTATCGAGGAACCAGGACGCGATTTGTCCAACGAAGAGTATTTGGAGTATCTGCAATCACAGTCTGATTTAATAGACAGAATCAAACAGGGACTTGATTCCAAACTCTTGACGTTGGATTTCAACGAGAACATTTTCCGTGCTGTTCCTCAAGGTTTTAGAGAACCAACAATGATCAAGAAAAATGCACAATATAATATGAACCATTACAAACCTCCACCCGAGCCGTTTAGATCGAGAAACGAGCTCACTCATTATGATCATTTGTTGGCTCAAGGGATACGATCTTCGAAGCTGATTCACGATTTGCGTACTTCTCGAATTTCCAAGAGTCGGAAGATTGCCGCAATGATCGAGTCTCACTTCAAGAAACTCTCACAAGAACAGGAAAGAAAAGAGCGCGAGTTCGAAAAGAAGATCGCCAAGCTCGCCAGAGACACCGCAAAAGAGGTCAAGAAGAAGTGGCTGGTGGCTGTTAAAGCATACAAGATTCTGGAAGAGCGGGAGAAGGAGCGCGAGCGTGCTGTCAAGAGCAAAGAGCAACTTTCCAAGATCCTCGACCAGAGTACGAAGATGCTGGGCGCTCAAGTTGGAAAACGGAGCGCTACTCCAACTTCACGCCAAGGTAGTACTGTTGAAGGAGATTTCGAGGAAGAGAGCGGTAGTTCTGGTTCCGACGACGACGAGAATATGAGCTCCAGCGAGAGCGAAGATAGTGAAGCAGAAGAGGCTCGTAATGTGAAAGACGATAGCAAGCTGACTGTGGAAGAACTTCGTGAGAAGTACAAGAATATCGATTCTGCTCCGAAAGACTCTGACGATGAGTCTGAGGACGACGAACCAGATACACTGGCTTCTTTGTATGGAGTGGAGACCAATGGTGAGCACAATAAGGTCAGCGTGGTTGACCAGTTGACCGAGGAACAAAGACAGAAACTGATTGAGGAATCTAACGATCCTATTCTCGAGGATAGTAATGATAGTGCAGACGAATCGCTGACGGACTCTGAATCAGAATCGGAGTCATCAGAAGAGGAAGCTTTGTCTGACGACTCTCGTCCTGGCCTTGCTTCGTTGTTCAATAACAAGATCAAAGACGAGCCAGGAGAAGCACTTACTCCTCCATCTTCAGACGAGATGGACGACGCAGAAGACAATGCCGCCATTCCTGATGTTCCTGTTCCTATTCTTCTGCGTGGAACGTTGAGAGAGTACCAGAAACAAGGTTTGAACTGGCTTGCTTCGTTGTACAACAGTGGAACCAACGGAATTCTCGCGGATGAGATGGGTCTGGGAAAAACAATCCAGACCATCTCTCTGATTTCGTATCTGGCATGCGAAAAGAACATTTGGGGACCGCATCTGATTGTTGTTCCAACTTCTGTGATGTTGAACTGGGAGATGGAGTTCAAACGGTTTGCTCCAGGATTCAAAGTTCTCACCTATTATGGTAATCCCCAACAGAGAAAGGAAAAGAGAAAAGGTTGGAACACTCCAGACACGTTCCATGTCTGTATCACGTCGTACCAGCTTGTTGTGCAAGATCACTCGGTTTTCAGAAGAAAGAAGTGGCGGTACATGATTCTGGATGAGGCACACAACATCAAGAATTTCCGGTCGCAAAGATGGAAAGCGTTGTTGAACTTCAACACCGAACACCGTCTTCTTCTGACTGGTACGCCGTTACAGAACAATATCATGGAATTGTGGTCGCTGCTGTACTTCTTGATGCCATCTTCCAAGGCCGACCAGATGATGCCTGATGGGTTTGCCAACCTGATGGATTTCCAACAGTGGTTTGGACGTCCTGTTGACAAGATCATCCAGGGAGGCGGATACGGCTCGATGCAGGAAGATGACGAAACAAAAGAGACAGTGAACAAGCTGCACCAGGTTCTCAGACCGTACTTGCTCAGAAGACTGAAGCAGGACGTTGAGAAACAGATGCCAGCCAAACACGAACATATTATTTATTGCCGTCTTTCCAAGAGACAGAGACTGTTGTACGATGATTTCATGAGCAGAGCGCAGACTAGAGAGACACTTGCCAGCGGAAACTTCTTAAGTATCATCAATTGTTTGATGCAGTTGAGAAAAGTTTGCAACCATCCAGATTTGTTCGAGGTGAGACCGATCTTGACGAGTTTGGCAATGGAGAAGAACGTTGCTTCCAGTTTCGAGCTGAGCGACTTGGTTGTTCGCGGCCATCTTAGGAGATCGCAGAAACCGTCGGTTGACCTTGGTTTCTTGAACCTGACTCCAACGCGGGATTCTAGCTGGAATTCGTTCAACGCGGACAGTTTAAGAGAAGTTTCAGCTTCCAAATTGTTTAAGGAGCAGATCCAGCAACTGGAGGCTGATTTGAAGCCTGTTGAGCCCAAGTTTGACAACCTCACCAACCATTACGAGTATCTGATTTACAAGGAGCAGGAATCGTTGGTGGATCTCTTCAAACAACGTCTTTATGTGAACGAGTTTAATTGCGAGAAGAACCCGATTTACTCGTCGAACCTGTTGGATTTGGTGAAATTTGAACGGTTCAGCAAGGAAAACTTCAACCAGCTGGAAGAACTCAAGATCGTGCAGTCTGTTTCCACGAGGGCCCAATCGCTGACTGACACTGTCGAAAAGTATGCCTTTGTCACTCCCAAGGTGGTTACCCAGAACACAATTGACTTGGAGATTCCTGACCAGGTGCAAGCCGAGATACGGCAGCAGCAGCTGGACAATCCGTTCCACCAGGCGCAGATTAAGTTGTCGGTGACGTTCCCGGACAAATCGCTTTTGCAGTACGACTGTGGTAAACTGCAGAAACTGTCGAGTTTGCTGCTGGATCTGATCCCAAAGGGACACCGGGTGTTGATTTTCACGCAGATGACCAAGGTGTTGGACATCCTGGAGAAGTTCATGAACTACAACGGGTACAAGTACATGCGACTGGACGGAGCCACCAAGATCGAGGATCGTCAACTGTTGACGGAGCGGTTCAACAAGGACCCGAAGATCAAGTGTTTTATTCTGAGTACGAGATCTGGAGGACTGGGAATTAACCTGACGGGAGCAGACACGGTCATTTTCTACGACTCGGACTGGAACCCGGCCATGGACAAACAGTGTCAGGACCGGTGTCATAGAATCGGTCAAACCAGAGACGTGCACATCTACCGGTTTGTTTCCGAGTACACGATTGAGTCGAACATTTTGAAGAAGGCCAACCAGAAACGGCAGCTAGACAACGTGGTGATCCAGGAGGGAGATTTCACGACCGACTATTTCAGCAAGATCACGGTCAAGGATCTGTTTGGCGAGGAAGGAGAAGACGCTGCTGCTGACGACAAGCTGTTGGTGGCCAACCAGGGCAAGTCTGAGAACGAGTTTGCCAAAGTTTTGGAACAGGCAGAAGATGTCGAGGATGCACAGGCGGCAGAGGTGGCCATGAAGGAGGTGAACCTGGACAACAACGACTTCAACGACGACCAGAACGGGCCAGCCAGCACAAAGAGCCCTAGTGTGGCTCAAACACGCAACAATTCGGTGGAGCCGGACGATTTTGTGAAACGCATGGAGGCCAAGAAAGACGACGACGAAGAGGACGAAGAAGAAGAGGACGGCATAGGACACGTCGACGAGTACATGATCAGATTTATTGCTGGAGGCTTCTATTTCGACTGAGAAAAATGTATATTATGTAATATAGTACGAGCCGCATGATGTCATTGCAGGTACCCCAGATTTACTCCGAAAGAGCAAGCAAACGACACAACTATAAATACCAGCTAGGATCCGCCTTAATGGAGCATAAAATGTCGGAAGCATACAAACTGTTCTACAAAGGTGAAACCAAAGACTTCATTGTTTTTGTTGATGATAAAGATAGTTATGAAAAGTACGTTGGCGGAGACCATTCTATTCCGTTGACAGACATTGTGTCCAACTTTGAGATATACACCAACCAATCCGGCCAGGGATCGGAGGGGACTCTGGAAAAGGCCTCCAACGTTGATTTGAGCTCCGAATTCGGAGACGTTAAGCACAAGGATGACGTGATTCCTGTGCTGTTGCAGAAGGGCGAACTGCTCAATAAGGCAGGCGTTGGAAGAAAGAAGTGGTCCAGCACAAATGACTCGAACGGTCATTTTGCAACCTAATTAGATTGGCATATAGTTCTCTTCAACATGTTGTAGGATTAATCTCATTCTTTTTGTAGTTCCGCCAAATTGGTGTGGACGCTCATGGACTTGATTAGTTTTTTGAAGCTGAAGCTTTTCTTGATGGTGCCTGACCGCGACCCTGGCGCCTCAATGTCGCTTGCAGATCCAGGATGTTTCTCGCTCTTGTCGTCGTTGGTCTTCAGGTTGCCGAAAGAATGCGCCAGGTTGCGCATTGACGAGGAGGCAGACAGTCTGTTTCCGCGGCTGCTGCGCATCAATGAGTTTGAGCACGGATACATAGCCGGCTGTTGCTGGCTGCTGCCCATCGACGAGATCGACGAGATCGACAGCTTCTTGCGCAAACTGAAGTCCGAGATGCTTCTGGTGAGGTCGCCAATGGTCTTTGGGATTTCTGGCTCCCAAAACTCAGCAAGAACCTTCTCCAGTCTCAGCCTGTCCTCCTTCTTGAAAGTGACTGTGGCTCTAGGGTTAGAGTTCCAGTCGCGCTTCAACGAGTCGTCTGCACTTTGCGCAAAGTTGTTCACCGTGAACTGACGAAGGTTGGTCTCCAATGCGAAATATTGACTGTGGCTCTTGACTTTGTAAGGAGTCATGTCGTCTGGAATGAACCCGCTGAACCGGAAGTTCTCTAGCTCGCTGTTCTTTAGCCGACTTTGCCTTTTGCAATATGAGTACGAGAAGTTGTGGTGAGACCCAATGTCTCTGGTCCACTTGGAAACCGCTTTATTCAATCTTGTCAACCATATCTTCTTCTCGGAATCAGACGTGAATATCACGGCAATCTCGTACTGCTTGAAGTTGTTTTCGAAATGGATCTTGAACGAGTTGGTGTATGTGGTGTACAACATGCCTCTTGCTCCAAAATCCTCGTCCTGGATGCAGAAAATCGACGAGATCGGGAGAACCATCTTCACTCCCAGCTGGCGATGCTTGTACGGTCTCACCAGAACCAGATGCGAGTCAAACAAGATTGACCCCAGATACTCGTACTTGATGGATTCGTCATTGAGCCAGACGGTTGCAAACGCTGCCACCATTGTCAGATACCCCATATTGTCGAAATAGTACGGGTTCTGGGAGATCTGCTTGATCGAGCTGGTCATCATCTGCTTGAGAACCTGGCTCTGCGCTTCTTTCTTGGCACCCTTGCCAACATTCTTGTTGATCTGCGTGCACTTGTCGCCAATGGTGCTGACACACTTGTTCAATTTTTCAACAAGACTGAAATCCATATCGTCCTTGGATTTCTGTAGCAAAGAGTCGGCAATGAGTCTGTACCTGGATATTCTGTTGGTTGGCATTTGGATCAAAGAAATGAACCGAATATCCAGTTGTTGCTGAAGGAAATAGCTAGAAGCAACGTCTTGGTGTTCCACCATGTAGTCGTTGTAGATGACGATGGAACTGGCATTATATTGGTTGACATTCTTCGACTCTGCGAATTCGAGAATCTTGGGGACCAACTGGCAGTAGGAGCTGTATGTGGGGACACTTATGGCGTTTTGCAGGATCCAGTCCGCGATTTTCTCCAGATGAAGGTGATCTTCGGACCGCGGTATATGTGTTTCGAACATTGGCGAGTGGATCGACGATTTACATGTTTCGGTGGAATTGCCGAGCTTGATCCAGTCGTGGTACAGTTTGACCAGTCCTTCCAGGAAATGATTATGCTCTTCGAGCAACATATCCACTGCTCTTGCGAATCTTCCGAAGAACAGCGGGATCGGACCGGTCGTTGACAAATAGTTGATGTACACCTCTTTGAGAACTTTCAAGGCCTTCACATAGACTTCTTCCGTGTTGAGTAATTCTTTAACCTGTTTCTGTCTGGTGAAGGATCTTTTGAGGGCAGACGAGGAAGCGTCTTTGATTGGAGTGAGTGGCGATAGCAGACTAGTATCTGGGCCCTCGAGTCCTGCGGATCCATTTCCGAGTTCCGAGTTGAGATCGATCGGAGCTTTAGTATTAATTGTGATTGACGATGTGGAGTCAAACCGCCAGTCGATATTATCCAGAGCGTCCACCGTGGCGGGAGTTTTGTGATTAACGTTTTCTATTCCGTTGGAGTCGTTCAAAGACGCCAAAGTAGATGACTCGCTGATGCGTTTGAATTCTTGACTTTCTTCAGAAGCATTTGCATTTGTATGGGTTAGGGGCATCCTTGAGCGTTTAGAACTTGCGCACGGATCTAAGTTTCCAGGAGGAAAGTACCGATATTTATACTTTTTCGGTGTGTTGTACTGTTGTGGTGAGTGATTGAGAACATAACTATCAGAAGTTATGTGTCAACTTGAGGCGTTCAAAGGAGAAGTGACGTATAATAAAAAGTCTCCTTTATTTTTTTTTAGGGAGCGCCGGGCTGTGTTGGAGATTTGGATGAGTTTTTGGATAAAATCTGGATATTCGTTATAGGTAGTTTGAATGATGTTGAGAACTCTTTTTGCAGCCCGTGCTGCTAGTTACAGACCGGTCAGCATGGCCAAACAATTCAGTAGCACTGCTTGGGCGCTTAAGGCTGACAAGAAAAAGAAAGCAGCCGACGTTGAAGAGATCGACCCAAAGGCCATGATTAAAGACCTCGAAGCCAGATTCGACTCGACGCTCGCCAAATACAACAAGAAAGTGACAGAGGTCAAGATGGGCAAGGCCAATCCGCAGATCTTCAACAAACTGAAGGTCAAGACCGAGCACGGTATGTCCTTGTTCACAGATATAGCCCAGACCAGTCTCAAGGGTAAGTTTCTCACCATTACGGTTTTTGACCCGAAAAATTCCAAACGGATCATCAGTGCTATTCTGGCGTCCGACATGAACATGAACGCCGTGGAAGACCCGAAGAATCCACAGTTGTTGAAGGTTGCACTCCCGTCCAGCACCAAAGAGCTGAAAGAGAAGCAGGCCAAGGAACTCAAGGAAAGCTTCAACTTTTACAAGAGCAGTTCGAGTTTAAAGGACTCGTTCTCGTCGATTCGCTCACACGCTTTGAAAGAGCTGAAGAAGGCCCGCGGATCGGCTGAGCTGATCCGCAAACTCCAAAACGACATCGAGAAAACCCATAAGACATACACAGAGAAACTCACCAATGCTCACAAGCAGGCTGAAAAGACACTTAAATAGATACCAAGAAATTTTACTCTTTATCATTATCGTTCTATTTTGGGTCAGCTGGTGGCCAATGTTCCAATGGCCTTGATTTTTTGCCAGTAGCTCTTGTCGTATCCGCCTTGGTTCAAGGCAGAAACAAATTTCCAGGCTTTTTTACCGTTGGCAATAGGATAGTCCAGAACACCAGGAATACTGGTGGAAATGAGACTCACGCGGTCGTAGCACACAGACTTCTCATTGCACAATCCACGAAGACCTTCTTCTCCGCCAAACTTACCGTATCCGGACCCCTTCACTCCTCCAAATGGTAGCTGGCAAACATAAAAGGTTGCAAAGTCGTTGATGGCCACGTTTCCAACTTTCAGCAGTGAGGTCAGTTCCTTGGCATGCGCGAAGTTCGTACTGAACACGGAAGATCCCAGACCGTAGCCGGTGGAGTTGGCTATTTGCACGGCGTCCGTGTCGGACGAGGCGCGAAGAACCGTCAAAACAGGGCCAAACACCTCGTTGGTAGCCAGTTGGCACGTCGGGTCAACGTCCACAATCAAAGTTGGCAAAAAGTAGTGGCCCTGTGGGTAGTTTGGATGCACGTATCTCTTTCCACCCTGGAGCAACTTTGCACCTTTTTCAACAGCCTCCTGAATCCAGCTCTCAAGCTCGTCAAACTTGGCTGCTCCCATAATCATGGCGCCCATGTCGATTTCCTCGCCTTGGTCGATGTCTGAACCAATGCGCAACTTGCTCACCTTCTCGGACAGCACAGAAACCAGCTTGGAGTAGTTTGCGTCGTCTGAAGAGACGATCACCCGTTCTATTCCAATGCAGTTCTGGCCTGCACTTTGGAACGTTCCTCTCATTAAAATGGAAGCTATTCCGTTGACACCTTTGCTTTTCAGATAGTCGTCGCAGATGATCACTGCGTCTTTACCGCCAAGCTCAACAACAACCGGAGTGAGTGCCTCGCTGGCTTTTGCCACCACCTTCTGGGCCACAGGACGCGACCCAATAAATGTCAGGTGAGACAGACCCTGGTGGCCAGAAAAGGCGTCTCCGTCTTTGCCCCAACAGCAAACCAGCTGAACCAGATTGTCGTCCACACCACACACCTTAAGAGCGGTCTTGATCACAGTGATATAAAACTCGGACGACCATCTGACTCTCTCGCTGCACTTAACCACAATGGCATTTCCTGTGAAGATGGCCGCAATGATAGGACCCAAAAGATTGTGGAAAGGATAGTTCCACGAGACCAGAGCTCCGACAACGCCCAGGGGCTCGTACCAGACCTCCGCCTTTTTGTATTTCATGAAAATGTTGGAACTTCCAGGTCTGGACGAAGGTAGCAGTGCTTTTTCTCCGTTGGCCAGCACCCAATTGATTTTCTCCAGAGTGACCATGATCTCACCCATAGACGCGTCGACCATGGTCTTTCCCGAGTCTCGACACGCAACTCTTGCAATCGACTCTTGGTTTCTAAGAATAAACTCGCCCAACGTGCGTAAAACTTTACGTCGTTTGACCGAGAACTCCTTGTCCGAGTAAAATTTGATCTGGGCCTGTCTGGCCTTCTCCACCGCCACATCGATGTCCTCTGCGGTGTCTGCGTGGAATTTGCCCAGGAATTGCGCCGTGGCCGGACAGTAGCTGTAAATATGTGTTGGATCATCTTCCTGGAAAATGTCCACCGGAGTAAGACGTTTACCCTTCCAGTTGGGCTTCGCCTCGTCTGGAACAGTTATTTCAAACTTGGCCGGCTTCTCCACGCGCTGACGCGTCTTGCGAGCCACAACAACAACCACAAGTCCAATTCCTAAAAGCAAGGACAGCGAGATTTGGATGGGGAAAATCGAGCTCTTCGCCGTCTGAACTTGGTAATACTCGCTGGACGAGTTGATCCAGCTATTTGCTAGCTCGGCAAGGTCGAACGTGTACATCGTCTCGTTCAATCGCGAGATCAATACCGTCAAGTTCGCCGCCATTACAGAACCTGTTTATTTCGCAAGAAAAAATATAGCAACGGGTGCGGGTGTGGGGGTGTGTGCACAGCCTTGAACCACATGCGACGGGCTACTCTTCCTCGCTGGTGAGCTCTGTGAGGTCTGTCAGGTCGCCCATTGCTTCGTCGAACGCCTTGTCGAAGTCGGCGTCCTGGTCCGTCGGGGTGTCTGGCGGGCCCGTCTGGCTGGAGCTCTGGCTGCCAGTACGTGACGGGATGCGGTTCAATGGCCTTTTATCGGCTGTTTTGGCCAGTTTTTGCGGTTTGAATAATGCAGGAATTCGCTTACCAACAGGCTTTGCGGGTTTCGACACCCGCGAGACTGTGGGTTTGCTTAGTACAGTCCGTTTTTTGATCACAGCCGATTCTTTCTTTATGCTTGGCTGCGGCGCCGGATGTCGCAAAATCGTCTCTATGCGTTTCTGTATCTTTTCAGGTTCTCTAGACTTGCTCATCTTGATCACGCCGTCCAGTTTCTCCAACCGGAAGCGGCGATCGGTCTCATCAAACAGTAAAACGTAGTCTGAGTGTCCATGGCCCGCAGGCAACATCTTGCCCTCAAAAAACAGCTTGCCAGTACCATCACGGGCCGAAGAACTTAGAAAGTACTCATTCTCGTGTCTCACCATCGTTGATCCGGCGTTGGTGTCCAGAGTGTCCGGACGGAAGCTCTCTAAAGATTAGTTTGGAGGATTGCCAATTACTTACGTCGTATACCAAAACAACTGTGGGTTCCATCACCACTCAGCGTCGAACCAATCTCCAACTCGTATTCCCCGTCAGGGATCGCACAATTGTCCATTCCAAGCAGTGTTCTGACAGTATTAATTTTAGTTACTCGATTTAGGTCGATTACATAAGCGAGGATCGGTTAGCGAATCGTGCTTTCACTGAGCATCTTGATGCTGGTGAATCCAACTCCCAGAGTGGTGTCGATGTCTGAGCGCATAGCGTTTTTGGACAACGGACTGAACACTTTGATGGATCGCACGTGCGAGTCTTTGCCATTTTGGTGATTGGCAAGAAAGCAGATTTTGATCAGGTAGCATTTGAGCAGGTCGTCGTTTCGGACGCCTTTGAAAAAGATGTGTTGCCAACCGGTTGGTTCGAAAAACTCTTTGGAAGACACTTCGGTGAGGTCGTGTTCGCCCGTTCCTGCCAAAACAAGGATTTTGGACGGCGTGTACGACTCGTCCGATTGATAATTAAAGTAGAAAGAGAGTCTTTCCACAGTGACTTTTTTCGTGAAATGGATGGTGATGAAATGCGGCTGCTGGCCGTCCGATTGCCAGTAACTGAACGGCGAATCTTCGCGCAGCTCTTTAATTCCAAAACCCTGTTTGTTTGTGGAAACGCTCCAGGCTGCCAGGTTGCCTATATCGATCAGTCCCAAATGCTCGAGTTTGCGGATCCCCGTGGTAAACAGCTCCTCCTCGTCCTGTTTGGCGGTGTTTGTCAGATCGGCCCCGGTCTCGTACTCGGACTCGTGGATTGAGTCGTCATCGTAGCGCTCGTCCTCAGATTCCTGCGCAGGGGGCACAGAGGTGTCTGAGAAACGCGACATGGGAATAAATTATTTTACGTATTATTTATTTCGTACTAGCAACACCCTTGGGATTTTTTCGAGGCTGTCAGGTCCACCTGGTCGAACTCCAGCTCAATTGGCTCCAGGTGCTGGAGAATGTCTGTTCCCAGGTCTGCGCACCGCTGGAAAACCCTCTCCACGTCCTGGTATTGCTTGGCGGACGTCTCCAATACGCTGAGCTTGGCGTCGTCCACAAGCCCCGCCGTGATGCCCTGCGCGTACTCCACCGCCTGCCGTCGCGAGATCTGCTGTGCCGCATGCTGGTCCTTCTTGTTCCCGACAACCAGCACGCGCGGCCGGGGGTTATTGCAGTGCTCAATAAAATTGTCTAGCCACCGCTGCAGATGGTAGAACGACTCGGCGCTGGTCACGTCGTACACAAGAACGGCAATATCTGCGCCGCGGTAGAACGCTCGCGACATCGCGTTGAACCGTTCCTGTCCCGCGGTGTCCCAAATCTGTAGTTGCAGCACGTCGCCAGTCTTGGTCCTCACGCCGTACGATAGGAAATTTGCCCCCACCGTGGCCCGATAACTGCTCGCAAAGTGTCGCTGCACGTACTGCGACCGGATCGACGTCTTGCCAACGCCCTGGTCGCCCAATAATACCACTTTCAACGACCTATCCGCCATGCTCAAAAACGGTGCAGGTTTACGTTTTTACAACTACAAGCGTCGATCGACGCTCCTGATTCTTGCATTACTTGTATCAATCGTTACTCTCTACAAACGTTCTAATCATGATTATTCCAAAGCGGACAGATATTGCTCTGCCTCGAGGGCAGCCATACAGCCGGTACCGGCAGAGGTGATGGCCTGTCTGTAAATCTTGTCTTGCACGTCACCGGCAGCAAACACACCTGGAACAGATGTCTGTGCAGTACCTGGCTTGGTCTTGATGTATCCGGACTCGTCAGTCTCGATTTGGTTGCTAAACACCTGCGTGGCTGGCGTGTGGCCAATGGCGTAGAACAGACCGTTCACGGCAAGAGTGGAAGACTCGCCGGTCTTGACATTCTTGACCTTAAGACCTTGCAGGAACTTTCCGTCACCAATGGCCTCTTCGGAAACAGTGTTGAACACAATCTCGAGCTTTTCGTTTTTCTGGACACGCTTTTGCATGATGGTGGAGGCTCTAAGGTGGTCCTTTCTGACGATCAAGTAGACCTTGGATCCGTACTTGGTAAGGAACAGAGCTTCTTCACAGGCAGAGTCACCTCCTCCAATGACGGCCAAAGGCTTGTTTCTGAAAATTGGAACAGCACCGTCACAAACGGCACAGGCAGAGATACCTTGTTGCCAGTAAGTCTCTTCTCCTGGCAAGTGGAGTCTCTTGGCAGAGGCACCAGTGGAGATGACGACGGCATCGGTGGTGATTGGCTCGGAGTCCTCGTTGAACTCTGTCCAGAGCTTGAAAGGCTTGGACGAGAAGTCCACCTTGGAAATGGTTTCGGTGATGATTTCGGTTCCGAATCTCTCGGATTGCGCTCTCATCTGCTCCATCAATGTGGAACCATTGATACCTTGTGGGAAACCAGGGAAGTTTTCGATTTCTGTGGTGGTTGTCAATTGGCCACCAGCTGCGATACCGTTGGCCATCATACCTTCGTACAAAACAGGCTTCATCTCGGCACGAGCGAGATAGATAGCAGCGGTGTGGGCAGCAGGACCAGACCCAATGATAGTAACTTTGTTGTGGACCATTCTGATTGTTCTATAGTTATGCTTAAAAGAACGGAACATACAATAGTATAAATACTTTTAGCCCATTGGAAATATTTGTAAGCCGCGAAACATCTAGATCAAGATTTGGTGTGGCGGTGCAAAGTTTTTTATCGGCCTAAAACACCATTTAGTCTAGAGCACTTGCGCTGTGCCAGATGTATTAGATAATATTACAAACACATGGGATGGACTAGATTCGGAAGCTAATTTTCGCTAATTAACTTTCTAGCCAGTATGAACTGTTTCACTTCGTCTCGACAACAAAGTGTTGGGTTCAACACCACGCTACTTAGCCAGTATTCCAACGCTTTGCGTCGACCCTCCAAAAACGTCGGGTCGAATCTATCGTGGAACAATCCAGACTTTGGAGGGAACTTGGGCAACTCTGTTTCGATAGTATATTTGGACAACTCTGCTCGCAGTTCGTCGAAATCGTTATATCGTTTGCGGATCTTGAACCGTGCACCGCGAACAGTCTCAAATTCCACCGTCCAAAGCGCATACTTGCCCTTGTTGATCCCCTCAATAATTGTAGGCTCGGCTATCGTGCAATTGGCACACCACACAGGCTCGTTCTCAAACACATCGTCTCCGAAACTCGTCTGCAACGTGATTGGTTGCGGCGTCAGCTTCGTTAAACGATTCAGGTCGTCGTTTAGATGCGTGTGATTTACGGCCATTTAAATTGTAGTTTATCTTCAAAAAATTATTTCCACGCATCACAAAAAGTCGTTTATGTAGTTTCATATATTTTCGATATTCTCCTTGTCCCTGCCGCCTTCCAACGCACCCAGCAGTTTGTCCATCAACACCGTCCCGTACTCGTTCAACAGGTTCTCGTCGTGGTTCGGAAGCAGCTTTAATGTGCGGTTCAGCTGTGTGCTCAGGTTCTGCACCGTTGGTGGCTCCAAACTCTCCTCCTCAACCAACTTGGCCTGCAACTTGCGCAGATCAAGTATCAGTTGTTCTGCCAGCGCATTTGCCGTGTCACCCTTTTTCTCTGTCTTCTCCAGTTTCATGCCAGCAAGCCGCGACCGAACATTGCTGGTTGGCGTGGTGTCAGAACGCACAGATCCCGCACGGGGCCCAAAAGACCTGCTTGTCAGAGACGAAGACGGCGTCGCAGGCTTCTCAGCGCTGGCTGTAGGAGACCTTGTGGTTCTCGATGCACGAACAGAAGGGCTCCGGCTGATTGATGGAGAACGACTGGCCGACAGTTTTGGTGTGGATAGCACCGCAGACTTCATTGGCGTCAACTCAGGGCCAGGAACAATCTTCCTCACAACTTTAGGCGGTGAAACAATGTCCTGGCTTGTGCTGGAAGTCAACGGAGACGAAAGCGCAGATTCAGACACAACTCCACCTCCATTGAGAATCCAGCTGAACATACATCCGTCGTGACTGGCCGTCATCAGCGTCTTGGTAGCGGTGTCGTAGAGTAGCCCAATGATCGTCTCAGAATGTCCCCATTGCGAGCTCAAAAGCTTTCCGTCTTTATAACCAAACAGTCTGATACATTTATCTGGAGAAGAAGCGAAGAGCAAGTGCTCGTGGATCTCGAGATTGTCAATTTGTAATGGATCGAAGTTCCTATTGTACAGTTTGAGCGACTTGACAGACTCAAAGGTCTTGAGGTTGTAAATCAACAGATTTTTGTCATTGGTTGCGACCACCAACTCGTCTTCGGTCGCATAGAAACTCAGCGCAGAGTTCTTGATGGATATGATCTTTTCTTGAGACAGCACTGGACCTTCATCTCCTACGGAAATTTTGTGAATAGACAAGGTTCTGTCAGAGGAAGATGCAATTACCAGCCCTCTGGTGAACAAAAGTTTAATCACATTTCCCTTGTGGACAGTCAACGTTTGAAATAGGGACCATTCGCTATCGTCTTTCTTCATAAACAGCTGAATAGTTCTGTCACGAGAGCACGATGCGACAAAGGAATACTCCCCAACTTCGAACATGACAATATCATTGATGCTGGACTCGTGTGCTCTAACCTTGTATGTTTCTTTGTAGCCCTTCATAAAATCGTCTCTTTTCTGTGAAAAGGTGAGGTTTCCAAAACGATCTCCGAGAACCAGACTGTCTGCGTAGGAGTCCAACGCACTGAGGGCATTGTCCATCAGATCACCAGCTGGGAGATCAACTGAATGACAGAACACAAACTCCTTATCATGCAAGCGTTTGACCACACCATCTTTCGACCAGATCAGGATGTCGTTGTTAGCACACCGTTTCAGCCCATTTAGTTTCGATGCCAGTGAACTTATCAGGACTTTTGGTTTGCCATTTTGTAAAAGACTGTCAGTGTAGTAGATCTGTTCGTCCTGCAGATAAACAAGGTTTTCAAACTCAAAGAGCGTTTCCAGCGCAAGAATACCGGATTTCTTCACAATCTTGGTTGGAGAGCTTGGGGTGGGGCGGATCGTATCGTTCAAAGGTGCGGTGAAGATTTCGTTTAGGGGTATAATTTTGAGATCTTTTCCGCCAACGACCAAGTTTTCATGAGCATGATCGATTCTGAACTGGTTTGTATCGCTAGGCAGTTGGTATATCTTACGAAGCACAATCGACTCGTCGTCAAGATTCATCAAACCAAGATCTCCTTGGTCAGAAGCCACCAGTAGTTCAGAAAAGTTGAGACAGTCGATATCGATGAAGCTGGAATTGAGGAAGTTCTTCAACAAAACGTTTCGTCCTTTTAGGATTGTGCTTGTACGGACAGAATCCTCTCTCCAGACCTTGATATGTCGAAGACCCAACGTGATGATGTAATCGTCGTGCCAGAAAAGCTTGTTGACAATCGAGGAGCACTTATTGCTTCCGGCAAACACAAACCGTTTGTTGACAAACTTCCAAACTATCAAGAACCCGTCGTTAACCAAGCCAAGCGAGCACAGTTTCTTGGAGTCTGAAGAAAAACACAGCGAGTTAATTCCGAATTGGTGTTCCTGAATGATATGAATAGGTCTACAGGAACAGTTTCTTGCCAGCGAATAGATCAAAATCCGTGGCTGATACCCGACTTCTCCAACAGCCAGGAGTCTTTTATCTGGGGAAATCGCAATACAATTGATCGATCTCACCTTGTTGGCCAGAGATGAAGAGCCTGGCTCGTCCTGTTTTCTTATCTTGATGGTTTTCGTAGTACTCGGGGAGTCTGGCTCGTCTGAGGACCCCAAACCGTCTCTAGTAACTAATTCTGGCTCTCCCGCCAAGGGAAACCCATACTCGTCTACTTTTGTAGTTGTCTGACCCGAGAGAACGTTATTAGCACAGAAGAACTTCTGCCATTGGATTTTCAGATCTTTGTTGACTTTGCAGACTACCACGCCTCCACTGGCCGTGTAAGCAATGTAGTCTCCCTGCGCCACAAACTGAGCCGGCGACTCTGACGAGGTTCCGTAGATTTTTTCAATGGTCAGTTCACTCATGATAGATCATTAATTGTTTATATTTTTTTCCCTCTTTATTTACACTTACATAATCTACGCGTCCATGGAGCTTCCTCAAGATATCAAGCATCTATATGTTTTATGGATGGAGGAGGAGCTTAGGAAACAGCAGCATGCTGGATCAAAGCTTGCCCTGACGTACATGCGCGCGGTTCAGAGCGTGAAGCAGTGTCCGATGATGCTTCGATCTCCCACCCAGTTGGGAGGGCTCCGATTTATAGGAGATAAGATGGTTGCCATGATGCGCAAGAAACTCCACGCATACTGCGAGGAGCACGGGTATGACCCTCCGGAGGAAGCGGTGGATGAGGATAAGGAGAATCGAGGCGCAAAACGAACAGCAGAGAAAAGTGCTGATGGTCCGAAGAAACGACGCCAGCTCAAGTCGGCCAAAAGATACATCCCTCAGCGCAACACGGGCAGTTACGCGATTCTTCTGGCTTTGTATATCAACGATCCGGGCTGCGACGGGCTCACTAAAGACGACATCATCAAACACGCTTCAAAATACTGCACTACAAGCTTTACAGCGAATCCAAGCACGGGTCAGTTCTATTCAGCCTGGGGGAGTATCAAGACGCTCGAGAAGAACGAGTACGTCCAGTCTCACGGACGGCCGGTGTATTACTTTCTCACTGAGACTGGACTGGAGGTTGCACAGATACTGAAGAAAGTGGAGGACGAACAGAAAGACGACAGCCAAAGCGGCGCAGATAGCTCACCGATATTACAGCGTGTCCAGCACGAGGATGCAGGGTTGGTGGAGAGAATAGATACTTGGCTGCCGCCGATGAGTCGAGCTGCTGCCAAGCCGGCGAACGTTCAAAACGTTGCACACGAGATCTGGCCTATTGGGAGCTACTCGGTGGAACTGGTGTTGGACAACAGAGAAGTGCGGTCGCGTGAGCAGCGAGACTTTTTTTCGGACCAGCTTACTAGTCATGGAGTTAGCACGTCGGTGCGTGCGCTGACTGTGGGAGACGGGGTCTGGGTCGCACGACACAACGAATCGGGAAAAGAGGCGGTGCTGGACTTTATCTTTGAGCGTAAGCGACTGGACGATTTTGCCGCTTCGATCAAAGACGGGCGGTATTTCGAGCAAAAATCCAGACTGAAGAGAACCGGGATTAACACCATCTTCTACATTGTCGAGGAACAGATGTCGAGTGACGTGTCCCGGTTCAGCGAAGCGATCCAGACGTGTATCTCGACTAGCATCACCAACTCGCGATTCCATGTGAAAAGAACAAAAGATAGCGACTCCACCGTGCAACTGCTCACCACCTTATCAAAGAAAATTATAAAATATTACAGACAACAGCCTCTGCTGGTTTTGCAACCACGAGATCTGAAATCTCAGCAGGAGTATGCACAGCTTCTGCAACAGGTGTCAAAGGAAAATGTGCACTTACAGTGTGTTTATAGCTTCCATACGTTTCAGTCGCTGCTTTCGAAGTCCAATATGGTTTCTGTTGGAGAAATGTTCATCAAAATGCTCATGACTATCAAGGGAGTTTCGCTGGATAAGGCCCTTGCTATCCAACTACACTACAAAACGCCCAAAAACCTGTTGGACAGCTTCGAAAAATGCACCACCGACAAATCCCGCATGATACATGACGCTTTAAAGGACCATGTCGGGAACCGGAAGATTGGGTCCGCTTTGAGTGCAAAGATCTACCAAGTTTGGGGCACACAATAGCAGATTCGCGGATCCCAAACTTTGGGCCACACCTCGCACCCGTGAAATGGAAAAATACACGCGAAGCTAAAACTATTTAGAAAGAATAGTGATTGACAGCACTAACAGCAGACAACGGGTCCAGATCCCACATCACGCGCATTTCCCCACGCACCCCGATTACGGCAATTCTAAACTCGCGCCCATATTTATAGAGCACTGCGGGTTTGTCGAGCATTCAAAAAACAAGCATCTGTACATATCACAGTTGTTCGCTGGCCTTTGTGGATTCAATAATTTAGTGTTGCTGGAAACTGATGATATTTAAGTCTGATGTGGAACACCAAGTCTTTCATTAAGTATCGCACCAAGCAGAAGTTCCGGTCTTCGTTGATTCTCACAGCCTTGGCCGGGTTTCTTTTGATCTTTGTGATTCGGTCTTTTCTTCGACCTGATCACGAAGTTTCAGTGAGTGGAAATGCTGTTGTTGTTAATGACAACGTTGTCAAGGCTTCGGGTTCCAAGAAAACCGCTAAGGACCTGCTTGCATCAAAAAAGAAAACACACGAAAAACTCTACGACAATCTGAGCGACGAGGATCGAGAAAAGATGAGACTCATCAATCAGCCGTCCAAGGATGATCCAATGGGACTCAAGTTGGCACTGGGGGTCAATTTTTACAAGTCTGTTTTTGAAGTTCTTGAAAAGGGAAAGCCCAAGGTCGCTCCATTAACTAATTACAAGTCTACAGACAGAATCTACCACGCGGGTTACGAGGTCATTGGCGAAGGTCCAGCCTTGTCCAAAGAGTATCTTTCCGGATTTCTGCAATTGTCCAAGAGCGAGATCGACTCCATGAAGAAGAGCCACGGCTACGTTGTTCGAAATCTCCCAGACACGTATCCGGCCGGGTTTTACTCCGGTAACGGTGTTGTCTATGTTGGTGGAGGCAAGTTCAACTGGCTAGCTCTGCTTTCCATCAAAACGTTGAGATCTGTTGGGTCCAAACTCCCTGTCGAGGTGCTCATTCCTAAACTCGACGAGTACGAGATCGATCTCTGCTCCACCATATTCCCTGCTTTGGACGCACGATGCATCTATATGCCGAAACAGCTGGGTGACGAGATCTCTAGCAGGTTTTCGTTCTTTGGCTACCAGTACAAGGCGCTCGCGTTGATGCTTTCCAGCTTTGAGAACGTGCTGTTGCTGGATGCCGATAATACTCCCTTGCATGCTCCAGACAACCTGTTCGAGACCGAGCCATTCATCAGCACGGGGATGGTGATCTGGCCAGACTACTGGAAACGGTCAACGTCCCCTGCGTTCTACGACATCGTCAACATCGAAATCGACGAAAGCCACAGACTCAGCAAAGGGTTCCAGGAATACGGCCGTCATGTGATCCCAAATTCGCCTCCTCACCAGGCACCTCCTTTGCACCAGCTCCGTGGTGCCATCCCAGATCCGTCTAGCGAGTCGGGACAACTAATGATCTCCAAGAAGACACACACCAGAGTGATGCTTTTGTCATTGTACTACAACATGTACGGACCAAATCATTACTATCCACTGCTGTCGCAAGGATCAGATGGTGAAGGTGACAAGGAGACGTTCATTGCTGCTGCACATGTTCTGAAGAAACCGTTCTATCAGGTGAAGAAAATAATCAAGAGTATTGGCCGGTGGGTCGACTTCCAGTTCACAGGAAGTGCTATGGGCCAGTTCAACTCGCACGACGACTACGAGCTCTACAAAAAGTACGAAGACTCGGACGAACAGGTGTACGACATTCCAAACCTGCTGTTCTTGCACTCCAACTTCCCGAAACTGGACCCGTGGTCTTTGAAAGAAGATGAGGTCACATACAACCCGGCCACCGGGAAAAGAGACAGACTCTACGGAACAGGCTACTTGGACGCACTCGGGTTTGATTTCGAGCTTGTTCAATGGGAAAACATGAAGTTTTTCATTTGCGATTTGAAATTACATCCAAAACTCTTTGCTGACCGCGATATTGATCACGAGGAGTTGTGCACCGAGATCAAGGAACACCTCGTGTACCTGAAAAGCACCACCAACAAACGGTGAGCTGGATCATCCCCCATATGTATTTGGATATAGAATAAGAAACAGGTCATTCCAATTGTCGACTTCCAGGTACTTGACAAACTTGGCCTCTTTCTCGCTGATCTCGTCGTTGATATTGTACACCTTGTACCCCAGCCGTTTCAGACACTTGCTGGCCGATCCGCCGCTCATGATGATGGCTTTGTCGCAGTAGATCATCGACAACACGTCGGTCGACGAGTCTCCGACATAGATCGACCGTTCCATCCCCACCGCCTGTTTGATTAGCGCCAGTTTATCAAACCCGGTACGGATATCGAACGCCGGATCGACGTTTCCGGTGCAGATCCCGTTGTGGTCAAACTCAAACTCGTTTACGAGAATAGCATATGGTTGCTTTGTGAAATGCTCAAAATACTTCTGGATCAACAGTCCTGTCCAATTGATGCTCAAAACAGTAAACTTGATATTCGACTGGCTCACCGTCTTGTAGAAATCGTAGAACCCGAGTTTTATTGGGACCTTGGTGGTCAAGCCCTGGAACGTTGATCTGCTGATGCCCTTGAACACTTTCAGTCTGACGGCCTCGTAGATCGAGCTTTTCTCGCTCTCTTTTGTTGCCTGCTGGTACTGAACCTCCTTTTCGACACTATCTCGCGACGCAAACGGTTTTCCAGGCAAAGTCTCGGTCTGGAACTTGTTGAAATTCGTCATGTAGAACTTGAAAAAGTAGTCCGCTCCATGCTCAGCATTGGCGCCCAGAACATCGAATATCAGCGAAATGGTATCTTTGGCGGTGATCGTGTCATCCCAGTCGCTGAATATCTGGCCAATCCCTTCGAAATGTCGTGCCAAATTGCGGGCATTCTGCGCTTTTGTCATCGGCGGTCTAAAACAAATAAAATAATCAATATTTAATCTTCTCCACCTCGCACCTCACTCTTACCACCGGCCATTATTTCTATTTGGATACCTTTGGAACTCATTGTGGTACTGTCCGTTACGCTGCTGATACCCTTGGTTTTGGTAGTTATTGTATCCTTGGTTTTGGTTGTATCCCTGATTCTGGTAGTTGTTATAACCTTGGTTCTGGTAATTGTTATAGCCTTGGTTCTGGTACCGGTTATAACCTTGGTTTTGGTAGCCACCGCGGTTCTGGTTGTAGTTCTGAGGTGGCTGGTACGCCTGGCTTTGAGCCTGTTCCTGGTACATCTGGATAAAGCTCTTGTATCCACCCACGCGCAAAGAGTAGATGGTATCGCCATGTGGCCCGATGTGCGGTCTGTAGTCGATATCGAACTTGGTTTGGAAATTGCGGTTGTTTCTGTAGAACTTGTTGGAAGTGTACGTGATCAGGTCCTTGTCCTGTTGGGTCAGAACCTTCAAGTGAGACCGATACCCGTTCAACAACATCGACTTGCTGTTCACCTTTGGTGGCATCCGGTACTCAACCGCAAGATAGGTGGAGTTCGGGATATCTGTGAAAACGTCGCTGGTGACTCCCAGGTCAAACTTGATCACCGACTTGGGGTCAAACTTCTCTGTCGTGAACACTTTTCCGGCCAGACCTGTCTTCCCAGCATGAACGTACGCCTCCTCCTTGGACTGCGTCTCGTACAGTTTCAAGAACTGCTCGTAGAATTTGTTCTTGCGTCCCAGGAAAAGCACCTCGTTTCTGTTGGTGTTCCGTTCGGTCTCGTACTCCGTCAACGAGGAGTATTTCTCACGCACAGTTTTCAGCAACCGGTTCTCGTCGATGAACGGCAGCAAACAAATTCCCTGCCAGGCCATCTTGGCTCCGTTCATGTCGATCTTGAAATCGGTAGGGTAGAAATCAATAATTTCTGAATCTGGCTCAGACATCAACGGTCTGAACACCTCGGGCAGATTGTGGCCAGAGGCGGCAGGAAGCACACTCATCAGCTGCTCGTACGGTCTGAAGGGAGTCCCCAGTTTGAACTCCACCTTGATGTCGGTCAGATTGGTGAAATCAGCAGCAAACGGAGCATAATGGTATGGATAATACCAGTTCCATGATGGACATCCTTGGTAATAGTACAACAGCACCCACGAGATACCTTCAACGTACGATCGCACCATTCCTCGTTTGATCTTGGCCAGCTCTTCCTCGTCGGTTGTCCCGTATTTTTCCTGGTAGTATCTGTTTCTGTAGCCTGGCTCCCAAAGTCTGATCGAGTCGGTGGTGTCTATCACTTCCGCGTCGGACGGTTCGGAGTCGGAATTAAACGCAGCAGACGCTGGCCGTTTCTTCTCGGAAACGTCAATCGGCTCTTCTGTCTCGGTTTCTTTGACAACGCTAACAGCACTAGCATTACCGTTGGTTTCAGTGTTGTTGAACAGGGCCTGTTTCAAAATATCTGCCACGTTCTTGTTTGCCGCATTGGCCTTGGAAATGGTGCTGATATTCTGGACGATTTCGCTGTTGCTCATCTTCAATCCACCGGCAGTCTGGCCAGTGGTCAGATTCGTCAACGTCATGTTTTGGGAAGGCATTATTGGTGCCTTTTCCTTACCCTTTGTAACTGTCTTTAACAGCTGATTTTTCATCACGCTGGTCTGTTCACGCTCAAGTTTCCGCCGCTTGTCATTCTCCTCACGACGTCTTTCTCCCTCGTACCGTTTTCTAAAAATCTCGTCCTCTTTCTGTGCTAAATGGGCCATCACCGTCTCAACAGAGTCCAAATTCAGTCTTCCGTCACAGGTCAAGTAGTCTCTCAAGTTTGGCAGCACACGCTTCCAAATATCAACCAAAGTGTCGATACCATTGTCACGAACGTCCAACGATGGCAGATGCGGCAAGAAATCATTACCAACAAAGAAACACATGAACACCCAATCGTCGATGGCCCGTTCAAGGTCGAAGTTGAACGATAGCCGTGGGATATTCAGCTCCACTTCGAGGTACTCACGCAAAACACCCACATGAAGCCACAAGAACGGTTTCTTCTGGTCGGCAGCCTTGAGCCGTTCCTTGGTATCCTCACTCATGTTCACCTGGTCGGAGATTCGAAGCTGTCGCTGGGCCTGGTCTTTCGCAAAAACATCTTCACGAAGCACACGGAAATGCGGCTCGTGAGTAGCGAGACCCAAGAAAATCAAATCGGCGTCCAATCCGTAAATACAATGGGTGGTGTTTGGGTTGTATTCCGGGTCAGATCTCTGAGATCTGATGAAATTCATGATCTTGTGCTCGCCTTCTCCAGGAACAGTGGCATCGCTGATTATAACCTGCAAGCCAGCCCATCCAGGATCCGTGGACAATTTGTAGGCCACCCAGTAGCGCAAAGACCGTGCAAGAATATCCATGAACGGAGTGCCAGGAGTAATGGAGTTGGAGTCCCACGACTTCTTGCCCTTGATGGCCATATCGATCTCCTCTCCACGCATCTCTTTTTCGTGAATCTGTCTGTCACGCTCTTCCTGGGCAATCGCGGCGTCTCTGGCCGAACGGAACCGTCTTGACCGCTGCTGGTTCATTTTTGCACGAGGAGCAACACCATCCACTGCGATCATCAAAATCTTCCGTGGACGCGCCATATTCAGCACACGGTCGGTGTATCTGAAAATCTCTATCATCATGTCGGCCTCTGTTTCTGGAGGCGGTTTATTTTCCGGATGCGAACAAGGATGGACAATACCGTTCATGTCCAAATACAGGTTATCTAGTTCTCCATTTGGGTTCGGATTCGAGTACTGGATCGGCTGCTCGATATCCCCAACAATCACAGGCTCTTCTTCAATCACCGGAGAGATGATTTTCGGATATTTACGCGAAAGCCATCTGAAAAGCGCTGGAACACCCATTTGTCTTTTAAAATAATTAAACTATGAAAAATTGATTTAATTTTTTCTTGTCGATTATCTGGGGCAATTTAGTTATTTATTCTTAAAACAATGCAATGAGCCGAATAACTCCTTTGAAAAACCAACTTCCAAGACATAACTACGCGTCATTTGCTAATGCTGTTCAGTACCGTCTGCCGTCACAAGACCACGCCCATGCCAAATTGAACGCTGTCCAGTCTGTATTCCAAAACAAAAACCATGAGGGCTTTGATTGGTCCAGCACTCTGCAGACGTTCAACAAGTACCCATTAGTGACGTTCAAACGACTACAAAGAAGACCTGTTCCTCCTATCCACGTGAAAATGCTTTCCTCCGATTTTATAGAAGACTCTCTTTATAACCAAAACTATGGCTACTTCCCCAACACTTTGAAACGAACAGACCTTTTTTCGCCAGATTACTTCACAACCAAATCGCCCAAACCGGGAGAATTGCAACTCACACAGCCGCCGCTTGATCTGGACAATTTCCCGTCCCAATTGCTCAAACCATCGTATGGTCAGGCCATTGCCCGTTATTTGCTCGTTAACTACAAATTGAACCAATACCCTTACAACGATTTGTGTATTTACGAGATCGGGTCAGGGTCAAACAATTTGATGTCCAGTATCCTGGATTTCATCCAGGAAACCCACCCAGAGGTCTACGAACGCACACGATATAACCTGGTTCCTGTTTCTCCAAAATTGACAGATAAAACAATAACCATTGACCCCAAACACCACGACAAAATCCGTATAGTCAACGAGTCTATATTGGGCTGGAAACGAAGGGTCAATGAACCGTGTTTTGTTATGGCTCTCGAGGTGTTCAATTCTTTGGCCCACGATGTTGTCCGGTACGATATTGAGTCCCACCAGCCATACCAGGGATATGTCATGATTGATGAGAATAACGAGTTCAAAGAGGTGTATTCTCCTACCCTCAGCGACTGGACTCAGCACTTTTTGCATCTGAGAGAACAGAGCAAGTTCTCTATCTCAACATTGAAGAAACACCCTCTCAACCAATCAAAGATACTGAAACAACTGAAAGACACTTTCAATCCGCTAAGGAACCATCTTTCCGATGCAGAGTACGTGCCGACGAGACTTTTGCGGCTGTTTGAAGTTTTGAAAAACTACTTCCCAAACCATCAGCTGATATCCTCAGATTTCTCCAAGTTCAAAAAGCCAGTCGCCGGCTACAACTCACCAACGGTCCAAACAATGTACCGTGACGAACTCTTTAACACAGACACCTATATGGTCAAACAGGGATATTTTAATATCATGTTCCCGCTCCAGTTCGACGTGATGGCAGAGATCTACCGACTAGTTGTTGGAAAACTGTGCAACACTACCTCGCAGATCGAGTTCCTCAACGTCTGGGGCGACTCCGAGGGCGCACCGAAGGCAACACCAGACACCTACCTTAACTGCGAGTTCTTACTCAGCTGACCGCGGGCCATGCTGGTGACAAATACGCTTACAAATGGGCCTGTCCTGTTTTGGATAGGATTTTTCTTCTACAATTTTCTAGAAAAATCCGGGGTAAATTCCAGGCTGTGCGGTAGGACGGCTATAAAAGATAGACAGAACACCATGTCAAAGTATCAACCATGCTTCTTATCGCCCCTCAACTATTCGATTACGTCCATTACCCAGTCCAGCGTGTCCAGAGACGCGTTACTCCGAAAGTCCACAAGCTGGAGGACGAAGACTATTATTACATCGTTTTTGAAAGAACATGTCAAAGACCATTGTTTGAAAACTACGAGTTCGAGGTGAGAGGAAGACAGCTGCTTGTGAGCTGCCAAGAGGATGATTTCTATAAAGTGTTTGATCTGCCAGACGACGCCAACTTGCGCAAAGACATTGATCTGCGTCTGGTGAATGGCTCGCTGTTGGTTGGCATCCACAAGCGCAAGGTTGTGAGGATCAAGGTCCACTCTTACAACACGTTTGTTCCATTTGTCAGCCACTACTTGCCACAGGAAGAAGAGGATCAAGAAGAACAAGAGTCGGATAATGAGTCAGAGATAAGGCCCGCCTTCACACAGTCACGTGATTCGCCGCAGACCCTGGGACAGCAACCGGAGGCGGTTTCTAGACCGTCGCAGCAGAGTCCGTCTGAGGGGTCATTGACTGCATCTGCGGCAAGTTCCTCTTCTGACAATTCTGCAGCTACCACGCCGGAGGCCAGTCGGGCCAGCTCGCGGCGCCCGTCGTCCACGTTGACTCCTGCTGATCTGAAAAAGAACTACAAGACCCTGGAAAGACACACGAGTCTGATACCGAGAACGTTCTCGCCAACGGTGGAAGACGTTGAAGACGAGGAGTTCCAGTGATTGGTTGACTCGATCATGATATATATTAATGCATTTTAACGTGTTATGCGCTTCATTAAATTTAATTGCAAGTAGAGACCGAGCATCATTCCATGCCCGGAATTAAGTGGTCGTCGAAAACTATGTGGAATCGGGCGGCGACCGACTCGGTAGTGTTGGCTATGCTTGATTGTTCCGAAACGTTGGAAGGAACGGGATGTAGCTCGTGTAATGCCCTCGGCATGCTAATTTCGGGATCACGTAGCTTATTCGGCAAGGGTTCTTTTTTGGCCCTGAAAGAACCTCTTTTGGAGGTTAATGTTTTCGTTGACTGTGAGCTATTGGAGGACGACTTCTCCATACGTGCGGGACTTGTCACCCGCCGTTGTATTATTCTGGCGCCAACTAGTGGTTCCGACAGCTTTGAGAGTCTTCGCACGGCTGAAGGAGAACAAGACCTGGGTGTTTCCATATTTGGAGGCTGGATCACTTGAACCCCACCGTCATCGACTGAAAACCGTTTGCGTACTTTAGAAACAAGCCCAAACGAGATGTTATCCATCAGCACTTGCACTTTGCCAACCGCAGACATGCTGTAAATCACTAAATTATAATTAGGGAGCTAATGATTACATATTTATAGCCGTTCCATGAAAAAAAATTAAATCCGGGCCGAAGATGCACCGTTATGTTACCGAAGGAGCGAAAGAAAAGGCTCCGCTATCATGCCGATTTAACTCCGAGTTCCACGAACCCTTAACGCCCAGGTACCCCGGAGCATCGTCCAGGATCGACGATTCCGCCGTTGAGACCGACACTGCATCGCTCTGCTCAGAAACCATGCTGTTGGTGTCGCTTTCGTCGGTGCTGACGTAATCTGCCAGGATCGAGCCGAGCAGACTCTCCTTGCGTTCGTGGGTAGCGGCTGTTGGTCTGGAAAGCTGGTTGAGGTCGAGCTTGAGATGGATCCGGTTGCCGATCACGTTCTTCAAGTACTGCGACCACATGTCCAGGAGCGGCTGGAGCTGGTCCAGGTCGGGGCGGTCGATCAGGTTGTCCTGGCTTCTTCTGATGAGACGGTCCATGGCCTGTTTCTTCTGTGTGTGCGAGACGGTTGGTGTACGCGAGACACGCCGGACGGTTCCCTGGCGCGAAAGGGCGGGCAGGATCGGCGCAGAAATCTGCAGAGCCGGCTTGGCTCTGCGACGGCCAAACAGACGATGCTGGCGCACTCTCCGCCATTTCTGAACCGCGCGGCTCTTCCATTGACGGATCCTTTTACGCAGGCTCGTGAGCCAGCCTTCTTTGCGCTTCACGGCGTTCGACCGCTGCAGACTACCCACCGACGGCTTCACAGTGCGATTTGAGAGCTGGCGACGCAGCGATGCAGCACGTGACGTCGCAAACGGAACCACGCTCGAGTCCACCAGCTGCGCGGACCGGTGACCCAGCGACACCTGTGAAGACGCCAGCGAGCTCGTGTCGCCGGCCATCAGCTGCTTCATGATCTGGCTGTTACGCTGGTCCTGTTTCTCGTCGATTCCCCAGTTGGACGTGATTGTGAGCCGTTTCATGGACGATCTGGCCGTGCGTGTGCGCTTGTATGGGTTCTCGTAGAACACTGTCGCGGAAGAGTTGGTTTTCTTATGGCTATGACGCCTGAGAGTGCTTGCTGCTGGATTATACTTGGATGAACAGACTGTCTGGACATCGTCACTGATAAGCGCGGCCTGGTTGTCGAAAACAACCTCCGACGCAACAGTGTCATAGCTCGACTCAGACACAATCCGTTTCTCAGTCTCCATGTTGGTGAAAGTCGAAAGACGTCACGGTTACCTCCATCTTTTATACAGAGGATGGCTGGTTTAAAGCCATCTCTGTGCACAGCCTGGAAAATAAATTATTGTCTGAAAATATTAGGTAAGTGAAATTTGTCCCAATGTCTATCTAAAATATCTTGGCTCGTCGAAAACATGGTACTGGTGGCCGCGAACACCGTCGCCATAGAAAATTGACGGGAACCGCATGTCTTCCGGCACCTTGTCCTCGTCGACGCGGGTCTGCGAGTACGACTCGTCGATCGTGCCGTCCGGAATCACAAACTTGCCGACTTGCACCTCGGTATCGGTGATGGTGCCTCTGCTGACACGAGCGTATCCTGTGCGCTTCATTTTTTTGTACAAGATGTATTCGCACCAACGGTCGTCGTCTGTCACATCGATGTCGTGCATACCCGACTTGTCGCTCACGTAGGTATTGTAGTTACCTTTGAGCGGATCGGTCACCAGGTAGCTGAGCAACACCATTGGCCGGTCAGAGCTGCCCATGATGTCCGTCACGCCCAGAGTCTGCAGCCGGCGGTCCTCCACGTCCTCTTCCTGTCCAGAATGGAACACAACGACGTCGATCAGCTCACCGTAGCAGTCCAATGTAGCATGGATAGCGGGAGCCAGCTCCCCAACTGGAGATGGTAGCAGGTGGTGCGTGGAGTTGACGATCGGGAATTTCGACAGCAATGCAGCACCCCATGTGTGTTTGTTAGGACCAGGGCCAAAGTCAGCGTACATCCCAAGCTCCTCGGCAATTCTCTGTGTCAGGTCTCTGTTGCCCATGATGATTCTCTGGGTGTCAGACTCTAGCAGTCCAACAACGTCCAACTCGAGGTCTTTGATCAAATCGCGCATGCGGTGCTCCGAGGCCCACATGTCGTTGTCCAGACCGAAATGGATCGTCCAGATACCTGCGGTCATGAGTCTCGACTTTGGATGGTACGGCTTTGGCTTCTCAAATTGGAATCTAGTGAATGCGACAAAACACGATAGCAGCACCAGCAAAACGAAATGGTTGGTGAGCTTCTTCAGAACCGACTTGGCTCTCTTGGTGTCGATTTGCGGTGGCTGGTGGTCGTACACCAGGCCAACAATCATGAAAATGGACAGTCCCAGAACAATGTCTGTTCTTTCTCTGAGAAGTGGTCCTCCAGGAACGAATGCATAGGCAACCACCCAGACATGCATCAGGGACAAAATGACGGTGAACAGGAAAGAAACGGCAAAAATAGATGCCAGTTTACCCGTCTTGGAGATCTGTTGGAAACTCAATGGGGTCACGTAGCAGAGCCAAAAAGCGTACGCCAATCCTCCAACGTATCCGACCCAGCCGTTGAACAGGTACAACACTGCACCACCCAGAACTCCCGAAAACGTCACTGTCTTATAAGACTCTGGTTTGTAGAGACCAAAGAAAGCTCCTGCACACATGGTGATCAGAGTGATGGCTCCGTGAGGAACAGGGATCGGGCCGCGAATAGGGTATCCTTCCCAGTTCCACAAGATGATGGTAGACGAGTCGGTGAGCATGGCGCTGATGGAGTAGATCAGGGAACCGAATCCGAGCGAGGTCAGCAGGAACGATGGTTTTCTAGCGCTTTTTTCAGTCTCGACATATGAAACTGGCTTTGGAAGCTTGGTGAAGAAAGCAGAAACAACACCAACAACCAAACCTGTCAGGTTCCATCCGCCGGTCTCGCTGTTCATGATTGGCCAGATCGGGTTGTTTGCCCAAAATGCAAACTTTGCTATTGCTGAGAGAACAAGGCCAAGAATAAATGTGGTGGCATATGTTTTAATTGGCAGCGAGTCTTTCTGAGTTCCCAGGGTCCAGATGTCGCAACTTAGAGACATCATCTGAATAGAGATACCAGCAGCCGTAGTGAGCAGTCTGGCAGCAGGATCGGCAATCAAGTAGGAGCCGACACCCAGGGTGCAGGAGAACGCCTTGACGAACTGAGGATATGACACAAACACCTTGGACAGGCCAGGAATCACGAGCAAAGCGGGAGACACCAAGGTCAAGCACGCAGCCTCATATCCAGAGATACCCATGTGCCAAAGTGGGAAGTACCAAATTAACAGGAACAGCGATGAGTAGATGGACCAGAAAATAAATGCGTTGACAACATCAACGGTCAGTTGGAACAAAGAACCGCCCTGTTGGGTTGATTTAGGTTGCAGCTTGGTTTCCTTGACAGGGGCCGATCTGGAGAAGTTAGTGACGAAAAAGGCGTCAGAGTCTGAAGACGGTAGAATCTCGATGGTGAGTTCCTTGAAGTCCAAAATTGACCACGCGTCGAAACCGACGTCGAGGAAAATTAGCGACCACTCACAGTATGCATAGTAGGAGTACGCACCAGCCACACGATGGACCTTATGCTGGATGAACAAGTAAATCAGCGGAACTAACATGAAGAAGAACGTAAATGCTGTGTATTTTCTGTACGATCTGATCTTGGATCCAGGTGGAGAAAGTTTGGTAACGGCCATATCCCACGGAATGGTCAGAACAATGTACGAGATCATAAAGATATCATGGAAGTCATGGTCGTCGGTGGATGTGATATAAACCCAGCCTCCACAAGTGACTGTTCTAACGAGTCCTGTCACCAATCCCAATTTGGGATAAATTGAATCTTGTTTGTACCAAACAATGTATCCGACAAATAACAGTAAAAATCGAGGTCCTGAGGTGAGAGCAATCAGGATCTGGAAAATTGACCGTTCCGGATACCGATCTCCAATGGTCGCAGACACGCTGGGGAACCATTCGTCGGGATACCCGTAGTGTTCATTCTGGACGATCTTGTAGAAATGGAGCCAATATCCAACGAAAAGAGCCGCGAGAAAAGCCGATAACGAGCAGACAGAATGTGCGATTGCGATGAACTGCGCGTTAAGCTTCAACAGCGGCCGTGCAACAGACGATTCGGCCATTGCAAAAGAATCTCGGTAACACAACAGAAAAACAAAAAAAACTACACTCCATACTACGCACCCTTGCACAGACACCCCGGTAGGGCTGAACAGATGTAAGTGGACACGCGACAATGAGAGACGGATAGTTTGGTTTAGAAGTGAATGAACCACCACACAGTCGAGCTGCAACCAACACGGTGCAGATCCCACTCTCAAACCGGCGAATTATCCGTGCTGCCGTCAACCCGTCAAAAGTCCCGAGACCTTGGAGATCCAACACATCTGGCTCTTCAGAACGGCCCATCATAGCGACCACGGCGTGCCACCTGCTCACCAACATGATCCCAGTAAACACCCCACTTCTCACGTGTCTGCATGTCGTACCACAACGGTGCCTGAACCCGTGACATGTTTGAAAACCCGTGCACCGGCTCGGAGAAGAGACGTGCTGCCGTCAAGCAAATATAAATACTCAGGTGACCCTCTTCGGAAAAATGAAGTGAGTTTTACAACTTGTTTTAAATAATGTCCCTTGCCAACAAGCTTTCAGTCAAAGACCTCAATTTCGCAGGAAAAAGAGTGTTTATTAGAGTCGACTTCAACGTCCCATTGGACGGTGACAAGATCACCAACAACCAGAGAATCGTCGCTGCATTGCCAACCATCAAGTATGTGTTAGATCACAAGCCAAAGGCGGTTGTTCTTGCTTCGCATTTGGGCAGACCAAACGGAGAAGTCAACCTCAAATATACCTTGAAGCCTGTTGCCACCGAATTGGAGTCCCTTTTGGGCCAAAAGGTGAATTTCTTGAAGGACTCTGTTGGGCCAGAAGTGGAGTCTGCTGTCAACGGTGCTTCTGACGGAGAGGTGTTCCTTTTGGAGAACTTGAGATTCCACATCGAGGAGGAAGGTTCTAAGAAGACTTCCGAGGGCAAGGTCAAGGCCTCGAAGGAGGACGTCGAGAAGTTCAGAAAACAGCTCACTGCTTTGGCCGACGTTTACGTTAACGACGCTTTTGGTACTGCTCACAGAGCTCACTCTTCCATGGTTGGAATTGAGCTCAAGGAGAGAGCTGCTGGTTTCTTGATGGCCAAGGAGTTGGAGTACTTCTCCAAGGCTTTGGAGAACCCAGTCAGACCATTCCTGGCTATCTTGGGAGGTGCCAAGGTGTCTGACAAGATCCAATTGATTGACAACCTGCTTGAGAAGGTCGATATCTTGATCATTGGTGGTGGTATGGCCTTCACCTTCAACAAGATCATCAACAAAATGAACATTGGTAAGTCGTTGTTTGACAAGGAGGGTGCTGAGATCGTTCCAAAGTTGGTTGAGAAGGCTAAGAAGAACAACGTCGAGATCATTTTGCCTGTTGATTTCGTCACTGCTGACGACTTCTCGCCAGATGCCAAGGTCGGTTACGCCACTTTGGAGGAAGGAATCGCCGACGACTTGCAAGGTCTGGACAACGGCGAGAAGTCCGCCAAGTTGTACGCCGACGCCATTGCCAAGGCCAAGACCATCGTCTGGAACGGACCTCCTGGTGTGTTTGAGTTTGAGGCTTTCTCCAAGGGTACCAAGGGTATGCTTGAAGCCTGTGTTAAGAGCGCACAAGCCGGCAACACCGTCATCATTGGTGGTGGTGACACTGCCACCGTTGCCAAGAAGTTCGGCGGAGCAGACAAGCTTTCCCACGTCTCTACCGGAGGAGGAGCTTCTTTGGAGCTTTTGGAAGGTAAAGAGCTTCCTGGTGTTGTTGCTTTGGGCAACAAGGCTTAAGTTTCTAAAATGGTTTACATACTCAAGAAATATTTAACAGTTTAAAAAAAAGATAAATAAATCAACAATGGATCGAAGGACCAAAAGAATCCCGTTGGGCGAGATAACAGGGAAACTGGCGCTTAATCGTAAACCCGAGCGCGTATTGAAACCCGATCTACTGAAAAATAGACACGCAAAGTCGCCAAGTCATTCAATAAACCTAGCTTCTTTAACCAGATCGTATTTACAGAGGGAAACACAAACACGAACCAGATCGAGCATTGATGAGATTACGCGCCAGATCAGTCTGCGGAGCGAGACTGATCATGTTGAGCCACGCGTCGCGCGACGCGTGCGCACGTTCTCGGGGGTCCTGACCGACCAGGTTAACGATATCCTTACCAATATCCATTCGATGAATGCTGTGCTGGGGTACGACCAGCCATTGACTACGGAAAAACTGTCTACCGTGGACATTCTGGAACTTGGGGAAGTTTCGCCACAACTGCGAATTGTTCGATTGGACTCAAACGAGCTGGTGGCTCTTGCTTGTTTCAAGCCGAGCTTCAACATCAAGATCAAACCAAATGACCATATCCATTTGGGAAACGCATATTACACCATTTCGTTACCTGAAACCAATCTCAAATGCTACTATCGCTGGTACAAGGTGATCAAACGTTAACTTTCATTAGTATGCTATAGACTGGTGGCCTTGGTCGTGACACTGTCAATCTGGGACTTGTGCTCTGATTCATGGAAAGACGGAGATAGACGCAAATATGGCAGGTACGCGTCGATAAATTCCAAACACTGGGCCGGGGTGCCGCTTATAGACAGGAAATTGAGGGCGGCCTCAACAGGAACAAAGTCCTGTCGTGCCAGTGCGGAATCAACCACTTTCTTCATATAGACCCAGTTGTTTCTGTTGGCGAAAATGGTGAGGAAAATGAGGTCCATTTGCGTGAGGAACGGTGCAAACTTGCGGTTTTTGAAAATGGACTCATACAGTCTGTACAGATGGTTAACCTGGACAGAGTATCTCAGCTCTGGGTTTGGTTTTGGTTCTTTTGAGTTGAGCTTGACGAAGTTCTCGTTGTCAGCTTGTGAGCCTGCGATCACCAACGTGGGCAGCAATTCCGTGATATCTTTCTCTGTGAGGATCGGGTTGAAAGTGGACAGGATGTGCAAAATAGTGTTGGTTCGACGACTGAACACCTCAGTCTCGGAAGTTAGTCCGTCATGGAACTCGGCGGATTGCAAGATCAACTCGACCAGCTCGGCGATCTCCCGCGACGTGACCAGAGTTCCCTGGGCCTGTTTGGTAAGCAGATGGTTCTGCACCTTATCCAAAGGACACGCTTTTGGGTTCTCCAGATGGAGTCTCTTGAGCTGGTCGAACCCGACCTGGGAATAGCTTCTGAACCCGGCCAGCTGGGTGAGAATGCCACCAGCGCTCACCGGGCGTCTCATGGTGTGCATGAACCGGAAACCACTGAAAATATTATCGTCATCAACGCGGGTTTTTCTGTTTTCGTACTTGGACTTATCCTGCGCCCAGAGCGACTCCAGATCGAGATCGTCGCGCCGTTCCTCCGTGAGCAGGTGCACGGCGATGTTGTCGTCCTTGCAGTCGACCATGACCCAGGTGTTTGCTGCTGCTCCGTAGTCGTTCATGGCGTACGAAGGACCCTTCTTGCCTCGTTTGAGCAAGCGGCGGCGGAATTTGGCCAATTGGGCCGTCGAGAGCAGTCCCTCGTTCGACGTGAGACTCTTGAGCTGGTGTTTGACAAACAGGTTCAGTTCCAAGGTGGCTTTCTGCAGATGCTTGGCGCTCTTACCGGTGGCCACCACCATGAAGTCTGCCACCTCCTGGGCGCCCTCGTTGACGGAGTCGGGGTCCCTGGGGTTTCTGAGGTCAAAAACCTCAATGTTGGACATTCCGAGCTTGTGCGAGAGGAACTCGACGAGCGGCTGGAGCGACGCAGGCGAGTTGGCCGGCAGTGCAGGTATTGGCGAGTGGTTGAGCAAGCTGGGCCGTTGCTCGGAATCGGACTCGCGCAGGTACCACGGCACGTCCGAGGACGAATGTCTGGCGAGCGACAGCACGCGTGGCCGGGTAAGCACAGGGACTGCGCGGCGGACACACAAACGTAGCATGGCTGGAGAGATGATTTGATTCTGTATTTAGCGATTTTTTTTTTCGAGGCTGGCCAGAGCCTGAGATTTGGTTTTGGGCCGCGCACGCCGGGGACAGATATATTTTGGAAAATTAAAGCAGTACGATAGTGGCAAGATAAACAACTGGCACCAGAAGAGGTCTTTGCGGTATATTTGGTTACAACTAGATTGATACCCGATAAGAAGAGGAGAAGTCACCGAGATAAGCCAAAACCGGGTTTTGTCGCACAAATTTACACCCCAAATGTCCAACCAAGACCCGCCTTTAGATAAAGTTGGCGAGCTAGACCCAGGATCTGGGTCTGGGCCCGGAAGTGGGTACGAGTACTCCAACTGGCGCGAGCACAACGAATTTAACTATTTCACAGACAACAACATGCATCTGGATCTCGGGTCGCAGCAAACGTTTGTCAACTCCGGGCAATCCAACATGATGTCCCCAGTGAACGTCGGGTCGGTAATTACTCCAGCCTCGCCTGCCGAGTATGTGATGCATCTACAACAATACCAGAACATTTTGATGGAACACGGAACCAAATCGGACAATAATAATACCCCCATTGCTCATGGATCCAATCCATCGAGCGTGCCTAGCGTTCCAAGTGTTCAGAGCGTACAAAGTGTTCCTGGGGCTCCACACACCTCGGGACCGCCACAAGCTAATGGAAACAACCAATTTGTGTCGTTCATGCCTTCGTTTATGAACCCACAAGCCCTAATGAACCAATATCCAAACGCCATGCCGGGACCGTTCCCTATGCAACCAGTGCCAATAGGGTATCCTATGCCCGCGAAGAACGAGCCGCCACAGCCACGAACAAAAGTCAAGCCGTGCGACCACTGTCGTCGTAGAAAGATCCGCTGTGTGATGGTGCCAGAGTCTAACATGTGCAAAATGTGCCAGAATAAAGGCATTAAGTGTACTTTCATCGACGGTAACGCAGCAGGCACAAAACGGTCGTTTTCGAGCCCCGAAACAGAGTCCAAGCGGATGAAGTTCGAGGAGGCCAATATCATCCCGCCGCCAGACGTTCCGCTCAGAGAAACGCTGCCGATCAAGGACTACTCCACGATGCAGGGCCATTCACTGCTGAAAAAGACGCTCAGTCTGCAATACCCACGGTCCAGTTTCTACGTCGGGCCGACCTCGCTGTACGATACCATTTTTCTTGAGAAGGTCACGCTCGACAAGGTGGATCAGTTCGAACTGAGCAAGAAGAATTCGATACGGAAAGTCGCTAGTAACGTGCAGTTCACTCTTCGCGACGATTTCAGCGAAGACCTTCTCGAGAGATCCGATTGGGACTCCGACAGCGTCGAGAGGTACGTTGCTCCACACGGCCAGGAACTCATCGACCTGTATTTCCGAACGGTGCACCCCTCGTTCCCTATACTGCACAAAAAAGTGGTTCTTGAAAAATACTCCAGAACACACAGAGAGTTCTCGGCGCCGCTTTTGGCCGCTGTGTACTGTCTGGCCATTCAATGGTGGGACTACGACGCCCATCTGTCGCAGTTCCCCAAACCTAACGTGGTTGCACTGCTCAAGTTTGCGCTCAAGACGTTTTCTGACGTGATCCAGCGTCCAAAGCTCAGTTCAGTGCAAGCGGGTCTGCTGCTGTTGCAATGCCGCGACGGCGGGTCTAAGGACAACAACTGGCTGTTGTGCTCGCAGGTGGTTGCCCTGGCCGAGGAGCTGGGGCTAGGATTAGACTGTGCGTCGTGGAGACTGCCCCGCTGGGAAAGAGGACTGCGGAAACGGCTGGCGTGGGCCGTGTACATCCAGGACAAGTGGTCGTCGCTCGTGGAGTCGCGGCCCAGCCACATCATCGAGGGCAAGAACTGGCTCGTGCGCATGGTGGGTCCCGAGGACTTCCCTGACAAGGGCGACGCAGACCAGCTGAAGGAAGGCTCTGCCGACAACGAGAACGGCGAGGCGCTGTTCCGGCAGCTCATCTCGCTCAGCGAGATCCTCAGCGAGATCCTCGACACCTTCTACACCATGGCAAGCATGCAGAACGTCAACTCCATAGAGGAGATCCTCAAGCTGGCCAAGCCGTTGCAGCTGAAACTGCGCAACTGGTACCATTCGCTTCCAGAGACGCTTCAGATGAACACCCCGAAACCGCGCAAGTTTAACTCCAACGGTTACCTGCAGCTGGCGTACTTTGCCTCGGAGATCACGCTGCACCGGCGCATCATCTCGTGTTTGCACACCCAAAAGGCCTCGTGTCCGCCCGAGCTGGTTCGTGTTTGCCGGACGGCAGCACAGGCGCGTTTGACGGCGTCGATCGAGTTTGCCCGAAACCTGAAGCCAGAACACATCCAGTCGTTCTGGCAGTCGGCAGCCACCAACAACTTTGCTCTGATCGGCATATTTGCAACCATCCTGTACGTGACCAGCGACACCGACGAGGAGGCCAACGGATACAGACAGCAGCTGTTTGACTACCGGTGGATCCTGAAGGTGAACAGCAAGAGCTTCGACATCGCAGGCGAGGCGCTGGCCAAGATCGACGGCATGCTGAAAAACCTTCCCGGTCTTTTAAGCGAATACGAAGACACCTCTGCTGCGTTGCCTGTGAACACCGAGGTGGAGGGCGAGACCCCCTCTGAGACCTCGCACAGCGAGCGCAGCGAGAGAGTTACAGAACCTGGCGATAAATAAACATTCATATTTATGTACATTAGCGTTTGCTTACAAGTAGCTGGTGACCTCGACTTTGGGCTTTTCCTGCGCAGGCGCGGACTGTTTCTGTTTGCCCGTGCGCACGCCACGGAACTCGCTCTTGGCCAGTCCAAAGTGCTCAAACCGGTCGTTCAACACAGACAGCTCCTGATCAACGTCGTCGATTCCAGCCTTGCCCTGCTCAAGTTGCCCGATCAGTTGCTCGAACTTTTTGAACCGCAGCCTGTAGAAATCGTCCAGCTCCTCCATCTCGTTCTTCGTGCGCATGATGTTCAGCACGGAAGATCCGCCCAGCGCAATCAGAAACATCTGCCAAAACGTCATCCGCAACGACCGTCTCACCAGCATCTTTTGCATTTTGGCCTTCTCGGCGCCGTCCTGCTCTTCGTTCTGCTGCTCCGGCTGGCGGCCCACCTGCTGCAAATACGCCGCCGACGGACGTTGGATCGGAGACGTCGCATACCGACGAACAATCACCCGAAGCATTTAGTTAGTGATGTACTCTTTTTTTTTTCAGCTACACCAGCTCTATCGTAATGATTACATAATCGTTTATTCACGGTCCTCGACGGGCTCGTCCAAGAACGAGTCGATCTCGCGGGCGTCGTCGTCGTTGGCGTCGACATCAAACAGCGACGCGTCCTCGTCGTCGATGATCCGGTCGTTGAAGGACGAGAACCGCTCGTAGTTGTTGAGGCCGCCGCGTCTGAACCGCGAAAATAGGCCCTGCTTCAGCACGCTGGCCACCTTGTGTCTGAACGCCAGGGCCGCACTAACCACCACGATCCCCGCCCGGACAACTCTGTTCACCATGCGGTCCACGTCGTTCTCCTCGATGAGCTGGATCTCGTCGTCCTCGTCGAGTCTGATCTCGCCAAACCGCGAAAATCCGCCGTTTCTGCGAATGCCCCGGTAGTAGACAAACGCAAGCGTGGCAACGAACACCACAGCGGCCACCGTCAACGCAAAGGCAACTCCGCCCGAGCTCGAGACGCCGTGCTTTCTGTCGTACTCCTTGCTCTTTCCCGGACATGGGTGCGAACTCCACTTGTCCAGCTCCAGTCCCTGCTCGCAGGTGCTCATTGGGATCTTACGGTAGCCAGTCGGCTCCCAGTACTCGGTCAGCGTGTCGTCGCGCGAGCAATACTCCTTCGGGTTGATCGGCGACAGGCCAGAGATCAGCTGACACGTGCCGTCCTTGGCAAGCACAAAGTTGTAGTCGCACTCAAAGTCGTGACGCGTGCATTTGCAGTTCTTGGTCTTCTTGTACACCTTGTTCATTGGCGCAGCACCAACAAAACAGTCTGTGGCAGAAGGCTTGCGTCTTGGGTATCTGGACTCGTGGCCAAACAAACACGAGGTTGACTGGAATGGGTGTTTTGGAGTCCAGTACTCGAAATCGTCGAAACTGATCAGCTCGTTGTCGTTGTTCACCTCCAGCTTGCACTGGCGCGACTGGATTCCAGAAAAGTCCAACGAAACAATCTCGTCGCGGTCTGGACCGTCCTTGACAATCAGAATGAATTTCCGTGCAGTGTCGCTTGGAACAGTGGCAATGTCTTCCACCTCTCTTTCGGTGTCGCTAAACTGGAAATCTTGCCAAGTTCCTCCCTCGTCCAACGAGTATGAAACCACCTTGGTCAGTCCGGCCTTTACAAGAACAAGAATCGAGCCCTGGTCGCCAAACTCCCACATGTAGTTGCCCTGGCGCACCTCTTTCCAAGTGGCTCCGGCATCTGCAGAGAAAAAGGTGGCAGTTTGGTCAGACTCGAACGGAAGCAGAGATTCGCCAACGTTTCCAACACCAAACATCAGTCCAACAGCAGACGCAGACGAGTACGTGTCTCTGCCCGGGTCGTTTCTCTCTGTGAACGAGTGCAAATGCAAAGAACATGTTTCCAAAGACTTGCCGTTGCAACCGTACTTGTTGCCCTGAGAATCAACAGGAGGAGGAACAAGCAACGACCATTCGGCGCCATCGTTGTACGTGACCATGCTCTGGATTTTCTTGGTCTCACCTTTCTCTTTCACGGACTCGGCGTTGCTCACAGTGTTGATGATAGAAATTCCTTCGAGACTCTGAACACTCTCAAAGTCGACAAACGCAAACTCGTTACGGTTCACGTTTCCCAGCAGCTCCACGTACTCTGTTCCGTTGTAGTTGGACTTGAGCAGCGCGCCAAACTCTCTCTGAGGTGACGAGTTGGTCGTCACGTGCAAAAAGATCTGCTCGCTGTTCACGTCCAGAATAGTGTATGCCGTTTGACGGGTCACCTGAAGATCGGCTGGGAATTTGGCCTCGGCAAATGATTTACCGTCCACAGAAATCACTGCAGTCAACGAGTTGTCGTCGTTGAGTTTGGCCGCCACCAAAAACTTTCCTGTCTCTGCAAAACCAATGATCTTGTCAAACAAAACTTTTGGCTCCGATGCAAAGTAGTCGGTGCTGGAAATCAATCTAAAATGCTGGCCATTATCCACCAGCTGGCTGCACACAATAAGAGTCTCGTTCACAGCAAACTCCTTGTCGTCCATCAATGACCCCACATAGCTGCACGTGTTGACGTTCTCCGGCAGCTGGACAAATGACTGGCCTTTGTCTCTAGTGAGGTACGCCTCGGAATGGCAGTTGGAAGAGAAAAAGCTGTCGCATCCAGAATCGGCGTAAATAATATAATCTGACGAGTTGTGCTTGTTGAAAGTCATTCTTGGGTTGGAAAGTTTCTGTAAGTCTAGAGGCGATCTAACACTCATGAACATGTCTCCTCTTTGTTCAGTGTAGAAGATTTCGTTACTCTCTGTGACCACAAAGAAATGGTCCGGGAAATAAGTGTTGGAAAATGCAGTGATGGGTTTGACCATTCCTCTCAAAAACTTACGGAACTTGATTCCTCCGTTGTAGGATAAGAACAAATCGTTGGACTTTGTCAAAACCAGCAAAGTCTCGTCAGGAAGAGACTTCTCGTTTGACGGTAGATAGAAGAAGTTGTAAATTTTCTCACCAAACGGTGTGTTGGTAGTGCGAATGACCGATGTGGAGTTAGACATATCTTGAGAACATTCAAAAGTGTAGTCATTTTTCTCAATCTGGAAAGAGTCTTTGGTGTTACAAAGATTGTCTGGAACCAGTTGTCTGGTGGTGATATCCGTCGAACCTTTGTTGTCTTTGCAATATTTGGAGAACACCGCTGGAACAACTGGAGCGCATTTGCCGTCGTCTCCTGGAATGAACCCATAAGTACATTCGGTGTCTGCAATAGTACAGGCACATGGTTCTTCTATCTTCTCGAGGTCCTGGTACGAGTGGTTGACAAAACACTTGGCGTCGTACTTCCGTCTCTTGAACTTTTCCTTGTGGCCAAACACACAGATCGGCTCGTTGGTATCGGGATCAACTCTGGCGTACCAATCTTCGTAGTCGGAATCGTCACACGTTTTTTCAAACGCCCCAGTGAAATCAATAGCAAACGAGTAGAACGACGAGAAACTGTTTGCTTCCGCTAGAAGAACAACATGCTGCGTGCTTCCGTCCTTGGAAGTGAGCAGATCGAGCGGGAACACGTTTATACCAAGATCAACGCTACCCCAGGACTCTCCCTGGTCCAACGAGTAAATCAGATCTTTCGGTAACGACTTTTGGTCAATATGACCAGACGTGAAACTGGTCATGTCGACAGGAACGGCGGCAATGATATTTCCCAGATCGGCAAACGTGAAAACACAGGCAGAGTCAAGCACTTTCTTCCAAGTTCTTCCGCCGTCTCTGGAGACGTAGGATTTCAAGTCTTTCAGGTCCTTGGTGGTGTATTTGCCGGTGTTTCCAATACCAAGAATGATTCCAGGAGTTGGCCCTGTTTCGAAATTTCCATCAGAACTTCTCATTGTGGTCCAGACCAGGTTCAAAGAACAGTCCCGGTCACCATTGCACCCGTCTTGATCGCTTGTCTTTAGGAACGACCAGGTCTTACCATCGTCGAAAGTGATCTTGGACTTGGACAACGGTTCGCTATTTTTGTCCATACGGTTCTCGTGACTGAGAATGATGTAAACACCGTCAATCTCCTGCACCTTGGTGAAATCACTGAGTCCAAACCCATTCGCCAAATATCCGTCGTAAACTTTGTCGAAAAACAAACCAGTGGAGTCAGACTTGTACAGATCGGCGGTCATTTCCATGTGTTTAGAGTTCATGTCGTCAAAAATGCCAAGGTAAAGAGAAGACGGAGTGGATGGGAGAACTCTAAACATCCACGATTTCATCTGGTTCTCGAAAAAGGCCTTGTCGAACGTCTTTCCGTCCTTGGAGATATACAACGACACTTCCGAGTCCGGCGAGAACTGATCATGAGCCACCGTCACAATGAGAAACGACTGCTCCACCTCGATGTTGAGCGCCTGGTAATTGGAGACATCACCAAAGTTATTTTCCACCGTCTTGAAAAAATCCGAGCTGGCCACTAGGCGAGTAGGCGACTGCATCAATCCCGAGTCTGCCTTCTCTCTTTGAATACAAACAACACGCTCGTCAGGACCACTGGTAAATGCCTTGTTCTGTTTGAGGAACATACATTGTTCAAGGTTTTCCAGCGGAATCTTCTTTGGAGAGCTCTTGAGTCCGTCTGTGCTGTACAGCCAATGATTTTCACAGGTGTAGATAAAGTTGTCTTTCTCAGAACAGTCGACAAAACTGAACAAGATCATGTCTGGTTTCGCATAGTTGACCTCAACTGTGCCCCAACTAAGCGGTCCTCCAGGATGATCCACGTCGAGGCTTTGCCAGGTTTTTCCCTGGTCACGGGTATAAAATTGTGTTTTCTCTCCAGTAAGTGCAAATGCCAGCTGGTTATCTGACGGAACAATCACACAGGAAGTGATGTTGGCTGGTTCTCCAGAGCTGAGCTTCAAATCAACAGGTTTCCAAGTCTCTGCATTGTCTGGAGAGATCAGAAGCTTTTGTTCGTTGATGCTCAACATCACTGGAGAGTCGTCAAAGTAGAACATGTCAAAAATCGTCTCATGTTGCGTCTTGGACACCTTAGGCTTCCAATCAGCTGCTGTTGCCAAGCTGACAAGGCAAAATATGTGGAGCGCAAAGTGAAGTAGAATCATTGGGAAAAAATACGGGAGACGTCCTCAATGACCAAATTCACAAAGTCCTCAAACAATACGCTATCTGTGGTAGGGTGATTGTCCAATGGGAGGTGGGTTCTTTGCGATTTTATATTACTTGTGGTCTTCCCTCTAAATATAGAGTTATTTTACATATCGTCCCCAGAAAACAACGCGGGCCAGGGCTCGTAATCCATGTCTGAAAGGTCTACACCTGGAACCAGCCAAACCGGTCGGGGCCTGCTATTTGGGCAAGCGTGGGGGCCGATGACAGGATACGCAAGCTGCCAGTTGTTTCAGGGAGGTCTAGAATTGCGAGCGAGGGCGTGCTGGCTGTGAGGGCCGACGTGAGGATCGATTTATCAAGCTGTGAGACTCGTATCCACGCTCGCTGATCCTGTGTTTTGAGGATGTCGTAGCGCACAGAAATGCCGTTGATACCGTGGAGTTGGTTCAGAGCGCCGTAGATGAGCGATTTCCATGTGATGGCGTCGACACTGGGCAGGATATCTGGCTGTGGTGTGAAAAAACTGGGGTTAGTTACTGCATAACTGGGGTTAACGTACAGTTCAACAAGCAGGTATTGCCATTCTGACGTGATAGAGGTTATTTGCGACATCAATGAACCAGAAACTCGGTTATTATAACCAGCTAGATGCCAAGAGTTAGCGTTTGGTCAAATATTTCACAATAATTTAATTTTTGCAGAGTTGGTCATCGTACTACATTTTGATCACATTTTGCACAGCCTTTGCACAG